TATACTCTGTTTTTAAACCAGGAGGAGTAAACGCGAAAGTCAGATTTACACTAGGAAAAATCACCAGAAAATATCACTAGATATTTTGGCGGTAAATTTAAATTAATAATTATTATTATTTATTTATTTACTTATTATTGTATTTATTTTCGTTTGTTATCGTCAACACTATACATACAAATTAACATTGAAGTTATGAGTGTATTTATTTCAAAATATAATAAAAAAGGGTTTAAGAACACAAAATATACAATAATGACACGAAACTGTCGAATTATCAATAACCTAACCTTCAAATTCAAAATTGCCTGTGTGTGAACCTTCCTCGCATTCAACCAATCACGTGCAAGGTCAATCTGGTGACAAATTTAAAATACTCCTCCTGGTTTAAAAACAGAGTATAGTTCTAGTGATAATGATAGTGTAAAACTAGAACTAGAAAGTATCGGGTTTAGCCGTGCGTCTGAAGATGTTAGTTCTAATGACAGTGGTAGTGAGCGCTAGTTAGCATAAGATATCACTATGTTGCATGTTTATATTGCACTAAAACTGAAAATATGTGTTTAACCAAAATGTACTGCTAAAATATATGGTTGATGACGTCACGTCGAAACTTTAAAGTGAATTTACAGTTTTACACTTTTCCGCTCTTTTTTTTTTATTTGTAACGGCTTACTAGAGTGATTTAAAGCCGACTAAAAAAAAATTGTCGATTTTTAAGCGACATGATGATTATTCTTGAATTACACCAAATTTGTTAATTTATATTAGGATGGTATTGATCTCCCGCCACCGATTTCCTTCGATATAACCACCGAGACGACAATGCCAGAGTTCCAACAAACTTATTTATGCAACCCCGAGGGGCAAGCGGTGATTGCGCAATTTTTGGAACAATATTTCCAATTGATGGATAGTGATGATCGGTCCCCGCTGCAAGCGGCTTACCACGAACAGGCGATGTACTCGATGACTATGGCCTACGCTTACGGACAACACCCGAAGAATAGTCCATGGTTGAATTGGTACAACACGGATAACCGAAATTTAAAGAAAATAACCGATTCCGATAGACGCTTTAAGTTACTTAAACAAGGCCAATCAAGTATTATATCGTTCCTAAAGGATATGCCCTCCACTAAACACGATATCATGAATTTCACCGTTGATTTAAATTTATGCACTGTAAGTTTTATTCATAACGTAAATTAATAATCTAATAATTCATTTTTAGCCCCAAATGCTACTTTTAACCGTTTCCGGCATCTTCAAAGAACTTAGAACCGGACATAAACAACCCCCGGTTCGATATTTCTTTCGCACTTTAGTAATTGTACCTCAAGGAGCTGGATTTTGCATAGCTAACGAACAATTTCACATTTCCAACGCTAAAGAACCTCAAATAAAAGTAATTTAATACGATATTTTTAATAAAAAATTAATTCATTTCGTTTTAGCAAGCTTTTAAAACTCCGATGCCATCGAATAGACTTCCGGATGTCGCCGCCGTTGTTCCGATTCAACAACCTACTACGATCGATGCTAAAAAACAAATGGTTGAGGCGGTTTCCCAACAATCGGGGATGAATCTTGAGTGGTCGGAAAAGTAATTAATTTTAACTTTTTAATTAAAAAGAATTAATTAATTTTCTTTTTAGGTGTTTACAAGATTCAAATTGGGATTTTCAAACTGCGATTTTTGCTTTTGGGCAAGCTCAAAAAGACGGGAAAATCCCCCCGGAAGCTTTTGTTAAATAACTTTCGTTAATTGACGTTTTTGTACATACTGTATCAGTAAGTTAAGTTTTAAGTTATTGTATTTAATTCAATACAATGTTTAGTTTATATTTTGACTATTTTTTAGATAAATAAATAATTTTTTCTAAAATTAATCGTTTTTTTTTTAATTTTTTGAGGTTTGAATTAGGTTATGTTTTGACACCTGTCAAAACGGTGTCTAATTCGTTAATTTATGAATAAATCCCATTAAAAACGTTAATTTTAATAATTATAAACAACACTTACCTTATTTGTTGATGGATCCTTGGAAATTAAGGAATAAATTTAGTGATTTTGATGCGCAAACTCGAACCGGCGTTAGTGGCCCTCTCGTGTTCTAAAACTCCGGAAGTTCGCAGACAACCTGTGGCTGGGACGTAGAGAAGTCCTCGTTTTTGATACAATTCGAGCGCTGCCGCGTTCAGTTTCGTAAAAGACACCAACCGAGATTCATTCGTTGAAACAAATTTTTTTGTTTAATCAAATTAATTTTTTGTTGATCTCGCTCAATTATAAATAAAATCTTGGTGTTTTTAGACTTTTGATTAGTTTTTGTGAGTTTTCGAAGATGTCTAGGACCGAAATTTTTGGGATTCTTCTTGGAATTTGCGTCGTTGTTAATTGTCGTAAGTCAAAATATTTTCTTTACGTTTAACATCTGAAACGGACCGAAGAAATGATTTTCTTTTATTGCGTTTAAATTTGCGTACACACCGCCGGTATAAGCATAAAGCCCAACAATCGATACGAAGCGGTCTGCTACTGACGTTGCTAACAAATTGTCCAACATATATCAAGTTAAAGGGTACAGTTGCAGTACTTGCGGGGATGAGTTTAGACCCGCAAGCGGTTTGTGTTTGTCGCCGGAGGGATGATGTTGATTCGATTTAGATTCGTATACATTTAATTTCACACAAAGTTCCTTAACAATTTTTGACACTTAAACGTCAATTTTAAAAATCACAACTAAATTTAAGTTGGTACTAATTTGTTTTGACGGTAAAAAAGAAACCGTTAAAAATGTCAAAAATGACAGTTTGTCAAAACAAACTTAAAATTAACGAATTGAAAACGACCGGGACAGAATTCTTGGTTAAATTTTTCGAATCTGCGGGGAAAGATTCTCGGATGGGAAAGTTAAGAGTGTGTTACCGCGGGACTACGACAAGGACCTCTCCTTTTTTCTCTCAGCTCTTCCACGCGAGCCTTGAAAAATGCCGGAGATGTCGCTCGTATAATTCCGGGATGTCCCTTTAAAGCCGATGTAACCGAACCGGAGAAGATATACTGCCGGAACGATGACACGAACCTGGTTCAACTTGAAAGGGAGAAGAACGGAAAAAAGGGAGAAAGAGAGTGGGTGAAGTGAGATATTTGTGTTAGGAAATGAGGTCAAAATGGTCCTGGTTGATTTACAAAGTTGTAAAAAAAATTATAATATAGAAAAATTTCGAAACTAACTTAATAAACTTACGGGTTGAAAACAAAATATTGATTGTTGTATCACTCAAAAATCTCAAAACACATCTTAACACCATCACACTCAACACAATTTGACAAATTGTCAAAAATTTCAATGTAGCCAACTCAAAAATTTTTAAATCTTAAAAAACGATTTATATATGTATCATTTCCATTCGATATTTACGTTATAAATGTATTTTAACCAATTAAACTTTTATTATATCCCCGTCACGATTTAAATTTATTTATTTTTGTTCCGGGGTTAAATTTGGAAAATTAACGCGGACAACCGAAACCGTAAACTACACGATAAAACCAGAATAAAAACAATATTAAACGTTTACATTTCAATTTAGTTTTTTGTTTGCGCGCCGATTTATTTTATTTTTTAATTAATTAATAATCTTTGTAAAAAAAAATCTTAATCGCAACATAACCTAAATTTGAATAACTACATTCACAACAAGCTCATATCTCTGACGTTTAAACGTCAAATTTATGTATTTACTAGATTTTGATAATAAATTTATTCACTTTAACTTTTTAAGATAAGAAGAATAGATTAAATCGTATTTTACGATAATGTTTAATTAATTTTAGGTGGTGTTAATAGATTGAATTGGGATTTAGGTAAAAATCGATCTAATCAACAACATAACCTCAAAAGAAATTTATACATAATGTAATATATTAAATCGCTTTATATGATATTTAAATAATTTTAGGTGGTGTTAATAGATTAAATGGGATTTTGAGTGAAATTGGATTAAATTTACAAAGAGAATATAACCTCAAAAAATAAATAAATCATTTATTTATTAATTAAGCAATTAATTCTTTTCAGTTTTCAAGTTTAATTTATTTCCAACGGAATAATCAACGACCATTGAAATTTTCATCGAATCTAGTCGGTCAAACAGTACATTGTTCCGGGTATGATTCAATATACAATGAGAACATCGCACATAATCCAATTGAAAATCTATTGACATTTCGACGTGTTCCACCTTTAATTGAACAATTAATTAATCTCGACCAGTGTTTAAATTTATTGTTGTTCTTATCGGTTTTAATTTTATTTGATTGTATGTAATCCGGTTTGCATTTATATGTGGATATTTTCGAATGAAATTCTTTGGGTATATTTTCAACATCGTCCGGTTAGGAAAATATTTATTTTCGCCCCTAGGCCGTTTTACAAGAAAACGACCCAAGCTATAATTTAAGTTTTGTTTGGATAGGAAAGCGTCCTTTGTTTTGCTTATAAAATTGGAGTTTGTCTTCTCCTCAAAGACTTTATTTCTTGGAGAGTAAGTCACATATCAAAATCTTTTTTTTTGTGTTATCATTTATATAGTTTTAGAAATATTTACTTTTAGAATGAAACGTGAAAAGTTATCGCAATTTGTCTCCCGAGTAAATCCTTCTACGTTTCGTGAAACCTCGCAGTTTCAAATCCTACCAGTTTGTTTAGACTCGGACACGAAGCACCCGGAAAGTGAGCTTTAACCCGTTATCATCATCTGATGGGTTTAGGGTCAATTTGAACTCTCTCTATATCTTGAGCGCTAAATACACTTTAACTCAATTTATTTTATATCCTGTAAAATAAAATACAGTAAAACCTCGATATAACGCACAAAAGATTTCTGTATATATAATATTTTTGTCATTGCCAAAATTCAAATGTGTGTATTAGTCGTGTTACAAAGGCTATTTTAGATATTCTAGAAGCAAAGTCTGAAGACGCACTTCTAAACTCGAATATTTCTAGTTCGATATCTAGTGTTAGTTCTAGTTTTAATTGTTATTCAGCGCTGACGTCACGAACGGGCCTTGGAGCTGTGCTTCTGTTCGCGGAATGTAGCATTACCCTTGGATTGTACAATTCTTGGTATAAATATAAAGCTGTCCAAATTGGTTTGCATTAAAATTATTCATATAACGGACTTTTGGCTATAACGGACACACCCTTCCCCGTATTAATCGATATTTTACTGTAATTTAATATGATTTTATAGGAATTAATTTCTCGTGTACATTGTGGGAATGCGTGGGTAAAGTTCAAGTGATAGTGGGAACTTTGGTAAACACAAAGTAAGTTTCGGTGTAAAGGCAATTGCGAGAGCAAAGTTAAGATTACCTAATTTTCCTTGACCGCACTTTGAGTTTTCAAATTTACTACTATTAGTTCTCCCAAGCGCATAAAAGAAGCAAAATTTTTTTATTTCCCCCCTCTGATTAGTATCTCGGCGGAGCTTAAAAGCGATGGTTTCAGAGATAAATAATGAAAGCTCCTTTTCAATTTATCACGACCCGTCTTGTCTAATTATTTTTTTTCCTTTCCGTCTTAAAAAGCGTCAAGATTAATTTTTCTTTCTTATTTTAACTTTAACGTTCATCCAATTCATAAATAAATATATAAATATCTTAAATTTCGCGTTGTCGTTCGAGGCACCATAAATTTATCCTTCACCTTTGAAACACATCGCCGGCGTAGAGCTTCGAATAGCTTCGAATTTAAAATGGTAAAGGTACTGTGGTAGGTTGGGACTTGAAACTGCGAATTCGATCGAGATTTATGGTTCGATGGGGTGTAAAAAAATTGCATTTGCATCGTTAAATCACGTGAAAACCATTTTCGAACTGAAATTTACAGCGCAACGAGCGCGATTGTAAAGAATCAAACAAATATTTTATTAATTTAAGGAAATATCACGTTTTAAAACAAAAGTCTTGCTTTATGGACTTGTTCCATATTGGTTACATAGCCTCGGTATTATTATAATTAATATTACGGCCGGATTAGCATAATATTGCAGGTTCCTGAGCTTTATTGGAAACGCTGCGTTATTAATTGCCTCCCTTGTTAGCGAATAGGACCAAATGAAGGTAAATTACGCCGCATAGCAGATTGCAGCGGGTCGTGAAATTTTCATTCTTTTATATATTTTTTACTTAATTAAAATTTGCCCTCATTAATACATTTTAATACATCCAAAACGTTAAATAAATTACTTTTCTATTAATTAATTAATGTTTGGAATAGTTAATTAAAACGGAATGCATCTTTTTTGTTCTAAGGAATGGAAACACGCAAAATGTCGGTTGTGCAGCGGTTTTAATAACTCCTCTCGTTGCACAAAGGACTCCCTATGTGCGGTGGCTTTCATCTGTCAGCCGTTTCCATTGCAATAGGTCTTGTGAACACTATCATTCTCGCCAAAGAAATATCTCAAACGATTAAAATGCGATTTTTTACAACATAATCTATAATTAAATGTCATCGTATAGTTTGCTGGGTCTTTTCTACTTTCTTTCTTAAACACTTGAATGATCACACTTCCTTTCCATTCCATTGGTATCCTCCTGCACTCTATGATTTTCTTAAAGAGTACGTGCAGATCGTTTGGTAGTGCGCCGCCTACAAAACTGTTGTTTCAAGAAATTTTTTTAATAATTTTTGATTAAATTTCTACGTTCGAGTTATAATCGATACTATAACAGATTGTGTTTCACTATAACTGTTTAAATCAAAGCATGGCGCGAACTATATGCGATCGTAACTGTCGGCGATATTAATTAAATTAGGAAACGGTGCGTAAATTATATCGGATGCCACCACGTGCGCGAGAATTCAAAGCATTGATTTAATGTGACATCTGTCGCTCACACGAATTCAATTGACTTTATCCAACGTTAAAATCATATTCGACGATTTTTAAAACCCCCCGTTTTAATTTTGTTATTTTTTTCGCATCAATTTACGAAGCTAATGAATACAAACGATCTCGAAACTCGCCGGTCCATAGCAGATAAGGGATAATGGATAATGTCTTTTGATGGAGTTAATTTTCCAAAAAACAAAAAGGGAAGTTTACCAAGGAAGCTGGATTTTGGAGGGAGAGTAGAGAATTTAAGGTGGGGTTGGTTGGTTCGCAGTGTCCGGTTCCATCGAAAAGCAATCAAAAGGGACCAACGTCGACGGGAGACGAGGGAAAATCTGGGACCAGTCATCCAACGCGAAGTCATCAATCTATTTCAGAACTATATGACAAATATCCTTTCTCCCACCAATGTTTAAACCGCAAGGATTCGCCATAACAATTTTACTGATCTTGTGTTTATGTATTTTATTTATGGTTAAAATATCCTTTTTGATCAATATAACACAGAAATTGTCCATTATACATTTTGATTTAGCCCCGAACATATTTTCTGACGGTTCGATCATGTTACATCCATACATAAACCCCTAAAAGGGGAGTTGAGGGGCTGTTGAGTCGCCAATCGGGAGAGTTAGCGGTTAACGGTCCGTGGCTACATGGTAATTCAACGTTAAAATTCATGGATTACCACATTATCCATTCTCTTTCATCTCGAAAAAGATTGATTCGTTTTAAATTTAAAGATATCTTTTTTCATTTCGCTCCGATTATCTTTGTGTGTAGACGATTTCACCCCGTCTGCATCATCCTCTTTCGCAACGGCGTAGTAGCTTCCTTTGTCCCGGTTCTTGCATTGTCCTTGGGAAGGGCTTTCTATGTTGGGTTTTTTTTAAAGCTGTCGACGGTGTAACATAGTGCTTAATCCGGGACGAGTTGGGTGGAGAGCGATATACGCCCGTTTTAGTTGCAATTGTGTCGCGGCGGCTCCGTTTCGGGGAATACCAGATTGCGCGCTGCTTCACGTGTATATAAATCAGTTGGAGGAGGTGCATTGTCCTTCCTATTCACCAAGGGACGACGACGACGATAACTGGATTGGATCGTGCCCTTTCGTCATTCTATTGTTGCTGTTGACCTTTAGATTATTATTCAATTATAAGATTAGTTCCGAATAAAGTATTTATTTCCATTGAAATAGTAAAATTATGGTTTTAAATTCATGATATGTAGCGGTAAAACGCCATTAATCATAAATAGACGAATAAATACGTGCCTAGAAATTACCCCGACGGGAAATACATCGATCAATGAAATCTACGACCTGATATAGGTCGTCATATCATAAATATTTATAGACTAGTGAATTACTCGAATTATTACTCACAATAAGGTTATGAAAATTTAACATTTAAAACTGTCACTTAATTTTTTTATTTTTCAATAGATGGCGCTAAAAAATAATTAATTTTAACTTTTGAACGAAAATCAATTTGAAATTAAACCGTGTTTTTGGAGTTGTGATGACGCATTCCCCTCTTGTTTAAAGTTTTATTACGGTTTGGTATCATGATTGTTGATTTTACGTGTTGTTAGTTGGAAATAACGAGTTCCCGGAGCATTAATTGAAAGGGGCAATACACAGTTGACTAATTAGACGCGAAACCAGTAATAACACCACATTTGAAAGATTAGTTTTTAAACTCCCAATTAAATGTCATCGTTAAATACCTTTCTAATTAATTATTCGAATAATTTCCCATCCAACTACATATAACGTAAATATTTGATTATATTTGTTGTTTTTAAATCAATAAAATGTTCCTTTGTTGTTGTGAATATGAGTTATTATTATTCGGAGGTATCCAAGCGTAATCTTTCTCTGTTTTTGGTTGCGATTTTATCTGGATAGTTTGGCGGGTTTACGGGGTGATGGCATTTTTAGAATTTACGCTATACAAGCAACCACTCGCCTCTGTTTTAAACGGTTATCTCCATCCCGCTTACCACCATTATGCCAAACAACTGCTCTAAATATCTGCAACGGCTTCTGTCGGCACGTTTCAGGGCTACTAAAAAATTTAATCCTCAATCTCCCTCAAAGAGAAAAAATATTACCCAAAAAATATAGATTATCATCTTCGTTTATAAGTATTATTATAAATATTAAGATTAGAAATAGTTATGAATCATAAAAAAGTATATAAATTAATTCGAGATATAAAAAAACTTACCCCAAAGGATTAAAACGAAGAATTTCTTCTATTTAGGTTATACATAACCTCAACCCAACAATTTTATTGTCCAAAGCGCAAATTAACCTACAACAACAAACGAGTTATTAAAATTAATTTTAATTAACCAAAATAAAGTTATTGTTACTTACCCATTTAATTATTTATTTTAACGAAATTAATCTTCAAAGATGTTGTTTAAACCCTCAAGGTCACGAATTTTGATGTAATCTGAAACCGATTTTTGTCCTAATGTAATTATTTTACAACTAATTTAATAAAATTAATTATTGAATACGATTAATTGCACAATTAAGTTAATTCAATGAATTAAAATTAATTAATTAATCTAAATTGTTTGGTATTGTTTACTTTTTAGTCGAAAGTACATCAATAATAATTAATAAAATTAATTTCCAATTTTTTGATATAATATTTATTTAATCGCGTAATGACCAAATTGAATTATTAAAAAAAAGTTTAAAAATGAAAAAATGTTTTAAAATCGCTTTTTAAATTAGATCAAAAATCAATTAATTCCATCTATCGGTAATTATCCGTATCAAATTATTCAGTAAAGTTTTGACAGAAAATATAACCTAACTTTTTTTTATTATTATTTAATATCTTTTAACATCAATCTAAAATTTTTTTTAGTAATATCGTCGATTTAAGGGGTTAGTAATAAGCAGTTTTCCAACCTTCCCATAGAAAATTCATCGTCGTCGGCACTATTTTAGTAACGAATAGGAGAGAAGAGGTGGTCTTTATACGCTTTCGAGATGAACCCAATAACCCTTAGTCGCTGGGACTTAGTTTATTGTGACAAGCGGCGCGTTCTGCTTCTAGAAGACCCTGTCATCGTAAATTCGGAACACCCTCATTTGGGGACTCCCCGGGTCGAGTTGTCCCCCTCCTTGGGGTCAAACTGGTACTTTTCGAGCCGGGAAAGACTTTCGTCGAGAAAGAAGATCAAGGTGTAATGAAAAGTTTATGTGTTATTACATGGATGCTTTGATGTAACATTTTGTTTTTAGATTTGTTGTTTTTAATTCTAGTTTGAAAATATTTTCGTGGAGTTAATTACTCATAATAATAAATCGACGTCAACAAGTTCCAAACCGTCAAGTTACGAGAACATTCCAAAGACAACCCAGTTTCATATTTCAGTACGTTTCAACGTCGTCTTTGTAATTAAGCAACTGGTAGGGTAATTGTTACGATGTATTCAGAAACCAACCAGAAATGTGACGTGTACGTGAAGGTTTCCATCAACAATTGGATTATTTGTTATTTTATTTTCTGAATAAAGATAAAGGTTTTGGTAAAACGAGTCAGGATTTGCTTTAAGATGTTGCAAGACGAATGCAAACAAGACTTCATCTTTCATATCGTTCGTTTTGAGTTTAGAAACCGGCGCGGCACAAAGACAGCCAGATTGCTTTCCGGTTGGTACTCGTTCTCGGTTCTGCTGGATTTTCTCGGACTTGTGCTCCGCATAAAGAATGGGGTGAAAACATCAAATATTTCTGATAGTAGTCGCTTCCTGCTATCGCTATAAATACGTAAAGAATTTTCAAATAGGGTGAGATTGTTTGTTTGTTAGCACAGAATGTTAAATAAACATAAAAGTTTGCATTCTTAACTTTTCCCCAACCTATATTTTTATCACTTATAAACTTTTATTAAGGAATATTTAACCGTATTTCCCCCCAAGAAAAGCAGACACATAAAAAAGTTCGACCATATATATTTTCGAGAGTGACGCGGGCTTTTGCCTGGATTTGCCGCATAACGAGGCATCAGGTGGAATCGCTAAATCCCACTTCCGGTTCCCTTTCGCCAATCTATTAAGACGAAGGATTTGCCGCCGCCCGGTTTCGAATTTGCTGTTCTCTTTCCTCGAGGTTAATTTACTGCGTTGATTTATTACCCCCGTTTCGTTTTGATCAGATTAATTTTCTTACAATAGATTATATTTATTATTATGATTAAAACGTTAAAGGCGGCGCAGGTGAAAAATATTTTCCACGTTGCGAACTCATACCACCTTTCTTCCACTTCGATAAAATATCTCCCTCGACGCCCTATTTAATAAAGAGCGAGAGGGAGGAGGAAGAGTAGTTTTAATTACTTGTACGAAGAAGGAATTCGTGCAATTTCCTTTTCTCCCCATCTTGAAAGCACACTTGAAAGGTAAATATCGTATCTCACATTCGTCCATATGTTTAACGTAAAAGGAGACGAGATTCAAGATGAAATTCCAACAAAAATTTTTAAAATCATTTCAGAATTGTTTGAAAAGATTAATCAAAAAATGTGTTTAATAAAAAGAAATTAATTATTAAAATTCTTAATCTTTATTAAAAATCCTTTAAAATGAGCCCAAACACGATTAAGTTATTTTTAAAAACAACCGATATACGATCTTTTCAATATTTCGGCCGCCATTTTTTTTAGTACTTCCGGTAATTAATTTTGAGGTTATCTCGGGTATTTTTTAAAATAATCTAATCGAGTTTGGGCTCATTTTAAAGGATTTTTCATTTCCTATCTGATTATCGAGACAAAATTATACGTTGTCTATGCATAAAGATGACAAAAATTTAAAAAAATTGTAAAAAGAATATTCTAATCGGTATAAACCTGGAAAATCCAAAAAGCCGTTGATGCACGGGACGATACGAAAAGATTTAAGCCCACATAAAACATTAAACATAAACTTCTCTTGCGCATTTTACGATGAGCGCACTTGCGCGACCTAAATAGTAGGATCGTGCACTTTTTTCTTTTTCAATATCATCGACTTAATTGCTTTTGGTACTTCGTGGAAACCGTAGAAGACACCTGAGCACTCATCGTCCATTACCGAAGCCCTGTTTATCACACTCGACTCTTCCGATTTGAATAATTAAGGTACACGGTCCTCTGTTCGATCTGGAATACTCGATGAGGGATCTAATGGCGCTCATATAGCTCACATCATGCGTGTTTCATGAATATTCTAACAAATACGAATACTTTTTTTTAATTAATTTAAATCTGTGTCAAATCGAGACTGAATAATAATCCATCTAGTTTATGAATGCGTAGTAATTTGTCAGTCAATATTTACTCTGGAGTTGTGTGTTGGGTTGATACACATGATGTTTATCTAGAATACATATATGTATAGGGACTCAGATATACAGAGACGATTAAATTAATTAAAATGTTTTAGCTTTTTCTTAAAGTTAATTAAAGAAAAGTTTTCTTCCTATAATTTCGTTCGACTTCAGCTCCGCCTACCCTTTTCCTCATTCCTAGACGTGGACTACCCCTCCTTGAGTATCACGTAACTCAAGGGACGTGATCAGCGTTCTACGAATTTATCTTTTAGCATTCACAACGTGTTGACCTTTCATAAACTCTGTTCTATTCATTGAGCTGAGTTGTTTAGTGTCTCAATGCGAATTCAATTGAAAATGGTAATTAAAAAATATTTGTCATTAAATCTTAGCGATTAATCATCTTCAATCAAAATGGCTCCGGACATCGCAATCACGTTATCGGCAATTTCTCATCGCAACGTCATCCAAAATAAAAAAAAATAAAGCCAGAAATGTTACGATGCCGCAGCGATCAAAGTATCGTAAATCAAAAGCGTGGTTGTGCCCGCGGCACGTGCCGATTCTATGTCCTATTTTTTAGACACAACTCGACGTTGGTGTTGGTAGTTTGGCCATCTGTCGGTAGTCAATGAAATATTCGCGCTGCCTCTTTCGATTTTTGACTGGTCCGATTGTTAATTCGGTTTTTTCGGTGAAATGAACACACGACGGGTTTGAAATTTTTCGAATTTCTCGTACCAAAAAATTAATTTAATTAAAATTAAAATGATTTTATGTAAAGGTGTCGATTTGTTTGCGATCGAATGGTTCTGAGTTATTTTGGGACAGTGTGCGATAGAGTCCAATTAGAGTTCGGCAAACATTCTGCGCGTCCCATGGATAAAACCAACAAACGCCGAACGGCATCCGCAGACAACAAACTGTACGAACCTTTGTTCAAGCCTTGATTACGCCGTTGCCGGGGCAAGCCGAAACCCCGATCCGATTGGACCCCTCATTCATTAGATTCGTTAACGTTGTGGACACGTGTCTGTATATGGACGGACGTTATTGCACCTGTGCATCAACTCCTCTATTTTAGGCAACGTCCCTGTATACTTGAAAATTGTGTTACATTGTTTATTTTGTATACCGCAAACGTTCATTAACGCAAAATATGGTTATTATTGTTTGTTGTGTATTTTAGTTACTAGTAATAGGATTTAAAATGTAGTGAATTTCACAACCCGAAACTTTCTAGTTCTAGTGTTAGCTTTACACTAGCATTATCACTAGAACTAACACAAGACCTAGAGCTAGAATCATTCCAGTTTAACCGTCTTGAAAGACGTGCGGCTAAATCCGAATGGTTCTAGATCTAGGTCTAGTGTTAGTTCTAATTTTATGTCATTAGAACTAACACTAGAGCTAGAACTAGAAACATACGGGTTTTGCCATTAGTCTCTTAAGACGGCTAACCCGATTGATTCTAGTTCTAGGTTTAGTGCAAGTGTATAGTAGTTCCATAACTATGGTTACTGCATTCATATATTGCGAGTTGTATGATATTCTCGGTATTTGCAAAGTGAAATTTTTGTAGGTTATCAATTACTCTCTATTGTTATCTATAAAATGATCGTTGAATATTCAAAAGGTTTCACCTCTTTCAAAGCAATGGTGGAACATTAGACGACAGGTGCCATTAAAAGGGATATTCTCCATTGGCAGAGGAAACCCGTTGGATCGTGAATTGGGGCCACATCCCAGACTACGATTTCCACCGCAATTTCGAGACAGAACCCGAGTAACGGGAGAGACGTTTTCAGGCACGTGACCTCCTCCTAATTACCCCCAGTTAGAAAAGAAAAGGTCGGAAGGTGATCGTTTTCGGAATGAAATCAATAATATCTGCGTGGAAAATAAAATTGTACCTATCGTGTACAGAGACTTTTATATAAAATGTAGAGAGGGTGAGTTTTAACTGGCTTGGTGTTCAGGGAGCGGGTTTTTCGCGGCGTCGTTTCTCCAACAGATGACACTTTAAGATACAGGGTAGGACAATCTTTGTAACACAGAAACTCGTAACCCCGAGCTACTACTACACGAGGGGGTTTTCTACCGATAACGTGCTTTCGTTTCGAGTACTACAACGAGCGCCGAGTCAAAACGTTTCGTTCGGTTCCGTTCTCCTCTTTTTTTTACGACAACCATCCGGGAAAAAATCCGTTATTTTGTTGGAGCTATTCCATTGTGGACCGTTTTTAAATTGAAAAATGTCTCTTTTCTTTTTATTTTTCTTTATAACTTTTTTGATATTTTACAAAAAAAAATATATATAAATACAGTAAAACATCGATATAGCGTCTGAAGACGCACGGCTAAACCCGAAACTTTCTAGTTCTAGGTCTAGTGTTAGTTCTAGTTTTTGCTTCTAAAATATATAAAACATCCTTTGTAACAGACTAATACACATATTTCAATTTTGGCAATAACAAAAATATTTGATACCTTAACTTCTAAATTCGCAATTTTAATTTTTCAATTATTTTTTGTTCTTAAGATGTCCAAAATGACTCAAGGAACACGATGAGTACACATAATTCAAATTTGGCAGTAGCAAAAACAAATTACGCGTTTGCAAAAAGTCATTCCCTTAGCTAAAAATTTGTAATTCTTATTTTTTTGCTTCTAAAATATATAAAACATCCTTTGTAACACGACTAATACACACATTTCAATTTTGGCAATGACAAAAAGATTATATATTATCTAACGAGGTTTTAATATATTAATTTTTTGAATTAGTCCTGATTTTTTTTCTCAGTAATAGAGAGAAATTGCGGTTGTAAATCGCCGTTGGGGGAACTTAAAGTTTTCCATCTAGAAATAAACTTCTGACTGAGATAATTGGGAAAAGTTTTGTGCGCTCAATTGTGTACTGTACAAACCTATTCTCTCTCTTTCCTTCTTTCTCTTTTGCTATTTATGTGGTTAATAGTTTTGTTCGGTTAAATTTCATAAATTATGAAGCACAAAAAAAAAGTTGTAAATCGATTCGACAATCCCTTTTTCGAGATCTTTAATCTTAATCTGGCGTAATCCCAAAAGGATTTCGGGACGCAGCTGCTCTATGCCAGCTTTTTGTTACATCCTCTTTTTTTGTAACCCTGTTGCTTTTGTTGGCCGTTTTGCTAAGAGCTTTTCCTTCCTAGAAACACGGCTAATAAATGGTTCCCAAGTTGTACTTTAATAAATTACCCCATCATTTCATCAATTTTACTAACACTTGACGTAAATTATTTTCTACTTTTTTTTCCAACATTTTTTTTTATTTGATACGTTATCGTTGACCTTCCATCACATGTCGACGTTTAATTACTTTTAGTTCCTGCACACCGAAAAAAAATCAATTGATTTCGTTTCACCACGGAAATTCACCTACACAGACTCAGAAATCAAATTTAAAAATATATTCTGAACAAAACCATTTCTAATGGATTAGTAAAGTAGAGATACTTAAATCTCACTGGGGTTCAGGAGTAAATTTATCGCGAGCGATCACACATGTTTCCCAAGTACGCAGCGGGGTTTCCGGAAACTCGGGAGAAAGCATCACGAAATTTACGAGCCGTTAGCCAGTCACGTTTGCGCGATGTTCTTTTTCCATTCCGCACCTACCAGCACGAAAGGCGGCGGTAATTATTTTTAAACCTTCGGAGGGGGACGGAGAAAATTCGAATAGGAACAATTTTTCAAACTGGCGACGCTTTTATTTCGATATTAAGGCCGCCATGTGTTGTGTTGCGATGTTTTCGTTGCGTTTGCAATTAGCAAAATGTTTTGTCATCACATAAATTTTTCAACATAACGATATTAGTTTCTATAGAATTCATTTCGTTTTACTTTATCGACAATTTTTTATTTTATTTTTTAATGTTCACAGATGTTTTGCGCTAAGCAGAAGCAATTTTTGCATTTCACATTCTTTTTGACACATCCTGTATACATGATTTCTATATAACCTGAACTCTTTTGATACTCACTGTATTTACAAACTACATGATAATTAAAGATGTTAAGGATAATACAGAGCAATATTATAAACGATATTGAGCAAAAGCATCAATAATGATATTTATCATATTTTCTAAATCCTAATTAACCCCAGGTATGGTTACGGAAGGACAATGTTGAATGTTTTATAATGTTAAAACAAGATGGCGTGTATTGTATTATAACCTCAAAATAAAAAATTGACATGCGTTTAATTAACCAACCTTTTCGTTTAACTACAAACTAAAAATGTAGATAATAATCGCGGTTGAAACTATTACTTCTTTACGATCGCATCGGTCGCAGAATAGGGTCGGAAGCAAAATTGAAAATCTGCGGTTTGGAAGGGGACCCGAACCGCAATCGGAATTCGAAACGCGAAACACCCCCGCTGGATCGAACTGTGGCTTTCGCATCGGTAAAATCAGTAACAGATTTTCGAGATTATTCGTAACAATAGCAATCACAATATTAATCTAAGTAGACAAATGTCACGTTGAAAAAAACGTTACCCTTGTCAAAATTCGTTGTAAATTCGAAACGTTTTAAACTCACGAGACGTTTTGTTTTTTTTTTAATAAGAAATTTCTCATTCGATTGGTAATCGTAGAAGGAAACGTTTTGGAACGTATTCGATTATAATATTTGAGCGAGATAAAACATGTCGGGTTGCTAGATGATGTTTTAAATGGGCAATTCTAAGAGGTAATTAAAACGATTTTTTTAAAATTAATTAATTAATAAAAATTCAATTTTAGAATGCCCATTATAGTAATCAAGTTATGCATTTTTTGAGGTGGTTCATCGAATCAAACGTATTTGAGAGGTTTTGTAATAGAGCCGATAGGTAAGTTAAAAATTTATCAGAAATCGTATCGTGTATCGTTTTGTTTATGTGATATCGTGCATACCAAACATTGAAAATCCTTTATACGGTTCGAATTGTTTTTTTAAGAAACAGTTAAACGTCGGGTTTGATTAAGACTGTTTCATTACAAAAATGAATTCGGGTTCGTTTTTTAAGTTTAGCGAAGAAGACGACGAATTTTGCACGGAAGAAACACCCGTTGTCGTAACAATAATGACCGATACGTTCTCAATGACCAGTTCGCCGGCCTTAATGGTCGGGCCGAATTTTCGCGTCGGTAAAAAAATCGGGAGCGGAAATTTCGGGGAAATTCGCCTCGGAAAGAATCTTTACAACAACGAACACGTTGCGATCAAATTAGAACCGATGAAAACTAAAGCGCCGCAACTCAATCTCGAATATCGATTTTATAAAATTATGGGACCCCACGAAGGTAATTTTTTAAAATTTTTAAATTAATTGACTTTAAATTAATTTTTATTAAATTTAGGAATACCGAAAGTGTATCACATAGGAATTTGCGGCGGTCGATACAACGCTTTAGTGTTAGAACTTTTAGGACCAAGTTTGGAGGATCTCTTCAATTTATGCAACCGCCATTTCCGTTTGAAAACGGTGTTAATGTTGGCGGATCAAGTTTTGGAACGGATTGAATTCGTCCATAGCAAACGCCTCATTTACCGCGACATCAAACCCGAAAATTTCCTCATCGGCCGATCGAAATCGAACAAAGAAAAAATCGTCCATCTAATCGATTTTGGGTTAGCCAAAGAATACATTGACGAAGAAACTAATAAGCACATCCCCTACAGGGAGCATAAATCTTTAACGGGAACTGCTCGATATATGAGTATTAACACGCATTTGGGGAGGGAGCAATCGAGGAGGGATGATTTAGAGGCGATTGGGCATATGTTTATTTATTTTTTGAGGGGGTCTTTACCGTGGCAAGGGTTGAAAGCGGATACTTTAAAGGAGCGGTATCAAAGAATTGGGGATACGAAGAGGGCTACTCCCATTGAATCGTTATGTGACGGCCACCCAGAAGAAATGGCAACTTATTTAAGATATGTTAGGAAGTTGGAGTTTTTTGAAACCCCCGATTACCAATATTTGAGGCATATGTTTAAAGATTTATTTAATAAGAGGGGATTCGTTGATGATGGAGTCTTCGATTGGACAGGTTAATAACAATTATTTTTATTATAGTAAAACCTTAATATAACGGATTAACGACGCACGGATAAACCCGAAACTTTCTAGTTCTAGGTTTAGTGTTAGTTCTAGTTTTTGCTTCTAAAATATATAAAACATCCTTTGTAACACGACTAACACACACATTTCAATTTTGGAAATGACAAAAATACTTAGTCCCTTAACTTTTAAATTCATAATTTTAATCTTTTTATTTTTTTTGTTCCTAAGATGTTCTAAATGACTTAAGGAACACGATGAGTACACTCAATTCGAATTTGGCAGTAGCAAAAAAAAATTACACGATTGTAAAAAGTCATTCCCTTAGCTCAAAATTTGCAATTTTCATTTTTTACTTCTAAAATATGTAAAATATGGTTTGTAACACGACTAATACACACATTTAATAGTATGACTTAAAAATATTTTGTCCGTTATATCGAGAATTTACTGTATTTCGATTTAATTCTGAATTAAAATTTTAGGTGTTAGCGGATCAAAAGCGTCTTTGTCGAATAAGTGAAAGTTTGATACGGACATTAAGTTTTTTTTTGTTCTAATTTAGGTAAGATATTTATCAAACACCCCTAACATAAAAAAAATAAATTAAAAAAGTAAACGAAAGGGGACAACAATAACATTGTATAAAATGATTTATTTTTCAATAAATCCTTTTTAAAACTTGATTTTAACTTTGTGTAACGAAATATGGATCACAAAGGAATTCGGATCAAAGCGCCTACTCCCATTAATCTAAGAAGATATTAGACGAAAGATAGTCCTTTCCAAGTCAACCCCAGCCCTTCCCTCATTGTTCTCTTCCCATATTACGGTAATTAGGTACTTTGAGGAGCCTTTAACAAGCTACTTTTCCTTTACGAATTATAAGTAAAAACGAAATAAGATTTTGAATAGTTTTTGCAGTCCTAAGAAAAATTTGATTTGATTGAACGCGGATAAACTCGATTCTAGTTGAACTCTAATTGGGTTTGTATCGAATTGAAACTTTTATTTGTACGATAAAAATGAAATTTTGAGTGATGTCATTATTCGTTTTAGATTTCGCGGTGACACGTAAAATTTCATTATGAACTAATACCGGCGTTTGATGAGTTTGGAACGGATTTTGAGGCTTTAACAACTAAATCCCTTTGCGTTTAAAACGTGCCATAATTGGACGCCCATCATAATCGAATCGACGGCAAAGTGATTTACCTGAAACCGCAACGTTAAATTGACTGACTATGTACGATGGAAAAGTGGAAATTGATGTGTTAACGTCGAATGGTTCCACATCAACGTCTATAACCTACAAATTAATTAATAAATGTTATTTTTAACAAAAAATAAACTTTGTAAAATGTAATATTAATTTATCATGAAGTTTTATCATAAATTATAATTGACAAAAAGGTTTGAAATATGTCAATGTCATGTGTCAAAAAAATTATTAGAATATTTCTAGTTCTAATGTTAGTTCTAGTGACAGTGCAAGTGTAAAACTACAACAAACACTATACCTAGAACTAGAATCATTTGGGTTTAGCTGTCTTTAGAGACTTGTGGCTCTAACGACTTGAAACTTGCTAAACCCAAATGGATCTAGCTCTAGATAGTGTTAGTTCTACATAGTAACAGCGCTAGTATAAAATGATTGACATTTATAAACAAAACTAACCTTACTTAACATTTATTTACGGTTTAATTGACACTACAAAAGAAAACTGACCTTACTAAATATTCCTTCACGGTATAATTGGCATTACAAAAGAAACCCAATGTAACCTAACATTCTTTCTCGGGATGATTGACATTTCAAAACAAACCTAATAGGTTATGTTTGGTTAAAAATTAATTTCGAGAAGAAAAATCTTTGTGGAAGCTAAAATCACTTTAAATATATACATTAGGTATGTAAAAACGTATTTTGATGGGTTTTTGGATCAACTACACTGACTTTTTTATAAAATTCGATAATTTTAAGCAACTGATTGGTTTGAACTGTCAAAAGTATGATTAATCATAGTTGGATGACGCTAGATGGGGTGAGTTGAAAACATATTAAAATTAATATATATATTATGAAAAATTGATAAATAATATATTATTTATCTATAATAAAACATTAAACGATTCAAAAGTAAAAATAATCAATAAACTTACCGTCTTTTAGCTTCAATAAACGTTTTAAAACCACCAAAATTAAAAATTGATTTCGTTATAAAAAGTTAGGTTAATTTGGTTAAAAACTTCGGTGACTAATTATGGGAGGAAAAATCTTTTCTTGGAACCTAAAATCATTTTAAATATATAGTTTTCGCATTTAAAAACGTATTTTGATACGATTTTTTGGTCAATAACACTTACTCTTTTTGTTATTTCAACAATTTTACAAAGAAACAACCGGGGGACTTTAACTGTCAAAACTATAAAAATTAATAGAGTTCGATTACGCTTACGCTTGATGCGGGAGTTTAAACAAACATCTTTTTTTAATATAAAAAAAAGTTAATGTAGACATTTAAATGATATTTAAATTACTGCCTTTTCATATTCATTAAACAAAAAGTTAATTTAACAAAAAAAAAATTAATTAAAAACTTTAATTTTCGTTTATGGTGTATTGAAGAGATGTCGCCACCACGTAATTATATGAACGTCAAATTTGACAAGTTTAAATAATTATTAATTGTCATTATTTTACATTATTTTTTATAGTTGCATAAATTTAAGTCTGTGAAATGTTTTCGTTTATAACCCCCATTAAATGGGCAATTTGTCCTCGACGCAAACTCCGAAACTATTAATTGAATTGTAAATTGAACTGCCTTATACATTTACGCCGCTTTGTACTTTGAAAATCGATGTGGTTAATTCACCGTGGATTGCGTTTTGATTACGAATCGCAAGAAAACACGGTAAGAAATATTTTCGTGTAAACGTAGTTTTCATTATAAACATAGTTGAAAGGTTTAAACACAAATGAAAGTACGAGGACTCCTTGACGAATGGTTTAAAACAGTTTCTGTGGGGTATTGGAAACGGAAACAATCTCTCAACTTCAATTGAAGTTCCATCTATCAAGTTGAAACGAAACTGGTGCTCCGAGAAAACGATTTTTACGTTTACAAGAAGTTTTTAAAATAAAACTTTAAAACGTTAATTTATCGGTTTTAATTGGAAATTAAATGGTGAGTCAAGTTAGTTATAAATTAAATTTAAATGTATGTATTTTTGAAGTTTTAAAATGAAGTTGTAATCGGGGAGAAAATAAAAAGGTGAAGGAGAAAAACCGAGAGGAGGAAGAGGAGGTCGTCGAATTCAATTGCGCGTGAGAGCTGATGGTTTCGGATTAAAGGAAACCGTCGGAAGTTGAAGTTGAGGGGAAGTTGGTTTGGACTGTGTCCAATTGCAAACACTTGTCCAGAAAATTGAAAAAAAAAGAAAAAAAGGATTCGAGATGCAGGTGATACCCTCTCGAATCGATTCTGTCTCAAATCGAAAAAGAATTCGTCATCTCGAAAATGAACTTTTTAAATAAAGTTCATTAAGGTTTATTAAGGTTCATTAAAAACGCTGTCGCTATTACCGAGGTATTTTAGAGCTTTTGTCGGGGGACATTTGGGGGGTAACCCAAGTTTGAAAGGGAGGAAGAAAAGCTGAGCTAAAATCTTGGCCCAACTTTTCATTTAATTTCACGAACAAATAGGATTAATTGGAAACCAGGCAAACAAGGGCCGAAACGCCTCCTCCTTAATTTTCTTTACGTTAAGAAGTTACCAACGTGGAAACCCTTAACTCATTTGAGATAGGTCGTCCGCAGTCCGGGTGTAACTTAGAAAAGCTCATTTTAACAAACTCTAAAAACTTCATTATACGAATCGAAAAGAGTAAAGATAAATTTAAACAACATCTTAACTGTATAAAGGTTTTAGTTTTACGTCCAACTGATATACGAGTTCAATATGTTACTGTCAGGGTGCATATTTAGCGCATACCGCCTTAGGTGCGTTTATGGTACTATTTTTCACGGAGCATCTTGATGTATTGCTATATAAAGGGGGAATAACTTGAATAAAATCAATTTGAAATGAATTGATAATAATTTTTGATTTCTCTTTTACAGTTCCCCTATCGATAGAGAATACGTTAGATGAAGAAGAGGAAATTCTCGATGATGATGATGACTCAACAACTCATACATTGGAGAGATTAAGTTCGGCGGCAACTTGTCTTGTAGCTGGTGTTGAATACACTCACGGCCAACAGGTACTCTTTTATCAAATTACAGTAAAAGCTCCATATAACGGACAAAATATTTTTAAGGGAGGCTCTTTTTGTGTAGATTAAGAAACAATTGCAATTTAATCACAAAACAAAAGTTGTTTGGTATAAAATATCAAATTGAAAGTCTTAGAAGTCCGAGTAAGCGCATGTAGTGGAAGGTTAAAGGGAATAACAATTTTCATTTTACATAGAAATTTTACTGTAATTAATATTTATTTAAACAACTTCATCGCTTTAATTAATTCAATTAATTTAATTAATTTCATACATGAAAATCAAATTTAATTTTCCCCCACATTAACATGCAGTTACACTCGAACGATTTCAGTTTGAGAATAACACAATGCTTAAAGTAACCCATCATCATCATCATCATTGAGTTGAACACAGCCTTAAGTTTATTGATCAAACAGTAGTTACATCTCGGTATATTTGCTAAGTTTCCGGAAGTCTGTTACTGCGCGGCCTCCGGTAATTGAGAATATTCCGAGGGTCTCTAGAGGGTCGCATTTACCGCTTGTCATCGGTACGAAATTCGCCACAAATGTTCAATAACCCCCCATTAACATTATTGGATCTGATTTAACGCCAAACGAATACACAATTTTGTTAAAAATTTCAAAAAGAGCTTTTTCTTGATAAAAATCTACATCAATTCAGGTGCTCAAGCACGATTTCTATGCGTCGCCATGTAACGAGCCGAGTGCTTCGTGGTTCCTGCGGCGGTTCCGCGCCACTTCCGCACCGGAAATGTCCTCAAACTGCGGCAATACGGCGTAATGAGAAAATATTTCTGGCTTCAGTAAAGGAAATTTTTATTTAAAAGAAAAATTTGATCAATTTTATTTTGCAATTACCACCAAGTGCCGAGCATCACGTCTGACACATCCGAATGTGCTAATTCCGGTTCAAACCGTGAGTCTACACGAGCAGAATACATTTATATACACGTTCGCAAAGCAACCCGTAAACGTTCCACGGCTTTTCCGATAATTGCGTGTTGCACGTAGACGACTACCCCCAAATACGACGGTGCCGCTTGGAAAATCGAAGGAAACCCACCATCGTTTCCAAATTCTCTAGGCAGATGGCAAATTGGTTTAGTTAGTTTTCGAGAAGTATCGGTCTTAATTACGTTTCTGATCGGATCGTCACCGTCGAAGAAGTATTTCCTTTCAGCTTTCAAAGAGAAACACATCGAATAGAACGCGTTTTCTTTGAATACTCGCGCGGAAATTAAAAGATGTTAACGATTGGAAATGTTCGGGGAAGCGATGTTCTGGCAGGGTTTCCGGATAATCCTCGAGGTTTCGGATTACGCCCAGTGCAAGTATGCCGACGAAACTGACGATGATGCTTTTGTGTTAGCGTTGCGATACGATCCTGGTTGAAGGGCTTGTGGAAATTACGTGATTATCTTTCGGTCTTTAGTATAACCGGAGTAATTTGTTGATAACGATGTGATTAGATTCTTTTTTGGACAAGCTTTTATTATGTTTACTCGTTTAGGATTAAAACAATTAAGTACCAAAGTAAACTGAAATGTTTCTGAGACATCTAATTCTGTTCTGACACCTTCCTAATGCATATGTAATGTAGTTCTGACGTCTGGTAATACTACACACAATTTTAACACACTCCTATTAATTGTGACATATATCTAATGTATTAAATATATATTTAATATGGTTCTGACATCTTCTATTGGGAAATATCATTTTCAAACATTCCTATCAGATTCTGACATATATCTTATATATTATTGACACATTTAGAAATATTCTCATAAATTCATCCCTTATATCTTCTCAATTTATAACTTCAATCTATCACAATTCTATACTCTGTTTTTAAACCAGGAGGAGTATTTTAAATTTGTCACCAGATTGACCTTGCACGTGATTGATTGAATGCGAGGAAGGTTCACACACAGGCAATTTTGAATTTTGATTTTGAAGGTTAGGTAATTGATAATTCGACAGTTTCGTATCATTATTGTATATTTTGTGTTCTTAAACCCTTTTTTATTATATTTTGAAATAAATACACTCATAACTTCAATGTTAATTTGTATGTATAGTGTTGACGATAACAAACGAAAATAAATACAATAATAAGTAAATAAATAAATAATAATTATTAATTTAAATTTACCGCCAAAATATCTAGTGATATTTTCTGGTGATTTTTTCCAGTGTAAATCTGACTTTCGCGTTTACTCCTCCTGGTTTAAAAACAGAGTATAGTTCTAGTGCAAGTGTTAGTTCTAGTTTTAATTGTTATTCAGCGCTAAGTTGTATATTTTTAAGTTTCGGGTTTAGCCCTGTGTCTTCAGACGCTGAATGTTAGGTAAGGTTAGTTTTGTTTACAAACATTAATTATACCTTGAAGTTTTCTTTGGCTATTATACTCTGTTTTTAAACCAGGAGGAGTATTTTAAATTTGTCACCAGATTGACTTTGCACGTGATTGGTTGAATGCGAGGAAGGTTCACACACAGGCAATTTTGATTTTGAATTTGAAGGTTAGGTTATTGACAATTCGACGGTTCCGTGTCATTATTGTAAATTTTGTGTTCTTAAACCCTTCTTTATTATATTTTGAAATAAATACACTCATAACTTCAATGTTAATTTGTATGTTTAGTGTTGCCGATAACAAACGAAAATAAATACAATAATAAGTAAATAAATAAATAATAATAATTATTAATTTAAATTTACCGCCAAAAAATATCTAGTGATATTTTCTGGTGATTTTTCCTAGTGTAAATCTGACTTTCGCGTTTACTCCTCCTGGTTTAAAAACAGAGTATAGCATATATTGATGTTATATATAGTTTTGACTTAATGCATGAAGTTTTTGACACATTTTTGACAGTTCTAATACATTTGATACTTTGACTCTTCTGTCAGTGTTTTTAATTAATCACACTATTCTGTAATCTTTATTCTCTACCTTTGTATTCTTAAAATATTTCCAAGTCGGAAAATCTCAATAACTTTTTGGTACTAAATACTCCCGATTGTTCTCGACTACCACATTTCCTGCAGAATCGTTTTAATATATTCAGGGCAAGGAATACGTTTTCGCCCTTCTAATTCCGACATCAAAGGAATGAATATTCAACCGCAGCCCGAGGCTAATTCGCATTGTATTTTTGAACTTTTCAAACGCCCCCGCTCCCCACTTACACCTGTCGAGAAATTTAAATTTACAACCCTCCCATAAACCACAAAAGCCAACCGTTTAATTCTATTTAGCTCTTTCACTGTCAATTTCGTAGGCACAATTCAATTTTAATAAAACAAAATTTAAGATAAACGTTTTTTTTTGTTAAAATTGATGTGTGTATGGGGTGCAATGAACCGGAAAGCAAATTTTTCTTCGGTTGCCGATTAACAATTCGAAACTGGATCGATTTTAGGTCGGTTTGGAACGGCCCATAAAGGAATCTCGGTGTTTTATGGCGGTAATTGAGGGGATTAAAACCATTGAATTGCGCCGACGGTGAGTCGTGAGGGCGCGCGTGATAAATCTCCCTAGTTTTTTCCCATTACTTTTTATGGCCGTTGCGTTTTCTGGCCTCAGGTCGTTATGCTATCTCCGGGAGATTTGCGGAAACAAACACGAATGTCAGATTTGTAACCATACCAAAATCCTTTTGTTAACTTAAATTAACCGAAGTTGACTGCACAAGAATTTTTTATCAACAATAATTTACCAATCAAACTTTAAGAATGTTGAATTCAACTGCACTTTGAGAATATTCACATTTTTTCGAGCGATTAACCTAATTGACATTTGTTGATCAAATACAGGTAATTGTTGGAACGTTAGAAGACAGGATGATTGAAAATGGACGAGGGGATTCCACTTAACGAATTGTTAGTTGTCCCTCCCCTTCGTTCCACAGGGAAAACGGGAACCTTTCATTTCCGCTTCGACAGGTCCTTCTAATTGTCGGGCGTCGAAAATACGAATGGAAATCCATCAGCGCGGCGACGTCCGACCCTTATCGTCTCGTGTGGCCCTTAATTACTACTGTCGACTGATCGATTTGTGCTCTTTTTCCAACACCACACAAAAAAAAGTTAAATTATTACTTCTCTTAATCTTAAATTGACGTTTACAAAATTAAAGTTATTGCCAACATAAATTTAAATCCCCTACATTAATTTTTTTGACGTTTAGAAACGTCAAAATGTAAATAATAACTATGTAAATAATTTACAATCTTTTCAATTCTTATTATTCCTTTTTTTTCTGCTAGATTGAAAATGTAAAGCATTGAAATGGTATTTCTAAAACAATTCTTGAAAACAACGAGAAAAGGGAATAAAAGCCAGAGTGAAAACGGGGTTTTCTATGTAAAGAGCCGGTGAAAGGATTTTTTTTTAATTTTTTTTTAATAGAAACTTGCGCAAGACACATTTTACTACTGGTAGGTCGTTTTAATTACGGACCTTCCCTCAGGGTCGAAATTGTTGGACTGCAAATTGATCTCTCAGTACTTTTAATAATTAAGTAGCAATTAATACCGGATTACGAATATCTTTTTAATTGAGTTTCCATGGAAAATTGTTTTAAAAATTGACGTAAAATAAGATTATTCAAATGGGGTTGGTTAAATGATCTGGAAAAGCAAATGAGGTGGTTAATCCGACCGTCGAAAGAGGGTTAATGTACACGAAAATCCGTCCCTTTGTTTAACTTTGCGAGTGGAACTATTTATTTTTATGCTGGAAAGCGCTTGCAATTTATCGATTCAATTTGCGCTTGGTTGCGGAGATTTTAAAACGGTTAACGGGTAGATTAAGAGGTCGTAAATATGGCGAACGTTTCGACGGGGTCAAAGCTTAATTAGGCACGTCATAAATCGTGATTAGGTCGATGGCAGACCGCGCGCTTTCGCGGTCGTTAACTTTGTTTAACCTTTCAACTATCGGTCCGTCCAATTTAACAATTCTAATAAATATTAATATTTCTGAAATGTATACAAAAGATAAATAAAATATTTTTTGTGATTATGTTTCTAATTATTGACCAAATCAAAAAAATTTATTAATAAGGTTTGTTTAGAATTAAATCAGCAATAATTTTTCTTAACAAAATTTTTTCCTATCTTTCAAATTTAATTTCCCACTGAACAGTATATCATAAACATAACATAAACATGAACATATTGAATGACATATACCGTATGTCATTCAATATCTGTCAAGGTATATTTCATCATTTAATGTTTTTATCGATAAATATTATCATAATTATTTAAAATATCACTCAAATCGATTTTTTTAATAGATATTGTCGACATTTTCACCAGATGGCGCCATTTACGGGTATAAAAATCAAGATTTTTGAGGTTATCTCAACAATTATCGTATTTATCAAAACGTGTTCCTAATAAAATTTCCTCCGATTTCGATTTTAAAGGAATTATCTCAATTAATTAAAGCGCTGTATAGGTATAATATGAATCGTGTAAATCGGACTTGATTCAAAAAGTTGTTCCAATAAAAAATCTTTTTTTATAAAAGTTGTTTAAAATTAAATTCTAAAACGATTTTCTTAATGAAAAAAATCGATATCTCAATTAACTATCGCTGTGTGATATAAAAAAATTATTTTTTAAGGGTATGTTTTTAATTAATGATTAAATCAAAAAAATTTATTAATAAGAATTGTTTAGAATTAAAACAGCAATAATTTTTCTTAATAACATTTTTTCCTATCTTTCAAATATAATTTCCCACTGAACAGTACAGTAGTCCAGTACTATGTCTTATAGAGATTATCTCAACAATTATCGTTTTTATCAAAAAAATTTTGTAATAAAAGTTGTTAAAAGCTATATTCTAAAACAAATTTATTAATGAAAAAAATCGATACTCGGTTAGGTGTCGCGGTATGTAGATATTAAGCAAATATTTTTGAGGTTATGCTTTTAATTATTGATTTAATCATAAGCCGAACGGGTTTAGCTGAACGTCTTTAATGACGGCCAAACCCAAATGTGTCTAATTCAAAGTCTAATGTTAGTTTTAAAATTAACATTAGAACTAACACTAGACCTAGGACTAGAAAGTTTCGGGTTTAGCCGTGCGTCTTCAGGGTAACTAACGTCATCTCTTGCTCGACGACAATTGCGTATGACTGTGTAAGCTCGTGTACTGGAAAGTTAAAGGGAATAATAATTTTCATTTAGTTGAATGATTAATGAGGTTTTTGAAATATCGTTTACTTTATAATAAAACTGAACGGTGTTGAAACGCGAATGCGATTTAAAGTGGAAAGAGAAAGGTTTTAGCAGTTTCAATTTGAGAGCGCGCGAGGTTTTATTAATTAAAACAATTCGAATCGTACAAATACTTGAAAGTCCTGAATCCAATCCAAATCGGACTCGGCGTTAAATTTAATTTTAGACCTATTTCGAAAGCTGAATAATCTCGATCCAGACCTCCCCCCATTTACACGAAGAACTAACTTTTCATCCCTAAAATCGTAATAACAACGCATTATCAACGTGATAATTCCGCTTTTGTTATCCGAAAATTGACTCAAAGCACATTTCATTTCTCACTATATCTAATAAAAACGATACAAAAGCATTTTCATGTTATGATTAAAATTTTGATGCGAAAAAGAAAAAAGGTAGCAAAAACGTCGAGTTGGAATTACTTTTTTTCTATTTTTATTTTAAAAAAAATTGGTTTATTCTACAACGAACCTCGCGGAAATCCGGATGAAACAAAAATAACGGGGAAGTAATAAAATATTTACATAAAAAAGCCGACCTAAAAGTTTTTTCTTCCTTTACTTGAAATCATGAACAACGCGAAGAAACTAATTAATTACAATTAAAATCGATCGATTTCAACACCTTCAAGGGGGCGAATTTGATCGATTCGAAGCACGTACAAACCGAACCTGCTTCAAATTCTACACGTTCGAAATTAATTTAGTTAACCCATTACACTTCGTTACCCATCAACGACCCAAAATCTAACCTGTTTAATCAGTTCGAAATTTCATTACCCCCTCAAACTGACCGCAAAAAACGTTTTGATATCCCCAATTTAACCGATCGATAAATAATCGAATTCAAAGAAACTTTTAACTTGATTCCAGTGATAATTAGAGAACCGTTTCGTTTCGGTGGGATTCTGAAAGGTGAAGGTGCCGAAACGAGGGGTGGGTGGGTTTAAAGGTGGCAACGGAAACGTCGGCTGCAACCCCATTAATTATAAACGGAAATTGCAGAGGTATTTCTTCCGGTTCCAATCCAAGCTTTCGACGGAATACGAGTGTTGAAAATTTTGTTTTGAACTGAAATCGCGTGATAATAAAGCAGAGGATTTCGACGAAATATGTTGAAAATAAATTTTGTTGAGGTGTATGTGCCCTACTATTCAGTGGGAAATTAAATTTGAACGATAGAGGAAAATTATATTAAGGAAAATCATTGCTGATGTAATTCTAAACATGTCTTATTGATAACATTTTTTGATTTAATCAATAATTAAAGACATAACCTCAAAAAATCTTAATTTTTGTAACTGAAAAAAAGCACCATCTGGCGAAGATAAAAAAAATGTCGATAAAAAAGCTATTTTATGAATTACACATACCATACTGTTCAGAGGAAATTCAAATTATCCTCAATAAATAATCGAAACTTTAAAATCCATACACATCTACATACCTACAACAAATCTAAATTGAAAAGTTAAAAATTGCACTTTTCGCCAGCGAGAATTCTCGTCGGGTTAATTCTTTAAAAGCCGCAAGAAAAAGTTATGTCGAAAGTCGCGTTAAACTTTCAACATCCCTCTTTTTAAATCCCCCATTCTTATTTCTTATTTTTTGGGGTCGTTGCGTTTCCAAACCGGTTACTTTTTCGTTTCTGAATCGAAACTCTTCAAGTAATCTCCGCAACTAAATGGTTAAATATTAAAGAATCGCGGTCTCGAGTTATCGCTGCATGTTCCCGGACTTTCCGGACTGGGAACTTTGTCGGGGAGAATTACGAGAAGGTCAAAGTTGTAACGCAGTTTGAACTAATTAGAGAGGCGAAACTTGAATTTCTATTTTTAATGAATACCGTTTCTTTTTTAGATTTATCGAAAAGATCCGTGCGAGTTTTGTTTGTGTCTTGATGGGGAGATGTTTTGTTGGTGGCAGGATTGTCCCCCGACGTTAGAGGGACCTTGCAGGGAAAGAAGCGCTTTTAGTGCTTGTTGTGAGTATTCTAGATATTAATTAATTGTTGAGTTAAATTTTTGTTTTAGTAAATGGGGTGAAATCGAATGAAATTTTGGAGGAAAAAATTGAAACTAAAACTAAGAAACCAACAACAATTAACCCCCCATCAACAACCACGATTATTAATAACACTGAGTTAACTTCGAAATCTCCGGGTTATGAAGCTACAACGGATGCTTCACCATCGATTATTATTTCAACTTTAAAAGTTGTGGCGCAAACTTGTGTCGTTATGGGTAAGGTTTGATTTTTTTGATTTAATGATGTACTCGATTTGATTGGGTGTGATTTAGGTCGTGAATACAAGATCGGGGACAAATTACCGCATGACACCGGGAACTGTGTGGAGTGTATTTGTGGCGCGGCCGGACAAGTAACGTGTTCCCCAAACCAATGTTCACCAGTTGGTGATGACATCAATGATTATCGACCACCAGGGCCCAGAACTTCCCTCTCTGATATGTTTTAATCTTATCACTTACATCAAACCAACCAAAATTTTAGTTAAAAATCTTAGAGAATGATTATTATCATTAAAAACATATCTTGGCCTATGTTAATACACCCAAATCCAATAACATATTTAAATTATAAGCGAAATGATGTGAGAAATAATGACTATAATAAAAATACCGAATAGATTACGTATTTAGCATAGCATCAAAAAAACCACAATAATATTATATCAGAGGATTCCAAAGAAAACGTTTCAACATGACCGATGACACTGCGGATAATAAATAACAAGTAGAGAAGGAACGATCATGTTAAATAAGCGATTATTAATCGACGTTTTATAGCAATTTTTACATTTAAATGAAAAAGTGTAAGTCAGACCAATCAGAAATTATTTAAAAAAATAATATTGCTATTTGACTACTTAATACTTAAGTGTAAATGTAAAATGTAAAATAAGTAGATCGTTAAATTGTTTCAAGTGTCAAAATAGAATTACATATTAGAAATTTGTTTCTCATTGTTAATCCTCCCCAAAATAAGGCGATAAATCAAATATTAATAATTTTATAAAAAACATTGTAGCGCCATCTATTTTTTAATAGCGAAAGTTAACAAGATATAACCTAAAAACCTTAGAAAATTATTTACTAAATTACAATAAATTAATAAACCAGCTCTAACCTGCTAAAAGTAAGTATTTACACTTCTACTATATATGTTTATTTATTTCCAAATTCACTCAAATCTTTATTTACATCACCCCACACAATTTATCCTAATCTGTGAATTAAATCAACATTCCATTAAATTTGTTTTTGAATAATTTTTCTATATTAAGAACTTAATTGCGTAAAGTGGTCGTAATCAATGACTCCGCATATTCTTCTTATCTCAAAGCGTTTTAAGTGCAAAGTTTAATCGAGTACCAATTACAGTTAAAATCTTACCTCGTCTGGATCAAGTTCACTCCAACTCCGCCCAACATGTCGACCATCGATGGAAATACGGTCCTTGCAAGATCCTTAAAAGAACAAGTAAGTTTTTAATCGTCATTTTCAAATTAAACCCAATAATTAACCGAAAAAACAAATTTAAGGTTACTTTCAATTTGACATTACCAACATAAAGTAGCGCCATCTATTATAATTTAATTAAACTTTATTATACAAATTCAAACTAAATTAATTTTAATTATTTTCTTGCAGGGAATCGAATATGTTTTTGGTATCGTCGGATTCCCCGTAATCGAATTTGGAATGGCATGCCAAACTGAGGGCTTAAACTACATCGGAATGCGAAACGAACAAGCTGCTTGTTACGCAGCTCAAGCAATTGGTTATTTAACTGGAAAACCCGGTGTATGTCTCGTTGTTTCCGGGCCAGGACTTCTCCATACGTATGGTGGGATGGCAAACGCCCAAATTAATTGTTGGCCTTTATTGGTAATCGGAGGTTCAGCTCCGCAAGATCACGAAGGAATCGGAGGATTTCAAGAGTGTAATCAAGTTGAATTATCACGCCCTTATTGTAAATACTCAGCTCGCCCACCGAGTGTTGGTTTAATCCCAATGCATGTTGAAAAAGCGATTCGATACACAATGTATGGCCGACCCGGAGTTGCTTACATTGATTTACCCGGAAATATGCTAAGTTTACAAGTTGAGGAGGAAAAGATTCCACGTCAATACCTCGTTGGGGATGTTCCAATAATCCACCCCCAACCAAGTTTGATTAAAAAAGCTGTTGACGTCTTAATCCAAGCAAAACGCCCCTTAATCATCACCGGAAAAGGAGCTGCATATGCTAACGCTAACATCGAATGCACTTCACTTGTAAATTACACAAATTTACCATTTTTACCATCCCCAATGGGTAAAGGGGTAGTCCCTGATGTCCATAAAAACAGCGTTGCATCCGCTAGATCAACAGCTTTACAAAAAGCGGACGTTGTTTTGTTATTAGGAGCAAGATTAAATTGGATCTTGCATTTTGGTCGCCCACCAAGGTTCGACCCAAACGTAAAAGTCATCCAAATCGATATTTGCGCCGAAGAACTCAACAACAGTGTCAAATCGGAAGTTGCAATCCAAGCCGATTTAAAACCGAGCGTTTTGATGCTTTTAGAAGAGGTACAAAAAAGGAGGTTTGTTTTCGATGGAAAATCTGACTGGTGGACACTTTTAAACGAGAAATGCGAAGCGAATCGAAAAGCTGTGCAATCAATGATTGATATCATTGAACCCCCATTGAATTATTACACCGTTTTTCACCACTTACAAGAAGCCATTCCAGATAACAGTATTATTGTTAGTGAAGGAGCGAATACTATGGATATTGGGAGGAGTATTTTATTAAATAACCTTCCAAGACATCGATTAGATGCGGGTACTTTTGGGACTATGGGGGTAAAAACAAATTTATTATGAATCTATTAATATTGTATTGATTTTCTCATTCATTTTAGGTTGGTTTAGGTTTCGCAATCGCAGCAGCTTTATATTGCCGCGATTACGCCCCCAAGAAACGCGTAATTTGCGTCGAAGGCGACTCGGCTTTCGGTTTTTCCGGGATGGAAATCGAAACTATGTTCCGGCACAAACTCCCGATCGTTTTGGTTATCGTTAATAACTCCGGAATTTACAACGGAGTCCCCAAAGATGTTTACAGCGAAATTCGCGAAATGGATAAACCATCGAGGAGGTAAATTAATTTCAATTTTTTAATAAAATTAATTAAATTAATTCATTTTTTAGCGTCCCACCAACCATTTTAACAACCGTAACTCGATACGAAACGATGATGAATATGTTTGAAAAGAAGGGACACTTAGTCACTACGATTCCAGAACTTAAACAAGCTGTTAAAGATAGTCTTGCGGTTCAAGATGGGCCTAGTATGATTAATGTTATTATTAATCCTTCAGCTGATAGGAAACCGCAAGCTTTTAATTGGTTAACTGAGTCGAAATTGTAAAGGAATTGTGTATAAATTCTCAAATTAGGTTATGATGGTTAAAGTGGGGTTATGTTGTAACATTTTGTTGTGTCAAATGGGTTGCCTATCCACAAATTTTTTTAAAAATTATTATTAAATAATAACTTTATAATTATATTTTAAAAGATTTAATAAATAGGGATTTTAACAAAAAAAATCGTTTTGTTAAGGTAATATATTTTATGTTATCCTAGGATTCATAAATAAAGTAGTGAATGTTTTCCGGGGGGTTAATAAAGGATGGTTTAGATTTGTAGGGTAGCGTGTTAAGAATGCAAAAGGGAAGGAAAGGGACAAGACTGCGTGGAATTATCGATGCAATGTTTTCATGCAAGTCTCCGTCTGGTCATTGAACCATTGAACTATTTTAAAGATCAATTTCCCCTTTATTTATAGATCAAAAAAATAATTAATAAGAAATTAATTCATAACGACTCTTTTCCTCAAACACAAAGAGAAAAAAAACAGTTTTTGAAACATCCAAACTACCAGAAATTTCCCCATTCACACGTGCATTGTGTATTGTGTAACGAGAACCAGGATGTAAAGGTTTTAATTACTTGAAAACAACCCTTTCCTATTTTGCTAAAGCATGATTAAAACTGTGAAGCAGCAATTTTAATCAGAACGAAAAAAATCTTTTTTTCTTTTAAACAAAAAATAATAAAAACGTGGATATTTAATCCGTTAATATCCCGAGTTTGCGCCGTTTTGGAAGCCCCCCCTCAAATGGTGGAGCTTTTCTTATCGAACCGAAAGCTCTGCAGTCGGTTAACGTGGCTTGCGCGCACAGCATGTACTACCCAAATCACAACAAAAGCTCTATGAAGTAACACGAAATCAACCCCCCCATTTGGTGGAGAAATCGCGCGCGCAACAACAAGTTCTTCCGTTTTTACTATTATTTTTATTTATTTTTTTAAAGGTGCCAAAACCACCAAAAACATCTTCAACCACAAGAAAAACCAGGTAAATTAAATACTAAGTCATTTCCAAGAATACTATTATTACCTTTCCCATTTATTTGTCACGTATGTAAATAGTTTGTTCGATATGTTCGATACTATTTCCGTAAAAAGATTTTAAATTTCTCTTTTAGATTCAATAATGCCACAAAGCCCGATGGTAAATCCTTTAATGAAGCCGTTTGTGGTGCTCGCTTTGCCGGGAATGTACCTATTTTACAAGTATAACCAGTATAAAAGAAAACGAAAAGAAAATGCTCGAAGAAGATTGACTGAACGCGAACTACAACATTTAAACAACAAAATCGTGAGTTAATGAACATAAATTTGATGTTATTTTTTTAAAATTTCATATCAAAACGCGAGAATATTAATTAAATTAAAAAAAAAATATTACTTACCCAAAGTGGGAAAGGAAACGATGCCTGAAAAATAAATAAACAATTAATAATCAATAAATTAAGTTCCTCTTAATTAGAATAGTTGTAAAAGAAACCATGTCAAAATTTGCCATAAATTAATACCAACTTAAAAAAAATTAAATCAAAAAATCTAAGACGCACTTTGTTGCACGCGTCTAGTGTTGCTTCTAGTTTTACACTAGCACTGTTACTATATAGAACCAACACTATACCTAGAACTAGAATCATTTCATTAGGGTTGATTACGGTTTAGCCGTCTTTAGAGACGTACGGCTAAACTCTAATGATTCTAGTTCTAGGTATAGTAAATTTTATAGTTCTGGTTTTACACTAGCACTGTTACTATGTATAACTAACAATATACCTAGAACCAACGAGATATACCAACGCAAATGAATTACTTACGTAACAACAACCAAAGAGGAATCGATCCCTCAAAAATAAACACAATTAAACACTTAATAATCACTAAAATAACGAAAAAAATTTGTTGCAAAAGAAATGTCAAAAAGTTTGACATAATTTATTACCAACTTTAAAAAAAAATCAAGAAAATCTAACATAAATAAAAATGAAATTATGAATTTAATTGTTAATTTTGAATTGGGATTGTTATTAACTTCTAATTATTGATTTCCAGTAATAAATCCAAATATTAAAATTTTAAATCATTAGGGCATTATTAAATATTTAGTTGAAGCTAGAATTACTTTGAAAAATAATTTTAAGTCGGCGAAAATGAATTACTTACGTAATAACAACCAAAAAGGAATCGATCCGTAAAAAATAAACACTTAATAATCACTAAATTAACGAAAAAATAATAAATCAAATTAATTGTAAAAGGACGCCAAAAAATTTGACATAAATTACTACCAACCTAAAAAGATGTAAGCTGGAAATATATGATTTGAATAAAATTATGAATTTAATTATTAATTTTGAATAGAAATTGTTGTTAATATGTTAATTATTAATTTCAAACATGATAAACCTAAATATTGAAAGTTTTAATCATAACCACACAAATTTTTTGATATTTAACAAAAAGACTACCAACTTAAAAGTTTTGTTTACCTTCAATTATATGTATAATAAAAACCTTTTTTAATTTTAAAACTTTGAAATTGCGATTTCATGTAATTATTCCAAAACTCTTGATACTATTCTTTTATATTAACCAAAATTCACGAGCAATTCCACGTAATTGCGTTATTTTTTGAAAAAAATACAAAAAAAGATAAAATTTTTTACATTTCTTAATGCAATTTCTAAGATACTCAACACAATAATTGTAAAAAGAACCTCCTAACACAACAGAAGGATCTAAACCCGCAGGGTTTGTGAAAAGAAATCTCAAAATCGTGCTTCGTACTCGTTAAGGGGACTTACAAGGGTGTTGAAAATAAAATTTTCACCAACAAATTCTTTTTTTACCCGAATCTAGGATAGTACATCTTGTGTTGAGCTTTTTGAATATTTAACACGCCCAGGGAATTCGTGGGGGCTAAAATTTACAGTTGTTGCGCAGTTTTAGTGATAATAGTCGAGATGATTTAAGCTGCACTTCGCTTAAAAGGCAATTTTAGGTGTTTTAGGAGTTAGCAAAAATATTTTTTCGTAAAATAAGAGGTTATTTATGATTCGTTTCGAAATAGAACAGCAATCAAAATGTAAATTACCTAGTTTTACGACACAAAAAGAATTATACAATGATAGTTAATCATATATTTTGTATGGGGGATTAAAAATAAAGAAAAAGTAGTTCGAAAAAACGATCGATACGTCAAAAGTAACCGTGAACAGTGTTCACACGAGGGGGGTTCTCGCGTAATTGTCGACTTTTATCGTTGGGCAATTACTAAATTGGATTTAACCGGGTGGTAAGAACAGCTTTTTCTACTGAAAGCTAACAGGAAAAATTGCTCGTGTTGTTGACATAATTCGATTTGATTAACTTTGATAAGAAATCAATTTTTATGATTACTTCTTTTAGAATGTCGTGCTAAAAAAATTATTTTAATATCACAAATTTACAAAAAATAAATAAATAAAAAACATTAAGAAGTCATCTTCACAACTTTTTTTTTATCTACACCTTCCAAAGCACAAATAGCCAATTGTTCCCTTTCGTACATCAACAATAAAGCTTGTTCTAATAAAAGAAGTTCAGTTCGGGATAAAACAGGTACTCCGTAATTATGAACAACACCTCCTCTCCCCACTTGAAGTGTAGACGTTAAATACGAACTCGTTTGGAAAATATTACTTCTTATATGTCCGACCATATTCGAATTTTGATCACCTAAAAGTCCTAAAGCTATCGCGGTGATGCTTCTATTGATGGCGAAGGCTTTTGCCATTGATTCTGAATCGTGCTTGAACGATTTTATCGGTTTTAAAACATCCCCTGTTTCTCCTACATTTCGGTACTTTTTAATCAGTAAAACTTCATCGGGGGAAGTCGTCGCTAATGGGGTTGCTCTTGAAAAAATTGGGACGAGACAATCTAAATCAGGCCCTCCACATACCGGTACATTAATTCCTGCCGGATCTAATTTGTAATAATCAGCTAATAATGAATTTAATTTCACCTAAAAAAAAATGAAATGTTGAGGTTATGTTGTATTGTCAGACTTTTAAGGCTTCTAAGAGAAGAATTTGTGTTTAATTGGATTCCTTTTAGAATACTTAGCTTTTAGAGCTTCTTTTTCTTTGATTTTACATGTATTTTTGAGTATTTTATGCATATTTTTTAAATAAATTGATGTGAATGTTGTTTGAGGTTATGTCAATTTGACATTCTGATGTATGACATCAAAAACATAACCTCAAATAAGAATTTTTTTTAAATTTATTTTACTTGGTGAACCGCAACGGATCCGATAATTCTTCCTGGGTGATACCAATGAGTTTTCTTATAAATCGCGGATACTAACGGTACCATATAAGAAACTGGGTTAACACAAACATAAATAATCGATTTTGAAGCATACATAGTACAAATACGGGCTAATCTGATAACTCTTTCATATTCCCGGTGAAATTGTGCTTCCGGCGTAGCTTCCTGATCTCTTTGTTTTTCCAACCCCATTAATATCACAATTTCAGATTTCTAAAAATAAAAATTAAAAACATAATTTGTTATGTCGTTATTAAGTTATGAAATAATGAATAATTACTTTAACCGCTTTTTCAACATCATGATCCGTATAACCACAAATCATCGTTCTTGTATCCATCGAATCTAAATCGGCAGCAATTCCGGGGGCTTTTTCGCCGACTAAATACAAATGCGAAACAAGAGGGTTTTGCTTTAAGAGGAACGACAAGTATTCGCCGGAAGGATTGTCAACTCCCAACACCGAAACGCTGACCGCTTTCTGCTTAAACTTTTCCATTGCGACTAGTTTCGTTACTTCTTCCGTCTTTTTATCCGAAACCGACGATTTTGATGTCGTGTAACATCTTGAAACGGTTTTAAGAAAACGGTTTTTAGATAAATTCCACATTTTTTCGACATCCACGAAGATTTTGCCTTTTATTATGAGGATTTTAATTAATTATAATAATTTTCAAAACCCTTTAAATTGACGTTTTAGAAATGTCAAAAGAAATTTGTTGCCAACCTAATTAATTATTTATAAATTTAATTTTTTTCTAATTATTTAAATAACACGCATTAAAAAAAGATAAATAAAGTATAGATCGCTTTTAGGGTGTTGGTTTTTTGGGTGTGGTTCAAACCTCCAACAACAACCACGCGAAAGAATCGTTAACCATTAACCAAGTGAGGTTATTACTCATTACAATTTTAGGATCAATAAACTAAAAACAAAGTGGAAATAATAACTTTATTGCTTAATCTAATAATAAATAATCCCTCCAAGTTCTTACAAAGCACCTCTTCCATATGGAATATCTTTGTTTGTTCTTAAATAATATGAGCCTGATGAGTAACTAAAATCAATAAAAACATTGATTTGGTTGTTTCTGTACTCTGATAACTTACTTCGGATTCGCGTTAAAACCCATGTAGGCTATTATTTCTTCGTTACAATCCCTGTGGGTACTCCCCCATGTACATTTAATAGCCGGAAAATTCTCCGGGGATTTTACTGACTCGGAAAAATAATGATAAGCTTTTTGGTGACTACAAGCAACTAAAAATAGAAAATTAAACCGAAAACAATTAAAAAATAAAAAAACCCACTGGCATTCATCAACTTGTGCTTCTTGGCAAGATCTCGATGCCAACAACCAGGTTGGAAATATGTTCCACCATTTGGATAAAAGTCAACATGTCCAATTGGATAAAGGATACCAAAGTTCCCACCATCCGTGTGTATAATATCAACGAAATCTGCATCTTTCTTGCTTAATTTGTTATTACCTTAAAAAATCAAAAAATAATTGAATAAAATCAGCTAAATTTTAAATTAATTACCTTGAAATCCTGGAAAAGCTGGATCTAACCCGGTTATTCTTGGTAATCTGAGAATATTTTTTAAAAATCGGGATGAATAAGCAGCTACATGAGCTCCTAAACTAAACCCGATTATATGCAAATTTTCTTGATTAATTTCCTGTTTAATATAAGTCAAAATAAAAGTAGCAAGAACTTTTCCAGCAATTTTAGTATTTTCCACTGCATGCAAATACCAAGGAAACGTAGCTAACTCAGACCAATCCATTAAAATAACATTAAAAATCTCCGATCTTGATAAATATGCTAAAAAAATTAAAGATTTATTGATTATATTTAATAAAATAAGTTAGTTATACCATCTCTTATAACTTCCGCACTCCCTATAGGAGGTGCTTCTAAAAATCCGTGAATATAAATGATTGTAGGTGCATTCTTAACCAAATTGAGTGGTCTTGAGCCTATTTCCGATTGAAAAATTTTTAACGGGGCATTTCCTTTTATATAGATGTTAAAGTTGATGTCTGTTGAGGATATTTTACAACAACCATAACATAATCCTTTTGGGGTTGAATGAGCTTTTAATCCTTCTCCTTCTACAACAAACAAAAAGTGAGGTTATGTGAATAATTAATTTAAAAAAAACTGTTGTGTATTATAAATGTTATTAAAAAAATTAATTTGTAATCGAGATTACTTTATGTTATTAAAGGTTTTTATTTAAAAAGAAAATTATATTTAAGCTAAATTATTTAATAATTTTATTTTCGGTTGGTAATCGTGAAGTAAACATAAAGATAGTTTCGGTAATAATTAAATAAATTTGTGATTTTAGGCGAGTTTAAGTGGATTTTAATATGTTTTCAACGTATTAAAGCGTATTAAAATAATGGGAGGTAATATTTATAAATTAATTTTAATTTTTATAAAAAAAATGGTTTTTTTGAAGTTATGTCAAAAATGTTTATTAAAATATTTGTTATAAAATTATTATTAATCGTGATTATTTATGTTAGAGATTATTATGAATTTAATTAATTTCGTATTTGGAACATCCAAAAGTTTTACCTTATACATAAAAGAGAATTTTGTAATTTTGAGGTTATGTAAAAAAGGTAGCTGTAATGAATTGAACATTTTTAAAGTTACTTCCATAATAAGCGTTTCATTACATTATTACGATATTTAATTCAATCTTTTTTCCCGTTTCACGCTTATTATCATCGGCAACAGGAATAATAATGTATTATTATTGTATTAATAACACTTTTTATGCAGATAAAAAGGAACAAAATTGAAACGTGCATGACTATCACTTTTAGAGTACACCTTGGCATACATTTCTTCTTTTAAATTTAAAAAAATAAAATGAGAAGAGAATTTACGCTAAATTAGAATCAAGCTATTCGTCAATAACAAAGATTATCGTTAAACCGAAGATGGAAAAAGAATCCACCTTGTACTTGTGACCTACACACCAGAACCAGTAAGATTCAATGTCGTTACCTTTGACCAAGGTCCAAGTTGGAACCTCTGAGATGTTGTTGATCTTGTAAAATGTGGAGTGAAATTTAACCTTGATTTTTAAAGTTATTAACCGTAGAATAGACGCGGAAACGTTTTCAATTTGAGGTAACTCATGAATTTTGGAAACGAAACGTTTAGGGTTAATCAACTACATCATGAAATTGTTGTCTCTTAGGAAATGGAAAATGCTCAACAGGTGCCACGGCGTTTAATTGAGTTTAAAACCTAATTAATATGGAATCAGATTAGGTTTTGCCACGGCACGGAAGTGCATTCTTCCCTGTTTCCGACACAGATAAGCTTAAAACTGAAAATAAACTAAACTAGGTAGTTGTTTTAGCTCGAATTTGTCTTTGTTTTAATTTAAGGAAAACAATTTAATAATAACTCACTCTTTTTTGGGGTAACCCGGTTTGTTTGTCAACTAATTTTTGAAAGAATTATTTTTAAATAGATATAAATAATATTTAATTAATACCATTAAATAAACTTGACATTTAAAATTTAAAATATTCATTAGAAATAATTTTAAAAGACCTCTAACAAGGCGTTAGTTAATCTTTGGGAAGACAAACTTGCATTATTTATTAACAAACTCGCGCTGAAAATACACAATACACATAACAATTACGTACAACAAACAATATCCAAATCCTTGAAGGAAATATTTTACATCTAACAATAAACTCACCGCTCTCAAAAACAAATTGATCCCCACAAGAATTAATCGATGCTTCTCTTCGGTTATTATTTATGGTTAATTTAATTGGTAAATTTAATAAAGGCACGTTTATAGTGACGTTTAAAACTGTTTTATTATTATTTGAATCAATATTATTATTACTAACTAATTTTGCACTAAACGGAATCGGGACGACATTTAAAGGCCTTAAAAGGAACAACCCGAAAACAACTTTTAATTGGAACGTTAATAAAAGAATTTTTAGCACGTTATCAATTCTTAATAGTTTAATAAACATTTTTGGTTTGAAGTAGCGAGACGGAGTCGTGATGAATAAAAAGCTATCCTTGTAAATAACTTTATATATATACCGTGGAGGTTTCAAGTTCACAATCAATATATTCGAGCATTATTTTAAGTCACAAAAAAATAAATAATTAAGCAATAAAATGTAATTTACCTTTTTATCTTGTTATTTTCTATACTTTACGGAAAAAACTATACTTACACAAAAATAAATTAATTTTTTTCCCAATTGCACCATAAAGTAAAAACTGGTTTTTGTGTTAGTCATAATTCTTTTTTGGTCTCTTTCAGGATAAATTACTAAGTAAATTGGAGGAAAGTGAACCAGAATTAGCAACATGTCAAGAGGAAGAGGTGAGATATTTAAATAAAATTAATTTTCATTTTTAACCTCACTTTTTTTTCATTAATTTGAATCTGTCAAAGTTGTGGCGTTGCCATGGTGATTTCTTTGAGTTCTTAGAAAAACGTATCAAAGCAAAACGTTAATTATTGATTAATTTTATTAATTATCGTAAAATGAATCGTTTTAACTTGAAATTAATGTAAAATCTTTTAATAAGGTAAGAATAATTATTAATTTTTTTTATTTGAAGTTGAGGTTAGGTTATAATTGACAAACGTTGCGTTGCCATGGAGATTTCCTTACAGAAAACATTTTTTTAAGTTATGTCATATTAAGTCGTTTTAGATTTTTTAATAATTCTAGATTTTTAAAAATTACTACGGATTTAAGATTGTTTTGTTTTAAAATGCATTTTTGTGTGTAATTTTAGCAAAGAGATTTACTAGAAAATCAAACACGATCTCATCACATCATTGTGGAGACTCGATATCTTCTGAATAACTCCTTATTACGTAATATCTGTGCAATTTTATATCTATCTGAGTGTTTAATATAATGCCAAGGTCTTTTACTTTACCCGTAGCTTCGATAGCAATACAGCTAAGGTTACAATGCATATTAAGAGGATCATCAACAATGTCAACTAGAATATTAAATTAATAATCAAACTTTTTGCACAATTAGTACGATTGATTTTGTGAAAGAACGCCTAATTTCAAAAATTATTTACTTTTTATCAATCATAAACGATTTTTTAACCTCACATTTTCTTTCAATCAACAATTTCGATTCTGTCAAATTAAATTTGTTTGTTTCAAAGTTACCCAACCTTACGTTACCATGGCAATTTCGTTTTATACTTCAAAATTTCGTGTCAAATTTTTTTTGGGTTTATGTTTTTTATCTTTTCTAATAAGCTTTATTTTAGGCCTTATTTTTCTTATAATAATACTAATTTATTTATAATTTTATTGATTGCAGTGCGTAATTTGCATCCATGCGAAAGCAACGATGCAAACAGCCCCATGCGGACACCAAGTCGTCTGTCGGAAATGTTTCGTAAAAACGATTCAAATCGCCGTTTCGCAACGTTTATTACCTCTTCGTTGTGTTATATGCAGAGCAAAAATATTAAGACTTAAGGTAAATCGTTTTTTTTGATTAAAGTTTTTGTTTGTTCAAAGTTTTTATTTAGAAGGAGTTAAAGCACAAAGAAAACTTTCCGAGTTGATGCTTTTAATGAAAAAAAATCTTTAAAACAAAGTTTTCCATTCATGAAAGTTCTACGGGGTGTTACACAATTGATTTTTTTATTTTTTTGGGTTTTTACGAGGTCGAGAATAAATGTCAAGATCTTAATTTTAATTAGAAACACTTCCGAAAATAAAAACCTTGAAATTTGAAACTAAAATTCGGTTCGATTTAATGTTTTAAATCAAAATCCCCGTGAACGGGATTTATAACAATTTATGATCCCCTTGGGTTTCGCTCTATTTATGTTACCGATTTGGGTCAATTTTCCCGGTTGAAACATCAATTAATTATTATTTTGTTTAATACAATGTTTGTGAGGTTAAATTTTAATTTTTTTCAAGACTGGGCCATTAATTCCATCTTCCGTAAGTGGTTACTCCGTGAATTCTCGGACATCCTCTGTTCCACAATCGGATAGTTTATACAGCGTGAGCAGCGGAGGCTCCTCCATCTCTTCGACGTCTTGTTCTTCCGATGGGAAAGGTCTAACTTGTTGTGGCGGGACTGGTCATTGCATGGGGGCTTACCCACGGCAACCAACGGGGGCTTTAAGGAAATCGCAGCAACACGCGATGAAAATTAAGTTGCAAGAGTATAACAATAAGAATGCTGTTAACAGGTTACCTCCAATTAAAGAGTTACCGGCTTCGAGTCCGAGTCACAGTATAGCGCCTGCCTCTACAAGAATAAGGTTAGTAAAGACAAAATATTTTATTGTTTTTCTTGGTCGTTTTGCACTTCCTCAAAACGTCTCTTCGTTAGATTTAATTTACATTTTATCAAGGTTCCCAAAACGCGAACTTACATGAATATAAATGTAAGTAGTACAAAGAAAAAGGAGATCTTGAACGTTATAAGATGGAAATTTATTTAAATTTGTAACCTAACCCAACCCAAATAAGCATTCAGGTTATGTGTAAAAAAATTATTTTTTTTTAATTTAAAGATGTGCCCAAAAAATTGTAACTCAACTAGAAACGGTTGCTAAAAATGGGTACAAATACAAAAAGTTGCCCCAAGAAGAAGAGCCGCAACAAGAAGAATACTGTGTGGAAGATAAAAAACGTTGGAACGAAAAAATTTGGAAACAGAGGCAAAGAAGCGAAGAACGAGATGATAACAAAAAGAATGAGTTGACTGAGAAAGTGATGGAAATGAAACAAAAAGGGTTTGAATTAAAAGGTTGCTTAAAAGAGGAGAAAACCAAAAAAATCAATGAGCATAAAATGTAAAAGAACAAATTGAGGTTATGGTTAAAAATTTCCTTATGGTATAATTTATTTTTTTTATAAAGCCAAAGTCAATTAGGTTAAAAAAGAAGAATTAATAGCATATCTACCTTGAGAAATCAAACTTAAAAGATAATAACGAGCAATAACGTAGAAACAATCTGATTCGGATTTAAAATGGGAAATATATTATATCATTTTGGAAAGGATTTTGTGCGAAACGAAACAATTGTTAAAGTTGACTGCTTTTATTAGATTTTAACTGAAAGTACGGAAAATATCTTAAAATATCTTCATAAAATTATTTATTAGTTTACTGTTATTTGTGCCAAACTTCATCTTTGTTGGTAAAACAAAATCATTTCATTCACATCGAAGAAAAAGCGTCCAATTAAAAAAAGCAACTAATAATACAATAATTTAAAGAAATGTAACTTATAATCAAATATCGTGCGTACAAAAGAAAATAATTTGTCAAATTCAAAAATATTGAAAACGTCATTAAAAGTGTCATTACAAACGTCATTGAAAACGTCATCAAAATATAATGAAAAAATATAACCTCGAGTTTCGTTAGAAATAAATAGTCAATAAAACTGGTTGTAGGTTGTTAAACTTATCTTAAAGGTAAGAGTTGAATTTATATGTTTATTTATTTATTATCAAGTTGTTTAAAAAAATTTAAATTTGGCGCGATATGAAACTAAAACAAGAAGTGCCAACATCAAAAAAAATAATTACTAAAATGAAATGTCAACATTAAATTTGATAATAAATAAATAATCTTTTTAAAACACTAAAATATTATTGAAACATTATTTTAGTAGTGCTAATAACATATCTTTGCTTCAACCAAAAAATTTACGGTGAAAAATAAAAGAAAACCTCAGTGGCAATAATAATCTACTTCAAGTTTTAAATTTTAAGCATAAAACGTACCGAAATGAATTAAAACGAGAACAAAACTGAATTTTAAATAAAGGTAACGTTTAATAAAAAAAATTTTATTGATTAATGTAGAAAATATTACTTAAGTGAAAAAAGAAGTTAGGTTATGATTGCGTTTAGGTAAATTAAATAAAAATGTGAGGATATATATTTAATAATACGATTAATAGGAGGAAAAACTGTTGTGCAATACACTTATGATTAAAATAAATATTAATAAAATACAAGTTTCAAATAAAATTAGTTTTTTTTTATTGATGATGTAGGCAACCCAAATGACACAACTCAAACCTGTCAATTATAATTATAGCAATAAATTATAATTTTTAAGCAACCGATCCCACAATATTCTTGCATTGTTGATATCTTAATCTGAAATGTTCCGGCCAAGCTCCTCCACATCCGTATCCTCCCAAAACATGTATTGAGGCGTAATCATCGCAGTTAATAACACCATCGTTGTTACAATCCTAAAATTTAATTATTATTAGAATTATTGTTATGAATTCGCTTTAGATTAAGTTATAAGTAATATATATATAACTGACAACAAAAATATCGTTAATGATACATCAGTATTGAATAGGTTCTTTACTAAATCTGAAGAATGAACGACGTAAAATGGTTACTAAATTAAAAAGAAAGCCATGGCATTCCCCGACGGATAAATACCGTTTTCAGGGGACATATTGGAACAGCCAGACATGGAAACTAACGTGGAAAATTTAAATGACGCTGTAGTCACAGCTATAACAGAAAATCAGGAAAAATGCTGCCCTAAAACACAGAATGACGAAAAAATTAGTTAACTGGACTACTGATGCAGGAGAGAAGAAACAAGAGAAGAACAACCAGAAATGAAGAGATCAGAGAAATGGACAAACAAGTATTTAAATTTTAGATCTAGCTATCTCGAAGTTATCTAAATTTAGTTACACTACATCTAGAACTAGAAAGTTTCGAGTTTAGCCGTGCGTCTTCAGACAATAGAGAAGATAAAGAAGACAATAGAGATTGTATCGAAAGTTTTGTACATACTATAGTACAAGATTTTCGATACAATTGTGTTGATGACAGTTTTCCAAGCATTTCAAGAATGCAGAGTCGATTGTCCCCCAAATTGTTCATCACAGTCCTGGAGAGTGCATTTAAACAACTTGATGGGACCCAAAAAGGCATAAACATAGATGACAAATACCTAAGCAATTTGCGCTACTTCGGATAGCTTTAGAGAGATGAATCTGATGCTGAACGACTTACAGGAACTGGAATATCAACGTGGAGAAATCGAATTTATGGTGGAGATATCTTCAAGAGTGATATTCCTATATATTTGAAAAGAAAGACTTTCAATCAATACAAGCTTCCTGTTATGACATACAGCTCCAAAACTTTAATATTAACGGTGGTATTACGATAAAGTAATTAATTAATTATATTTATTACCTGTTGATATTTTAACATATAACCTTGCACGGAAAGCGCAGAACAATAAGTGTCTAAAGCGCAATTTTTGTACGCCGTTGGTGATGTTGGGGATTCATTATTAACGGTGTATTTTCCACCATCGGACCAATACGGCCAGGTTAATCTAAATGGGCCACAAACGTCTCCTGAACAAGAACTTGTTACGTTACAACCGGATATTCCCTCACAGATGCATCCCAAACAGGATTGAGTAACGGGCAGGTTCTCGTAATTTTGCGAAGTAACTCCTAAAAGAGAAATTAAATTATTAATGTTATGTATAATATAAATAAATATGAATTTTTCGTAATTGAAATGAGTTGACGTTGACACTATATTATTAGTGCCAACTTCAAAAAAAAAATTTTTAATTTTAATAAAAAATTTATTTTTTTTTAATTTAATTTAATTATTTATTTAAGTTTAAGTTTATAACAATAAATTACAAAAAAATGATTAAATGAATCATTTGGAAATTTCCAGTTTAAATCAAAATTATTTATAGATTTTTTTTTAAGACAAGTTTTTTAAGATTTAATTTACATTCTTTTAAGAAGTTTATTTGCATATTTAAATTGTTTATTGTATTTAAATTTGCGGTTTTTTGGATTAGGTGTACAAAATAAATTAGCATTAATGTTTTGTGTCGTTGTTGAAATCGTGATCGAAAAATCTTGAAAATAACAAAGTGATACGAAAAGGATCTTGCAACATTACGTAATTAATTATAATAAAAGAGATAATAACAACAAAGGTCGAAATAATTAGTGAAAAAATCAAGGATTTTAATTTTTATTGCAATATTTAACTTAACCTAATTTGACAGTTAGATAACCTCAAAATTTAGAATTATTTGAATGATTTTAAAGTTGAATAAAGAATTAGCTTTTATGGGCACCTTCGTTTTCAAAATATGATTCACGATGATCTCACCTCTTTATTCTGAATTTACAAGAAGGATATTTGCCCAAGGTGATTCAAAAATACCAGGTAAGTTCGTCAAAGGTCATAAATTGGAAAATAATTCTTCCAAACTGGTCTTTATCATTGACCTTTTAACTTTTTTTTTTAGATTAACTTAATACATTCTTAGATTCCAATTTTAGGTGCTAAAAACTTACCGATTATAAGAATCGTCGCCAAACAAACAATTTGAGTATACATTTTTTCCTCGAAGTAGATTGAAACGCACAACACCACCGGCAGTGTAAAGAATCACTATGAAATTGTTGCCAGTTTCTTTCACTTTATATACTGGACGAGAAAGCCGGAGAAATATCGTTGAAATCTCCCACCAAGAACCATTTATGGGGAGTTTATAATCTTATTATTTTATGTGAATTGTTTTGAACTCAACCTTGACCCTTTCGATTTTGTTTAAATATTCGAAACCAAAAAATGAATCACTTCCCTTAAATTAATATTGTTATTGATGTTAAATAAAGGTGTTAAATAAGCTAAATTTAGCGATTTAGTAATTATTGTTGTATCCTGTATTGTATCCTCTTTACATCTTTAAAATGCGTGTTTTTTTATTGATGATCTTAAATTGTTTTTAAAATGAATATTTATTTTGAATTTGTAGCGCCATCTCTTATTGGCAGGTAAAATTTTGTAATAAAAACGCAAAAATGGTTTAAATATTTTTTTTACTTACAATTTATTTTAAATACATCGACAAACTTAAACGTACGCGTGGACTTGACAGTTTTTATGTTTTAATTTCTGGCAGCAAAACCATAAGTCGCCGAATCGTTGGATTATTCGGTAAAAATAAAAAAAATTAATCGCAACGATCCATTCGCCCCGTTTCTTTATGAATTCCACTCTTTTCTTTATCTTATTATTTTTTCATTCGAATAGTTAAAATATCAGGTCTTTTTCTTCGTTAAATTAATTTTATTTCTTTTTTGCAAACACGTCCTATAACAATTCTTTTTTTCGAAAATAAATGCAAATTTCTTTTTAATAAAGACGTGGATTTGCAAAAAAATCGGGATAAAGATAAAATACAAGCGCAAAAATATTCGAGTCTCATTCAACACATTTCATCAAAATTTTTAACTTACAAACTAAATACACAGTAGTAAACGAGCACGCACACTATATATCTCGAGAAAAATGTACAACATCTCGCATTGGGGGACAGAAAGAAAGAATAAAATGAATAAAAAATTATTTAAAATAAAAATTAACAAAATTGATTGTTTAAAAATTAATGAACACATTTATTTATCAAAAAAAAAAAAAACTAACACCAGCCTCTATTTCGTTTTAGTCGGAATCAAAAATCGAATTAATTGAATTTTTCCCCAAGAATTTGTTCTACCATTTACTTTTAGTTAAAAACGTTCATTTGCATTCATTCGAGAATATAACTTATTTCCTCATCGTCGTGATCATCACTACAAACTGGCACTTAAAACTAAAATTATTTACAAAAATAAGTCTCTTCGAAAAATCGAAATTGGTGTGTTTATATTTTTTAATACGAATAATTCGCATTCTTCTCTTTATTTTCATTTAAACAATAACTATATTAATTTTCCTTTTCGAAACTACGATCTTATTAGTTTTTTATATCTCAAAATTTATCCCGACTCTTTCGGGTAAAGCTATTATTTTTATTTTCTTCATCGCGGAAGCAGTGCTCATTAATTATTGGTAAAAGTTAAGTTTACAACTCAACCAAAAAAAAAGCACGAATTTTTGTGGAAAATTCCACAATAATCCCCGATTTTGAGTTGTAAACCAAAAAAATTCCTTTTTTATACAGAGAAGACTTTAGATTATTTATTATAATATGTATATATGTACAGGAGACGACCAAAATTCTCTTTGAAATCATCTTTTCTTTTAATCGCATCATTTTCCATGCTGTAATACAACAAAGAGATCATGTGTACACACATTTAACTTTTTTCTTCTTTGTTTGCTTCCGTTTTCTTCCCGCACCAAAAGAAAGTCTATTTTTTATTCACATCTTCGCCCCCGATTCTCCCTCGTTGAAAAACAAAACAAAAAAATCCCTTCATTCATTCAAATAATAATTTTTTTCGAATCACTCGTCAATCACCGAGAGTCTTTAGGCTTAACGACAAAAACGAACAAAAAAATGAGAGAAAATAATAACCGGAGTTCGTGTTTCCTTTTTTTTTGTGTGTCAACGATTATTTCTCCTCCTCTTCGATTTAGTACACTATCTGCGGTCTCTGTACAATAAATACGTTTGGAGTGCTTGCGGAAGCGTCAAACTAGTCACTTTTTCTTCTAAGTTTTGTTTACCCAAACGTTGCCGAATAATCCTTCTACATAAATCCATTAACGGTAATGGTTCAGCTAAAAATAAAAAAACATAACATTAAATGTCAAAAAATAAATTCATTTCACTTACGATCTAATCCGCCGATATATTTCATGGTAATCTCACAGTGTCCCCAAACCGCACTAACAATGGGATATAATTTTCGCCCTTTGAGGCCGCGAAAGGCGATGCCAAGATACTGGCCGTCAACGACAAAACTTAAGGTGCCCTCATCCATGTCTAAGACAACAAGGAATTTATCGGGAACAATAAACGTCTCATCCGGTTTTAATAAAGCGGGATACGTGACGCCGGCGTTGTTCTTCGAGTCGTGATATAATTTGTTACGGCCCAAATCCCAACCCCAAGACGTGTCCGTGCTGCCGACTAAACTCTGATAACCCACCGAATGTAGCGGGGCTTCTGCTGTCGCCACTCCGACCACCGCGTGTGTTCCTAAAAAGTAATTTCGAATTAATAAATTATTTTTTTTATGTAGTCGAAGTTAACATTGTAGTTCATTTTTTAATCAGTTTTTTAATTTTAGAGGTAACAAAAGTTTTTTGTAAGGGTTACACTTTTACTTAGTAAAAATCTTGTAGTAAATAAAACAATTCAATCAGCAGAAAAACTTACGAAAATGTTGTGACTAAAATAATTTTTTGTTTAAATGAATAAATTTTAGAAGTTAAAAAGAGAATAACCTCAAAATCAGAATTTGACAGGTTATGAGTAAAACATTACTTTTCGATTAACTTTAATTAATAAAATTGAATTTTTTAGGTGTTAACATAAGAAAATTAGTTGTATAAAAAAATTAGTTGTATACAAAAATTACAATGAAGATAACCTCAAATATATAAAATTGACAAGTTATGAAATGACATGCCGGTAAATAATGCCCTGTTTTATCGACATTGAACTGTCAAATATTTTGATTTCAAAATATACTTTCGTTACTTTCTATAAATGCAATAGATTTTTCTATTTTAATTTTTTTATTTAATACAAGATTTTTACTAACCAATAAAAGTGTAGCCCTTACAAAAAACTTTTGTTGCCTCTAAAATTATTTTTTTCGTTAAATTTAGATTTACCTCTTTGTCGTGTTGACCAACACACCTCCCACGCGTGTAAACCTTTCGTAAATCCAACTTTACCCCGAATGCAATCGGTGCTTTGGGCAACGGGATGTCTGTGGAAGGTTAATTTATCGTCCTCTTTCACGAAAATATTGAGGGAACGATCGTCGGCATTCCAACTGTGTTTGAGTTGAGTTTCGCGGAGCGCCGGGGGCATGTCGAGGAGCATGTCGAGCCTCTGCGGTCGGGCGAAGTCTTGCGCCAGTTCTCTCGGTATCACAGACTTAAAGGGAGCAGCCGCATCTCTATTAACGGCCTTCACGCCACCTACATAAATAAAACATTTTTTAGATGATTTTTTAAATTTATTAATGAAGAATCTCACCTGAGACCTTCTGACCCATGCTCATGCCACGGGCACGCCTCCGCCCAGTTTTGCAGGGCTCCACGGCAGCTTTGTACGCGCGCCTCACGTCGCAGGCCCTTCCACCGGCGTGTGGGCCGGTGGTTTGGTGGTTCTGACTTGTGTTGTGGTGGTGATGGGGGTGGTGATGGTGATGGCGGTGCGATTCCGCCCTTACTCCTGCTGCACCCCTAAACGCAATACTTTTATACCTACAACAATAAAAATGGTAAGGTTATGTTAAATTTTTGACGTAATTTTTTTAAAATTTATCTAAACCGAAATTCCCAGTATCACCACAGATTACATTCTCTTTATCCTGACGACGTTTCCTTTCTAACTTGATAGCATAAGTAGGTATTTCTGGGAACGTTTCGATTTCTACATATATTCATACAACGCACACACACTAAGAAAGAGAGAGTCTCGCGTGAGTGAATGACTCATTGTAGTTCCCTAATAACGAAACACAATCAAAAAAATCTAGAAGAATTCGTATTTTTTAAGGAAATTAACCAGTTTGAAATAGCTGACATTGACAAGATCTGAAAATTGAACCAACCTCAAAAAAATTAATCTCTCAAAAATTTATTATTTTTATTAATTAATTTCTCTACTACTAATTGACATATATTAGTAGAAGATCATCGTTAAGTTAATTAATTGAAAAAATTAAAAAGAAGATAACCTCAAATATCTAAAATTAACAAGATGTGAAATAAAATGCCGGTAAACAATGAACTGCTTTATCGACGTTGGACTGTCAAAAATTATTATTAAAATATTTTCTCGTTAATTTCTAGAAATAAAATTGACTTTTTTATATATTAATATCAGAAAATTAGTTATTAAAGCAACAAAGACACAAGGATGCTGAGTAAAGTATTTGTGATGAAAATTTGTTTATTTTAAGAATTAAAAAGGTAACCTCAAATATCTCAAATTGACAGAGTGTGAAATGGATGCCGGTAAGTAATGAACTGTCAAATATTTTTGTTAATTAAAAGTTTATTTTCTCGTTAATTTTAGTAAATAAAAATGATTTTAACGATATTAATGTAAGAAAAAGATAATGTATTATTAACCTAAAATATATTAAATTGGCAAGAATCACTTCTTTGGTATGGAAACTGCTTTATCGACCCTGAACTGTCAAGCCTGTCAAGTATTCTAATTTAAAAATGTACTTCCTCGTTAATTTCTATAAATACAACAATCTTTTTTGTTGTTAATATAAGGCAATTAGTAATCGAAGAACTAATGATGCAAGACAAAAAGAAATTGAATAATGTATAAAGAATTTAAGACAATTTGTTGAAGTAATTGACAGGGTGAGTAAAACATTATTTTTCGGTTATTTTTTATTAATAAAATTGATTTTTTAGGTATTAACATAAGAAAATTAGTTAGAAAATGAGTGTATAAAAAAATTACTTTGTTTAAAAATTAAAAACTGACAAGTAGTGAAATGAAATGCCGGTAAATAATGAACTGCTTTATCGACATTGAACTGTCAAATATTCCGATTTAAAAATGTACTTCCTCGTTACTTTCTATAAATGCAATACACATTTGTTTAAATATTAGTTTAAGGTCCACTTTTACCACCTCTTGATAAATTTTACCGATAGATAAATTGGAGCTCTTAACCAATGAGAGCGCTTAAAACCGCTGTAACCATGGTAATTATCTATCGGATAAATTTATCAAGAGGTGGTAAAAGTGGGCCTAAGAAAATTAGCTATCGAAGAACTTATGATGGAATATAAAAGGACATTGAATAAAATATAAACAATTTAAGAAAATTTGTTTATTTCAGAAATTAAAACGAAGATAACTTAAATATCGGAAATTAACAACTGAAATATGCCGGTAAATAATGAACTACTTTATCGACCTTAAACTGTCAAAAATAACGCTAACTTAAACTTAATTAAAAAAAATTTGTTTAGATATTAATTTAAAAAATATTAGTTATCGAAGCACACCTAGTTGGAAGAGACATTGTGTAATGTACGCAGCCATGAACTTAACCTTGGTCGGAGCACGTTCAAGTGACGAAACGCAAAGTGAGAGGAACACCACCACTTCTTCTTCTTCTTCATTCAGCGGAACGTTACGTCACCGCCGCCGGTTGACTAACGTCGAAAACAACAAGAAAACCCCCACGCGTTTTCATCGCAACAACGGTTCCGGAAAAATCATCGACCGGAAAACGACAACGGCGCCCCCTGGTTTTCCAAAGTTACACAAAAAAGTAAAGGGGGCCCCGATGTCGGTGTGGAGGTAGAGTAGACCATATGGCGACTTTACCCGTCGTCTCAAGGTCTGTCCGCGTTCGTCCGCCAGGAGGATTTCACCCAAAGTACAATCAACTCTCGAACAAAAGCCCGAGCCCGAGGCTCTCAAGGCCAGACGCGAGGAGAGTCTTTTATCAGAGGACCCCCTCCAGAATTAAAAAAGGGGAAAATTGAGGTAACAGTAAACTTACTTTTTCCGAGCGATTTCCATAATGATGAACGTTATTTTTTTTGTTCTTTTTAGTGCGAAACGCGGCCAACACAATGAGGGAACGTATAGAAACCGCGAGGAACGCAACGGACCCCTTCGACCGTGTCTCGGAAACTACTAACGCACACCACGTGTCTCTCGACAAAAGAGACAAACGACGAGAACCTTTTTCCCCCACGCCGGGCTCTCTACATCAGCCAGTTGAGAAACTCAATGCCCGGTCTCCCGGCGGTTTCGTTCAACAAAACAGTCACAAGTTTGTCGTTTCTATAAACGGATATTAAAAAAATATTGATGCGACACAAAAAATTATTTTAATCACATTTTTAATTTGTCATTTTTCTTTTTTAGGTTTCCTCCCAACAAAAAAAGGGTCCTTACTCATGGTGTCTAGCCATATGTACGGCAAGGGCCTCCAGTTGGCGCTGCAAGTTGAGATTTCCGCACTCCCTACAGTAGCACATCTATTGGAAGGGGACCCCACAACAATCACAGTTTACACAAACTTAATAAAAAAAAACTTAACAAGACGATTTTTCGTGAATTTAAATTATTTTAATGAATTTGCCGAGAGAACCACACTGGACGACCGCCAGTCGCCGTCTGGTGGAAGGAAGACGGGTAACGGCCGTCGAGGGGGTACCCCGCGGACCCCTTTGCGAGACGTAGAGGGGAAGACCCATTTTCAGGGTCTTAGTACCTGGAGGTTCCAGGTAAGAAGACGGATGGTTGAGAACCGTCTGTTTGTCTGCTATCTTCAGGTAGAGAAAGATGGTAAAAAATATTAAGAAGGACGAGGAGGGGTTGGTTTGCTTCTTTACCTGGATAAAAACGGTGATGATGAGAAAATTTTCTAAAAAAATTAATATAAAGTATTTGAATGTCAATAATTTGAAACGTCAAAAATTTGAACTTATTGCCAACTTAAATCCCCTAAAATAATTAAAATAATTTTTTTAAAATCAAGGTTAATGTCAAAAATGTGAATTTATTACCAACTTAAATCCCATAAAAAATTATTTCCCCTAAAAAAATTAATATTCAATAATAAGTTTAGTCAGCTGACTCAAACAGCTGTTTTTATACTAGAGGGGTCTTTTCCAAGAACAGGTTTGTGCGTGCGTATTAGATAAGAAAGGGTTGGTAACTGTTCGTTGAACCTACGAGGACACGTGCGAGTGTTTATACGCGCGTGGAAAAGATATATACAACTACCAACACGAAATTCGTACGAAACATAAACAAAATTCTTTTTTCAATCTAAACTAAACTCCCACTTCTTCAATCTTTTCTAATCGTTTATAATAACAAAGAATGAATTAAATTATAATAAAAGTTGTCGTTTAATATTATTATTTGTTAAAAAAAATCTCTCCTAGTGACTTTCATAACTTAAAAATAGACTTAAAAGTTCAACAAGACCAAACCAAACCAGCTGTTTGGTTTTCGAGACTCCTCTCATTGTTTATTATGGCTTTTATACCTAAGTCTCCCATGGTGAGCCCAAAATAGCCGGCAAACTCCCAAGAAAAAAGAGAGAAAGAACGAGCTTTAACGTTGCTGGTTGTATTTACGCCGAGTACGTGAGAATCCCCGACGATCCTCACTAACGCATTTTCGAAACCGGTTTGGGCTCCCTTTAAAAAAGGAAAAAAAGAATTAAAGGGAGGGAGTAAAATCGATCCCTCGTTTTATAAAAATTTCTCGATTGCAAATTTTCGGTGACGTAACGTTGGAAATCGAATCGACTCCGGTGCTTTACCGTTCTAACGAAACCGCCATCTCTTTCGCCCTTTCAAAATGGAGCTAGCCGCCGCGTTGCCGATGGATAACCTAAATATCGCAACGAAACGAGCGTTACGAAAGAGCCTTTCGAAACCGCCGCGGAACAACCAAGAGGGACCCCCTAAAAGGGGGACCTTTTAGAGTAGGAGGCGAGGAAAGTGCCCACTTTCCTTCTTTTCAAAACAAAAAAAAATACATTTCGAGAGTGTCGCACACCTTTCTCTCTTCGTATTTGTATTTTAGTTGTTATCGGTTACGTGATCACACAGCTGGTCGCTTTTAAAACCGGAAATTTCTTTTATTTAACCGTTTTTTTCTTTTTAAACAGTTCTAACAACATCCATTTTATTATTTATAATAAACTATATTAATTCGTTTTGCTCCTCACCGCTCGGGAATACAATTGATCTTTGTCGGCCTTCATTGTTCATTGTTAAAAGAGTTAATTGTGCGAACTCTCGTTGGAGCCGCGTTTAGCGTCGCGACGCCCCCTCGACGTCGCGTTATGAAACCGAAAGTTTCTAAAACAACTTAATAACCTTGAAAAAAAGAAATGATACAAGAAGCAAAATTGAAATCATTAAACGAGAAATGTTACGAAACGAAATGAAATGAAGAGAAGAGAAGAAACGCGTATTCAAAGTGGTTTTTAAGTCCGGGCGAAATGTTACGGTTGCAAGAGACCACAGTAACATTTGGCGAACAAAAACCATTGTTCGGCGTCGTCGCTTTAACGCCGGACGAACCAAACGGTAGGCGAAAGGTCAGGCGATAATAGGAAATTGCCGTAATTGATGGAAGACGGTCCCACAATGTTTCGGTGCCAAGGTGAGGCCGCCGTTTGTTGCCGACATCATAAGGTTGCGAAATTTTTTATTTTTCAAGTTTCAATAAGTAAAAAAAACAAAAAAAATTTTTTTTTCTACCTAGTTTCCATATTCCTTCGTTTATCCTTTTGTTGTACACCAACGGGGGTTGGCCCCCTATGATGATGATGTTGATGGTGATGTTGTTGATGAGAAGGCGGTGGTCGATGATGTCCGGGTCGGACGATGGCGACGGCGGCGCCGCCCCACAGTCCGACATACGCCGGCGTCGTCGCCGACACGACTACGCACTGTCTTTGCTGGTGTTGTTGTTGTTGATGGTGGTGGTGATGGCGTCGGGTGTGTCCCGGAACGACAACGGCGGATTTTGTGAGGCTCGACGACGACGACGTCGCCTCGTTGGCGCCGTTCAGCAGGTCGCGGACGCTCAGTACACCACCCGGCAGCCAGCAGACGAGGGGAGTCGTTATCATGACCGCGGGACGGGAGGCACTGAGCCTCCTCCTGTTGTTGAGGACGCGGCGGCGCCGGCGCCCCCCACGAAATCGTCGACGTCGGTCGTCGCGACGCCCGAACCACCGCCGACCGCTATCGATCTTTCGCGAAAGAACCCAACCTCTAATTTCTTTAAAGCGACATCTACTCAGATAAAACACTACGAAAAAAAATTCTTAATCTTCTCATATTCCGCTTAGTAGTCAACGTGTTAAGAAAACTAATTATTTGATCTTAACACATAGTAAGTAGCCAATGTGTTAAAACCACATTCTCGTTTTCGTTGATAATCGTAAATAAATTAAATTTCGGAATCTTTGCAATCAGAATAATTAGGTATTGTTAAATAAGACGCGCGGCATAACCCGCAAATTTCAAGTTTTAATTTTATTTCTACTAACAATCGCCGTAAAACCCGTCAAAATTGCTTTCATTTGATACCAAACATGATATATTTAGGTTAAAAAATAAAAAAGTTAGGTTAGAACTGCCAAATGTCAAAATTAAATATAACGATTTTGATAAATATGGGAATGATCTTAATAAGATTCAAAATTGTTTTCATTTGATTCCAAACTTGATATATTTGGGTTAAAAAATAAAAAAGTTAGGTTAGAACTGTCAAATGTCAAAATTAAATATAACGATTTTTTTGATAAATATTGAAATGATATTTAAGAATCAGAAATGCTTTAATTTGATACCAAACATGATATATTTGGGTTAAAAATAAAAAAGTTAGGTTAGAAACTGTCAAATGTCAAAATTAAATATAACGATTTTTTGATAAATATTGGAATGATTTTAATAAGAATGAAAAATGCTTTAATTCAATACCAAACGTGATATATTAGGGTTAAAAATAAAAAAGTTAGGTTATAAACTGTCAAATGTCAAATAATCCCCATTTTGTTTTGCTAAAAATCAAGATATCTCAGTAACGGTTGGAGATGAATAAGTCGAGTTTGGGTTCATTTTAAAAGATTTTTAATTTTCTATCCGTTACTGTTAAAAAATGAACACCTTTGTAACTAAAAAAAATTTCTGATTTGATCCTTATTAAGAAACAAATACGATTTTATCCGACTAATCAAAAAATTTGGTCTCAACATTCGGCATTAATCGCGATTTTACCTTCAACGGTGTAGATTGTAGCGTGTCGGTCGCATGCGACCTTGTCTTTTATCTTTCAAAACCAATAGAAATTTCTTCTTAGATATACGAGTTTTTTTAGAAATGAATGATCTGGGTTTCATTAACTCCAATTGACACCCTCCAAATCGTTAAAATGCAAAAATAATTTAAAAAGAATCAAGTTTTCGGCCTTGAAGGCCAAGTCAACATATCCAACATTCACACCTCTAGAAATCAAACAACACCGGGTCAAGTGCACGACGTTGTCCGACGTTTTTCCATGGACGTCACGTCGTCGTCCTGGTCGTTTCGCGATCAGCCTTGCGGAGAAACAAAGCTTCTCCTCTCTCGACGCGGTCGACGTTAACTTCGTTTCGTTTCCTTTTTCGTATTTTTAACGCCTGGCCGTCGGTGCGCCGAAGGACAAGCTCTTTTACGCCTCTTTACAACTCGCCGAAAAATCGATCGAAAAGCAATAATAAAAGCAAGAATATTTAAAAAATTTAAACAAATCCAACAAGATTCAACAAAAGAAGGTCGTCCCAATTAAAACCACCACATGATTTAATTCATAAAATGGTCGTTGACTTTTAGTCACTGACTTAGTAGTTGGGTTTACGTCAGAATTCTTCCGAGTGACGAGCGGCATTTTAAGTGACCAAATGAATCAATTCGAAGAAATATTCTTTTTTATTTTCATAAAAAAAATAAAATAAGGAAGAGTTGGAAAATTCCTAAAACGTACGTCGAGAATTGAGTCGGAATATCGAGGATTCTGCGTACAACGTTAAATAGTATTGATCCCGGGGACACCCTGGGGACGTGGGTAAAAGGGGAACGAAGAGAAAAGGGACGTAAACGGCTACGTCATCGCGTTTGTTTAGGCCACTGACTTTAATGAATATATCGAATATTATAAACGAAATAAATCGCAAGGATATCCACATTTTCCTGTGTCAACCGCAAAAAGTAAAGTAAACAAAGGTCGAAACCTTACAAGAATAACCACTTCCCAAGTATTAAGTTACCAATTTCTTTTGATACACCCGATACCTTCAATAATATACAGCGTAAAGTAAAAAGTAATGGTACAAAATTTATTAAAAAGTATTTGATGATTTAAAAAAAATTGTAAGGATAAAAAAACCACCCCTGCGTTAAAACAGACACAAGGGTTCGTTTCATCGGGGTGACTGCCCCCGCCGCAGCCGGGAGGAATAAAGTATAGAGGGGGGACGAAAACTGTGTGTGTGTATTTGTATGTGATAGAGAGAGAGAATGAGTTTCGATAGCACGTGGTGCACCGGAAACGGCCTCTTACACCGTGAATACCAAGACGAGACTATTGACCTTAAAATAATAAAAAAAGACTAAAACAAAGCCCACCTAATACTTATAAGACTATACGGCGAAAATTTTAATAATTACAAATTCTTACCGTCGTCTTTGTGCCAGAAATCGCCGTGGACGTCTCCTTTTGCTTCGTACCGGCGTTTCCCCTCATTTTCGCTTCTTTTGCGCGCTTTCTACAACAAAAACAGAAAACAATAAAAATAGAAAATCTTAGATTTTTGATGAATAACACGAAAAAGAAATCTTACGTCCGAACTACCTGGATTTTTGAACAGATGTCCCCTATAACTACAAAAGAGAAATCGAAAGAACCAAGTTCTTCCTACCTGGAGTTACTCCACAAAAAAGAACAACAAAAAAATGAAATTGAAGAAAAGAATTTTATTTTAATGGTTAAAATGAAACTACTTTAGCTTCCGATCAATATCCCCGGATTTTTTTCTTTTCCAACAGAATTCCAACAGAGGGCGTACTAAGCACTTTGAAAAGAGACGATTTTCGAAATGATTTAAAAAACGAATTTTTAATCGGCGATTAATCGATACAAGTTCAATACCCACAGCCGCAACTAAAGACGTCGTCGTCGAGGAGAAACGAGTTGATTGAACGCACATTTCCCGGCGTAACCCTGGCGTTGGTCGTTACCATTTCGCTCTACAATTTGACCTTTGCCACCGGGCGGACAGATTTTTAAGTGAAAGGATACCCAGACACTCAAAAAAATCTCATTCTTAATTTATAAAAAACGAATTTGGAAGACGAAACGCGAAAATCATCACATTTCGACTTCCGGTGGCGAATTTAAACGTTAATTTTACGATTATCGTAATCTTCGTGGAGAATCCTTTAAAATGAACCCAAACATGACATACTATCCGCGATATTTTGATTTTGACATTTTTTAAATCCAAGATGGCGGAATATAAATTTTTCGTCAATATTGTTGTAAATAATTAAAAAACTCGAAAAATGAGTCCAAACTCGAAATATCTAAGTGTTATGATTTATGATTCCCGAGATATCGTAATTTTTATAAAATCAAACTGGCGGAAATCAAAACGCCATCTATGCATGTAACTATGAACTTTATAATAAATATAGAGTGTGATACATCAAATTAGGTTAAAATTTTCTGGTCTTTACAAAAATCTTATTCTTTTTGATGTACGTTAATAATTACAGCTATTTGGTTGTAACTTGGACATTAAGAACGATAAATTGAGCATAAAGAAACATTTTTGTATCAATTTTTATTACAAAGATAACATCGTATCAAAAGGTCTTTAAACAGTAAACACATTCAAAAACCAAAGCTTTTTGGTTCGGTTCCAAATAAAGGCATATACGCAAAACCAGACGATCAGAAGAGAAGAACACCAGCCTGTCGAAGGCCAACGGCGCCGTCTAGATATTCCTTTTGCTGCTATTTCGGTCGGACAGAACGCGCGACGCTCCGGGGGTTGGAATGCGAAGGTTGAAGGGGGCCCCGCGAACGCTCCACATTTCGAAAAGAGGCGCCCCCTCCGAGAACCAACAACAACAACAACAACAACAAGAACACCGAGACGAAGAGACGTAAATGAACAAGAAGACGACGAAGAAGAGAAAGAATAAGAAGAGAAAGAGAAGAAGGAGAAAGGACGCGCGTCTCGACGGCCGGCGCAAGTTGAAGGTCGCCGTTCATTGTTGTTGGCCCCCCGGGAGAACTGGGAGGCCCGCGGGGCAGACCTCGAGAGGTCAATAGTACCGAGTCATTACACCAAAAAAAAATTATCCGTAAATAAAGGTTGTAAGTAATAAAAATAAAAAAAGAATTGGTTTAAAACGAATTAAAAAAAAGTTTGGAGTAGCGCCATCTGTGAGCACACGAAAGAGATTTAAGTCGGCATTGTAGAAAATCTAGTAACATAAAATAACCGACAGATGTCGCTTTGTATGGGGAATTTAAAAATAATTATAGAAAGTAAATTCAAATTTGCAACATAGATAGTTATAAATAGTTACGGATTTATCATAAAATACATCAACAAGTCGAGGTGGTTATATAAATAAAGTTAAATAAGAGAAATTGAGTATCGCGTTCTAACCTAGAATAGAAAGTATTTAAATACCTATTAAATTTATCGTTTCGTTTTGAACAACTCAATTACAATTTATCAACATTTTAATTTCGTCCTTGTTTTTGTGTCATTGAATTTTTTTATTGTAACTTTCGTTATCAAAACCGGTAGAACCTCGTATAAAAAAAATAACCTCCAAATATGTTTGGTACGTTTGTTGCATACGAAATCAAAAAAATAAATAAATAAAACAACGACAATGAGCGTCCGTCAGAATCACCACGATTCCATTCTACTTGTGAGCACCTTCATGAGCTCGACGAGGCTTTCGTTCACCTTCTGGGACCCGTATACCTTGAAGATGTGATACAAAAATACGCAGAACTTGACACACATCTAGATTGGGTTGCTCAACGAGCATTTTTTTTTAATCGACGCGACTTTCCATTCGAAAAAATACTTTTTCATGTTAATTTAAGACTTCTTTGTTCTTAATAACAAAAACGTCATTGACATCGAAAGTAACAAAGAAAATTTTCTTATCACACATATTCTTCTTAATATGTTAACTCTTTTAAATTTAACTTAATCAAAATCGGCATGATTTTAAATCATCCTCCAAATGGTCCCAATTTGTTTTTAATTACTAAAACACCTAACTTCTTAGTAGTTGCGTTCCTTTTTCTTTTTTGTCCATGATAACCTTCACTAGTTATAGTAATCGTTACGAAACGGTCAAAGCGGTCCCTGAAGGTTATGTTTAATTCCGAACAAGGAGGTAAAGATTTCAAAATAAGATTCCCACAATATTTTCTTTTATATTGAAGAAAAATAACCAGCCTGCTATCGTCAAATACAAATATTTTGATACCCTATCGGGTTGATAACATTTGCTTGTAAAGTTCAACCAAACGATAGCAGGAAACGTGCGCTCGAAAAATCGGTGCCGTTTCTAAAGGCGGAGAAATCTTGCGGAAGCGTTTACTTCCGCTCACTAAACGACTTGTCTCAAAAACCTTTAAGTACTCTCTAAAAAATTCTTCTTAAATAAATTACCTTTTCTTTCCAAATTTTCAATTATAACCTAAAAAATCAACGAAATGTAATAAACGAAAACAAAAGTGAAACAACCATGGCCGCCTAAACCCCCTTTTACAACAACCAACCCTTCATAACCACTAAATCACCAAAAATGAACCGAAAAATCCAAACTTTCAAAGGAAAATCTTTACGAAAGACATTAAAATAACTTAACCGTAACAAATTAGATGTGTTAACTATCTAGAAATCGATCCGAAACGGCACGATTTTTTTTAATGAGTCCAACATACCTTTGGTATCCCGCGACGTCCGCTTCGCCAAGAAAACGTTAACACACAGCTGGAACACTATGAAAACACCACCCGGATCGTTTTTAGTCTCTGAAACGGCTAAATATCCGCGGAAATCCGTTCCCGGAGACCGTAAACACCGCGGATCGAGGCCGTTATTTTAGAACTGTCAAATGAGAAACGTCAAAAACGAATCTCGCACGGAATTTTATTCGAACGGATTTTTTCGGTTTCGTTTCGATCGAAAATCCTTTCTTCGGCCGTCGCGAGGTCAACTAATTGACTGAATGTTTATCATTGTTTACGGACTGTTGGCGGCTCGATTGGTTAGATTAGCACGGATACCAACCATTTAATTAATCGATTGAAGGGGGTCGGTAATTTATTTATTACAGTTTTTTAAAAATAATTTCTTATGATTAAATATAAATAATCACCGATTTATTAATAAATATATTTTAATCTTGGTAATAAATTAATTTAAACAACAAAGAAAATCTTAAATATAATTATTTAATAGCGCCATCTATCGGAAATTTTGTTGTCTCGAAATAATTTAACTTTAATTATTTATTTATGAGTTATTTTCGTTTTAATTCAATAAATAATCGTATTAAATATTTTTTTAACAATAATTAAATAATTAGGATGAGTACCCCAAAAAATAACAACAAATTCCCTAAATATGTCAAATCGCCAACCAGCATCTGTCACTCGGTTGACAAATCTTGCTTAGTGTTAAAAATTTCAACATTTTTTCCGAATTTAAGCGTTTCTTCAATTTGTCATAAGTGAAAATGGTACGTAATAATAATCATTAATCCTATTCCATTTAAAAAGTGATAAGTAAACGTTGAAAAACGGAGTTTTTAAAGTAGAGCATGTCACACCCACGTAAGATAAGGCAAGGAAAAAATGGTTTGTTTACAGGGCGAGCAACAGTTCGACTGCGCCCTGGATTTAATGCGCCGGCTGCCACCCCAGGAAATTGAGAAAAATCTTGGTGAACTCATCGATCTCGTCCCCGAGCTGTGTGAAGATCTCCTAACCTCCGTAGACCAACCGTTAAAAATTGCTAAAGATAAAGAATCGGGGAAAGATTATCTTTTGTGCGATTATAATAGAGATGGGGATTCATATAGGTCGCCATGGTCAAATACTTATGATCCACCGTTAGAAGATGGATCAATGCCATCTGATAAATTAAGAAAATTAGAACTTGATGCAAATAATGCTTTCGATCAATACCGCGATATGTATTTTGAAGGTGGTGTCTCATCCGTTTATTTTTGGGATTTACCCCAAAGTGGTTTTGCGGGTGTTATTTTGATTAAAAAAACCGGTGATGGAAGTAAGAAAATTAAGGGTTGTTGGGACTCCATCCATGTCGTTGAAGTCCAAGAAAAAGGAAAAGGAAGAAATTCGAACTACAAAATGACTTCTACGGCTATGTTATGGCTCCAAACAAACAAACAAGGTTCGGGCACAATGAATTTAGGAGGAAGTTTAACTCGGCAGTATCAAATCGATGCTCCCGTTAATGATTTTAATCCTCACATTGCAAATATCGGTCGAATGGTTGAGGATATCGAGAACAAAATAAGAAATACGTTGAATGAAATTTATTTTAGTAAGACTAAGGATATTGTTAATAGTTTACGATCCGTACAACCTCTCACTGAGTCTAATAAACAACAAGCGCTTCAACAAGATTTAGCTCAAGCACTTCAACGTAGACATAATAAATCAGATAACTGATGCTTGCAGGTTTTCGAAATTGTCTGCGATGAATGAAACTGCCCCCCATCTAAAAAAAACAATTATGGATTGTAAAAATTAAAAAAAATTAAAATGAAATTGGAATAACGAGAATTACGAGTATTATATCTTTTATATTTGTAAGAAATAATCTTTATGTATATTTATGCTTTTTATTTTCACAAATAAAGAACTTAATCCTTTTTTTTTTTTCTATTCAAGATTTTGCATTTCTTTTTCATTTGTAAGTTTTGACTTAATTAACAAGGTTAATTGGCTATAATGTAAAGGCTATCGGTAGATTTATAGTGAGATTGGATTGTAATTAAGCTCAAAACGAAGAAATAAATAAATAAAGAACTTAAGGCATGTGTAAATTTAAGAAAATGAACAATCTTTTAATTTTGAAGTTTTAATGTAAATGAAAAGATCTAAATAAATAATTTTTGTATATAACAAAGCTCCTTTTATTTATTAACATATAAAATTAATTTATTTATAATTAATGTGACATTAAATTTGACATAATACTTGACGTTTCTTCCGACACTTAAACGTAAATTTTGACGTTTTCACCAATAAATACATCAATTAATAAATTAAAAGATTTTTATTTCTCTTCGTTATTCCTATTAAAGTCTTGACATTAAAATTGTTGTCGTAGCACTTGTTGACCATAATAAAACTCTTGATTAGATAATGAAATATAATGATCCTCCTCCTATATATAGCAACTCTTTCAAATTGTTTTCTTTCCTGTTTAAGAATAAATTTTGCGCATGCTTACAAAACGTGCTGAGTACCCTACCTTAAATCCTTCAAATCTTATTCGTTGTCCGTCTTAACTTGGGTGGTCCAAACCAATTTCCTTCTCCTTTTATTTTCAGCACTTGTCCTCTTCGGAACACGCGGGTGGCCCCGCCGTCTCGCTTCAACGCTTTAATTCTTCAACAACCCATTTCACTTCGTTACCAAAGCAAAACAAACGGAAACTCTTCCTTGGAAAGTAAAGGCACAAGAAGTGAAGAGAAGAATGATTTTGATGTAGTTGTGGTACAACACGTGCGAGTTAATAAAAGATGAAAAAATTTTGGATAAGTTTTTGTGTTTTTTTTGTGTTAATAACCGGAATTTTTACATTGCGCATTAAAAGAAGGTTAAAAGTGAATCCCCACAATTTAGAATATTGTAAAAGACCAGCAAAGTGTGAAATTTTAAACGTAACGACTTGTTTAGGAACAAAACTACCTTATGGATTAACTTCTTTATCACACACCGGCTTAAACGGCGAAGAACAAGTTGTGGAACGATTAAATTTATTTAAAAATTCCATTTATTTACCGAGATGTTGGCCAATTATTCAACCGTTTCTTTGTGCGCATTTCGTACCAAAATGTGAAAACGATTTCGTTTATTTACCATCAAACGATATGTGCAAAAGCGCCGAAAAATTATGCTCAACATTCTACAATTTAACTGGTCTCGATTTCGATTGCGAAGATTCAAACTTATTTCCACACGATTGCAAAAATTACATCGTCGATTTAAACACAACAAAAGGAGTCTGCATCACACCTTTAATTAAAACAGATCAAGACGAATCTTTTTATTCAGGAATCGATGGTTGTGGGTTATCATGTAAAGATCCATTCTACACCCAAATCGAGCATAAACAAATCCACAAATTAATTGGATATTGCGTCTTTTTATGTTTATTTTTAACGTTGTTTACCGTTTGTACGTTTATAATCGATTGGAAAACAGCTAATAAATACCCAGCTTTAGCGGTTTTTTATATAAATATATGTTTTTTGGTGTCGTACAGCGGATGGATGATTCAATTTCTTGGTACGGAGACACGGGAAGATATTGTTTGCAAACGAGATGGAACTTTACGTAAATCTGAGCCTAGAGCCACAGAAAATTTATCTTGTGTCATTGTTTTCGTTATGGTTTATTATTTTTTAATCGCCGGAATGGTTTGGTTTGTTATTTTCACGTATTGTTGGTACATGGGTTCTTTGCAAGCTTTGGGGACCATCCAAGAACGAGTTGATAAGAAAAAGGCTTATTTTCATTTAGTTGCTTGGAGTTTACCCCTTATGTTAACCATCACAACGATGGCTTTAGGAGAAATCGATGGTGATTACACTTCCGGGATTTGCTTTGTTGGCTGTTTAAACTCAGCAGCTAGAGCTGGGATGTTATTAGCACCTTTAGGAGTTGCTATATCATTAGGTGGATATATTATAATAAGAGGTAATGTGTAAAAGATTAAATTAAAATTAAAGTGAGGTTATGTTGGTAATTATAACCTCAAATTTAATAATAATAATTTATTTAATTACTTTTAGGATTAATTTTATTAATAAGGGTGAAAATAGAAAGCAGAGAGATAATTTCGGTTCATTCAAGTCGAAAAATTCGCTCGAATATAATGCGAATGGGAATCTTCGCTCTTCTCATGGTTCTTTTTACGATAATCACCTTCGTTTATTTCTCATACCGTACGACAAACATTGAATCATGGAACGAAAGTTTATATAAATACATTAAGTACTAAATAAAGTGATAAGTAATTTTCTTCATAATAAACCTCAATTTTTAGATGCAAAATTCAAACTCCGATTGAAGACCACAACTGCAAATTAGATTCCCGCCCCAGTTTGGCAATGCTTCAGTTACAATTAATAGCGGTTTTTGGGAGTGGGATAGCGATGGCCTCTTGGACGTGGTGTGCTGCAACGGTGCATTCTTGGACCCGATACATCCGAAGGTAAAATTTCAATTAAAAGAACCAAAACGTTGATTAAAATCTTTATTTAAATAGCTCATGTCTTTTTAGAAAATTTAATTGTGAATTAGAAGAACCGATGAAGTTACAAAAGCACAAAATAATCGCCTTAGCTTTTGCTAAGCGAGAGAAATTCAAACAAGATGGGCGAATATCAATTGAGCGCCAAAACAGTGATCCTGTTGGGTTAAATTTTGAATTAAACAGCGAAGTTAGTACTACGTGGGCTAAAAATCTTCCGAGATTAGTGACACGACGTGGGGCAGTCCCAAACGACGTGATTTATTCTTATACCAGTAGCAATCAATCGATTGATTCTGAGATGAGTTTCAGTGTACGTCACGTCAGCATAGAATCTCGTAGAAACTCAACTGATAGTCAAGTTTCAGTTAAAATAGCCGAATTAAAAGCTACGAGAAAAGCTAAAGGTCGCATGCATAGATATACAAGACATAAACCGAAGACATCCAGAGAAATTGGAAGGAAGTTATCGAAAACCTCAAGTTCTAGTAAAATGAAAATTTTCCAACCAAACATGGGTAGAAGAACCGCAATTTCCGGTTTAGACGGCCAACACATAAACGATTTATTATCAAACGGAAAACTCGTTATTCCATATAACCTCAACATTGACTCTTTGAGTGAAGACGAAAACGTATCAGTTTCGATCTCAGAGAGTCGTTTTAACATGGTCTTAAGTAACAATTTAGACTTAAACGATCACTTAGCGATGAAATCTTTAAGGCAAGGTTTAAAAATTGGAGAATTAAAAACCACCTCTGATGACAGTGAGTGTTCGAAAAAAGATTACGACCAAGAAAAACGCGAATCTCGCGGAAGCAAACGATCTAAATACTCGAAACGATCAAAAATTCAATATTCAAGCGATTCCGATGACGATTCTGATAATAATCGGCGATCAGAAAGCTCTTCGTGTCCCGAATTAAAGCAGTTGGTGCAAAGTTCTTTGAATTCCGGGGCATCGATGGGCTGTTCGGAGAAAAATCGCGGAAGTAAGCAATCGAAACGATCGATTGATGTCGCAGTACAAGCTAACGCCAAAGAAATTATGACTCAAACGGCTGCTTATGAGCTTCCGTTGAAATCGGACGAGAAAAAACATAAAACGAAACAGGCTAAAATGAAGGAGAATAAATATAAAAAGGAGGGGAGGAGCAATGAGAAGGTTTTATTTGAGAAAATTCGAAGATCTAAAGAGAAATATAAAGATTATGGAAGTGAAAATGAAAAGGTTATGTTGAATGTTTAATTTTTAAGGTTATAAATGACTGAATGTAATTTGTAGGTTAAGAATTTTATTAATTTTGTTATTTATGTTAATTTAGGAAACACTAAATTAAAATATAAAGCATAAAATGAATTACAAGTTAATTTAAGTTCATGTTAAAGTCCCGTAAAGTAGTTTCAATAAAAACTCGAAAAGTGTTCACTCGTGCATACATATCTGTACGAGAATTACAAGGTCTTATGTATCTTGCTAAAATACCAATTACTTGATCTCCTAGTACTAGCGGACTTCCCATATCACCCATACATCCAGTTGGTACATTAGTTCCTGGAGCCGGTGCCGCAGAACAAATTATATAATTACTTTGAGCCGGTGCGAAATCAGTGCAAGCTATAAAGCATGAATTTGTTATAATAACAAGTATGTGATAATTTTTTTTCTTACTATTAGTGAAAGTTATATTAGCCGCTTGTAATCTTTCGGATAATCCAGGTGAAGTAGCATTAGTGGCACCCCATCCGGTTAAAATGGCCACAGAAGGATTTGGTAATGCTGTTTGTCCCCAATTTGCTGGGGGCACTCGTATTAATGATACATTCTCGCTTGGAATGATTAAAGGTGTCCGTAAAATTAAAACGGCAATATTATGCAGTTGATTGATCCTAAAATTAAATTCGTTTTAGAAATTAACCTCACTTTTTCCTCATCTCGAAACAACATAACTTCACTTTTTTTAACTAAATAATTTAGAATAAAAATAGAATTTTCCTTAAAATAACTAAAGTAAAATTTGTAATTAAATAATTACTTAATTAGAATTATAAAAATATTTTTATTTGAAATTAAAAAATTAATCAAAATAATTTAAGTGCGCCATCTTTTGAAACAATTTCGAACTAATTTGAGGTATTAACTTACGGATTTGTTTCAAAAATCCTATAAGTTTGCACATTAATTGTTTGACCAAGCGTTAAAGGTTCGTTTAAATTCAAAATACCAGCTCGAACCCTATAAATAGCGTTAAAATTTGCAACACAAGATGCAGCTGTTAGAATAGCTCGATTTGCAATGATGGCTCCTCCGCAAACGTGTTGCCAAAACCCATTCATTCCACGTTCTATTGAGACCGTGTGTCCAAAATATGATCCATTATATACATTTTGACCGTTTATAATCCTTTGAGAACTTTCAGATACAATTGTAAACGCAGAAATTACTTGGAGGGCGAGAAAAATTGTCGCAATTACGCGGAAACACTTCATTCTTTTTTAGTTTATGACTTTAATATAATAACTAAAAATTTTTTAGATCGGGTTGTATTTATAAGGAATACTTTAAGCTTGGATGATTTTCCGATTAAGATTGGAGATTCCACCTTTTTTTCGGGGTTTTAGATAAATTCGTATCTTTAAGCCCTTTCATGGAAACATTTAAGGTTGTTTTCTTGTTTTTGTATGGTTTTATAATCTTCATATACATTTTTACAATTAAATTTGATGATTCTTGAACAAGTCTTAAAAATTATTGAACGTCAAAATGACGTTTTTGAAACGTCAAATAATTTTTTTGTAACCAACTTAAATTTGTTAACATAGATTTCCTTTTAATTTTAATTACATTGCGATATTAAACTTAATTGCATTTTTAAATTGCAACAATTAATTTAATTTAAATTAAAAAAATTTAAATAATTAAATAATTTCTAAGATACGATTTTTTAAATTGATTTGTAAGTTTTAACTTTGTACAAAAGATGGCGGGTTATAAAGTAATTAAAAATTTAATGTTAAATAATTAAATTTAATTTAATTATAAATTAATAAAATAAATTTAATTATAAATCGATGAAAAATGTTTTTTTCCTTTTAATAATTAACTACACTTGTTGCTTTATTTGATTTATCAGATACGTCCAAAACTATTGATTTTTTGCGATCATGCCCAGTGGGGCCCATTAAGAGCGTCATTCTGTGGCGTCAGTTATCCAGACGCATTACCACGATGATCAGTCGAAAATACCAAATTTAAGTTGTCTTTGAGGTCTAATTGGGTGGGAAGGAGAAAAATGGAAGATCTCTTATTGAATATAATCAAGGAATGTACCGGAAGCAAGTTAACGCAGATAAAAAATTCTGCGCAGGAGGCATATGGTTCGCGTTACGATAAAATCCTTCCGTTTTAGATTATTTATAAACATTTTGTTACGTTATAGATTTATTATGCTCTCAACACAATTTATTAAGAAGCCCATCTCACGAATTACGAACAGCTTGTTTTGTTCCTCTCAAATTATCTTTGGAAAGTAAGAAAAGTAAGCTTATATCATTGGCTGTGACAGGATTAAATGTAAGTTTCTTTTCACTTCGAACTTGTTTCTGAAGAAGGTTGCAACGTGGCATCTGAAACGTTAAACGTTTTTTCAAAAGACGCACGGCTTAACCCGAAAGTTTCTAGTTCTAGGTCTAATGTTAGTTCTAGTGATAGTGCTAGTGTTAGTTCTAGTTTTAGTTTAATTAACACTGGCCATGAAAGCCTTTGCACTTATTTTGTTCTTTAACTTGTTAAAGCTTTTTTTTAAACAATTATCTTTGTTTAGAAAATCGTTCGAGATGAACGTTTCCAATCCGGGAGCGAACCGGAAGATGATTCCCTTTGGTTACCGGCCCAACTCCTCCATGCAACAGCTTCGATTTTATCACAATGTGAAGATACCCAAGTTCAAATACTTCGGGTGGTGTTGTCATTAGCTTGTAGTGCTAGTTGGGCTTTGAACGGTCGATTGGTTATGCTTTTAATCAGTAGGTGTGGGGAAACGTATGAAAATGGGACTCAAGCGGTTCGAGCTGCTGCCCAAGCGGCCGCAAGCCAAACATTAACAGCTTTTTGTTCATTTTTGGGTAAATTAAGTATTTATGTGGTCAAATTTGATTTTGATTAGTTAATTTTTAGATGAGGAATGCCAAGAAATCCTACAACAACAACAGAAACATAAAAACAGTGGGAGTAGTGCTGAAATGGTTTATAATAAAACATCAGCTGTTGCTTGTTTTAACGAGGCCATTCCTGTGATGCAATACGTTTGCAGTAGATTAGAAGAAACTAAATCGTAACCTTCAAATAATTTTTTTTTTTTATTTTAATGATTTATTTTTAGGGTACCAAAATCTAATGACACGACGGTCTTCCTTCTCGAATGCCTTCTTACTTTAGTAAACACTTTGCCTCAAACGGTACATTCCAACACACATTTCACGACTTTCTTATGGCAACGTTTTTGCCCGGCTCTTTTGGCTTTATTGGGAGCCCCCGGTGATCCAACAACGCAATCTTTAACCAATAGTCAAGCGAAGATCGTGTACAGCATAGGAATCCAAGTGGTACGATTAGTTGGAAGAGAACGTGCGTTAAGACCCGTTTTGGAAGCGTTGTTCCATCGAATGCTTCTCCTTCCAAATCCGATAAAGCGATTAGAACCACTTCGAGCAGCCAAAGAACTTTTGCGCTCCCCGGCTCGCTTAGCCGATTTGTTATTGCTTTCGGGACCAATTCATAGACACGCCGGTGATGATATGGCTATTATTAGATTGATGGTTGATTCAATCGAGGAGTCGGCACAATGTAATGAGCCGAATATTGTTTTGGCGAGTGTTGAGTGTGTTGGGGCGCTTTTAGGGAGTTTAGAGGCGCTTTGTCGCGGTGAAGGCTTAAATTTAGACGACTCCGAAGTGACAGAGCAAAGATATCCAACTTTGGAGCAAGCCGATTATACAGGACCTTTAACGTACCAATCTTTAGCGAGGTTACCTAAACCCTACAGGGATGTAGTGGCTAATTTAAAATATCAAAGTGATTCTGATAGCAGTGGTATTGATGGTGGGGCTCAAATAGATGAGCAAACTGATAGTGAGTGTTCCGGGGCCACCGAAGGACCCGAAGAATACGGGAGCCAATCCGATGATAGCATAATGGACGATGAAAGCTTTTTAACCAACCAACAACTACAAAAATTGCATAATTTACCTAAATCGTTGAATTTAGGCCGAGCTGGAATCAACGAATGCAACACAGACGTTGAACGTCACAATGCAAGACACTTTGTTAAAACGTTACAAAACATTTTACTTCCAAATTTATTAAGTTTAAGGTCTTCGATACAAATCGATGACGTTTTACAGGAATTCGCCTCGAAATGTTGTCAACACAACTCCGCACAAAACTATGAAATAACCACAATCATGAACGCTGACGGGATTTATTTAGCTACTTATTCAGCTTTGTTATTAAATTTAAAACTGATTCAATCAGGGCATTACAACGAACAAGCCAAAGAATCAATCACTTTAATGACAGAGACCCAATTCGTGGATGAAATTCATGGAAGTGGGGTTTTAGTTTATGTTTCAGCGACGTGGTTATGCGAGTTATACCAAAATGTTTTAGCTAAATCTTTGCTTGAAATAGCGGGGTATAACCCAAAAGTTTCACCTCAACCGGCTTTAATTAATTTATTAACAGGTTTTTACAACAAATTTTTTATTTCTTAAATCATAATTTTTATTGTTTGTAGATGTTGGCGGGTTATGCCCATCTCAACTGTTAACCGATTGGCAAAAACTCCAAAAAGTCCACGGTCATCAAGAAAATTCCCCCGAAGTCGAAGCCGGAGTAAAACTTTCCCGCAGAGTTTTAACGTGTTGTTGGGGATCCGTCGTTTCCGTGTTAGGAAGCGTCGTCGAAACATCCCACATAACCGGAACTTCATCGGCTATCACACGATTAGTCGCACGGAGATCACGCCAAAAATATCGACAAAGACTTCGTGATGATATCATAACCGCCAGCTTGGAAGGTCTGCATAAAGCAGCGAGTTTAAGTAACATTTTAAAGTTACAATCGAGAAGTGGGAGTATTTTGGCGTTATTATCGGCTTCTTCGTGTAAAAATCAAAGCAACGGGGCTAAACTGCCTGCTTCGCACGCTTTATCATTAGATGTTTTGTTATCTAAAGGTACTTAGTTAAAAACTAATAAAACAATTAAAATAAATTTATTTTTTTAGGGTTAGCTTTAGGGTCGCATAGTTCTGAATGTTGGCAACACGTTTTTAGCGCCTCCGTAAGTGTTGCCAATTTAGAACATGCCCTTTTCAGCAAAACGGGGTCCGCTCAACTCCTTATGGTCGCCCAAAATACCCAAAACAACATCGTTACATCAACAACTTGCACCAATACGATTGACCGATTAAATTTAAGCTTTAATCCTAACGTCCAAGAAGAAGAAACTTGCGTTGACGTTTATAGTTTCTTACAAAACACTTCATCTTATTCAAATTCAAATAATTCAGCACAAGGAGATGCTACAGTATCGGAAATCGTTGATAAAAGCGGAGTTTTAAATAGTCAAGGGAAAGGAATTTTGCATGGAGTTCATGCCGCTAAAGTTTGTTGTGTTTTATCCTCGAAAGCGGATGAATTGTTTCATTCGGCTGCTTTGAAACTTGCTCTTCCTGGGTTGTGTAGTTTTTTAACTGAGTTGTGTAAATCATCACATTCACAGGTATATAAGCAAATTAATTTTTTTTTATTATTATTTATTTAATTAATTAAATTTTTTTGTTATAAGTTGGTAAGATTGACAGGGAATTTTGTTATACCAAGTTTTGAAATCGATTGGACACAAATGCTTAAATCGTTGTTATTTAAAAAGAAAAAAAACTTTGGTTTTATATTTAAACAAAAATAATTGCGAAATTTTTATTTTAATTCAACAAAATGTAATAAGAATTTCTTAACCTCAACTATCTAGTTACTAAAAAACTTCTAGTTAGGTATTTATTAGAAATCAAACCAATTTGAATTTGACATTGACAGATTTATATTTTAGGTTAATTTTTTTATTAATTTATTTTTCTTTTTAGTTATTTACGCGTTGTGAAGAAATTCCACGAAAACAATCAAAATGGTGGAAAAAGCAGTTAGAAACGAACCAAAAACCACCAACTACATTACTTTTACATCGAATTGGAGAAGTAACTTTAAAATGTATCCGTTCTGGACGACCATTAATTCATATAATGAAAGTTTGGTCGATTGTTGGTCCCCATTTTATGCAAGCGGCTTGTCATAAAGACCGAGATGTTTCGAAAAAAGCGGTTCAATGCATTCACGACACCGTAACGGCTTTGTTGAGTGAACAAACGGAATTGGCGCATTTCCATTTTAACGAAGCCCTGTTTAAGCCGTTTGAAAATTTGCTTTGTCTTGAATTATGTGACGTCGACGTTCAAGATCAAATTGTTTCTTGTTTATGCGAGTTCGTCGAGGCGAATCGTACGGAGATATGTTCAGGATGGAGGCCGTTGTTTGGTACGTTGCGAGTTGCGAATAGCAAAAATAACGCGACTGCGATTTTGGACGTTTTTAAAATATTTTTACAAACCGATAATACTTTGGTGTTTGCAAACGCCGCTTTGGATTATATATTATGTTTGTTATCGCACGTTCGAGGAGGGATTATCGAGGAGAAAGACTCGGAAGGTGTTGATTTATGCATAGAGTGTTTGAAATTGTTACAAAATTGCGCTGCTATTTTATCGATGATGTATAACATGCCAAAATGCCCAACTTTTAATATTTCGCATCGAGTTAACGTGGAGAGTGAGCCCCAGTTAGTCGATCCGATCCCTCAAAATAACGAGATTAACAATTTTAATCAAGAAAATTTTGAACAATTGTCTTATAAAATATTAGGGATGAAATCGGACGTGGAAAATTGCGAAACTTTATCGAAAATGGATCGACAAAATTCTTGTTTGAAGGTGTGGTACGTTTTGTTGGAAGGGTTATCTTCGGCTACTGTAATTTCACCAAATAAGAGTCAACCGTTTATTGTAGATACTTTGTTTAAATTGTTAAGAGATTTGATTGTAAATCCTGGGGTTAATTTCGGGTTATATTCTATTAATCACCTTTTATTACCAACCGTGCAAAATTGGTTGAGACAAAACACAAAGTTACAAAAAACTTACGACGTTTGGCACAATTTCAAGCATTGTTGTGGGTTATCGAGTGAATTAGTCGTCGATTATTTGAGCCATTTGCAGGGAAATAACGATAAATACAATGATTTAAACATTTTAAACCTAGAAAAGCAGCAAAAACAAGAAAACCCGGGGATTACGTTGGCGTTAAAACAACTTATTATTATTCTAATTGAATGTATAGCTCAGCCGAATGAAAATATCGCCCGGCTGGGTACCTCTTGTATCAGACATATCATTTTGAGTGTGGGCCAAATCTTAACGGTGCATCAATGGGAGATAATCGCAACGGGGATGCATAGGGCTTGTACGATTAGTTTGAACCCATTGCATCAATTAACATTGGCGTTTAAACAAAACTCAGATAGCTTTTATGGCGATATGGCCACAGTGAAGGTTGCCGCAAGAAAAGATAGCACAATCCCCGAAAATGAGCGACTCTACGAGTTAGCCCAACAAGTTTTTTTGATGCAAACCCAAAGAAATTGTAATAAATGCACCGGGAAATTATGCGAGTGCGATTTAAGCATAACAATCGATGACAGGAGTTACGTTTTCTTATTGTACCCCTTAGATATGACTTCGGTGTTAAACCCCGATTTATACACGGTTCGTGTACCGTTTAGAAACTTGGTTGTGGGGATTTTAGCGCACCAAATGTTGATACAAACCATTTCAAGCGCTTTGTTACAAAATTTAAACCACGTCACCCCCATTTTAAACATTCTCCAAATCCATTCGTGCAGCTTAAGAGGCATTTTAAAACACGTCAACGCTAAACACGTTAACATCCTATTAAAATGCTTGGAAATATCGAATATTCGTGCGAAAGAATTCGATTTGCGCCCGGGATTAAAATTCTTAACCCAAAAAGTGGGCAACCTAAACAAATCGGCTAACCTCTACACGCAAGCGAACACTTCGGAAGTTGTCCAAATAATCGTTTTAATCGAATTATGCTTAGACGGGATCCAAAAGTACAATATAACCCCGAAAGATTTAAAAGAATTATTAGGGAAAGAAGACAAAGAGAAACACCAAACCGATTTAGATTACATCGAATCGTTTTTAAGAACGCTCCGGTTTAAATGGGAGTATTTGTGCGAATCTTACATCAATTTAACGATTAATATCCCGGTTGATGACGACCTTCAAAGCTTGGATGATTTATCCGAAAAGGAAAGCGAAAAAGAAACTAATCCAACTTTGAAAAGGACCGAAAGTCTGTGTTCAACTGATTCGGAGAGCTATTTAGAAAAGGGGATTTTATCCGATAACCCGAAAGACGATAAAGATTCGATTAAATCGAGCAAAAACGATCTTAACTCCACCGATGACGAAACCAACGAATTAGCGGCGAAATTCAACAAAAAAACTAAATACACGCCACTCCCAAATTCCATTAAGTACGACACCAACACTTTATTACAAATGAAAGCAACCCTCTCCACGGAAAGCATCATATCGATCACTAAAAACAAAGAAAAATCCGATAAAGAAACCGCGGATAAAATCGAGCAAATGTTGGAGCAATACCGCCAAAGAAAAACGATTAATTTTAACCCCCCAACTCAACGAATCAATCCTTTCGTAAATTCGTTACCGCCCCAACAACCGATTCCATCGGAGATCCAACAACAACGCGCTTTAAGCATCTTTAAGGACGCCGATGCTTATAAAATAACAAGAATTGAAACTATGGAAGCTTGCTTGGAATTATTGGGGAGTTTAAGCTCCGATCGTTTATCCCCTTTAGCCGTCGTGCTTAAAGACGGGGGTGTCATGCTAATTAACGCTCAAGACGACAAAATTAAAATTGCCGCTGAAAAATTGCTTCAAAGAATGAACATTTCTTACGTTGATGATTTTTAATTGAATGACTTTTACTCGTTCCTATAAACGTTGTAATCGTTTTGCTCACTAAAACAATAATATCTCTATTTAAAGAAACATGATTACGAATGTATTGTTGTTTAAGCTTACCCGATGGTTGTGCTTTTCCCGTAAACTTAAAATTTGATTTATTATTGAGCACACTATGAAATAGATTCTAATAATGAATGTAATTGAAACAAATCCCATCGATGTGACTATTTCAGGTTAAAACAAATCATTTTTATTAATTTTAAGCGTATAATTGTAATCTTCGTTAATGTTAGCCACCGTAGCGTCCATAGAATAGAAATGAACCGAAAATGTCCAATATCACAATAATTACTGTATAATAATAACATTTATTTTCTCTAAATGTCTTTATCAAGAGATTTATTTTATTATTTGTATTTTATTGGAGAATAATGTAATAATATGTATACGTGATCAATAAAGGCAGAATATATTTAAAAAAAAATTGTTTTTATTTTTGAGAATTATATGTTATACATATACGCATGTCAATCATCAATTTATCAATCGTCACCAACATTTAAAAATGTACATTAAATTCAATAATATTAATAAAACTCATTTATTATAAAATTTTAATAAATCAAACAAAAATCAACATAGAATAAATTAATTAATTAATAAATAAATAATTAAATAGTATTTTTTCCATAAAAAGATTAATGACATCTATCGATAAAACGTTCAAATATAATCTGTCAAATCATAGTAAACAAACCGTTTAAACCGTGAAACTAATCAAAAAACATGACTTCGTCGTTTTGGTGGATGAAAAAGTCCAAAACGGACTCAAACATTGTTGATATATCAAAACCGCCTGTCGAAGAAGACATTTCGTCATCGCTGGCCGAATTTTTACAAAAAGAGGTTATAACCGAAGACTTACCCGTTGGCGATAAAGGCGAACTTGATATCCCTAGTATAATCGAAGAAATTAATCGAATAGCCGCTCAAAGCCCATTAGGACCATACGAAGATGGTAGCGGAGATCGTAGTGTTGAAGATTTAATGCGAGAGGCGGAAAAAATTTATATGGAGAGTTCAAAAAGCTTTGAGCAACTCAGCCAGCATTCGGCGACTTCCCATAACGTTACCGATCACTTAAACTCGAATACTGTGAGTCCGATGTCAGAGAATACCCCGAAAAGTTTAGGGAAGGAGGATGAGGAGTATTCGGATGATTTTAATAAATCGGAAAGTGAACGATCTTCGAAATCGAAGGTTGACGAGATTAGTTTGGAAAGTTTTGGAACCCCGATCGAAGAGAATAGGGTTATTAATGACAACGTTAGTAAAAACTTGCAAAAAGATGAAGTCATAATTGAAATTAACGATAAAATGAATCAAGAAGAATTCAATTTAAATTTGGTTGATTCTGCCGTTCATTTAAGCGAAAAGCAATTATCTTTACAATCAGAGATTGAAACGAAAAATAAAGAGATTATCTTTTTTAAAGATGAAGCGATTAAAAAGGATCATGTTATTGAGCACTTAATCGAAGAGAATAAAATAATTAAAAGCGATCTTAGAGAGTTACAGGTAAGTTTATTAAAATTAATACAGATTTTTTTATTGATTTCTTGTTCATTTATAAATTAATAACCTCTTTTTTGTTTATTAAATTAATTTCTTCCAACAGATTTTTTTGATATATCATTCAAAGCAGATTCAGCAATTACTCTTATACCATTTAATAATTCTTCTCCTGTTGGGATTATGTATTGCGCTGGTAATAAAAAAGCGTATTTTCCTTGATCTCTTAATTCGAAAGCGAATGAGTATTGAATTCCGATTGATTTCGCCCAATCTGTGCTAACACCAGCTGCGATATAAAGATCTGAAACTGCACTAGAAGTGTAAATAGTTTTATAGGGTTCTTTGATTGCTTTAATAACATTTTGGGATATCATTTTTAATTCGTTTATATTTCCCGGCATAGTTTTGCTAAATCCGTAAGGATATAAGACATATTGGCCATACGAATGGATTGAAACGTAAGCCTTCCAATAATGAGGGTCAAATTTTTTGATATAATCTCTTATTGCGACCGTTTCGTGTTCTGAGAATCCTTCAGTTCCGCTAAAAGTTTCTTCGCAAGGATTTGGATCTCCGTAATCCCATTGGTACCCGAAATTTCGATTTAAATCAGTTCCAAAACAATTTCCCCATCGCGAACGATTCTTTCTCCATAACCGATCTTTAGTGTACGAGTAAATATAACCATCCGGGTTTCCAATCGGTAAAAAGTGCCAATCTAATTTTTTAATCGCCCCGGATTCTTTGTTAAAATCATTTGCAAATGTGCTAATAACAAAAATAATTGAAGCGGGTGAGATCCATTCTCGTGCGTGTAACCCGGCCTCAATAAAAATCCCGTTTTTACCACCCCCGGATATTGTAACCACATCAATAGGATTATTTTGTATCGTTTTTCCGATTGTTGTTAATTTAATATGATTGTGAACTTTCGTTAAAATGGTTAAGTAATTAATAATGACCGGAAAATTGTGGTACTCGCTCAAATTAAACGTTTCTATTTTATGTGAAAACTTCATTTCTTCCGCATCCTCAATTGGTTGCTCATCAATAATTCCTTGAACATCTTTAATTAACACCCGATGAGATATTTCATATCGTTCCAAATCATTTTTAACCTTCTCCAAGTTATCGGCACTGATTAAAACGTCCGGACTCGATTTATTTACACTCCATCGGGTTATTTCAACTATATCTAAATTTTTTATTGCATCTTTTTTCTCTTTAGTGTCCGCTTTTAATTTCCACAGTTGATAACCTTTGTAGGATACTCGTTTAGATAAATCTTGGGTGATTATTAGTGGGTTTAAAACCGTTATTATTAAAATTGTTGTAAAAATGATGTGCATTTAGATTTTTCTCGCATTTTATTCTAATTGATTTTATTTTATTACTTTTGAAAGACGTTTTTTTTGATGTAAACAATAAATATGTTTAGGTTATGTTGTTGGGGACATAACCTTAGTTTTTTCGTTTGAATTAACACTAAATTTGGTCGCTAGATGGCAGTGTATTATAAAGAAAATTAATTTATTTTTTTAATTATTAATTATTTGTTTATTGAGTAATAATAAATAAAAATGTTATGTATTAGCTGCTACTTCTGCGATAACTCTTAAAACAGCTAAATCTGTTCCTTGTTCTTCATCATGTTAATGATACCCCAAAATTTTTATTCAAATCAATTTCGGCACAATTTCTTCACCTCGAACGATTTTCTTCATATCCGATCTTCACTTCTCGCATTTTATTCCAATTAATTTTATTTTATTACTTTTAAAAGATGTTTTTTTGATGTAAATAATTATTTTATTGGTGACATAACCTTACTTTTTTCGTTGGAATTAAAACTAAATTTAATCGCTAGATGGTGGTGTATTTTTTATCGATTTATTTAAAGAAATTTATTTAATTTTTTAATTGTTAAACTGTTTTTTTATAACAAATTAAAAAAGTTATGATTTCCAATTATTACTTCCAATTGAAGGTATACATAAAGTATTTCCGACTGGTCTATAATTACATCTCGATCCAATTTCGGCTTTAATCGTTTACAACATCTTGTGCAACTTTATTTATATCTTGATAATTGATAATCAGTAATTGACCGTAAAAATGGGTTAAAAGTTAAGTCTTCAATCCATTTTTTGGCTTTTAGGTTATGTTAGGTTATATTAAAACTAAATTAAATAAAATCTACTTGACACTAGATGGCGCTGTTTTTTTTAAATTAAATTATTATAAATAAATACAATTATGAATTAGCTGCTGCTTCTGCGATAACTCTCAAAGCAGCTAAACCTTCTTTAGCACTTGGAACAATGTACGAAGCGGGTAAAACGAATCCATAACGTCCATTATCTCTTAGCTCAATTGTATAAGCGTATTTAATACCCATAGCTCCTTTAGCCCAATCATCACTTCCACCTGACGCGGGATATAAAGTATTTCCAGCTGGGCCATAAGTATATGTGGCCCCAGTTTCTTTTTTAATAGCATTTGCGACATCTTGGGCGACTTTATTCAAATCTTGGTAATCGGTGGTGATTAATTTTTCGTAACCCCAAGGGAATAAAATGTATTGTCCGTAAGAATGGTACGAAATCGAAGCTTTCCAGTTAGCTTTTGTGTTGGAAATGAACTTTTTAACAGCCGCCGTTTCTGGTTCGGAAAATGGGCCACTTCCCGCGTAAATTTCTTGACACGGATTCTTCCCGCTTCCTTTCCCTCCCCATTTATAACCATAATTTCGATTCAAATCAGTTCCGGCGCATTGAAATCCGTTGAAGAATGAGGATGATCCCCTCGCGCGATTTTTTCTCCATAAACGATCTCTTCCGTGCGAGTACTCATAGCCATCCGGATTTAAAACGGGGATTATATAATAATCGAGATTTTGGAGATTTTTTGATTCGGATTCGATGTTGTGAACTAAATGGTCTATAATAAAGGAAACTGTAGCTGGAGTGATCCACTCTCTCGCGTGGATTCCCCCATCGATCCAAATCGCTTTGTTGTTTGCATTTCCATTGGAAATTTTTAACAGTTTAAGAGGTCTTCCTTCAATTGATGATCCAATTACGTAAACTTTGCAGTATGAGGGATAGGTTTCGGCTAAATAATCCAAATAATTATGGATGTCGGATAACCTATGATATGACGTAAACGTCATTCGGTGCCCTAAAAAAAAATTTATTTATTTAATTAATTAAAAATTAATTTTGTTGTTTTTAACCATATCGATGTTGGAATTCATCTTCCTCCTCCTCCGAGTGTATATTTTCCTTCTCAATATCGCTTTGTAAATCTTCAATCATTACATTAAAATCGATTAAATTCTTTTTAAGCAATTTTTGAACGCTTTCCAAGTTTTTCGGGGGAATAACAACGTCGATTTTTGTTCTATTTCCTCCCCATAACCTTACCCCGTAATTATCGCGAATTTTTTTGATCACTTTCGTTGTGTTTGAATTAAAAGAAACCTTCCAAACTTGATATCCATCGTAAGATATCTTCTCTTCCTCATTTTCTTCTTGATAAACTTTACTTAATGAGACGTTTTTGTTGTCTTTTTCGATTTCTTTGATTTCCTCGTAATCAATTTCGGCAACTTTTAATTCATTATTAACCGTGAAACATAACGTTAAACTGAATAATGCTAAAAATAAAGAAAACCTCAACATCTTCACTTTAACCCGTATCGAATCGAATTATGGTGTTAATCTTCCGAGTTTGTCTCGTATTTATACCGAGCTGAGTGACCTCCATTCATTCTACAGTTATTTTCGAGTCACCTCGAAAATTTATTTGTTTCTTTTAAATTAATCCTTATCATCTGTTATTGTTAACTTGTAAGGTGGAGGAAAAAAATTTTGCGAAGAAAACAAATTTAAAAATCGCCTTTTTTTTGTTTCGTATTCAATTCGAGGAATCAATTCGAAACATTATGCTTGTTTGTGCTTGATTTGCATACGACCTAACGGGATGACCGGGTTTAATTTATTCGGATTGCGTTCGAAGATGTACTTTTGACCCATTTTTAATTGTAAAGTTTGAATAATTTAATTTAAAACAAAATCTAGATATTATTAATTCCGGTTATCGTTCTGATTTATATTTATTCGTAATCTTCGCGAAAAATCCTTCAAAACGACTCCAAACATGTCTATTTTGTCTTTAACAACAAGCGATATATTATATTTTAACAAATAACGATCGGATTTTTAGTTCTTTATATGATTTAATGATTTAAAAATTAATTTGTTTTAGTCTCAACTCCAAGAAACTATCAATTTGTTAGAACAAGCAAAAAACGCGTTAAAATCGCAAAGTTTGAAATCGCCCGAAGTCAATTTAGAATTAGAAAAAGCTCTGGAAGATGTTAAAGACACGAAAGAAATAAACACGGCGCTTCAGCTTCAATTAGATTCCGTGAATCAATCGCACCAATTCTTAAAAATAGCTTACGACGAGTTACAAGTTTCGAATAAAAGTTTGGAAAGGAAAATCGTCGACGTCGACATCACGTTGGCTAAATACAAAGGGGAATTGTTAAATTTGCAGCATCAAAACGAAAAGTATCAGGAGAACGAGTTAGGTTTAAATAAATTGTTGGAAATTGAAAAGCTCGAAGTGAAAAGCTTAAAGTTGCAAACGGAGAAAGATGCGAGATGTATCATGGATTTAAATCGGCAAATAAAAGAGATGGAGCGGATTATAACGCGAAAACATCCCGATTCCGTTTCCGCGTTAATCGTAGCAGCAAAAAACGACGTTTCCGAAAACAATGTTTCAACAAAAAAATTCTTGGAAGATCGCATAAAATCGTTAGAAACCGAAGCGCAAAAGCGCGACGTCCAAAACTCCAAAGTATTTTTAGACGTCCAAGAAAAATTTAACCAAATGAAAATCAAATATGAAAGTCACATCGAAGACTTGGAGTTGCACGTAAACGATTTAAAAGATCAATTAAAAAGGCGCGAAGATAATTTTGACGTTTATACCCAAACGGTACCATTTGAATCACCCCGCAAAGACACCGTTTCGGTTTCCGTTCAAACTGAAACCTTAAAAATAAAGAATCCCCCGAATATTACAAAAAGAAGCGATAAATTAGATGTTCACGTTAAAGAAGACGCGCATCTTTTAGCGACAATAAGAGGATTACAAACGGATTTATCGAATAAAGAGAAAGCGTTGATGAAAAGCCAACGGGATTTGGAGGAGGTTAAAAAAACTAATCGCAGGTTACAAAAAGAAAGGGAAGGGAGTTTGAGGAATTTATCCGAACGAAAAGAATTTCGAAGTTACCCCGAGAAATTAACGAATCAACTATCAAAGAATAACGAAGAGAAACATTGCGATGATGAAGTGAGAGCTTTGAGAACGGAACGGGATAAAATGAAATCGCAATTGTGTCGAATCGAGGATGATTTTCAAGTTTTAAAGAATAAAAGAATACAAGATGTGAGTATTTAAATAAAAATGAAATGAACTCGTAATGTTTGTAAGATGTTCTAAAATTGTTTGTAGTTAAATACATTGCAAGAAGCTCACGAAAAAGAAATCTCAACATACCTTGCAAACATTACGCCGCTCAGGGAACAGCTCGAGATTCAACAGGTATCTTTGAGTAGCTTACAGAAACAATTGATGGGGACCAAGGAGGAATTAGCTATTGTTACCGTAGAGCGCGATCATTTGAATAACAGACTCCAACCTGTTTTGCCATCGTTTGATTCAAGCGATTCTAGCGAAGTTGAAGCGTTAAAGAAAAAAGTAATGTTTTTAATACATTACAAAAAATAATTAATTAATAAATAAAACATTTTAGGTGGCTTTTTTGGAAAGACGTTACGAAGAACGAGAACACCGTTTAAGGGCTATCGTACATGGTTTGGCACAAAAGAACGTCTCAAATAAGAGTTGCGACCAATGCGCGATAAGACAACAACAATTAATCGGCTACAAAGTCGAATTGGATCAATTAATTGCGACTTTGAAGTGTTTGCAATGATTTTCATCCGATTAAGTCCAATTTGAAACGTCCAATAACTATTTAACGTTTTATGAAGAAACTTAGTCCAATATTTAAAACTTTTAGTATTTAGAGATCTTCCAGTATTTATAGATTTTTTAAATAATTTTTTTATACATATTTTCTTGATAGGACTAAAACGGTAAGTGTTATTTATCTGGTTATACCCGTTGTTATATTGTATTTATATTGATATTTAAACCCTATAGTTAATTATAGAAGGGAAAAAAGAAATATTTATTTTCATTTTACCTTGCTTAATTTAATTTTATTATTTTTTTTTATTTTTTAGATATTAACATGGACATGACGTTCGGTAAGACTTTCCTAATCCTAATTGGATCCTAATTGACTCTTTTTTATAATATCATTAGAAAGTAGAAATCATTTAAAACTGCTCCGAACACTACAATTTTGAAATTTTGAGGTTAACTTTTACTAAATTAAATAATCAATTGATATTAACGCAAATTAAACTCAACAACGTATTTAAATTATGATTTATTTATAAAAATAATTATTAATATTTAATATGACAGATTTAGTTTCTTCGGTGCTACCTGGTGCTACCAACCATACCAACCTATTTTATTTAATTCTTTATTTTTTATCTTTTAATTTTTACTTCTCTATTTATAAACTTATTCATTAATAGGTAAAATTAACCCCAATTTAGATGAAAATTTCGATTTTTAATTGTTTTTAAATTTTCAAAATAATTTTTTTTTAATCTCACCCCATCTAGCGTTAGCCGCCCATATTAATCATCTTTTAGTTTTTTTTGACATTTCAAACTCATTTGTATTCTTTCCTAAAATCATTAAAATGGAAAAAAAAGCTTAATTGAACCGGAAAATCTATTCAAATATGTTCATTGACACTAAAGTTATTAATTTAAAGTGATAATAAGTTCCATGAAGTGAACTTTAGGTAAGTAAAAAAAAAATTTATTTTGCTTTACACAATTTAATTTTATTTACTCATATGTATTTCTTTGTTTTTAGATATTACAATTATTTCAACATTTTTGCAGCTAACTACAATAATCTACAGACATCGTATTTACTAACAATAAGAGAAGGTACATAGAGCATAGCGGTTGTCGTCGTTTTAAAAACAAACTTGCCTGGTTAACATTCAAATGAAACCTAATAAATCTTTTCTTTCCTTTGCAGCAAACCAAACCCGAAGTATTTCGGATTAATCCCGCTTAAAATCTGCATCGACGTCACCGTTACAAGTAATATCTTTACGAAATCGCCCATATCGAAGCCTTTTTTCAACGGTATTCCAAATTCGGATGATATTTCGTCTTTTATCGAGTTAGTAATCATAAATCTGTGTGTATTTTGAAGTTTTCTAATTTCATTCTTCCTTAACTCATTATTTTCAGATCGTATTCTTCGTGTTTCAGGAGCATCTCGGCGTTGAATTTGTATGGAATTACGTCGTTGTTCGGAGTTACGCCTCGATGATACCATCGCATTTGTATTTTGGCGACTTCTGGAATCTTTTGGCTCAATCCTTCTTACTTCTAAAGAGTCTCCTGCCTCTCTAATGTTTTTCCGTGAAGATTCGAGTGTATCTTGAGTCAAAATTCGACGAGTTCTATCAGTTCTAATTCGATTTTCAATAGATTGGCGCCGAATATCTTCAGATAAGCGCCTAGTTTCTTCTCTATCACTTCCAGATCGACTTCTTCGTGTTTCTGGAACATCTCTGCGCTCAATTTGAATAGAATTGCGGCGGTCTTCAAAGTTACGCCTTGATGACACCATCGTATTTGTATTTTGGCGACTTCTGGAATCTTTTGGCTCAATCCTTCTTAATTCTAAAGAGTCTCTTGCCTCTCTAATGTTTCTCCGTGAAGATTCGGGCGTATCTTGAGTTAAAATTCGTCGAGTTCTATCAGTTCGAATTCGATTTTCAGTAGATTGGCGCCGAATATCTTCAGATTGGCGTCTATTTTCTTCTTTATCACTTTTAGTTCGAATTCTTCGTGTTTCCGGAACATCTCGGCGCTCAGTTTGAATTGAAATCCGGCGGTCGTCAAAGTTACGCCTTGATGACACCATCCTGTTTGTATTTAGACGACTTCTTGAATCTTTTGGCTCAATCCTTTTTAGTTCTAAAGAGTCCCGAGCTTCTTTAATGTTTCTTCGTGATGATTCGAGTATATTTTCAGTCAAAACTCGCCTATTTCTATCAGATCGAACCCTATTTTCATCAAAACGGCTTCTATTTTCAATAGATTGGCGCCGAACATCTTCAGATTGGCGTCTATTTTCTTCTCTATCACTTCCAGATCGAATTCTTCGTGTTTCTGGAGCATCTCGGCGTTCAATTTGATTGGATTTACTTTCTTGTTCGGAGTTACGCCTTGATGAGACCATCTTATTTGTATTTAGGCGACTTCTTGAGCCTTTAGGCTCAACCCTTCTTAATTCTAAAGAGTCCCGAGCTTCTTTAATGTTTCTTCGTGATGATTCGAGTATATTTTCAGTCAAAACTCGCCTATTTCTATCAGATCGAACCCTATTTTCATCAAAACGGCTTCTATTTTCAATAGATTGGCGCCGAACATCTTCAGATTGGCGTCTATTTTCTTCTCTATCACTTCCAGATTGAATTCTTCGTGTTTCTGGGGCATCTCGGCTTTCAATTTGATTGGAATTACTTCCTTGTTCGGAGTTACGCCTTGATGAGGCCATTCTGTTTGTATTTAGGCGACTTTTTGAGTCTTTTGGCTCAACCCATCTTATTTCTAAAGAGTCCCGAGCTTCCTTAATGTTTCTTTGTGATGATTCGAGTACATTTTCAGTCAAATCTCGCCTATTTCTATCAGATCGAACCCTATTTTTATCAAATCGGCTCCTATTTTCAATAGATTGGCGCCTAATTTCTTTTCTATCATCTCCAAATTGCACTCTTCGTGTTTCAGGAGCATCTCGGCGCTCAATTTGAATGGAATTACGTCGTTGTTCGGAGTTACGCCTTGTTGAGACCATCTTATTAATATTTAGGCGACTTCTGGAATCTTTTGGCTCAATCCTTCTTAATTTTAAATTTTCTCGCATTTCCCTAATATTTCCATTCTCACTCAAATCTCGTCTATTTCTATCAGATCGAACTCTATTTTCAAAAGATTGTCGTCTTGCTTCGTTAGAAATACTTTTCCCATCATAAAAATTAACTTTTCTATTAATATCAGTCTTCGAATTTCTGTTAGTTGCATCTTCGTTATCCCGCCTCACCGATACCAACCTATTTGTACTTTGTCGATTTTCGTGATCGTTTTCAGTTTGGGTGGATGCGTTTTCGCCGAATCTTTTCGAACGAAGAACGTTGTTGTTATTATCGAGATTGCCTCTGCTCAGGTCGAGTTCTCGTCTGCACGAGATTCCGGAACAGCCCAGCGCCCCATTCGGCGTCGAAAATGAACATAACACCAATACTATTGTGGCCCATCCAATCTTAAGCGGAATCATGATTATCTTCGGAAAAACTGAAAAACTACTGTTTCGAGTTTCGTGGCTTGTGTTGAACTACTATTTGTATACTGGGCGTTTTCGTCGTTATACTGTCGCTGTTTGTTGTGTGCCCCTCAAATTTCCGGGAGCGCTTTTATACTCGTACTCGGGGCCTATTTTACACTTGGGGTGCCGCAAATTGAATGGTTATTTGATTTAGAGTTCCACTGATTAGATCTTAATGCAATTTCGAGTTTGAAGCGAGTTTGATCGGTTTTCTGTGGTTATACGGATGTAGGAGGATATAAAGGGCGGTTATAAATAAGATATTAATAAAAGAATCTATCACATTTCTTCAGATATTAAGCGTAATTACGTAAAAAGTTATTGATACTTTAATTTTAATTTAATTTTTATTAATTTCTTAAGGTGAAGTTAATTTTGGGACACCCGTATTTTTTAGGTATGACGCAAGAGACTCGTGTGGCCAGGAGATAACAGGAATTCGTTACAAAATCGATTTGGACAGATGGGGTCTTATTTATTATTTATTTTATTTGTTATAAAGCAACTTATAATTGTACAACATTTTGAATCCAATCAACATAAGCCGCAACCCTTGTATAAACGGTGGGATTATTATTTAAGTCGCAAGGGGATACACCCCAAGAAATCACCCCAATTATTTCTCCAAATTGCATCAAAGGCCCCCCGCTATCTCCAGAACAAGATCCTTTAGTTGGGGTGTCCATCGTGCAGAAATTATTAGCCCCAATTGAAGGATTTGATGTAGGTACTAACGATTTTACAGCGTTTAAACAAACTAAAATAATTGAATAATATTAATTATGAAAATTTTGATTTGACTTGAAGTTCGTTACAACTTTTTTTTGACGTTTATAAATGTCATAAATAATCACTTTAAATAATCATTTAAAAAGAATCAATTTTACTTGTAATTTTTAATTAATTTATAAAAAGATCAATTCATTTATTAGTAAATTAAAAGAATTATTTATAAAATTTTATGTAACAACTTTTAGATTAATTTAATTTTAGGTTGGTAACAATTATTTTTGGAATTTCAAAAACGTCAAATTAATGTCATTTTTACCATCATTATTAATAATTTTAACATCGGCTTTCATTAAATACGGACTTGGTTGAGAATTACTCGATTTGGTTTTACCAAATCCCGTTATTGTACTAAAATATTGACTCGATGGATAACTTCCAAAAGCAGGTAAGCGAATTACATTAACAGTTTTGGTTGGAGAAATTTGTGAGGTTAATTTTAAAATTGCTATATCATGAATCGGCTCATTTAATCTAAAAAATGTTTAATTAATTTAATTTTAACATTAAAATGAAATTGTTTTACATCTTGTGATAAGAAGGATGCACAAAAATCTGATTAACGTTACTCATTTGGTTCGGAATTTGATTATAATAGTCATCAAACCCGAGGAGAACTCTAAATTTATCGGCTTGGAAATCTTTACAACAATGTCCAGCTGTTAAAACGTGATTCCATGTGATTAAAGCTCCCCCGCAAAGATATTCGAATTGATTTTGGCCCCAATATTCCAGAACGGCGTGGTAAGAATAATTTGAAATACTTGTGTAAGTACCTCCGATTATCCGATTTGTTTTATTTTTAGCTTATTACAAAGAAAAATTTTTTAAAAGAAATTTTAAAATTGAAAAGTTCTTACCTGAAGCGAAGAAAATAAAACATGTAAGCAAAAGGTAAATATTACTCATTTTGAACTTTTTTGCAACAAATATTGTTTTAATGTTACATCTATTTATATACAGAACGTGCAATTTTCGAAAAACTTACATAGTTAGGATTCAAAGAATTATTCGTTGTTGTTCAAGGTGATAAGATAATTATTTTTTAATTACTTTTCTTTTTTCAAAAAACATTCGTTACAAATCGTTTGAATTCTTCCAAGTCGTATTTTTCAGTATTTTTTTAAAATTTAGTTTAAAAAATTATTTTTATGATATTTAAGGGTTGTTTCAAATTTCAAAATTTTAAATTTTTGTTATTCATTGACAGATGGCGCTGTTGTTCTAGAAAATTTTAAGGTTATGATAGATACAGACATCAAATTGATTTTTCAAGTAGTTTTTATTTTTATAACATTTATTGAAATTGATATTGCTTATTTTAATAATCAAATAAAATAAACATTGTTTAATAATTTAAATAACATTTTCAATTAAATATTTGATTATTTAATTGTTGAACTTAAAGTGATAGTAGAGCCACCTATGAAGTAATTGCTGAAGTTAGCCCAAAAAATGTTTAACATCATAATTAATTAATATTAAGTAATTAAGCAATAAATAATTCCCATTTTTAAATTAAATTACTTTTGTTCCAACGATAATGACAAGTAATTTAACCGCACAAAATTAATTTTTGACAGCTAAAGTTGACATAACCTCAAACGCAATCGAACGTAAACAAGCGTTCTTTCTTAATATTATTTATTCAAAGCGAATAAAATGGATGTAAAACCGAAAAAGGACTACATCATAAGGTAAATTTAACCGATTCCTTTGATTCAATCTAATTGCGTTTTATTCAAGATGTTCAAACGTCCCCCTGACTCTCCTAAACAAGCCGGCAGCGAAAGATCATTTCAGCCAATTTGGGAAAGTAATCAGTATTCATCTTCGGCAAAAAACGAAAGGATGCACCGTACAGTACGCGAACGAAGAGGGTTTTCAATGTGCGCTATCAAACGCTGGAGTATTTAATGGACAAACTTTCACAGTGGTTGGAGGAGGGGTTAAATCAATGAAATGGGTGACACCGAAATTATGGACGCCCAATTTAGAGGTGCAACAAGAATTGGAAGCGATGGGGGGAACTGTTGATTATAAATTAGGAGGGAAAGTTAAAGAGAAGAAACCCAAAAACATTTGGGGATCACAAAAGAAATCAACAACAAAAGGAATCGAGCAAAATAATCCAATAAATATTAAGGTTACGAGTGAGCAAAGGGAATTATTAAACGTGATTAAACAACCGGCTCATAGCGTTGATGAAAAATTCAAAGTTTTGGAAGCTAGGGATAAATTATTACGGTTAAGGGGGAATAAACACGTCGATTTTGGAAGTACACATACCGTGGGGACTTGCCCGGATATGTGCCCGGAAAAGGAGAGACTCATGAGAGAAGTACAACATCAAGTAGCGTTATACGAACAAGAATCTTGTTCGAAAGTAATGAATCATTCTTTGGCGGTTAAACAATATTCGCGAAGCTCCGCCGATCAGGAATCGCCATTACCCCACGAATTACGTTCGGTGGATGTTTTAAGGATGACAATGGGGTATTTAATGCATAAAATTATTCCTTTATGCGATAATTTTGATGTAAGTTTAATTTAAAATTTTTTTTTATATTATTTATAGCTCAATTAGTATATTATAATGTAATTAGTATATTATATTAGTATAATTAGTATAACACCTAGTAAATACATACTAATTAGTTACTTATTTTGAACGCAAAATTAAACAAGATAATGTTTTCCAGCTTTTCCCAGTTACAAAAATAGTAATTAAGTTATTACTGAATTACTGTTTTTGTTATAATTCCGCACTATTGCACGCGTTGAAATCGATTAGGGCACTAAGTCACTAAATTGAGGGGCTTCATCCTCTGAAGGCGACGCTACTTAGTTCTTTGTTTTGGAATTCTTTGGATGTTAATACTTGCTTGTATATTAGCAACTTGTTTCTTAGTGATAACGTTGATTTTCGATACAACTAAAATATTGGGTAAACCCGAAACTTTCTAGGTCTAGTGTTAGTTCTAGTTTTAGTTTAATGAAAAATATACAGTTTGAAGCTGAATAACAACTACAATTAACCGTAAACCTAGAACTAGAAAGAGTATTAGTCTTTAAAAACATAGGGCTAAACCCGAATAATAAAAATATACAATAACTTGGCACTGACGAACACCTACAAGTAAAACTAACATTAATTCTAGAACTAAAAAGTAGCGAGTTTAAAATTAGGAAAAAAATTTAAAAAAAAAACGTTTTAACCTTACATGACATTTGTGCTGTCAAAATATTTTTTTTATGTCACTTTACCTAATTTACAAAATCACTAAAATCGTAATATTCCAACTGTCAATGTCAAATTTAAAATTCTGTCATATTGAGGTTTTAGTATACTTAATTAATTAATTTATTTATTTATTTACCGGAATGTTAGTTCTAGTTTTACTTTTAAAACTAACATTAGACCTAGAACTAGATACATTCAGGTTTAGCCGTCTTTAGAGACGTTCGGCTAAACCCGAATGATTCTAGTCCTGCTTTTAGTTCTTTTTGGCGCTTCAATTTGAAAACACTCCTCCGAATTAAAAAATAGAGTATAGCTCATCTTCAAAATTTTGTTGGGTGTTTACACCTTCTATAATGTCCTTCGGGTCATCTATTTGTTTCTGAAGAGTAGCTTCATCTTGAGTGTGTTGCTCCTTTATTTGTTCGATTTCTTTTTTAAGTGAAAATTGAAATAATTTAATTGTAAATGTTTATTTTTAGGTGAATTTAGCCGAGTGGTATCATTTTTTATGGGATAGAACTCGAGGAATTAGAAAAGATATAACCCAACAAGAACTTTGTTGTCAAGGATCCGTGGAATTGGTCGAACAATGCGCTCGATTTCATATTCATTGTTCGGCGAGGTTAATAGCGGAAGACCCCTCGGTTTTCGACCAAAAAATTAACACGGAAAATCTTACGAAATGCCTCCAAACTTTGAAATATATGTACCACGACTTGTTGTGCAAAAATGAGTTTTGCGAGCATGAAGCTGAATTTCGGGGTTATATCATTTTGTTGAATCTAAACGATGGGAATTTTATGTGGGAGGTGCAACAATTACGGAGCGATATTCAAAAATCCCAACCGGTTCAGTTTGCGATTCAAGTTTACTCGGCGTTGGATACAAATAATTATGTTAAGTTTTTTAAGTTGGTTAAATCGACTACATATTTAAACGCGTGTATTTTGTTGCGGTATTTTATTCAAGTCCGAGTGAGAGCTTTGCAAACCATTTTGAAAGGATTTTCCCCGAGGGGGTTAACCAAGTTTCCTTTGGAGGAGTTAAAAGAAATTTTAGCGTTCGAAGGGGACGCCTCAACGAGGGATTTTGTCGAATACTACGGGTTGTTTTTAAATGGGGCCGCCGTTTGTTTGAATCGAAAAAGCTTCCATATTCCTGAGTTACCATACACTTTAGATCGAGCGATGAGTGTCGTCGAATCAAAGAGGGTTTTAAGCATCGGTGAGATCATCTCCGGGGGGGTTTTGCCCCCGAAAATGTTCGAAACTCACCGCGTTCATTCAAGTTTTGATGAATTCGGGTACTTAACCGACTTTAATTTCGACGATTTCGATTACGTCGATGAGAAAATCGAAGATAAATCAATTTTTGGGTTAAAAAAGGTCGACTCTAGGAGTAATTCGCCGCTTGACGTCGTTGACAGCTCGATTTTTGGCGGGAAAAAATCGATTTTTAAATTTGAAAAGAAATTTAACGATGAGAGCCAATCATCGATGGATGTTGAGGCGGAAAATGTTAATAAACCCGTTTTTAGTGCGAAACCAATTTTTTCAACGACCATGTTTCAACAAGAATCAATTTTTAAGCCGACGCCGATCAAGAATACCCAAAATTTGCCTTCAGGGGGGTTTTATTTTAAATTGAATGAAGATAAGAAGGATTTAAAGCCCTTAAAGGTGGGTCAAGAAGAAAATTTAGTTTTTAGTTTGCAAAAAGAAGATGAGGATGAGCGGAAAAAAGAGTTTGAGGAGATGGAACGGATTGAGAATGAGAGGAAGCGGGTTGAAAATGAATTAAAGTTAAAATTGGAGTTGGAGAGAAAATTGGAGGTGGAGAGAAAGTTGGAATTGGAAAGAAAATTGGAGATGGAGAGGAAAATGGAGTTGGAAAAAAAAGTGAGATTAGAATTAAAAAGGAAATTAGAATTAGAAAAGAAATTGGAAAAAGAGCGAATTGAGGAGAATAAAAAGCTAATGGAGATAAAAAAATGCGTCTCAAACCTCCTCAACGACTTATTAACTCAAGTGGAGGAAAAAAACCGTATCGAAAAACTCCAAGAAATTAAAACCAAATTAATCAACGAAAAAACCAAACTGTTCGGGAAAAAGTGGTTAAAACTAGTTGATTTAAAAAAGCGTAAAAGAAAAAACCTAGATGATTGGCCCCTTTGGATCGAAACCGATAATCGAGAATTAATCGATTTCGACCAAACCATCTTAATGGATATGAAACGATACAAATCGGGAAAATCGAACCAAATTGAATTAACCCCCAAATTAAACGACGAATTAAATTTAGATCAAATATTTATTGACATATTAAAAACTAACCTCACAAAATTCGAGTATTACCTAAAAATCGATTTTTGTTTCTCAAAGAAACCCTCGTTGAAGAAAATCGAAGAAAAACTCGCCGACTTACTCGATTTAGACTCGAATTTAAATAAATCTAAACACATTTTAGGGAAACGCGTAAATTATTGCTTTAAAAGGTACGATTATTTCAATAACGAGCTAAATCATGGATTTATTTTCGTAAATGACGTCTTCGATGACGATTTTTACACCAAACTTGAAGAAATCTTAAAAAATTTTAATAATAACACCCCTTTACCCGTCGCTTTTATTTTAAACGAATCAATTAATCCGAATCATGTTGTTAAATTAAATAATTTCGATTTAATCTCGAATTATGCGGTTTTCTATGATAATTTCACGTCGCATAACCTCAAAATTCTTTTGACGCAATCGTTGACGTTTGTAATCAAAAATTATCCGCCGTTGCCAACTTTAAAACTTGATTATTTTAGTTCGTTTTTATTTGGTTATTTATCGGGGGAATCTTGGGATAGGATCAATAATTTTGCGGAAACTAATAAGAATTTCGCAATGATTTTATGCGACCCGAATAATGTTTTTTATTTGTATAAAGTTTTGTTAAAAAATCTCCAAGGAATAATTTTTAACGAAGATTTAGTTAAAAACAAAAATTTTCCTAAGATTTTTAATAATAATTATAATGACGTCATTTTGCCGTGTGACCAAAAGTATTTTCCAAATTTTTGGAAAAACGGCAGTTATAACGTGAAATTAAAACGAATTTTCGAAAATTTGAAATTCCCCGAATTTATTGTTATAAATTGGCCCCCGAATAACATCGAGGAATTAAAAGATATTATTGAAAATGTTTGCGATCGATTTAATTGTTCTGCAAGAACTTCGTTTGTGATTTATTCAACTTTAATTGAAAATTTAGAGAATTTGGGGAGTTTTGAGTCGATTAAATACATGATGTGGACCGATATTATCAAGATGATGATTAACGAAAAATTAAGAATTATCGATTTTACTTTAAGAGAGCCGTTCGTTTCGACTCTTTTTAACCAACTCTTTGTTGTTTATGATCAAGATGATTTAAACAAGTTCAAAAGGGATTATTGGTTTTTCAACGACGAATTCATCCAAAGAGAAATTAATTCTAGTAATCGGATGATTATTGAAGATGAAGATGAATTTGAGGAAGAAATAATGATTAAATCGAACATTGAGGATGATTTTGATTTCGATAAAGTTTATCAAGAAGTTATGGGGTGCGATGATCATAAAGATGTGACAAAAAAGAAGAAGGAAATGAGGGAAATTGGCGAGATGTTAAATGATTTGGAGGAAAGTATACGAATTCAAAAGAAAATTAGTTCGCGGTTGGAAAAAACGCTTTTGTTACAATTAAAATAGTTTAAGATTAAATAAAATTTGTTGACAGTTCATAAAAATAAAAAGATAAGAGTTGGTGACACTTAAATTTTAATTCAAATATAAACTTTTATATCACTTAGTTTTTGTTTTTTTATTTATTTAATTGAATTTGATGACCTAGTTTAATTGAAATCTTTCCTAATTTTGATTGATTAATCAAATCGTTTAATACAAGTTACAAATTAAAGAAACCTTTCTAATGTAATAAACGGTTTTGCCTCTACACAAGAGATGGCACCACAAGTTTTAAATTGTCACAACAAAATTTTAAATTAATAATTTTTGTATTCTTTTATATACTATATTTATAGCTATAAATATATCAGGATTTTTATATACTTCTCATGCAAAAAGTAATTTTACTTTATCGCAAACGCACTTTTCGATTTTTGTATTAGTTAATTTAATATTTCTAGTCCTTAACTAAATTGGAATCTTCTTGAATGATTAGATTTCCTGCAACAAAAAGATTTTATTTTAACATGTTTTAAATGACTTCTAGGTTAAAAATAAATAAATTAATAATTAAAAAGTGTCGCCATCTAAGAATAAAAACCTAAAATTATCGTACAGTGTGTAATTTGTGTATAAACGTCAAGATGGCAGTAATAGTTGACAATTCGCGATATCTGTCTAAAATCGCAAAATGGAAGTGAGTCCTCCATTTTGTTTGTTTTCTCGGTGTGCGGTGTAAAGGATATCGTGTCTCGTTGTTGTAGAGTTTTTTGGTAAACGCCCGTAAACGTTAGGGTTCCCGTACGCTTACGGGACCGCCGGGACGGGTGTATATATGTGTCTAGTTCGTGTCCCTCGGTCAGAGGGTTCGACAAATAGCAGACATTGGGCGCATCGCGAGTAAGCACTTCGTCAAATTGACCACAGTCGCCGGCTCCAGGAACAGTAATAGTAGTAATCCGTACGCGAACGCCGTTTACCGGTGCGATTCATCTACCGGGAACACTCTTCCAACGTATAAAGAAGTTGGCCCAAAAAAAAGCAAAAAGGAACCTCGGACGCCTCCCCTCATCTCATCAACGATGAACCACGTGACGGGACAAGACAGGCGTAACGATATCAACCCCCAAAATAACGTCAACGAGGTCGAAGAAATGGAAACGCAAGAAGGTAAGTTGGAATTTAATAAAAATTAAGAAAATTTTTCGTCCAATACTCCATCTGTCATTGTGATTATTTCTATCTGTCACTTGTCAAAAAAAAAAGAACACCCGAAATATGTCAAAAATCAAATATGTAAAAAACAAACTAATTGCTATGTCACCAATGTGAGTCAAGAAATCACATACACGCCACTAGCTCTAAAAAAAAATCTCATGCAGTCACCCCAATGGACTATATAACAGATAGTGGAGGAGGCGAAATGGAGTCCCAAAACGGAGATGCTGCCATTGGGCCCCAACCTGAACCCGCAGTAGGCACCCGAGACATTGATATGGATGAGGAAGACGATGCCCGGTCAGAGGCCACCTTCCATTTCGTTGTACCGCAATTCAGCAAGCTCAAGGTGAGTTAATCGAAATCATTTTCTTATACATACATATATTTTTTTAATAATTCCTGTGATGTCATTTTTATTGTCATATTATCACAAAAATCAACCCATGGGGAGAAAATAAATTCGTCAAATCTTGTTGTATTTATTCAGACTTAAATAATTTAAAAAAAATAATATTAATCTGGAGATTTTCGAAAGATAAAAGATAAATTTAAAAATAGATTGGGACAAATTATATTTAGGTTGGCAATCCTTGTTCTCTTTGTATTCGTGAAATATACACGAAAACAAAACTCTTTGTTGTTAATTAAATTAATAAATAAATAATTTAATTTAAATTAATTTAATTGTTTGAGTTTAATAAATTTTTAAATTAATTAAAAAAAAAAAAAATGACATAACCTAAAAATGTTGACGTAAATATAACCTATAAATTTTTGACATAAACATAATTTATTTTTTTGTTAGGATTCTGTGCTATCTCCACCATGTTACGTTAGAAACCTTCCGTGGAAAATAATGGTAATGCCGAGAACGAGTCACGCGCAAGAAAGGACACCAGCCCAAAAATCGCTTGGGTTTTTTTTGCAATGTAACGGAGAGAGTGAATCAAGTTCTTGGTCGTGTTATGCAGTTGCTGAATTAAGATTGTTATCGGTTCGACAGGAAGTGGAGTCTTTTTCTAGAAAAATTCAACATTTGTTTTATTCGAAGGTAAAATTGCTTTGATTAAAATTAATGAAATTAATTGGAAAAATTCAAGAATCATGTGGCTTAATCAATTTTTAATCAACGTGAAATTACCCAAAAAACTCGTTAAAAATAAAAGGAAAGTGCGGAAAAGTATAGAACATATGAAAAACCACATTAGAGTTTCGATGTGACGTCACAAGCAATGCATTTCACATCGAAAATAGCTTCGTAGAAATGCAACTAGCTAAAAAAAAAATCGTACTAAAAGATTGAACGCATGTGGCGCCATCTGTTGGGGATATTTTGAAATTATTCAGCTAAGAACCGAACCACTAGAATACAGGTTGGATTGGGTAGGATATGTATAAAAGTTCCAACCACAGAATAACTGTTTGGAGCCACTGTGTGGCCCCAGTTAACGTTCGGACTGGTTGGGAATTCCTCAGATGCAATTACACCTGTCAAATAATGCCGCCATATTTGAAGTTCACTGCATCATATGACATGTGAGATTGCATCTAACGATCTTCCAACCAGTTATAACGTTAGCTGAAACAAAGCTATAATGTCAATTATAATCTAATTATTTAATCATACCATTATTACTTTATTATACTCTTACCGAAAAATCACTTTGAAGTGACGTTTGCATTTGTCATTCGGAACAAACTTCAACTTTTAAAATTTTTAGCGGCAAAGTTTTTAGTTTGGGGACGCACGGCTAAACCGGAAACTTGCTAGTTCTAGGTCTAGTGTTAGTTCTAGTTTTAGTTGTTATTCAGCGCTAGATTGTTGTTAATTTTTATTGAACTAAAAGTAGAACTAGAAAAGTAGACCAAAGGTCTAGTGTTATTTCTTCTTTTCTTTCAATAAAAGTATACCATAATCTAACACTAAATAACATTTATAACTAGAACTAACACTAGACCTAAAACTAGAAAGTATCGGGCGTCTGAAGACAAAAAGTGACGTTACGTCAAAACTTTAAAGTGATGAAATTTCGATAAGTTTTACACTTTTCCGCACATTTTTTGTATTTGTAATGGCTTACTTGAATCGATTAAAAAACAATTGTCGATTTTTAAGTGACATGATGATTCTTGAATTATACCAATTATAATTAATTTTGTTATCTTAGGAAAACGATTGGGGATTTTCGCATTTTATGAGTTGGAATGATGTGTTGGATCCAGAAAAAGGTTACATAAAGGATGATACGATTACTTTGGAGGTGCACGTATGCGCCGATGCCCCTCACGGCGTCTCTTGGGATAGTAAAAAACACACGGGTTACGTTGGTTTGAAAAATCAAGGTGCCACGTGTTATATGAACTCTTTATTGCAAACTTTATACTTTACGAATCAGTTGCGCAAAGCCGTTTATAAGATGCCGACGGAGTCCGACGACTCTACGAAGTCGGTTGCGTTAGCTCTACAAAGGGTTTTTCACGAATTACAATTTTCTGATAAGCCGGTTGGTACGAAGAAGCTAACTAAGAGTTTTGGTTGGGAAACGCTTGATAGTTTTATGCAGCACGATGTTCAAGAATTTTTACGCGTTTTACTTGATAAATTGGAGAGTAAAATGAAAGGAACTTGCGTCGAGGGAACCGTTCCGAAGCTGTTTGAAGGCAAAATGGTTTCTTATATCCGTTGTAAAAATGTTAATTATACTAGTAATCGTACGGAAACTTTTTATGATATCCAATTAAATATAAAAGGTAAAAAAAACATTGACGAATCTTTCAAAGATTACATTGCAACGGAAACCCTTGACGGAGAGAATAAATACGACGCGGGCGAACACGGCTTACAAGACGCGGAAAAAGGAGTCATCTTCTCATCGTTTCCCCCAGTTTTACATCTACATTTAATGCGATTCCAATACGATCCCATTACAGATTGTTCCGTTAAGTTTAACGATCGTTTTGAGTTTTACGAAAAGATCTCCTTGGATAATTATCTTCAAGACCCGGATCCGACTAATCCCGCGAATTACACCTTACATGCTGTGTTAGTACATTCCGGTGATAATCACGGTGGTCATTACGTTGTATTTATTAATCCGAAAGGTGACGGAAAATGGTGTAGATTCGACGATGATGTGGTTTCGCGTTGTACAAAACAAGAGGCGATTGATTATAATTATGGGGGCCACGAAGAAGATATGAACATGACGGTTAAACATTGTACTAACGCGTATATGTTGGTTTATATCCGCGATTCCGAGTTGCATAACGTATTAAAGGAAGTCTCAGAGGCGGATATTCCGAGTGAATTAGCCGATCGATTAGCCGAGGAGAAACGAATGGAACAAGTGAGGCGTAAAGAACGGAGTGAAGCTCATTTATATATGACTATAAACGTTTTGTTGGAGGATGCCTTCGATGGACACCAAGGTAACGATTTATACGATCCTGAAAAGGCGTGTTATCGCGTTTTTAAGATCAAAAAGACTGCTACGGTTGCTGAAATGCTCGAGATGTTAGCGGTTAGCTTTAAATATCCGCCTGAACAAATTCGACCTTGGCCTTTTGGGACTAGATCGAACAACACTTTTCGACCTAGCATGTTGGATCAAGAACAAGATTTACATAAAAGCGTAATTGACGCATCTGAAAATCAAAATCCTTGGAATATATTCTTGGAGTTGCTTCCGCCCGATTCTGAATTAACCGCGTTGTTACCGTTTGATAAGGAAACGGATGTTTTAATGTTTTTTAAAATGTACGACCCAAAACAGAAAAAGATTCATTATTGCGGACATAGTTATTTAGCGGTTACTAGTAAATTAGCGGATATCGTCCCTATGTTGAACGAGAGGGCCGGATTTCCCCGAGACACCGAGTTGGTTCTGTACGAAGAAATTCGACCGAATATGGTCGATAGAATTAACGACTTAAATTCGTCGTTGGAGCGAGTCCTCGATGAATTAATGGACGGGGATATAATCGTGTTTGAAAAGGAGGATCGAGAGGAGCTCTCCGATTTACCAACTTGCGTTGAGTTCTTTAAAGATTTGTTTCATAGGGTTGAAGTAACCTTCGTTGATAAGTGTATACCCAATGATCAAGGATTCACTATGGAGTTATCTCAACGGATGACTTATGATCAATTAGCTAGGGCTGTTGCCCAAAGAGTTGGCACCGATCCTTATTTATTGCAGTTCTTTAAATGCCAAAAGTAAGTTGTAATTAGAGTAAAACCTCGATATAACGAATTAACTCTATCATTAGAAATAGATTGTTGTATACTAGCATTATCAGAACCAAACCCAGATCTAGAACTAGAAACATTGTGGTTTAGCTGTATGTCTCTTAAGATGGCTAAACCTTAATGTTAGTTCTAGGTGTAATGATTGTCTAATGCTACTATTTGTTCTAGTTTTAGTTCAATAATCATATACAACAATGTAGCTAAATATACAAATAAGTAAATATACAACAATCTAAAGTTGAATAACAATCAGAATTAACCTTAAACCTAGAACAAGGATAATTATTAGTCTTTAAAGACATACGGCTAAACCTGAATGCTTCGAGTTCCAAGTCTAGAGTTACTTCGATAAAAATACACAACAACAAAGAAATCTAGAACAAAAAAATAGCGAGTTTAAAATTTGGAAAAATCTCAAAAAGAAACCTTACCTGACATTTGTAACTGTCAAATTAATTTTTTTATGTCACTTCACCTAATTTACAAAATCACTAAAATCGTAATATTCCAATACTGTCAATATCAAACGACAAATTTAAAATTCTCTAATATTGAGACAAGGTCCCTTGAGTAAACATAACCAATACTCAAAGGACCTTGATATTGAGGTTTTAGTATACTTAATTAATTAATTTATTTTTTAGTTATAAAGATAGTCCAGGTAACGCTTTAAGATGCACATTCGAAGGAACATTAAAAGATTTGTTGGTGTTCACAAAGCCGAAGATGCCGAAAAAAATCTTTTACCAACAACTAAGTATCCGGGTGAACGAGCTCGAAACTAAAAAACAATTTAAATGCGTCTTTATTGGTTTGAAAATGCGTGATGAAAAGGAATTAATTTTATACCCGAACAAAAACGGAACCGTCGGCGATTTATTCGAAGAGGCGAAAAAGCAGATTGAGTTTTCCGAGGGGAGCACAGGAAAATTACGGTTAACTGAGGTCTCGTGCAATAAAGTTTCGCTCGGGCCCAAAGAGGACACTCTTTTGGAAGGATTAACGCTCTGCGCGACTAAGATTTATCGAATAGAGGAGGTGCCGAGGGATGAGTTACACATGGGCGATGATGAAATGTTGATTCCGTGCGCTCATTTCCACAAGGAGGCTTTTTCGACTTTTGGAGCACCCTTTTTGATTCGAATTAAGCAAGGGGAACCGTTTGCGAGAGTAAAAGGTTAATATAATAAATAATTTGATACAAATAATTAATAAAATTGATTTTAATTTTTAGAGCGTATCCAAAAAAAATTAGCTTTGCCCGAGAAAGACTTTGAAAAGATCAAATTTGCAATTATAACAATGAATCAACCCCAATTTATTCGAGACGATGAGTATGTTGTTAATCTCTCCGAGTTTAAATGGAATGCGGCTCAACGTAAGACGAATTAATTCTTTTTGATTTAATTGTTATTAATTAATTAATTGTAGCTGCTGGGAGACCTTGGTTGGGATTGGAGCACGTTAACAAAGCCCCGAAAAGGGCGAGGTTCAATTACTTGGAGAAAGCGATAAAAATCTATAATTGAGACTGAGACTTTTTAAGTTTACGCAAAGAACTACTTCTACTACCACACTATTAATTAATTAATTACAATTTTTAACTAAAAAGCATATAAAGGAAAACTCCCGTTTTTCTTTCATCTCTCTCTTTCTCTCTCTTATTTCCTTCCTAGCTAAAGGTTTATAAAAATGTATATCTTAAAAATAAACAAGTGTGGTAGCATCGGTAGAAGAAAACGGATGAATATTAATTAATTTAACAAAGGCCGAGAAGATTGTGAAAGTTTATATTAACTAATAATATAGTTGTTGAGAGTTTAATTTTTAATTATATACTTTAGCCGCCTTATTTAAATGCAGTTTGTTTTTTTTTAGTCTTGCGGAAATAAACGCGTTTCGGCCTCTAATAATAAAGTTATCTTTACCCAACGATTGTTAACCTCAACAATCAATGGCAAAAATTAACTTTATAAGTGTATGTTGTTAAAGAAAAACGATGGAGAAAAAGAAAGTAAAAACGCATCGCCTCTCACACTCCTAAAGAGATTGATTTCAAATTTTTATTGTAGATAATGGATAATAACTTAGATATTCGAAAAAATTGTACGCCATTTGTATTATAATAAAAGTTGTCTCCCTAAATGTGAGCGAAATTATTTCATTTCGAGGCAAATGCGGTTTTAATTAAAAAGAAATTAAAACCATATTTTTAATCACTAATCATATTTTGACAGGTTAAAATTAAATTTTAGATTATGATTAAAAGTTAATAGCAACTCAAAAAATTATTTAAAAAAAAATATGGTTTTCTTTTTTTAATTATTTTTAAATATATCAAAAATTAATTTAAAGCATCACTCTGTACTTTGTACTTTCTGTTTTCGTTAAATTGTGTGCAAGCGTAAGATGTATTTATTCATTCTTATCCTACAAGATGTGTCAAGAAAATGATGAAACTAACATTTAACGTGGTTAAAATAACTATATAAATATATTTGTAAATGAGCTGCTAACAACGTTGATTAATTAAATTAATTGGATTAATTGAATTGATCGTGAGGAGTGAGTGGTTAAGATTTATTAATTGCAGAAAATTCGAGAATAAATCCCCTTGGAAAGTTTACCGTAAACATTTACTTTAATTTGATAGAATTCGAATCTTCGTTGCCGCTTTTAATCTTAATGCCTTGTAAATATTATTCATTTTCTATGTAAAAAAAAGAAAAATAATAAACATTGCGGAAAACTTTCCGAGACTTCTAATTTAATACAAATTTAATAAAAAGGGGGATCGTTATGTAGGTGCTTGTTAATTCAGACGGACAGTGTATTTTGTTAACGTTTTCTCTGTCATGGGAAGAAGGATCATAAAAATCGATGGTTTCTACATAAAAAATCTTCATGTTAACAATATTAATTTTATTTTCACGCAAAACACCCATTTTATATAAACGGTTAGCGTTATGCTGTAAATTTACCACAAAGATTGTGAACAATAAAAGTATTAAGATAAAATCCATTTTTAAATTTCATAACCTAACCTTGACTTCTTATTTGCGTTCAACGTCTCTCCATGGAAACGAGTAAAACTTCAAAAATGACGTGGTTGTCAATGTCAAAAAATTAATTTACTTTTATCATATTTTCGAAATGATTTCGTCACAACTTCTTTTCATAACAAACATACAGTTGCTCACAAAATTGAGCATACACGAGAATGATGGAAGATACGAATAATATAAAACGAAATTTGTAATCTTTTTCCCTTTTTGTTTCTAAAATTGTTACATACATATGTATGTATATTGACATTTGTCTGATTCTTGATTTCTTTTCTATTATCAATTATCATTCAAGAACGGTAGAATCTAAAAGAACTGCTACATCTTTTGTAATTCAGAAAATACGTCAGATAACACCCAGTCAGCTTGACAGCTGCGTCGTTCTGTTTTTAGTTCAATAAAAATAACAACAAAACTAGAACTAGAAAGTTTCAGGTAATAAACGTCAAGATAACTTTTTTCATTGTTATCATAGAAACGGATTTGATTTTAAAACGTCAAAATGACAAAGATTATCTCGTAAAGATTTATTAATATATTTTCATCTTATTCAATATTTAATCCTTTCGTTACGGAGTATTTTGAAGATCATTTAGCAAGCCCACATATACAAAAACGTATGCGTACGCTCTTAGTAACGAAAGGGTTAATAAAAAAAGTGCATTTTGAAATAAATATTAATTACCACTAAATCTTTCGAAATTTTTTCAAATGAAAATTAAAATTGCTAATTAATTTTTGTCATTTTGTTGTCATGGAAACGTAGTTTTCCTTTTAAAACGTCAAAATACAATTTTGAGGTTATCTCAAATAGTATTTTCAGTATTTTCCTTTCCTAATGCCTTGTTGTTTTTCGGTATCTGTTATGATTTGTTCTAGCTTATTCTTCTTACACTTTCATCAATTATTTATTTTCCATTCTCCTGTATAGGTACTCAATTTTGTGAACAACTGTATGTATCATATTTTCGAAATGATTTCATCACAACTTCTTCTCATATCAAACATATTTATACTTTTTTTTAAAACGAATTTAAGCGATTTCGATAAAGTTATCAAGACCCCCCCATGAACTCCCAGAAAAAAGTCTTAAAACATGAAATCATCGATAAGAAACAATTTAATATCCAAATTAGCTTTAATTTCGCTCAATTTAGTTGTGTTAGTAACACGAGATTTATAGGTTATAAGAGAATGTTTTCCCGCCTACTTCCTGTAACGAATCGAGTTTTAAGCAAGGTATTCGCTTACAAACCTAACTTATCATCGTTTTTAAGTAAAAAAAAATCGATAACGTAACGTATTTTTGGTTTTTGATTTCATTTCGTTAAACACGTTAATTCTATCGACAAATAAGAGGTTATCGCTTAAATTGACCGGCTATTTAAAACCCGTTTCGATAAATAACCTCACAATATTGCTTTGAATTTAGTTCGCGTCACATCGAGTTTTTTTTCATTTAAGAACATTTTAAGAACATCGTGGTTCGTTCTTTTCGCAATTTATAATCTCAAATCATCTCATTACTTCATTTATAACTTTTCAGTTACAAATCAACAAGATGAGCACGAATCTATTAAATTCCAACGTTTGGGACTCCGACCCCGAATTATTCGACATGATGAAAAACGAAAAGAAAAGGCAAATGAGAAGTTTGGAGCTAATTGCCTCAGAAAATTTCACTTCTTTACCAGTATTACAATGTTTAAGTTCGTGTTTGCATAATAAATATTCCGAAGGGCTCCCCGGGCAGAGGTATTAATAATTATCTTTATTAATTCTTCGTATATCTTAATATATAATATTTTAGATATTACGGTGGAAACGAATTCATTGATGAAGTAGAAATTCTCGCACAAAAAAGGGCTTTACAAGCTTTTAGGTTAAAACCGGAGAAATGGGGAGTCAACGTTCAATCTTTATCGGGATCACCCGCAAATTTCCAAGTTTATACAGGTTCGTTTACAACGTTTTAATTCATTATTATTAATTTATAATGATATATTAATCAAATAATTTTTTTTGGGAAGATATCTACTTTACCGACCTCGGATATGTCAAATTTTAATTTTAAATTAATTTTTAGCAATTGCTGAACCACACGGAAGAATTATGGGCTTAGATTTACCTGATGGTGGGCATTTAACCCATGGATTTCAAACACCATCGAAAAAAATATCAGCTACCTCCTTATTTTTCGAATCTATGTCTTATAAGGTATTAAAACATAACCTAACTTCTCATTTCATTAATTACTAGTTTTTTTATTTTTTTGTAGGTTGATCCTAATACAGGCTTAATAGATTATGAATTCCTTGCAAAAATGGCACGTCAATTCCGCCCGAAAGTAATCGTAGCTGGAGTGAGTTGTTATTCTCGCCAATTAGATTACAAAAAATTCCGGAGTATTTGCGATGAAGTTGGAGCGTATTTGTTTTCTGATATGGCTCATATTGCGGGATTAGTTGCAGCGGGTAAAGTAAATAAAAAAAATTGATTTTAGATTTGATTAATTTTCCCAAATTAGGTGTAACGTCCGATCCTTTCGAGTACAGCGATGTTGTTACCACGACGACCCATAAAAGTCTTCGAGGTCCCCGCGCTGCAATGATTTTTTACCGTAAAGGAGTTCGCTCAACCAACGCAAAAGGGGAAAATATAATGTATGATTTAGAATCGAAAATAAACCAAGCTGTTTTTCCTGGATTACAAGGTAAATTTAATTTTTCATCGATATAATTAATTTATATAATAATTAATTTTTAGGTGGCCCTCATAACAATGCAATTGCCGCCATCGCAACTGCAATGAAACAAGCTCAATCCCCTGAATTTATTCAATATCAAAAGCAAGTTATTGCAAACGCTAGGAGACTTGCGGAGGGTTTAGTATCGAAGGGTTATGATATAGCTACAGGGGGCACTGATGTTCATATGTTGCTGGTTGATTTAAGAAAAATTGGGTTATCAGGGGCGAAAGCTGAAAAGATTTTGGAGGATATTTCAATTGCTTGTAATAAAAACACGGTTCCTGGAGATAAAAGTGCTTTAAATCCGTCCGGTTTTCGACTTGGAACTCCGGCCATCACCACCAGGGGGTTCACCGAAAAAGATGTCGATCGTGTCGTTGATTTCATCGATCGCGGGCTTAAATTAGGTTTGGAAATTAGCGTTATTTCCGGACCCAAATTGGTTGATTATAAGAAAGTTATTGAATCTAACGAGGAGATTAAGGGAAAAATTGCCCTTTTAAAGAAGGAAGTTGAGGAGTTTTGCGAGAAATTCCCCCTCCCCGGATTACCCGAATACTAAAATTAAGATACTTTATAATACAGATTCTTTAAGAATAAAATATTTTTAATTCTTACGTTTTATTTTTAAATAAAAATCTGCCCCATTTTATATCCGATATAATGTGTTTACTGTTGGGAGTAAAATCGGTTATTGGATAGTAATAAACATTAAACGGTTCCGTTTCGTTAAGAACGGATAAACAGCACTCGGAGGGCAATAAATTTTATTGCTACCAGTAAAAATGAACTCTTCCAGGGTGTTATAATTATTATTATTGTTAGCTGTATTTCACTTTGCCACATTTATTTGTTACATTTATTTTACTGTCAGGAAGCTTTTAAATCTTACGAAATGAATAAAAATCTGGATGAGTGTGAAGTTTGTAATTAATTCTAATAAACGTCAAGATGACTTTTTCCTTTGTTGTCATAGAAACGGAATTGCTCCCCCTTTTAAAATGTCAAAATGACAAAGATTATCTCGCGGAGATTTATTAATATATTTCCATCTTATTCAATATTTAATAAAAAAAACTGCATTTTGAAATAAATATTAATTACCACCAAATATTTAAATGTTTTCAAATAAAAATTAATAAAACTGGTTAATTCTTATGTCATTTTGTTGTCATGGAAACGGGGTTGTTTTCCATTTAACGTCAAAATACAATTTTGAGGTTGCCTCAAACAGTATTTTCATTTGATTCAATATTTAATAAAATTAATCAATAACAGAGTGTATTTTGTAATAAATAAATAATTCTACGTATTAGCCCATTCATTTAATACATAAGTACTTATTTCAATTTTGATTATAATTAATCCGTTTAATTGGTCGTGAAGGGAAGCGATAATTATTCGAAATCAATATTTATTTAATAAATCTTTTCAATTAAATTTAATAATTTATTCATCTTCCGCTCGGTTGTAATCTCGCTTGTAATCCGCTCGGTGTAACAAATATTTGAGTTGGATTATTTTAATTTTGTGTAGTTTTTTTTTGTAGGATCAAAAAAAAACCGTGAGAAGTTTTCCGGTTTGTGGTGACACTCAGCAATATATTATCACGACACAATATAACGTTTTCGCATTGTGTAACGTTGCCAAGACGAGTTTGTGAATAATGAGGTTGCAGCCCCCTCCAGACTTTCTCATTGACGGCTAACGACGGAAAAAGAAACGAAGGGGAAACAAACCGAATTATCAGTTATTTCAAACTAAATAATTTGAAATTTTGTTGCATAAAAATCCTTTTTAGTTGATTGGCAATGGAAATTGTGAAATTCAATCTTGTATGTAAATTCACCTGTCTGAAAAATATATATATTCACTCGAAAGCAGAGGTGTTTGTTGGTTTATCTTCCGAGATGTATACTTTAAGTTACATTCTATACCTTTTAGAGATGCAAGTGACACGACGGAAATTCTTTTACAATTTCTCTAAGACAAATACTTTTAAAAGGAATTGAATTGTTTTGTTTTCAATAAAACATTTTCAATTAGAAATAATTATTGTTTTTGTTTTATAGTTTTAGGTTGGTCTCTATGAAGTTCTTTCCATTCTCAACTAAAATTTTTTTGCTTTTAAATCTCTCACCATCAATAATCTCCCATTTATATTCCCGATAAAGTTCTTCAAATCATAATTATATCATATCCAGTTGCAAATCATCCATCTTATAAGGCCATAGAAATTATTACTGATGATAATAAAGTTTCTAAAGCACTATAAGCATCAGGATATGGAGTAAAAGCTTAATATATACACCTGTATATAATAAAATATTTTGTAGGTTATATCTGAAGTCGATTTTAACGAGATCTTTATATCGATGTTTAATCGTAGATATTTTTATATGTAATTAAAAAAATTATTATTACATACTTACATTTTCCATCAAATCGGAAACTAAAACGGTGTCATAAATTTCTTCAATTGGAGTGGTAGAGTGAATCCTTCTTTACAGTTTTATTATCGTATTACCACAAAACTAAAAGGTATCGCAATTTTTAAATGAATTAATCCTTTCCACGGAATTTGTCCACCATAAACATCACATCTTATGATTTTTAAACTTTCCTCATTGCTTATAAACACCTGCGTAACAAATAGACAAATAAATTAGACCAAATTCGATTAATAAATGATCCAGATTAAACTTAATCGGATATAAATACAAATTAAATTAATTTATCTTACTTTATAACCTAAAAATAAAACGATTTTATCGATTTGTATTGACAAGTTGATGTAACCAAAGATAATTCGTGAAAGTGTCACTAGATGGGGTTGTTACTTAAATTTTTTTTTAATTAAAATGTATTTATTTATATAAATTGATTTATTTAAAATATTGATTAATTAAAAGAAATATAAAATTTACCTATTTTAGGAAGAAATTAAAACGGTGGTTATCAAGTGTCAATTACCGCTAGATGGGGTGAATCGTTTAAAAAAACCCGTTTATCCAAATAAAGATTGCTTTCCTCTTATTATGTTAATTTAGATTTAGAATTAATGAAATTGACTTACTTTGTTTTCATTTCGAATTTCAAGAATGTCCCAACACTTAAAATTAACAGCGTAAAAGTTAGGTTATGCTCCGATAAAATCTTCACTTAATTTGAAAAGAAAAAATGGGGTCGTTGATCCTAAAATCACGATAAATTAATAAGTTAGGTGTTCAAAAACGTATTTTGATAATTTTTTTGGTTCAATAACGCATTTTTTGTTGTAAAATTTACCAAGTTTAGGAAGAAATTCAAGCGGTGATAATAATCTGTCAAAACGAGATTTAATACGATTAATTACCGAAAGATGGGGTGAGTAATAAATATATTAAAAAAAAATTTTTAAATCAAATATTAATTAATTAGCAAATGAATTAAATTGACTTGATTTTAATGAATCACCCAATTTTGAATTAAAACTAATAACTTCAAATTGGCAGCTTAATATACATATTGTTAGGTTATGTTTCGATAACCTCCCACTGAATTTTCATGTACGCAACAAATAGAACAATAAATAAGAACAAATTCGATTAATAAATGAGCTAGATTAAACTTAATCGGATATAAATACGAATTAAATTAATTATTCTTCCTAAAACGATTTTATCGATTTGTATTGACAAGTTGATGTAACCAAAGAGAATTCGTGAAACTGTCACTAGATGGGGTTATTACTTAACTTTTTTTTAATTATTAATTTATTTAAAATATTGATTAATTAATTTAAAATCAATATTTTTTAATATTTATAAAAAGGGTTAAAATTTAATTTTTTTATAAATATAATTTTTATATGGTAACCATGGAAACCAGAAATATCAAATTTTGACGTTTCATAAAAAATGTTTTAAAAAAATTATGAAATAATGACCGATAAAAGGGATATAAAAGTGTTGCACTTTGTGTGCGTACACAAACGGTAATGTAGAAATCGTTTTATCGCAAAGTGTATAAGGATTGTCGAAGGGGATGGAAAAATCAGTTACAAAAAAAAAAAAAAATGGGAAAAAAGTGAAAAAAGAAAGAGACCGTGGCGACACTTAGCCGTTGTGTTTAGCGGTGCGATTGCGTTAGGGGGTAGTAGGTGGTACTTCGCCCTATATAAACTCTTCCTTTCCTCCAGCAATAACATTACGGGCGACGCTCCCCCGAACCCGAACCGCGAACAGTTTACCCACTCCACAGCAATTGATTGCTAATATTCGAAAATTGAATCAAAATCAAAGTCGAATCATAAAGCGCGCGCGAAAAACATTAATCTTAATTGTAATAATGGAAAATAAAACGATTTTTTTCATCATTCTGGACTTGTTCGTTTTATTTTCGATTCAAAATCGCGTTCAATGCAGCCCGATTGAAAAAAAAAGTGCAGCCCCGGAAAGGGTTACCGACGATTCCGATTATATCTTCGATGTTAAATACGATGAGTATCCGGTAAGTAAATTTTATTTATTATTTAAAAAAAACATCAAGAGCAAATAAAAAAGGGTAATCTTGATCAAATTACCATGTCAAAAGGCCAAAAAAATGATGGATAAAATCGATCAAAATTTCCATAATTTCAACTTTAAAATTTTAAATTCTTAGCTTTTAAGTTAAAATCTGGGTCGCTTTTTAAAAATGCAACATAAAAAAGAAATAAATGAAAATAATTATCATTATAATGTGCTTAGAGTTTCGAGTTTTTACTTTGAATTTCACTCCGTTTAAGTGTAATGGAGATTCGTTATCTAAACATGGACAGAGACGAGCTAGTTGCGTTCATAAACAATAGTTGGGAAATGCGGCACAATTGAGTGCATGTAAATTATTACAATAGAACCCCCACGCTAAACATTTGCGGCCCCATTTCTCTTTAAGTACATATATTAAATATGTATCATTAGTTCATTTGAAAAGATTTTTCATTTTACACAATTATTCGAATATAACATTGATGTAGTTGTCAGAAATTTGCCTGCATTTGCCTTTGATTAGAACGGGTTGCGTCGGCGGATATAACACGTTATTCATCAGTTTGCCTAATTCGCGGCTCAATTGTCATTATGAATATGTATGTAATGCGTCAAGCGCATTATGTTACATCTCTGTTTGAATCCGGACAACATCAAACATCGGACTAATACAAAACTTGAAATAAAATGAAACCGTAATAACGATATTAATAATTCCAGGAATCAATAAACCTCAATTCAACATTATTTTTGAGGTTAGAACATGAAGTTTCACCAGTTTCACTTTCGTTTCATTTGAGGGGGAAAAATCAGGGATTCTAAAATCACAATAAATTAATAGATTAGGTCTTCAAAAACGTATTTTGATAAATTTTTCAGTTCAATAACACTTATTTTGGTGTAAAATTTACCTTTTTAGGAAAACATTTAAACGGTGGTTATAAACTGTCAAAACGTGATTTAATAGGACTAATTACCGCTAGATGGGTTGAGTAATTGTTTAAAAAAACTGTAAAAATTAAATTTTACCCAAACAACGATTGCTTTCCTCTTATTATGTTAATTTAGATTTAGAATTAATGAAATTGACTTACTTTGTTTTCATTTCGAATTTCAAGAATGTCCCAACACTTAAAATTAACAGCGTAAAAGTAAGGTTATGTTCCGATAAAATCTTCACTTAATTTATGAAGAAAAAAATCGCCTGTTGGATTCTAAAATACGCAATAAATTAATATGTTGGCTATTAAAAAACGTATTTTGATAATTTTTTGGTTCAATAACCCTTTTTTTGTTGCAAAATCTACCAATTTTAGGAAGAAATTCAAGCGGTGGTTATCAAGTGTTAAAACGCGATTTAATACGATTAATAACCGATAGATGGGGTGAGTAACTATTTAAAAAATTTAATTTCAACCTAAATAGTAATGAAACAACAAATGAATAAAATCGACTTAATGTGTTTTGATTTTAATGCATCATCAATTTTGAATTAAAACCAACAATTTCAAATTGACAGCTTAATATGAATATTGATATTTGATAACCTCACTTAAGTTTCTACGATAAAAACATAATTAACAAACTTTTATTTGTCTTTGTTGAATAAAATATGTCTTAAAGGTTGTTTATAAATAAATTGGCGGTGTTTAATTGACGTAAAAGTGATTTTAATGTTAAAAGGACGTTTATCGAGTGCTTCATTCAACCGGAATCGCGTTCTTCGTTTGATTTTACACTTGAGATGTGGTGCTAAATTAGAGTAATTAAACGTTGTGACATTTTCATGTGAAAAGTAATCAGAAAAATCTTTATTTACTGCTTGTTTCAAGAGGGGAAAATTCATCTTGTCGCGATTGTTGGATGACATTCTCAATTTTAAGTTTTTAATGTAAGATAAAATTGGAAAAGTGCGGTTATAAAACTTTGTTTTATTAAGTTCTCCTCCATATTTCTCTTAATATAAGAACTCCTATTAATTACTACACATACAGAAATCCCATTATTGTTTTATTGCGACATTCGATTGCATATTTCTTGTTAAAAGCACGCAGTTAGTCCTTGTGTTATATCTTCGGTGTCATGCTGGGCCAACAGCAAGTATTGCGATTTTCAATTAATGGTTTCTCACTAATAAAAACGAGAAACATTCAATAAAAATGAAATCAACCGGTTGAAATTATTATCAGAGGTTAGATTCTAAATGTCAAATTTGACATATTAATATAACCTCAAAATTTATAATTATTTATTTATTTCTAGATGGTTGTGCCAAGAAAACGAGCCGCATTACTAGTGGATCGTTTGATGGTGGCCCTTCAAAAAGCGATTGAAGAAGAGGATCAAAGGAGCATAGAGGCGCAAAGAAAACATTCCGGTTACGGATTAAGACAAGACGATGTCCGTTCAGTGAGTAATTTAAATTAGAAATGTGTGTTATTCCCCCACGATTAAATTCTCGATTTTCACACAATATAACCAGCTTGACGAAACTCAGATATAAGGTTTCAAACGGATTGATTATAACACTCCAACTCGGATTGATATTGCGAAATTTGATTTCGTACTTCTAGCCTTGTTGTTCGATAATATCGCCGCGTTATGTCATCGAAACTTTATTTTATTTTACGTAAAATAAATTAATTTTAGATTGAAGATAAAAATGCAACAAGGTTTTTTTTTGCGCGTAATTCATGGTATATAAAGGATTTGCGAAATAATTTTTTTTTAAATATAAAGCGACCAAAATGATGTTCGTTTTTGCGTTGATTTTAATTGGGCTTGTGTTCTTGATTGGGGAGAGTTTCGCTGATGTAAGTAATTCAATTGATTTCGAATTAAAATAAAATTAATGCTTTTAGGACGCGATTTTTGACTATATCCAAAATACAACTAAGGAAGTTTTGAATAATTTCACCAATCAAGCTGTTGATGTAATGGGTAGATTGGCTACAATTAATCCGTTGGGAAATTAATTTTTTGTATGTTGAAATGTCATATGTTAATAGAGCGAATGGCGCCATCTATTAATTAAAAATTTTGACGAAAGTTTTGGCGTTTATACTTGTCACTTTTAATCATAATTTTGGTTCATTTGTATTTTAGGTGGAATGTAAATTAACCTTTTTATTGATCATTTAAAATTCAACAACAGTTTCATTAACGAATTCTTGCGCCTCATTCTTTGCCCTTACATCGCTGGGAATTTTGGCTAATTCTTTAACATAATTAACCGCTAAAAAGTTACAAATTTGAATCATCAAAATTAAATTGATTATTATAAGTACCTTCGTTTGTAACTCCGGTTATTACGCCTTTTCCAACCTTGAACGCAAGCCCCTAAAACAAAAAGAATCATTAAAAATAATTACTCGTGCTTGGTATTGCAATTTAATAAAAATAAAATAATAAACAATTCCAATAAATGAAAAAAATTGTTATGTATTTTTTTTTAATTAAATCAGACATCTCTTATAACAGATTTAATCATCCTGATGTAAAACGCTTTTCATCACAACATCGACCACCACATCGACCGGGACCATTTTAACTTTTCCCATGAAAGTTTTAGCTGCATAATAACAAAAAAATTTTCTTAAAAACGAGAATGAGGATTAATCGAAACATACTTTTATTATAAGCTTGCCCCATCATATCAAAACCTGTCTTAAAAACATTAGAAACAAATCGTTTTTTCTACAAAAAAATTTTTTATACAAAAAATTTTATTAATTAAAATTAAAAACGATTTTTTTAACTTACAATCACACTTCCCTCGCTAATAACGAACCAGGTTGTTAATAAAAAAGCGAAAATAAGTAATCCTTTCATTTTAACGATCAAAATAAGAACGCAAATTAACTTTAACTCGGAAGGGAACGTTTAAAATTAATGATTTATCGGATAATTAAAAAAGATTAATCGATACATTTCGATTTGACGCTTTTATTATTAATTAATTAATTAAATTAAAAATATTAACGACATCTATTATTAATCAATTTAAATCATTAAGTTGATAAAGTAGAATATTTTGACAGTTCCTGGCACTTCTAACAAATTGATTTACCGAAGTTTTTCTTCGTTTTCCTTATTTGTTCCAGATGGATTTGCAAAGAAGAGGTCACGGCGGCCTAACGAACCAACAAAAAGGTCGGGTTTATTGGAGGTGTTATTTTAACGCGGTTACGTGCTTTTAAAATTAAGGTAAATGGATAAATATCGATAAGTACTGATCTAGTTTATATAAAAAAAAATAATTTATGTATCAATAATTAACATATTTTTTGTTACTTCACATTGTATTTAGAGATTGTGTAATAATTAAAAATATACCGAAATAAAATTGTTGTTTTTATCGATACAAACAAATCCTTTTAAAAACCAAAATCCCCGACGGTTATTGCGGGGCACGAAATCGAATTTAATTTAATGATTGCAAATAGAATCCGAATAAATAAAACTGTTTAAGGAAATAAATATAAAAAAAATATTTTTTATTGATTTACTTTATTGGTTTGGCTATTACTTCATAGATGGCACGTATGTTGGAATTAATTTGGAATCATTAAAAAAATGAATTTATTGAATTTAGAAAAACGTAAAAATGAATTAATGAGAACAATACTATCAACTTATTTTTGGGTTAACAGCATCAACGAAATTCTGATGAAACTATTACCACATCAAATAAATTTAACCTGTCAGATTTTATGATGTGAAATTTCGATTTGAAGTCAATATAATCTATCATCAAATGGGACAGGTATATTAAAAGGTAAATTGTGCGAGATAACCGATATTAAGCACAATGAAAACACGCTTTGACCAAATTTAGTTTATTCATGCGAGTTTGTTAGTTATTGTTTTGTTATTTAGCGCTATAGATTGTTGTTATTTTTATCGTACTAAAAGTAGAACTATGACTAGACCTTCAACTAGAATCATTCGGGTTTAGCCGAACGTCTTTAAAGACGGCTAAACCCGATTATTTCTAGCTTTAATTGTGATTCAGTGCTAGGTTGTTGTAATTTTTTATTGAAATAAAGCTAAAATTAGAAATAAAATTAGATTGGGATACGTTCAAAAACGCGAAAATTAAAACAATCTCGTTGACATTATTTTTGGAGTTAAGAAACGGTTTATATTAGAAATTGAAGATAAAAGATGATATTTTAAGATATGATATAAAAATTGATGTGTTAATAATAAAAATTAGTATAGAAAACGTTTTTAAAAGTAGTTCAGTTGAATCAGGATACGTTCGAGAACGTCAAAATTTTAAGACCGTCATTGAATTTACTTTTTGGAGTTAAGAAACGATTTATATCACAAATTGAAGATAAAAGATGATATTTTAAGATATTATATAAAAAATTGATGTGTTAATAATAAAAATTAGCATAAAAAAGGCTTTAAAAGGAGTTAAGTTGAATCAGGATACATTCGAAAACGTCAAAATTTTAAAATTGTCATTGATGTTATATTTTCGAGTTAAGAAACGATTTATATCATAAATTGAAAATAAAAGATGATATTTTAAGATATGATATAAAAAGTGATTAGTTAATAATAAAAATTTGTGTAGAAAAAGTCTCTAATAGAAATTACGCTGCATTAGGATACGTTCAAAAAAGTCAAAATTTTAATAAAATCTCATCGATTTTATTTTTCGGAGTTAAGAAACGATTTATATCGCAAACTGAAGATAAAGGTGCTATTTTAGATATCAAATAAAAATGTCTGAGTTAAAATAAAACTTTATAAAAAAAGTCGAAAAGTAGCAAAAATTGAATTAGATTATGTACGAAACGTCAAAATTGTGATTGATTGTGATTTAGTATACATAGTATGTACGTAGTCACAGAGAATTAATTTCCCATCACTTTCATTACCAACCTTACTATAATCGCAGTAAATTCTTCATAATTAGATAGCTCAAAGCAATTTTCATTGAAACTTTCATTATCGTCATAAAAAAACATTTAATTTTGACATTTTAGATTAATATAACGTCAATATTAGCGACATATAACTAATAATTGACAGATTTTTATGTTTTTTTCTGGATTACAAAAGACGTTTTTATTAAAATTTGTGATATTTCGGACGTTTTAAAACTTATTATCCATCACTTAAGGGGGAGTTTTTATTTCTTGTTTCTTTTCCGCATCTTATCGCCTTACATATTTAACGAGCATTGTTAAAAGGGACACTTTCACATTTAACGATCGCTCCTTCTCAGGTATGATAAGTAATGAGATGTTTCTTCGTCCTCGATGTGTTTAGTTGTTGGTGTACAATTTCAAATTTACTAATTAAAATAAAAAAAATTTAAAATGGGTAAATGTAAAAAGTTTTAATCGCTACGAATAATCTAAAACCTATATAAATCCCGTCGGGTTTTTTTTATGAAAGTGGATTACGCAAAAACTCGGGTTTTGTTTAAATAAGATATCACGAGTAATCTGGCGTTCGAATAATAATTATTACCGACGCTTTTACACCACCCGGGGTTGAAAAACACCGATTTAATAAACACCTATGGATTTACGGCGTTAATCTTCGGCTTAACTCCGCCGGAACCGTTCGTTTTTAATGGGTTGCCACGCAAATAACTCTCTGTGTGCTGTTATCGGTTCATATGCACAATTCCCATACCGATTATAATCATATTTTCTATATATTGTATACACAGCGAGTGGACGTTTTTGACACGTTTCAATCACTCAATAAATCCCAATAAAAATTATTCGTTTTAACCAAAATTATTAAAATATTTTAAACAAAATGCAAATTGACATTGATATATCACGTCATAACCTTCATCATCTCGTTTGAATACTTAGTCGGTCGGAAATTTTGATCAGACGTATCTAAAAGAGGGCACGCGGTAAAGGTCTTTTGATCCGTAAATGACCTTTGCGTCTGGAGACTCTGTTGCGCGAATTAGAAGGAAAATCTTTGCGGCAACGCGAAATTGAGTGCATAATTGGGTTTCGTTGATGTAACATCGAGCATTAAAATAATGATAAAATCATTCAAATCGATTTATTATCGTTTTATTAAAGGTTATTGTTGCAATAATTAAACGTGGGTCGTAAAATTCTTGTTATGCGACGTCTAGTCTATGTAATAAAACTCGATAAAAATAGGTTAGAAAGAATTAATAAAAATTACTCAACCTAAAAGCCGAGCTCTTATTTAATAATCCAAGCGACGCTAAGTATACTAACTAACTAAAACAGATGCACTGTAAACGTTTCTTAAAAGGTAAAAAACCTTTCTTTGTATTGCAAAACTTGACAAAAACGTTCCGCGAATAAGAATTTATAAAGTTACTTACTAAAAGGTATTTTTATGCCCTTTATTTTTTTTAAAGTAACTTTGGATACTTCAAAGGATAGATTTAAAGCGTTATGTTTGACAAGTACCCTTCTTTCGTTCGGTATAAACAAGGAAACGGTTTATTTTAAAGAATTTTCTCAACTTTTACAATATCCTCAAATCTTAAATCAACTATATTAGGAAAAGCAATTTTCTTACCACCACAAAGAAAACTTTTTCATTTCCGGCGATCGGCGGTCCATTTCAAATGAGAATTGATGATCACTTTTTAAAACTTTAAACTTTGAAAAATAAAGACTTGTGGAGATTTAGGTTAAATGTGAACAACTAAAAATTAATACCAACTTACATTTAAATAAGTCAAAAAAATTAATACCAACTTAAATTTTTTCTTGACAGATATAAAATTGAAAGGTAATTTGAAATCGAATTAATATAAAATACCTTAAAATGTTGTTCTCTTCTTAGTTCCAACCTCGTTTTATAACACAATATAAGTCAGAAAATATTTTTTTTTACATTCTCCGATGATAAGAATGAAGCATACGACTTTGAAGAAAAAAATTAAAATGAAATTATTAATATTTAATTATATAACTAACGTTACTTTATTTTTCATCCTCTTCGTAATCCTATCTTACTTAATAACCTAAAACCACAATAATTTTATTGATTAGTATTGGCAGGATGAAGTAAACAAAGGTAACAATTAAACATGACGCTAAATGGCGTTGTTGTAATTTAATAGTAAAAAGGAATTAATTAAATTTGATTCTAAAAACGTATTAAATTAATTATATAATTAGTTCAAATAATTAAAAATTCACTTAACGAATTTCTTAATTATTTATAATTAAAAAAAAATTATTACCAACTTAAATCTGTATGTTTCAAATGTGTCAAATTCTCTTTTTGACAGATCATGAAGTTGAAATTAAACAATTTGAAATATCTCAAAATATTACAAGAGGAAAAACGGGTTATTTACTTTATTTTCTATCCCCCTCTTACTCCCATCCTCACTTTATAACACAATATAAGTCGGACGAATAAACCGCAACACGAAGCGGACTCTTCCCATATTATTCCAAAAATTTCATTACCCTTACATTGTAGTTTTGTTGTTATATCCTCATATTCGTTCGAAATTACCCCGAAAGTATAACTAAATAAACGCTCACTTTGTTCTAAAAATCAATTAAATTGAGGTTAAAACATTTATGACGCAAACGTCAATTTGACGTTAAATGTCAAAAAAATGCTTAATATGAAATATTTTTTCTGGATTTTATTTGATCCCGTAATGTTTCAACCTGACGCAACTTGTACAAAACGCGCGCGCAGATTGGGCGCGTAACTACCGCGGAAACACCATAAAACCGAATTTGTAGCTTGCGAGTACTCACTTCGTATCGGCGACGATCCCCAGAAACATCTTGTCTGCTTTAAAGCTCAACGTAGAACAAGTTCATCAAGTTCCCGCAGAAAGAGGTGAGAAAAAATTTCATTTAAAACTTTTGTATTATTACCGGATTATTTCCATGAGCAGCTTTTTCTTGTTTTTTACTTTGAGCTGAGAAGATTTTGAAGTAATCTACATCGGGTTTAAAAGTAACTTAACGGATTAAGACCGTTTAATGATTTAAAAGTAAATCCCGGCGCATCCACCAATTTTAAAAGTTTAATTATAACACACAATGTTGTTCATAAAGTATTTATAAATTAAATCATTTAAATCAGTCGAGCCGTTATACTGAGAGTACTTAAAATATTATTTATCCGAGAGTGCATTCGACTGAAAAATAATGCTAATTGAACTTTATCCAATCGATCGAACGGTAATTTATACAAGTTACAGTTCTTGCAACAGTTCCACGAATCTGAAACCAATGAGCTATGCGTAATTCGATTCCAACTTACTGCAATAAGATAAAAAAAGATTAAATTCAAAACCCTTTCAGTTTCCAATAAAATTGGATCTTATCAATTTGTGAATTAGATTTTATTTCGATTTCCTTATCGAGAAAGAGAGAGATTCAAACAAGAATTAGATTTTCTAATAAAATAAAGATGCAATTTCAAAAATGAGTCGATGTTTTCCAGTTGGGATTTTTTGTTACCGCATAACACAAAATTGGAATTGTATCGGATGAAATAATAACCATCGAGAACAAATATTGAAACCGAATAACCGCAACGCCGTAGAAATTCAACATAGCCGGGTGAAAATTTTCATTGGAATTAACCATAATTGAAACATTAATTAATAATCATGATAATTTTAAATCATTTAGGACTATTTTATACTAATGTATTTAAAATTACTAAAGGTATCAACAGTTGATGGTGATTTTATCTCACCCTAAAAAAATATTTCATTAAATACGAAACTTTCGTCTCGTTCTTTTCGATTCATGTTTTTATTCGATCTTGAGGTAATGGAAAAGCGGTTCGATTCTGTGTAAACTGCGTTTGATTCGTTCCATAAAAACAAATACGACAAATTGAAAATAAATTTAAAAAGAGATAAATCTAAAAATGATAAAATTAATAAATAGAAATGTACCAAGAAGAAATTATGTGCTTTTAATTAAAGAATTTAATTGTTTCTCTTGTCACTTGAATGTAAATGCTTTTCAATTTTTCAACTTTTTTACTGCAAACTGGGGGTTATTGGGGTTAAGTGTTTGAGAGCACCATCTAACACGAACGCGACAAACGAAATTAAGGGGATTAATTGAGAGGACGTTGTTCATTGTTTTTGAATTTCCGTCCAAAACGAACATCGAAATGAATGCCACTGTTGCAGGATATTGTCAATGTCAATCAACGGGGACTTAAACTTTTTCTTTTATTCTTTCGGTCCCTAAAAAAATTTTAATTATAAATTTTAAGCCGGATTAAATCCGATTTCAATAATTATCGATGTTATTAGTTCTTATAGACTTCAATACTTATAATATAACATACCTTTGCGATACTTACAATCTCTATTTCGATTTAAACACAATTACTTTCTTCGATTGTATCTTTTCTATCATTTGAATTGAAAGGATGTGATCTAATAATTTGACCTCAGCAGTACTTAATTGTCATTCAAAAACAAGTTGAAAAAAAATAGATTAATGTAAAAATATTTTAGAGTAAACTTACATTATTTTTGATTTAAACATCTCTTAAATTCTTGAAAGCCTCCAACAACATCGCCGATTGTTGATAAAATACGATTGTATTGTTAATTGCTTAGCAACCCAATTAACATCCAAAAGCCACTTAAATATTTCATGAGATGGCGCCACAACTATTTTCTTTTAATAAAAATTACTACTAATACTACTATTATTTATGGTAAATTAAAATAAAGATAAATATGGTATTTTCATTAAAAATAAACTAAAAGTACTCACAGAAATTCGCTTTTTTTACAAGATTTTCCTTTATAGATAACCTGGAGCAAATTATTTACCTTAAAATCGCTTGGAACACGAAGATATCTTGAAAAGATAATCCGATATGATCAATGATTAAGTTCTTTTTATTAAGAAAACGATATTTTTGATAAAACCAAAACCAAACGTCAAATGTCAAAGATAAAAATTAGTACTGAAAGTAAAACAGAGATGGAGCTGGTTTATTTAATAATTATATAAAGTTAAAACTTTTTTTTTAATAAAATAAATACCTTAATCGATTTAGATCGATTTGATTAAAAATCATTACAATATATTTAATTTTTAATTGAAAAACACGAAATAATTAAAAAAAATATTAATATGAAGTTTATTTGAATGATGTGAAGATTCTTAATTTCATGAAAACTTACCAAAAAAAAATCTCTTGGGTTACTTATAAAAATCTTGAAATATAATCCGAGATGATCAATGATTAAGCCATAATAAGATTTGATTAAACCTAAACGTTTTTTTTTATAAAAAAATCGATTTTCTTAATTAGAACCTCACATAAACGTCAAATGCCAAAATAATAATTAGTACTAAAATTAAAACAAAGATGGTGCTGATTTAATAATTAATAATTTACATATTTATTTTTAGGTATACTTTAATTATTTAATAATTAGTTATTAGAACATTCAAAAACTAACAATTATTTCGTATCAATCAAATAAAACGTGTATTGGACCAAAAATCGTTCAAGTCGAGACAGAACTTGTCAAAACTTGAATGTGACGTCCTTTGAGTTGAAAAAATCGTATTTTTCGAACTCGTTCCGCATGATTGATTTAAACCGCGATGGTTAAAATCTAATTTAATACATAATAGCATTCTTAATCGATTAAAATTCAATACACAATATCATTAATTTATCTCCTCCGCAAATGCAGACTAATCAAAATTAATTAGCTTTCCGTTTACAAGAACGTGTATATACGTGTATACATTTGCAATTTAGCAATTCAAATGCAGTGTTTGCTTGGTTCGACGTCTGAGAATATAAAATAACTCGGTTTAGTTCTGATCAAAGAGATTTATAGTATAATTTTTATTAAAAAGAAATTGGGTTGTCGAAGATTCACGGTTCATGTCAAAAGGAATTATTCGACAATCGAAACGGAATAGGTCTTATTTAGTATTCAAAACGCAGTACAACTCGATACACCGGCCGGAAATGATGTCGAATAAGTTTATGCATCGCGTAGAAATAGCAATTTCGGTGGAAAACCGATAAATCACCAGAATATAAATTTGGCGTCAACAATTATTATCTTTGTTTTCAGGAAAAAATCTTATATTCAACAATGTCTTCTTTAACAATGCTTCAATTATTCTCAAGACTTCTCCTTTTGTTATGTATCGCTTCGATGGTTTCCTCTTCGCCAAGGCCCCACTTCGGAGAGGTCAACCCTGTAAGTAATTGATTAATTAATTAAAATCGTTCGATTTGTTGTTAATTTAGTTGTTTCAACTCATTAAACTCATTTCTCCTTTTCTTTCTAACTTTTTTAATCACCAGCAAGAAGATTTTTGATGTGTTTGTGTAGTTAGTGCTCGTTGTGATGCAAAAAAATCCAAATTTGACAAACATGACATTTGACATTTGACATTGACGTAATCTAATACAGGATGATCGAAAGGACTTTTTGGATTTTCTCCAAGAAATCAACGACGAAGAGATGAATAACGATGAGAATTCGTTTTCTTCAAGTGGAATCTCATCTTTGGATCCGTTTTTAGACGAATTTGTGTTGATGAAGCGGATTTCGAACGTTAATCAGCGGGAAATTCAACGCAGAAACGCGCTCAAGAAAAAATTAAGGATTAAGAACGAAAGGAGGGAATTTATTCCGTGCTTTTTTAATGCTGTGTCGTGTTTCGGATATTTTTAAATTAATAAAATGTTTATCAATTTAGATCAAGTGTAAATTAGATTAATTAAAAATTAGATGAATTGTGTTTTTTTTATTTTTTCATACCCCGGGTTAACCTAAAACAACTTACAAAAAAACTAAATTAATTAAAAATAATAAATTCTTTTTTAGACCGACCAAGAATCAACCGGATTTTTAGAATCCTCGAATTTATCGAACGAGCAAATGGAACAGTTGGTGCAGAAGCTTTTGGAGTACAACAACAGATACCCCGGTTACCCCTCAGCTTGGGAGAGATTGTTGAAGAGCCCCGAAATGAAGAGGCAAAGTCGTTTTAGGCAATGCTATTTTAACCCGGTGAGCTGCTTCAAGAAGTAAATCAAAAAGAAAATTTTAATGTTCATCTTCGATAATCTTTGTTCCAAGTTCTGATCTACCATGTACCTACTTTAAAAAATTAAAATCCAAACATTGTAGTAAAATAAAATGTAATAAAACAAATTAGGATGAATAAAAATTATATATAATCAAAAATTGTTCATATTTCAACACAAAACGGGTCTAATATCCGCTTGAAATTAATTGAGAAATCTCTTCAATTAAAACTAGAATTCGCGCATCCGCTTTTGTTTCAACAGTTGTTAATTTGTTACTTTCTGAAGACAAATTCCTTCTCCTCAACTTGGAGTAACGCGAGCTTTTAGTGTCACTAACTAATTCGTTTATAAGTGTTGCAGCTTCGTCAATTTGAATTCCAAATGCGACTCAATTTGAGTTTAACTTCCATTTTAGAGATGATCCAACTCCTACGACATCTTAAAATTAAATTTCCGCTTCGATAGTTACAACTTAGATTTAATGTTAACGATTTACTGATATTGTATAACTTGTACTTCTAAAAATCGGTTCTCTTTATAAAATTATTATGTCAACGTAAACGTCAAATGTCGCGATGAGGATTAGTACTCAAAGTAAAACAGAGATGGGGCCCGTTTATGAAGTTTCTCAATTTCACGAAAACTTACTAAAAAAAATTACTTGGGTTATTACTTAAAAATATCAATGATTAAGTTATATTAAGATTTAATTAAAACTAAGCGTTTTTTTTATCAAAAATTCGGTTTTCTTTATGAAATCCCAACAAAAACATCAAACGTCAAAGATGAGATAGTACTCAAAATAAAACAGAGATGGAACTGATTTCTTTCTTTAGTATTAAATTAAATTAAAACGATTATTATTAATAAAATAAATACCTTAATCAATTTAGATCGATTTGATTAAAAATAATTAGAATACATTTAATTTCTAATTGAAAACAAGAAATAAGTTTATTTGAAAGAAATTAAATTCATTATTTAAAATGCCAACATAAACGTCAAAGACCATAATTAGTACTTGTATTAAAAAAGAGAGGAAGCTTAAAAATTAAGAGAAATTTAAAATGTTTATTAACAAAATAATTAATTGATATTAAGTCCAACTTAGATTTGATTTTAGTGATTCAGTGACATCCAATGGTCATTGTATCACTCAGCGTGAGGTAATTACCACAAAGGCAATGTAATTAAAGGGATGAGGGTTTTAATTAAGCTTTAGAAACCCGAGAATACAACCAACGTCGAAATGGGGTTAAAACACTTTTTAATCTTAAATTTATATATTATTTTCTTAAAAAATATACAATTAAAAAGTAACATTATTATCTTAATACTGTACAATAAATTTTTGTTTATTTATATTTGAGAAAATACACTAAAAAAATATCTTATTTTTTACGTATTATTAAATTGAGCAGGAGAGTTAAATCGAACGTAAAATAAATATTTATGTAATTGTGTATGTGCAAATCAATTTCAAATAATTACTCAACAGTTTATGATTTCGTATAAAATTATGACCTATTTATACAGTATAATTGAGCAAAGACGATGTATTTCGATTCTCGTTAATATGTACAAAAACATGCGTGTGTTAATTTACTACACGTTTAACAAAAACAAAGAATAAACTCGTTAATTGAATTATTAGGAACAATTTTTTAAGTAATATTTACAAAAAAACTCTTGTATCGAACAAAATAATGAACCAACCAATTTCCAATATAAATTATATACAATAATTAATTTATAAACAAAATAAAAATAAATAAACATAAAAAATTTTATTCCGACTCGAGTTTTGTCCCATTCGAATCGGAACTATTCCCGGTTGACGAAGCCTCTTGTAACGTTGAAGAATTATTGTGGCAATGAGTGCAATGCAAGCAAACGCTGCAGGAACCCAGCTTTTTCGCCAAAATCGATTTTAATTTTAAAGCAGGCCCAAGTTTCATTCCCATCGTCGTCGTTAGATGGTCCTCCGTTAACAAGGGAAGCCCCGCGCCATCTATCCGTTGATCCTTAAAATTCTGCAACAACCAAAATTCCCATTAGTAACGTTACAATCAATCAAAAACAGATGGAGCTTTAAACATTAAATAAAAAAATTGATTTAAGCAAATTTATGTTAATTATCGTTTATTTATAGAGGTGTGAAAACGAAAACCAAAATAAAGGTGTGGGTTTGAAGTTGTTCGGAAAGATTTTAAGATTTTTTTTTATGAAAAAAACGTCGGGGGAAAATTATGCGTGAACAGGCGCAAAGGTTACGATTCCTTTTGTAAACGTGATGACGATTAATATGCTTACGACGACGCGCGGAGTCGTATCGTGAATAAATGAAGCTTTTAAACAATTCTACGCTTGAGGCGCGGTACCGAATAAATATGCATGAAGTGAGTGTCACATTCATCTGGTTCTTTCAGTTCTTATTTTTTCTCCTAAATTGTTTAAATCAACACATTTATTTATTTGTGTATTTGCATTACTTAATAAACCTTCAAAATACAATCCAATAATAAGATTTAATTAAAACTCGTCGTTCTTTTTATCAAAAAATCGATTTTCTTTATGACATCCCATCATAAACGTCAAAATAAGAATTAGTACTTAAAATTAAACAGAGATGGTGCTGATTCGTTTAGTTTAGAATTAAATGCAAATAAAACGTTTATTTTTAATAAAATAAATACCTACCTTAATCGATTTAGATGAAATTGATTGAAAATAATTAGAATATATATAAGATTTAATTGAAAAACAATAATATTAAGTTAATTTGAATGACGTGAGTTTATCAATTTCACGAAAACTTGCCAAAAAAAATCACTTGGGTTACTTAGAAAATCCTTCAAAATACAATCCAATATGATCAATGGTTAAGTTACAATAAAATTTAATTGAAACTAACTGTTCTTTGTATAAAAAAATCGCTTTTCTTTATGAAATCCCAACATAAATGTCATGGATAAGAATTAGTACTCACAGTAAAACAGAGATGGAGTTGAAACGATTATGTACTGTAGAATTAAACGAAATTAAAACGTTTATTTTTAATAAAACAAATACCTTAATCGATTCAGATTGATTTGATTAAAAATCATTAGAACACATTTAATTCATCAAGAAATAATTACAAAAAAAATTAAGTTTATATGAAAAATGTAAAGTTTCTCAATTTCACGAAAACTTACAAAAAAAAATCCGTGATGATCAATGATAAAAAATATAAAACTAAGTGCTTATTTTTCTCCCAAATATTTTATGTAAATAAATATTAATTTAATTTGACATTTCTGTCAAAATTCAAAGTCAAAGTGACATTTCAAATGACATTTTAGAATTAAGGTTATATTTTTTTACGTATGTTAAATAAAAACGAAATGAATTGTGATATTTTATTTGCATATTTTCGAACGGTTCGATTCTCGTTTTGAAACGAGAGCACGGTCGTTTAGCAACAAACTCAAGGTCGTTGAGCTAACCAACTGATTCCGTTAAGAAGAGTTATTAATTAAGGAGCGAAGCTTTTCACATTAAATTACGCTTGATAAAGAAAGTGTGAAAAAGCCGAAAAATTATTAGAAAGGCTGTTTGAGTTTTTTTTTAAATTTTTATAAACGGAAGTTTGATTGTTTGATTATTTAAAGGCGTTGGATTGATTCAATGTGGGGGCCCCTCCACTCCTTGGTCCGTGCGCGGGTCGTTACCTGCGTGACCGGTAGCGGCGTCGGAATGCGGCGACGGCGACGCGACGCCCAACCGACAGGTTGCCCCCGGGGGCCAAGCGCACGGTCGAACTCGCGGCGATCTGATCTGGTTTGGTTTCGAGGAGCAGCAGCAGCAGCAGCAACCGGACGGCCGCGGCGCTCCGACGACGGCGTGACCTCGCGCGGACAAATATCCCCCCAGCCACTCCTCGGGGTCACGCCACTGGTTACCACACCCCAAAATTAATCACACATCAAAATAAAAAATTATTTTTAGTAATAATTATAAGCTAATAATAATTTCCAAATCCCTTTGATTAATATTCCCATTAAGAATATTCCCAAGCAAAGATCTCACCACTTGCAAAATACAAATCCCACCATGCAAAACCACGATAACAACCCCAACCCCTCCAACAACCATAAAACAAGTCTTTGGATACTTCCAATCCAAAATTTTATAAATATACTCGAATTTTCTATGGTTGGTCCCGCCACAAAGATGATATAAATAAGTAAAAATCGTATAAATCGTCATGAAAATGATCGTTACGTAACATTGAGTGAAATAAATCGGATGGGACACTATGAGTAAATCTAAAATTATCACGACCGTGTTTAGACTGTGTATGGAAATGTTAACAAAGTCGATCAACATGTAGGAGCTGTCGAAGACCAACGTCCAATAAATTATGGTTACGCCCACGGCGAGATCTGTGGCGAGGATATTCGTAGCCCAATAGATCCGGTACCAAGTAAACGCGCAATCGGGGACGTTCCATGGGTTACAATTTTCATAACAAACCGTCCAATTGGTCAATCCAACCGTGCAAATAACGGCTTGAACCAGAATAACGGTATAACTCCAATCGGTGATGTAAATGAGCCACTTAAACTTGCACCTCCAATCAGTGCAATCTTGGTTATTTGGATCTATCATCGACAAGATCCACGTGAAGAATAAGTACAACACGTTTATCCATCTGTATACAAGATAATAGTAGCTAGGTCCAAAACAAGTTTGCCATTCGGATTTTAGAAAAATGTAGGGGTCGTGATAGATAAATTTTAATTTGTCGCTATTTATACAATATTCACCCATAATTTCTTATTAATTAAATAAACCATCTTTTTTATTCGGAGTTAGTCTTGAAATCTGATTAAATAAAAAGTTATTCTTAGATTCGAATCCATTTTGGTGAATAAAACTCTTTTTGGCATCTTATGAGTTGATTGATGTTATTTTCAACTGACAGTTTGTAATTATGACATTAATGACATTTCCTCTGACATCTATCTTATGCCATCTAGTGGCCAAATAATAAAACATGATTCACAATATTACTTCAGAACTGTTTAATAAAATGGAATTCAAATACAAGGAAAAAAGTACAAAAATCAATATTTCGCACTCTAGTTTTCTATTTCTATTCACTTCTAAGTAAGTCTTATACAAAATTCAATCTCTTTTGTGGTATCCTTTGCTTACGAAATGTCACTCAGTTTTGTTGATACGTACTGGTTTTAAACCGTGTATTGCTACAATGTCTTTATAAAATAGCGAATTTATTGTTCTTAAGAGTCCTTAAAAACGTATTTTGATGGGATTTTAGGTTCAACAGCATTTTTTAAATAATTTTAGGAAGAAATGATATGAAAACACAATTCATTAAGGGTGGTATCGCTAGATGGGGTGAACAACGATCACAAAAGGATTTATATTAAAATTTAATAATTATTCAATTAATTAATGATTAATTGATATAAAATTAATCAACTTACTACAACGTTGCTTTTAAAAAACATCCCAATTTTTTAAATCTCAAAAAGTTTTGTCAGTGGGATAAAAAGTAAGGTTATAAAAACTTCATTCATTAATTAACGTGGAAAAATCACACCGTAGAGGTTATAATAACTTTAAATATAGAATTTGGGTGTTCAAAAACGTATTTTGATGGAATTTTTGGTTCAATAGCACTTCTTTTTATAAAAAATACTACTTTAGGAAGAAATGTAAGCACTGGTTCTAAACAACGTCAAATCAATCGAAACACGATTTAATAAGGGTGGTGACCACTAGATGGGGTGGATCAAACTATTTAAAATACGATTTATTTTTTATGCAATAAATTTTTATCTAATTGTAAGTAATGGTTATTTCCTTTTTTATTATAAAAAACAATTAATTTATTAACTTCAAGTTACCTTAAAGAAAAATAAATAAAATTAATAACGTCAAAAGATTTAAATTGACAGAATGCAAAGTGAGGTTATAAAAACGTCATTTAAAACTTTTGAAGTTCTCAACGTATCGTTTGTACATAAATGGTGATATATTATTGAATTAGTCTATGACTGTATAAGGTCTCTTTTAGGGTTTCCAACAATGGATATCGGTGCGTATCTCATTCTTAAAGCCACGTGGACATATACAGAGGACGGAATATGTGCTTATTGCGGCCATAAATCGAACGCTTGTCTCTAAAACTAGTTATTTACATCCAGGAAACGTCGCTTTGGACATTTGATATAACGAAGAACTGGTCGATAAATAAGGCGTGGGCAATGAGAAGGGGCCACCAGGATTAGAAAGGAAATAGAAGAAGAAGAGAGACCATGAATGTTGAATATTATTGTTACACATTTATATTGGGTAAATTTCCCAAATGGGAGCCAAAGTGAACACGCAGGAGCTCGTGCCTAAGACTATCAATCTAATGGGATCGCGTGGCTACGTTTCGTGCTTCAAGACTCTTTGCCCGTACAAGAAGCTAACTGCTCCGGCAGCTGCTTCAATCACGACGGTTTTAATTTGCAGGAAACTCGTTCTTCTTCTTCTCTCTTCATACCGTAACCCGGATTCTTGACTACTTAATAATTGTTTACGGCGTAACTAATCGTTTTGTATGTGCAGCCATTCAAGAAAAATAAATTGAAAAAATGAGGAAGAATAGTTAACAGTTAACAGAAATTTTCTAATTGTAACTATAAAAAGATTTTTTTACATTTAAAAAGTACGCATATCCTGCTAGAAAGTAAACCGGACGCGCTCCTGTAGCGCAACTCGACTGTTCAGTTGACCGAGCCGGGCGAGTGTCGATTTTTACGTAACGACTTCTGGCCGTAGGTTGAACGGTTAAGACGACCGTCTTGAGGTCGGCTGCTTAAGAAAATACACTCGTAAATTGCGGCCACACCCAAGTCGCCGGACCGACCTGAACCGCTGAACCGACGACGAAGGCAAAACAATCCATCCTTATTCATCCTCCTCTCTCTTTATTCTTCACGAAGAAAGTGGTTGAGATGAGGTCGCGCGTAGGGCCACAGGTCAACCAGAGAAGAAACCTCTCTTGCAATACTTTTAAAAAATTACAAATAAAAGTTATTAACAAACAACTTAACAAAATAAGTTTTTTATTATGAATGAGATGAAAGAAAATCATTTTTTCTCCGATTTTAATTGGAATAACTTTTCAAACGAATCCTTATTATTATTAGACCGATTTCGATTCCGCAACCTTTCCAATCTAACCTTATGCCCAAAATTAATAGCCTCCAATTGGATTTCAGTCATAGATTTCCTCTTGGCGCCTTTCAAACTACTAAAATCGGGCTGATACAATTTATCTTTAGATTTTAACCGAACATTACCATTCACGAAGTTCTCGTATAAAGTCGAAACGGTTTGTTTTTCGGCCGATTTGAAAAACCCCAACTTGATGTCATACCATCGACGCGAGTGCGGCTTGCTTAAGACGGTGTACGCCTCGACGATCTTAAAGAAACGCTTTTTAGCGGAGACATCACCGTTTTTATCGGGATGATATTGCTTGCTTAATTTTATGTACGCTTCTTTTATATCATCAAGTGAACAGTCTTTACTGACTTGAAGCACGTCGTAGTACGTTTCGAAGATTGACCGTCTCGGGATGTTGGTGGAGAGGTTGGCTTTCAAAAAATTTAACATTTTAAAATGATATTTGAATCTGATTAACTAAAAGAAAAAGATGTAATGATACGTTAATTTTGACGTGATGAATTTGCTTTTTTCGTTGCTATGAAAACGATAAATTTGAAATCGAAATGCGAAATCGTACAAGTTCTTGGAGACGTAAGTTTTAAGGTAGAAGTTGCGGTTCAACTCGGCAATTGAATAAGAAACCGCAAGCTCGGACTCGTTCCGCGCGCTGATTTCGCATGGGCATCGACCGTGCAACAGTTACACATCTGCCGTCCGCTTTTCTTATATAATTCCTTATTTAACTCTAAAAAAATTTTTTTAAGACATCTTCACCGAGCAAAGAGACCAGAAGTGTTTGGTAATTTTTCATCAACCCAATCTTGACCGAAGAACTTGCCGGCGGCAAAACAATCGCGTGATAAATAGCCAGCCACCTACGTGCTACTCCGGGCTTCTAGAGATCGCCCTCTTCTTCTTCTTCACCTTCTCTTTCCTCGTCTTTTTACGTCCATGCCTTTTTTTTGGGTTTTTGCTCTCCACACGCTTTAAATCTCCAACAATCCCCTGCGTAATTAACATATCAGTTGGCTCAAATAAAAATGATTAAAATGTACGTACTTATTCCAAAATCTCTGTCGGTAGCATTGAAAAGTTAAAGCATTGAAATCGTCGATAAATCGATGTGAGCAGGCTAACGTACTGCTAAGGAAGCGTATAATTGGCGATAACATTCTTCGTGGTCTTTCTAAACGGAGTATACGAGGCGGGTCCGAGGCAACGTAGAAGAAGAAAACCCGGAGGCTGTGGTAGCACAAGTTCCATTATTCACGATACGCGCTCCGCCCCGAAGACAGTGGGTTTCCTCTCTCTGTAGCTGCGTTCTTTTAATTTAGCCCGCGGGTCGTATCGTTTAATTACCGATCAGGCCGAAGGAGCTACTACGGTTTGTTAGGGAATCGACGCGGAGGAAGAATTAAGAACGAACGCTGGGGCGAAGGGAAGGAAGGGAAGGGCACGATAGCGCAGGAAATCTCTCACATACATCTCTCTCGCAGCGGCCCCATGACGTGTATACGAATCGCCGCCGGTATAGAGGCGGTCAAACTGGATCTTGTGGCGGCTTCGAAGATCGGGAGCAAAGGTTGCACGCGGGGGGGAAACCACGATGGACTTCTTCGGATAGAAGAAACTTAATTTTACGTTTTTTCAATGAATCATCAAAAAGAATAAAGTAAAATAATTAATTGTGTATAATTAATGACAGATCATAACCTAGAAATAACCGTCATCTGACGTTTGTAAAAAGCCAAATTTTAGGGTTATAAAATTCAGTACAATTTCACATGTAATAAATCAAGAAGATAAATTATTAAGGTGATGTGTGAAACTTCAATTAATAATGAATTATTATTAACTTTTCATAAATACATTTTTGTCTAAAAATAATAATTGGGGTTATGTTTACAATAACATCACAGAACGTAGCCACGATCTGACGTTTACGAGAAGTCAAATTTTTGAGTCTAATTGAACATATTTGAATAAATAGAGATGTTAAATTGTCACCACACCGAATTAATTCGTTAACTTTCTTCGAAGACTGCTTCAGGTTAGTAAAATAAAAATAATTTATTGTTTTTTGAATCAGTTTGAATCGAAATTTGATCATAACCTCAAAAATTTTATTTAAAAAAATTAATTGAGGTTATGTTTATAGCAACATGACGGAATATAGCCACGAAATAAATTGTCGCCACAATCTGACGTTTACAAGTCAAATATTGCGTTATCTTATTAAACATATTTTAATAAATAAAGTTTTTAAATTATGACCACACCGAATTAATTCGTTAACTTTCTTCGAAGACTGTTTCAGGTTAGTAAAAGAAAAATAATTTATTGTTTTAGTTTGAATTGAAATCTGACATTGACTCTAGAACACAACCTCAAAAAAATAATTTAAAAAGAAATTAAAGAAATTGGAGGAAAAAAAATAATAACATTTTTATGGTACCTTGCAACATGGTGAAGTATATCGAGAAGTGCACGCTATGCATCCCCAGTCTACCATTAGTGGCTGGATCGTGCTATACCACGGGCCTCCGCACCATGTTATTACGTGAGCCTCGAGGCACGTGCCCAGCTACCGACCTTAAGAGCCCCCCAGAAGAACAACAACTCAGACTTTATACCTTTACAGAATGTACGTATACTTAGAAACCCACATTTTATTTTTTATTCTTTAAAAACGTTAAGTTCGGTTCAACCTTAATTTATCTACCTGCGCGAAATCGTTTTACTCCTGACATTTAAGAAAATTTATTTCTTTTTATTTCTAAATTTTATTATTTTTTTGTTTTAGTTGGGTTGGGTTAAAAACAACGATTCCATCGAAAGATTACGGACGGAGATTACGGTGTATATGTGGATTGTGAAACATTTTGCAACCAAAACAGGTTTAAAATCTGGAACACCCGAGATTTATTTATTTTTCTAAATCAATTTAAGTTAATATTGAACTATTCATATCTGTTTTTTGAATTTTTTCCTTTTTTAGGGGTTTGCAAGAAGAAAATGTATTTTTAATACAAGAAAATTTCTTTTTCTTGTTTTCTTGATTGAGGTGAACAAACTTTAAACCGCAAAGTATTTGCTCCAGTTTACCACGGCCTATCCGCAACATCCAATTTTCCAGCGCACTTCGCCGGTGCCGAAACGAATGAATGTCCCGAGACAAACTCATCGAACCGTGCCTCATTGTAACTTTTTTTTAACATTCTTTTCAATTCTTTCGGAATGTCCGAGTGTCCATTTTAAGACGATTTCGATTACGTGACGCGATCTGCTTTTTCACGCTTAACACTTTAATATCCGACATTATTTCCTTGCAACGGGGACGTTTTAGAATGCAACAGGTGGATTCCACCACATCAAATAACGCTAACGATAAAACTTAACAAAGAATTGTATGAAAATATGTTACTGACGTTTTAAAAATGTCAATTAAAAAAAAAGTTGCCAACTTAAATTTAGCAAAAATTAATAAAAACACTTAATTTTATACTAAAAATGAATCGACAAATAAACTTTTAATAACTTTTTTGATTAATAATTATAAAAAAATAAATGAATAAGTAATATTTAAATTTAATTTTTATTTGAAAAACTTCACTTTAATTCCTTGATTTTTGACACTTAATTGATTAATCTGTAATAACCTCACAAAATACTTAAAATAACTGATTTTATTAAACGAATTTTTGGTAAGTACTCACTAAATACTCTAAAATTAATATTTTTAGATTATTTATTGGAAATATATAGTGGATGAATAAATCTGTTAATATATCAATCAGAGCATCGACAAGATCGTGTATTTATCATCCAAGAAGAAGAGGATACCACTTCGTGACTCGGTCAAGGATGCCACGATGCCCATCTCCGCAACTCTGTGCAGACGACCTTTCAAGCCTTTCTAAAACTGGGTTCAGCAGCAGTCTGAACGGTTTTCCTCCTTGCTCCGCGATTGACTAATACTTTAGACGATCTAAACCTACTAATAGCTCAATTGCTACGCGGATCGTGCATGCTAATGAGAGTGTCAGCGTTAAACCCGTCGTTTCTCCAAGTAAAACGATCGCGCCATAAGGAAAAAGGATTTCGCGGTTTATTGAGCTTAAAATATTTATTAAAAATTTTCCTTTCTAAAAGAATCGATTCGCTTCCGTTTTACATTCACCGATTTCATTTGAAAAAGTGAATTAAGCACATTCACTTGGGTTTTTCCTTGATAATAATTAAGTTATTTCACGTATCGTTTAGCTTGTAATCGGTTTTTTTGTGTTTCTTCGGAACCGTCCTATTAGAGATCTTGTTTCATAGTTGTAAAAGGCGAACGCGCGAAGAAAATAAAAGTTTTACGGCGCATAAAACGGCAGTTAATCTAGCAAACTACCCGATGGCTTTTACTACAGCGTTGTAACTTAATAACACAGAAAATCACAATTGATTAACACAATAATTTAAAAAAATATTGAATAAATAATAAAGATTGTCTGGTTTATTTTGTACGATGGCGAGAAAGTCTCGCGGGAGCTATAATTTCGATGGGCAAATGGACACAATGGAAAAGCGAGCACGATTGACCGCCCCCCGCGCGTACTTTCCGTCCATTGAAAATAAAGCCCGAACGAATTATGAAGCACGTTTAGCCGCGAGAACCACTCCGAAGCAACTCTCCACGTGCTAAAGTTTCTTTTATTCTTTGAAACGTGACCGTTCAAATTTATTTTTTATATCTTCTTTATCTAATTGTTTTAAATGAAACTATCCGAATGATAAATTGTAATATTAAATCACTTCTAACGTTAATAATTCAAAGAAACAGCTCGTTTCGAGCCAATTAGCATCACCCGGGCTGTCCGCACACGTCTCGGTGAGAGATATTTAACTTTAAAACCGCTTGAAAATGCCTCCCGTGCGGAAAGCAATTACCTGTTTTTTTATTCTCTCGTGGAACGGTCAAAGGAATTCCGGTTAATTTTCTGTGATTCTGGTAATAAACCCTGGTTATACAGCTCCCCTTTTATAGAAATAAGAATTCGAACTTAACTAATTTGATATTCCTAAATTTTTTATTGAGCACCATCTTTACGGATTAATTAGTACTAAAGTTTTTCTTATCTTATAATTTATGAATTTACTTTTATTTTAACAAAAATTTGTAATAAGTACTTCTTTTAGCTAAAGTATTTATTCAGTTCTCTCTTGTATCAATAACCGAAAAAGTTTGATATAAATAAATTGCGATTTTAAACGTCAAAACAGTGTGTAAGGTTATGTGTCAACTGACGTTTCTTGTCATGGTAATTAAACAATTCGATTTGTACAAGTTTTATTTCATGAGTGATAATTGTGATAAAACTATGATTTATTGTCGACGTGATAAGTATTATGATTTATGGTAACTAAATAGGTGTAACTTATAATATGGAGAGTATATTGACATTAACGTATCAACTTATGGAGACCAAAAATGTACAACCTAAAGCCGAGGTCGCTTGCGGCCGAGGCCGTTTAATCTTAAAAGCTGGAAGATTTCCCGACAATACGTTAACTTTTGATGTGACTCCCAAATAAACGACGTGTATACCTTGAACGTAATGTTTATGAGTACTGAGCCGAGATCGCTTGCGGGCGAGGCATGGTAATGTTTACTTCGACTGTAACAGAAGAACCAGTGGAAGCGAAAATTCTACAATCTCAGTTGACTACAACCCTGTTACCTCAAAAGTTGAAACATTTCCTGACATCCTGACAATACGTTAATTTTTGATGTGACTCTCAAAAAAAGATGTTTATACCTCGGACGTAACGTTTAAAAGTGATGAGCCGAGATCGCTTGCGTCCGAGGCATAGTAATGTTTACTTCGACTATAACAGAACAATCAGTGAGAGCGAAAATTCTTTCGTAAGACATTATATTTTTAATACACATAATCAAGTTCAACGCGAAGTTAGATACGACAAACTGACATTTCAAATATTTTTTAATTCTCATTTTTGCTCAGAACGTGTCGTCACGCAACAATTCCAATTTGATCTTTGCGACCACAATGGCGGACCACATGGAACATAGTCACCTACGCTTAACTAAGCAACGCAATTATATGTTGTTGATAAAAAAAATCTCGTTACATTTTTAATTCGGCGCTTATTTTAAACGAATAACGATTGTGTATGTGTCAGAAACGATCGGATAGAACGTTTTATCGCGACGTAAACCGATTTATTGTAGCATTGAAGAAGTTACCGACCATTCGGGTCAAGTCTACCACTGTATTATTACCTCATTGAGTTGTCCAAGACGTTTACGAAAAAGGATGCGATAAATTAAAACTTACCTGGGCATATTCCGCGCAAATATCAATCCCACTAACGAAACCATAAACATCTTCAACACTCCACCCGGAAATATCTTCATGCAAGTTATGCGGACTCTCAGAATTTTCGATTTTATTATTCGACGGCGTTACGGTGTTTGCGTCACTCAAAGAAATCGGTTTTAATCGCGGTTTTTTCGCAGGTTGCGGAGCGGCTGGTGATAAATCGAGCGGGGATGAAGGATCGGATCGTTTCGCGTTTTTTAATAATCCCTGGATTTCCGCGTCTTTTGCAGTACGCGCCATCGCTATGAGAGCTTGCGTCGTGGACATGTCGATAAAATGGGGGAACATGTTGTTTGGGGGAAAACTAGAATGGAGTATTGAGGAAAAATCGGTTTTTTTCGCGGATTCGTCTTTGGAAGTTGGGGGTTGAGCTGTTAACGGTAATAATGACGGAAATGGGGTTGTTTTGAATCTAGGATCTAAAGGGGGGTGAAATCCATTTCTTGCCGACGTAAAATAACTAGAAATTAATAAATTTGATTAATAACAAATTGTTTTTTTAGGTCTTTGGCTTACTCATTTGGACCGGAGTTGTTGTATTTAGCGGCTAAACTTCGCATGAAATCGCTGTAATTTCTTCCACCGACTAATAAAGGGTTGGTTTCGGCTGGGGGAGTGTCTGGGTGGCTCGCGGATGATGGGGTAACTGATCTCGATCGAGATGATGAGTTATCCGGGGTTCCAGGGCTCAACCTTTCGTTCTTAACGTGATTGTTGTTGTTGTTTATGCTAAAATCAGCTGATGAAGTCATCATGGTGACCCCTCTATCGGTGGTTCTTCTTCGCCTCGCCGATTTCGGCGGAGATGGACTCTCCAGGGTGTTATCTGATATGGTTGTGTCTCCTAAAACGAATCAAAAAAGAGAAATTACAGTTAAATGTTTTCTTTGGATAATTGTTGCGCAACTACAGCAAAAGCAACCGTTATTACGGAATTAGATCTCTAGCTTATAAATCACGCCTAATAACACCTTCTGTTGCAATGGCGGAAAACGGGGTCTACTGTTCGACTTGGCCAATTTCGTTTAACCATTGTAATTTGCCGTTTAATCTCGGTGAAACCGTATTAAAGATCGAACCAAGTCTCATGGTTTGCAATTTGTGGCGATAACGTCGACAAATTATGGTTACCGAAAGCCGTTCGATTCCACATCGAAGAAAGTAGAACTTTTTTGATTTCTTCTATCAGCTCAAGGTCATTATTTGTAAATAAAGGTCATCATTTTTTTTTAGTTTCAAAATCGACCGTATCATCTTAGTAATCAAATCCGTTTTGTTGTTCGAATATTACGGGAAAGTGACTAAGCAGATGAAGAAGCGAGGCTGTATGTTGCAGCCGCCGCGCCGAGAACAAAGTCTTCAATAGTTGTCGGCCACTTTTATGTTCGCGCTCGTTTCGAACGAGAAAGGAAAACACGATGTGGAAATAAGCGCGGTGTGATAAATGAAGTTAGAACGCATTGTAAATCTATACATACATACATACATTCGATGGGAGAAAAGAAAAATATTAACGTGTTTAAAGCTGGATAAATTATTTTTTGAGTTAAAAATCGCGGATAATCCACCAACATATGGCATCCACATACATTGTCGATTGGCACAATTGGATTCGCCTCGATCTCGCATCATTACCTTTTTGTTCCGCGATAACTGTATTCCACCATCTGCTGTTAAAACCCATTAAATGTCACAAATAAATTATTGACGCACACCATCTAAGATAAATTTTTATAATAATACTCTATGCAATCCCCACCACCACCACTCAGTTTAATCCATATTTCTTTTTAATAAATTAATAAAATTTATAATCATTTATTAAATAAAAAGATAATAATAATTTCTTTTCAAAACACAAGTTTACATTGACATTTTCAACCTGATTTAAAAATGCTACCACATGTTCGAGAACTGGTGGTAAAATGTCACATTATTTATTTATAAATGCGAGCCGCGAACTTTACTTACAAACAATATAATCATAAAAAAAGTTGTTCTTACGACCTGTTAATTACTAAATAGTACCTTGAACGGTAGCGTTCCATTATCTCATAAATTCAGTTTAAATTTTTGAATTTCCCGCTAATATTAATTGGCTACATTCATTGTATTCGTTAATACGTCAATCGTATCGAAATGTCAAAACACCGCAACTCCGCAACAAATCGAGGTAAATACCGTATTTCCAATAATTTTACCCGTCTTTGAAGAGAGAATGTTAAAATCTTGTACTAGCAGCTGTTGGGGCAAAGATTATACCTTTCCCAGACGTCTGTCACCTGTTTCTGTTGTTTATATAACTGCACGGAGTAGTTGAAGAATGTTTTTTTAACGAGGAAAGAAAATTTATCTTTTTGATTTTAGTTAATGAGAAGATAATTGAAGAGTTGTTTACTGCACTGGAAGATTGTTAAGTGTTTAAGTGAATGTTGTTGGGAGCAAGGAGAATCGTGTAGAACAGCGTGAAGTCTTCGTCGTCGTCGAGAGGCGAAAAGCTCCTCTCGCCTAGTTACAAGAAAGAAAAAGAAGAAGAAACCGCGCGTTCGGAGATGTAAACACAATGGGTACTTACTAAAACACGATCGTCGTAAATTTACAAGAGCAAAGCGGTGGTTGTGGATTCAAACGGATATTTTTCCGAGAAACGTTTTAAAATTTTGGGTTAACCAACAAAAAAGAGGGAAAATTTAATTGTTTAAGCATGACCTTTACCTGTAACCTTTTTCAAATTGGTTATCTCCTCCCAAAGAGACAAGTGCCAATCCTAATCCTTCAGGTAGATGTCCTTAAATCTTTAAAGCATCTAAGAAATTTCGAAACGATTGTTACCAGGTAAAAAAATGAGTATTAAAATTCTTTTGCTTTTAGATACTTTTGAAGTGATTCTAATGATAGAGTAAGATAGAAACCACTTTAATATAAAATTATTTACCTACCTGCGTAACACCAAGCTGGCCATACAACGGGAGTCTCAGTATCCATAACTCAAAAGTTATCAAAGTCTTAATTGCGATGTGATTATAACTTTGTTTATAACACACATTTTTTTTGGGGGAAATTAATTTTGTCTTAAAATCATTGCCACAAAAACAAAACGGAAGTGTAGATATCACCTTCTAGTTGGGGTTACGTCACTCTTTAAACTGTCACCTGTCCATTCGAATTCCTTTCGAACCAATCACACCACTGGAATGATTTTTTTTTAATCACAATAATAACAAAGAGAAATTGGTCACGAAAACAATAAAAAAGTCATATTGGTGGGGTTTATTGATGTTTTGAATAGTAAGGGGGAATAAGCGTAGTGTACGCGGATCACCACGTGGTGTGCAAGAAGTGTTGTCTTCTTCAAAATCCGTGGAACGCTATTGGTGCAGGTGCTTCAACGACGAGACGACGACGCAGGTGTAACGCGAGAACGGTTTGGCCGTGAATCGACCTCGACTAGTAAAGGACCGACTCGGACTGCTCTGCTCGAGATCTCGACTTCCACCACTCACACCGCTTCCATCCAACCTGGACTACTACTGTCACCGCGACCAACGAGACGAAGGTTTCGAAAAATTTTATTTCTTCTTCACGCACCCATTCAACACGCCATAAAGATACTATTATTTAATTCTTACTTCTTCACCTTTTTGTATATTTTCAAAAAAACATCTTTGAGTGCTGTAACACAGCATCTTGATTAATTTTTCAAATTAGTTTCCATTGAATTTAATGAAATCTTTGAGTTCTCAATAACCACATCCAATACAAGCAATTCCGCTTACCACAGTTGCGTGAGTATCCATAACACTTCTATTATTATCCAAAAAAATTTAACTGATAACGGGAAATCGCCATCTTTTGTTGTTTGAGAGAGAATTGATCATAGAAATAAAGTAAATGTGATTGAAAAATGTGTAAAAAACGGTCTTAAGGGTCGTTAGTGTTGGATGATTTTGCTTTGAGTTGGTGTAGTGAAAAAGTTTTAAAAGATTCAAATTTCCCGCTAAATGAAAGAGCGAAAAGTGATACCAACTGAAAAAAATGTTTGGAAGAAAATTGACAAGACAACCTCGAAGTGTCATTTTGCGATACTAAAAAAATCTTTTTAATTTAAATAATAAGTTTATGAACAAAATGAAAGTGGAGATTAGATTTAATAATAAGAATAAGTGGTAGAATACTTGGTGAGTAATAACGGTTAATTTTAAATGTGTCAAAAATTCTTTTATAACCTAAAAAGATTATTACTAAATGTCAGAAAAAAATTTTAAATTAAATTGTTAATTTAAGGTAATATAAAAAGGGGGATTAAATAAAATGGAAAGTTAATGAAGAAAAAAGCAATGAGAATGAAAGGTAGCAAAGGAAAATCTTCCCTTATTGTTGTAATGGAGATTAGAAAAGAATGTAGATTGGCTGAATTGTGTAAAAAATCTGACAAACTTTCTCTACAAGGTCTCTATTTAGATAGCAGCAAGGACAACACGGTAGTGGTAGATGTAGCTCATTCGAAAAGGCTCCATAGAGTAAAAAAACTCGTTCTTATTTACTAGCTAATTAAAGAAGCTTCTGGAAGTTTTGAAGATATTATCACTTCTATTATTTCTTATCTGTTTGTATTTAAAATAGTACTCATAGGATGTGATGGCACTGCTGTTAATACAGGTTGGAACACTTGGAGGCATATCAATATTGTATCAAATCTAATGTATAGCCGCAAGCTACCTCGGCTTAATTTTAGACAAAATATATATTTTTGCGTGGTCGACCCGAGGTTGCTTGCGGCTGAAACACATCAATATGGTACCAAAGCTAATGCCTCGGCCGCAAGCAACCTCAGCTTTTATTATTATCACCAAATCTTATGATGTGATGCAATCGTACAGAATCGTCTTGTTCATTTTGATTCAATTTTGGTTAGGTGACCGGTTTCGGCGCGCATCTTCAGGATAGAATTAAAAAATCGGGTAAAACATGCAACTTAATTAAAATGAGACTAATACATCGATAAATAATAAGAGTAGAAAGTAAATTGAGAAAACAATTTTGGTTCGAATTGGTTTGCATTCCCTTTTACTCATTTAAACTCTCATTTCCGCATTTCTATAAAATAAGTAATAATCTAGATTATTTATTACTCGGTGGTAACAAAAGTTATGTACCAATTTTTTTTATTATTATTGCGTTAAATTTGAATTAAAAATAAAAAATATCGATGTATTTTTCGTTATACATGGAATAATTACAGGAAGCTTGTAATCAGCAGGAGAAGAAAAGTGTTTGAGCTTGATTTCTTGCGGACGATTTATATATCAGGCTAAAGCAGGAAATCCGAAATTGGTCCGCATTAATAATGCATATCGCATGTGATAAAATTAAAAAAAATAAATGTATACGAAAGTCGTTCCACGTTAGACATTAACGCGATATTACCGTACCAGGTTTTAAGCGCTGTTGAATATTAATGAGGACGTCTGTACGCGGTCGTTTCTTATTAACTGTTATTTTTTAATCGCGCAAATTAGCCCAACTAAAAAAGAATCAAAATGAAATGTCACCCCAAATAAATTGTTTGAAAGGATTTTGAATAATGCATTAAATCGTTTTGTAAATTTATGAAAAGCACCACCTTTCACTTTTCTATTATGGGTCTCGTACGCTATTATTTTAACCAACATTCTTGCGACACTCGATTTGTGTCAAACACTTTCGTAATAATCTTCTTAGATTCATTTTAGATTAATTTAATTTTTATTTTTTTTGTTGAACGTTGTGGACGAACCTGTCATTGTCCTCGCTGGTCACTAGCCTCTTCTTTTTCGCCTCTTTTCGACTTCCTGCTGTAGCCGCCTCTTTCGATCTCCTCCTCCTCCTCCTCCACCTCCTCTTCCATCATCTCGTTTTTCTCGCTCGACCCGATTCGGTCCAATTAATGCGCCGGACAGCCTCCGCGGTTCGACTCCGCAGCAGGACGGTCACCCGCGGAGTCGGTGCAGGTGCTTCGCAGGAATGCCTCCGTTTAAACGCACAAGAATTATGCATCTTTGTTCTTTTTAGAAACTTTTCTAATTTTAATATTGAAGAATCGAGTTGAAATAATTAATTGGGTTGATTCTGAGTCTGAGGTTGAGTCGTTTAAACTTTAAACGGTCGTTATCTCGATTTTGCTTACTTAAAGGAGCTCTTACTTAGAGGCGACGACGCGCTTCGGCACGAAATCCATTGAAAACGGGCAGCATCTCGAACTTATCTCGACGGTTTCGTCGGTTTCTGGTTAATTATTTTCGGTGTGGTAAAATGTTTTAGTTTTAATGTTTAAAAAGGAATTGACCGCTTATATTAAATTGACGTGTCCTAAACTTTCGAAAACTTCAAAATTATGTAATGACGTAATTTTTGCAGTTAGAAACGATTTATATCACAAATTGAAGATAAATAATATTTTCAATATCATATAACAATTGTTGAGTTAATAATAAAAATTTGTAGAAAAAAGCCTTTAAAAAGTAATTATGTTGAATTAGGATACGTTCATTGGCGTAATTTTTTGAGTTAAAAAACGATTTATATGACAAATTGAAGATAAAAGACGACATTTTAAGGTATGATATAAAAACTCCGTGTTAATGATAAAATTTTGTAAAGAAAAGTTTTTAAAAGGAATTAACTTGAATTAGGTTATGTTTGAAAAGTCAAAAGCCGTACAACTCTTAAGACGGCTAACCCTAAAACGTCAATTAATACGTAATTATTATAATTTTAGCTAAAACTAAATAATATTTAATGATAATTTTGATTTTAATTGTTTATTTAATTAATACCCAAAATTCCTTAATTAAATAAGACATTTTTTTAATGTTTTTAGGTTGGCATCAATTTGAATCGAAACAAAACGTCAAAGTCGTAATTTTTTGGAGTTACGAAACGATTTATATCACAAATTGAAGATAAAAGACGCTATTTTCAATAGCATATAAAAATTGCTGAGTTAATATTGCAAGTTTGTGGAGAAAAGTCTATAAAAAGGAAATAAGATAAATTAGGTTATGTTCGAAACGTCAAAGCCAAATTATGATTTAGTGTACATAATCACAAAGGATTGATTTCAAGTAAACCTTCTTGTTCTACCAGAATTTGATTACAAAAGATTTGTTATTATTTGAAAGTTGAGAAACTCCACCTCTACTTATACTAGTGTACCTGTTCTTCGGAACCAATCGACTACCAGGTGCAACCTCTCACTCGCTCCCGGAGTAAAAAAAAAAGTCAGCGCGCAGTCCCCCGGCTCACACATCCACACACGCACACACGCCGTTGTTGCTCCAGAAAAGGAGAGGTCAGTTCGCATTCCGTCCCACTCGATCCACCGGAAACGCCGTATTTCACCTCTTCGTCACCGGACCAAAGGTCGAGAAGCGCTTCTTTTTATTTAGTAACAGATTTATGTCGCGACGTTGCCGATCCGACTTTAATTCGGAATCAAAAAAGAATTACTTTGTAGGTAACGAAACTTCTCAACTTGGGAGATGCGTGAAAATGGATTAAAATAAAAAAATGAAATTGAGTGACTACGACGGTGGCTGTGGTGTGGTGGTCAGCTCTCTCAGGCAGTTGGTAGCCGGCGGAAGCGAGGCATTAGTCCTGCTCCTGGAAGGTCGGCGTCCTGCAGAACCACTCGGCAGCTGATAATTACTCTACCATTAACGAGAAAACGTAAACTCTGGACAGAGTTTGAACTCGTCCCAAGAAGACAATGCTATCTATTGATTATTTTACCATTTAACACGAACGAAGCTTCACGATTCCAAGTTAAATATTTAAATATCAACTCACCTCTTAAAGAAATATGTAAAAATTTAACCATCACTTAATAAGAAAAAAAATGTTTTAAACTAATTTTTTAAACCTTTGTTGTTGTGAACCATTCGAGTCGGTGTCAGAGAGCGATTTCTCGGGCTTAGCATGGCAGAGGTGGCCACACAATGCTCTGGTAGGCCCCGGGTTGAAGTTCAATGTCGTGTCAAGACCCCTGACCTTACCACCAACACAAAATTTCAGGACCTCGATCACATTTCTTCATCCTACGCATTCCTTTTCAAACCTTTTCAACATCGTTTAAAATCAAACAAACTTTAAAACTTTATCTTCAGGTAAATTTCCTTAAAAACATTTAATACATTATTTTATTTTTTTCAAAAAAATGAACCAATAGATTATATGTGACCTTTTTAGGTGAATGTCGCAGGTCTTTGGGATCAGCATGCGGGTCAAAAGACAAACTGCACAGAACACACTTCAACTCGCTTAAAGAGAGAGACAGTCTCTAAGTTAAATATTAATTTTTAATATTTTCCTTTGTAATTACAACCTAATAAAGGAGCATAGTGCACTGTTGACTTCCGGTGAAATATCCCCAACTTCCGGTCCTTGCGTGTACCTAACTTAACTCTCGTGCTTCGAGGCGTTTATGGTCACTGCGTTTGGTAATCATAACTTCACCGCTGTGTCCAACCGCTTCCGGTCATCCTCATGAATAAATCCGACGTGAATTTAACTTATTTTTATTACTATTCAACTCTCATGTTATTTTTTTCGCCTTTATTTCTTTTTTTTTAATAGTAAGACATTTTTAATTGATTCAAAACCAGTTGGAGCGGTTCATTAAGAAATCTGAAGACGTATCATGACAGGAAATCGATATATCTTCTTAGTTATTTCCTTTTACAATGATATTCCCACGAATTAACGATTTTAATCAATCATTTATATGTGTATAAAAGACCCAAAATTATCAAAAACATTTTTTGATAGCTTATATTTAGGATACGTTCGAAAATGTCAAAATTTAAATAAATCTCATTACCGTAATTTTGTGAGTTAAGAAACGATTTATATCACAAATTAAAGATAAATGATGATATTTTCAATATCATATAAAAATTGCTGAGTTAATAATAAACATTTGTGAAAAGAGTTTAAAAAAGAGTTAAGTTGAATTAGGATACGTTCGAAAACGTCAAAATTATGAAAAATCTCATGGACGTAATTTTTTCGAGTTAAGAAACGATTTATATCATAAATTGCAGATGAAAGATGCTATTTTCAAAATCATGTAAAACCTTGAAGCGAAAAGTGTTTAAAAAGGAATTAAGTTGAATTAGGTTATGTTCGATACGTCAAAAGCCGTTCGTCTATTTTTGCAATTTTTATATTTATCAGTTGGTATTAGTTTGAATCTAAAGAAACGTCAAATGAATTTTAAGGTTATTCAATTTTAATTCGCATCGTAATAATAATTTCCTTCGAGATTCAACGTTATTAATAACCGGCTCCAATCAGTGACATTATCTATCTATTGCCGGTTGCTACACGCGGATTTATCCTCAGTGTCTCTACTTTTTTTCTCGTCCTCCACTTATACTCGAACGAGTACTAAGCTATGTGCAACACCTACGCAAGAAAATCAAGAGATATTTCGCCCCTGAGCCGTCTATCGGTCGCTGAACGCGTTCGCTTCGTTTTAACCTTTTTATTAAATTAAATAGAAACCACACACGTACATAAGTATCATAAAAAAAATTTTTAATTCATAATTTAATAATTTTTTCGTTTTAATTTTATTGGTTCAAAAAAAACATGTCGATTGCGAGTTAGGTGGCTCATTACGATAGATGATTCGGCATATTCATCTTTCCAACAGAAGACTAGGTGGAAGACGCACCGTGACCTTTCCGTCGGGTGTCTTCTTCATTCAAGCGGGTCTAATGACGGCGTTCGGAGGCCGAATGGTCCGAAGATGACCGTAATGATGATGACGACGGCGACGACTACGGGGAAGAAGACAACGGACGGCACGGTGGCCAACTGTTGTGATCGCAACCGCGCCGTCAAAGAAGTGAAGCTGCGCACCGTTGTATGAATAGACTCGCTTTTGTACCCGGTTTATATTGTCGACACCGAGGTGTAATTATAAGGGAGCTAAGGTATTTACTAAAAAATTAAAATCCCCATTTGTTTTACTTAACATTTTTTGACATTGACATTTTCGACGTTAAATGTCAATTTTTCGAGCTATATCATTTGTTATAATGGTTTCTAATTATTTAATTTTTATTTCTTACAGAAAGTAGAAAGTCTTTATATGAAAAAGTAGAATGAGAAGGTTCAAAAACCTTCATGCACTGCTAAACTAGTCAACGATTAAGACGTCCAGAAACATAAAAAATCTGTTTCGATACAAATTCACAACAACAGAAACTCTCTGAGTACTTGAACGGAATAAGAAAACTCATTACAAGTACTAAAGCATCTAATATAGTTACATTTAAGAAGGTATTGAAATGGAGCTGAGGGTGATTGTGGCAAATGCCCTCTTTGTGTTAACCAGATTAGGGATTATATGATAATTGTAGAGCCTCGGCCGCAAGCGACTTCGGCTTAATAAAGTGTTAAGTAAGATTAAGTTACACCTTTGTAAGTACAACTTATAAAAAAAGTTATTTAAATTTCATTTACAGTTTATGTATAATTTTTATTTATATTTGTTTATTTATAATTTATTAATTAATAAATAAACAGTAGTTAATTTTATTCAAAATTGTATTGATAGGTGGCGCTATTAAACGAAAGGAAACGTCAAAAATGTAGTGCTGTCAAAAATTTGTTACTGACAAAGATGATTAAAATTGCGTTATTTGTGGTCATTCTGTGCGAGAAAAATCGCCTATGATCTTTGGAGTAGATTTGCGGTTAGTGTTATAAAGTTATTCGATCAAATCCTCTATGCTTTGATTAAATTCGCTCCCCGAATCGAATACGATTGTAAATTACAATCCCGTTCGATTACTTTTGTATTGATTCCTCGTTAATTAATTAATACCATTTTTTCCATCCGGTTTCCCCGAACCGTAACAAGCCACGTGCCTTTAATTTAAAATCCTTTTTATTCACTTTTAACCATAAACATCACAATACAAAGCAATGAGCATCTTCCTGTCTTCTTTCACGATAAAGATCCTTCAATTGTACCTTTGTCGGTGATGACCCGTGCCATAGGTCATGCGAATCCGTCACGGTTTCGGAATTACAACCCCCTCAGTGAATATTTTATTTAAAAAGTCTTTTTAATCCATATTTAAATAGTTATAGAACAAGAACGATAGCGTAAACATTAGCAATTGTAATTGTTGTGGTTGGTAATTAACGGCGTTAATTGGAACGGCTCGTGCCGCTTATACACCGGTATAAGGGGCAATTAATATAATAACCGTGGTGGATTTTGTGTACTCGCTTCTTCGAGTTTATCTCCACGGAAAAATCTAAATTAACAACGTTAGAGCGCCATTATGTTAATTCCAAGAGCGAGCGGTGAACGTATACTTACTCTTTTGGCTCGTGGCCATCATTCTCCGAACTTAATACAAATTAAACAACACTTCAAACTCACCGTTTTTAATTTTTTGCTCTTTTAAACTTTCAATAATCGAAGATAATCCTTTCTTTCTCTCACATTGTCCACTCAACACGTTTAAATTAAAGTTTAACTCCTCGAGATCGTTTGTTGTTGAAAACATATTGATTCGCCTAGAACAAAATGAAAAAAGAACTGTTTTGAAATTTTTTAAAAAGTTTCTTACGTTGGTTAATTTGGTAAAATTTGGTTTTTCCGGTTTAATACGTGTTTATGAAGGGGTTTTTCGAAAATTTTGTGCAGATTTAATATTAGAACGGATGAAAACGCGGCGATCGTGCCCGATTAAATCCGAGGGGACGGCGTCGCGACGCGTATACGGTGAGGTCGTGGTGCTGCCAGAGGTTAAAGTTAAAATAATGACCCGATGCGATGACCTGGCGACGCTGAAAACGTGCCGGAATTTTAAATTTAGACCGGCACCTTTCGCCCGTCTCTTTAAAAATAGGCACTCGCGAGCCGAGTGATATCCGTTTTCCACACACGGATTATAACAACCTAATTCTAAAATTTACCCCAAAAAAAGAATTTTTTTCAATCTGAATTAATCTCAAAAATGTATTTTTTTATTTTATTATTAATTTAACATATAGATATATGATATCCTGATTTTATTGTTAGTTAAAACCTAAGAAATGTGTATTTTTGATTATCCTTAACATTAAGAATTTTTTTAAATAAATAAATTAAAAAATATGGATGTAGACAACCCAAACTGCTTATGTGTATATTTGGTTGCCTATAGTTATTAGTTTATACAAAAATGTTGATGATTACAACTATAAGTAATAATCGATTTATATTTTTCATATATTTGAATTAAACGAAAAATCATTAATAATAATAACATGGACAATATTAACAGCAAATGTATAATTAAAAATTATTGAGTTGTGTTGTAGAAAACGTGCAATACGCCATCTATATTTTATTGTTGAAGTTCATAAATTATTTCATAGATGTCGATGTCATCAAAACCATAAATTATTAAAATATATTAAGATAGATTTAAATTTGCTTCGAATTTAAGAGATTTATGTTATAAATCTTGATTCGACGCCAGTTCAGCCAGTTGTCAATACACAACATAACCTCAATATAACCTAAACTATTTAATTGAGGTATTTGATTATATCAAGTAATTTTTTATAATTATTTTAATAAAATGCATTAAAATAGTTTTTTTTTTCAGTGTAAGGAAAATCACGCGTTTTTGAACTTGGCAAATAAAACGAATATGAAGTATGTACCCTTAAATGCCTTTTTGATAATTTTGGTTAGAATCGGAGAGAAATAAAATCTTCCCAGTTTAATATTAAAAAAAGTTTTTAACATTTTGAATTGCTGCAAATACCTCTACACAATGGTGTGTAATTAATTAGTATGTAGTTAATTAATATGATTAACTAAGATCGTTTATAAACATTAATTTAAAAAAATTGTATTCATTCACACATTTGTCGCTAGATGGCGAACAATTATGTTCTAATTTTATTAAATAAATAATTCAAATTATAAATCTTAAATACTTACTCACTTTTACGCCCAACGAAATAATCGGATCATAATCACAACAAATTTAAAGCGCGATGTTTAACTAAATAAATAAAAATAAAAATCTCACTTTATAACATTAACCCAAAAAACCACTTCCTCGTTTAAAATGTTTGATATCTGTTTAAAAGAATTTCCGTTATTATTTTTTTTTTGTTTTCAGAAATAATAATAATCGTGTTAAATAAATAAATGTTGTAGTAAAAAGTTTGGAAGGCTTTTAACAATAAGTAGGGCGCGAGTTATCTTCCGTGCCTTATTTGTAATACACAATTTATATCCAGGTACGCTTCGTTATCGCGGGTCACACCATTCGTTATCAATGTGCGGCCAATATATTGTGTCATATGTCGGCGTTCGTGGTTCCAGCACCGGTAAAGGTCACCGACGGAGGAGTTAACGAGAAATTTTTTGATGACACTTAATAATTTTTTTTTTGCTTAATCGATCATTTATTAATTTTTTTTTCAATCAAAAGAAATCAAATTAATTTTTAAATGATTTAATTAAAATAATTTATAAAATCCAATTTTATTTTAAAATTATCTTTTTGTTCATCACTGTATACAATTTCATATCCCCAATACCGTACACAAAATCATTTTTGACAATTGACATATTTCGTTTCGCACCTAACTTCATACGTGTTTTATAACCTTCATCTGCCGTTGTAATTATTATTTTTTTAGTTATTTTCAGATTGTGATAGAATTTTGAATAAAAATGTGTATTGAAACGAATCAAATCCCTCACCATTAAATAATCCACGTTAAAGTGCGTTATTACAATGTATTTCGATCAATCGGGGGTAAGCGTTTACAAAAATAATTTTTTTTTTTTAAATATTGATATTTTTATTATTTTTATTAATTTAGTTAGCGATGGTTAGCGGCGCCGAAACCGCCGATATTCCAGGAATTGAAAGCGAATACGTTCAAACTCAATGCGTTTTGGCAGATGGAGGTGATAGATTTGGAGTTTGTGCTTTAGCGTTTGATCAAAACGAGGAATTATTATGGATGGGGAATCAAGGGGTGAGAAAACATTTTTTTTTGTGTTTCTGTTATAAAAATTTTTTTTAGGGGCACGTCACGTCGTATTACACAGGAATTATGCAAAAATACACCTCCTTTCAAGTTCACGCTTCTCAAGATATTCGTCAAATCCTCACGATAGACGAAGGAATTTTAGCGTTAACAGCTACTAGTCTTAGGTGTCAAATCCGAAGGGGAATTCCTGTTTTTACTCATATGTAACGAAATAATCGTGTAAAAATTTTTTGTTTAATTAATTTTTTAGGTCGTCGAATATGACGGAAATGCAATGCATGCTTCAGTTATCACCGTCCAGGTTATTATTGGCTGGGCATCAAGATAAATTGATCGATTTTAATTTGTCTGTTTGCAAAGAAACCAATTTGGTAAAATTAATTTTCTTTATTATTTTCATTTTTAATTGGTCTTATTATTAATTATAGGTTGATGTTGGCGAAACTGGTTGTGCAATGTTAAGGGGTCACAGTCGATTCGTTTGTGCTGGTAACCCCATGGGTCGAATTGATTTAAGGGACCCAAATTCTTTAAAAATCGAGCACACCCTCGAAACTCACAGTGGTAGTTTAAGTGATTTTGATATTCAAGGAAATCTTTTAGTTACATGTGGGTTTAGTAACAGGTTAGTTTAAGTTATGTTGTTTGACATTGACAACTAAATCATAACATAACCTTAAACAAATTTTTTTACAAATTATTTAAAATTAGTTTTACAATTTGCGATATAAATCGTTTCTTAACTACAAAAAATAAAATCAATGAGATTTTGTTAAAATTTTGACGTTTTTGAACGTATCCTAGTTCAACGTAATTTCTATTAGAGACTTTTTTTTATACAAAGGAACTATTTAAGGGACCAAATTCTTTACAAATTTTGCATACCCTCGAAACTCACAGCGGTAGTTTAAGCGATTTCGATATTCAAGAAAATGTTTTAGTTACCTGTAGGTTTAGTAACACGTTACTTTAGGTTATGTTGTATGACATTGACAACTAAATCATAACATAACCTTAAATTTTTTTTTTGATAAGTTTATGTTGTATGACATTGACAACTATATCATAACATAACCTTAAAAATTTTTTTTATACCAATTTTAATTATTTTTAGGCAAGGAAATTTATCAGTGGATCGATTTTTGATGGTTTACGATTTACGAATGCTCCGTGCCGTGACTCCAATTCAAACAGTGTTGGATCCCCTTTATTTGCGATTTTTGCCATCGGTTACGTCGCGATTAACGGTTGTATCGGCCTTGGGACAAATACAATTAGTTGATACAGTGGCGCTTTCGGAGCCGAGGTTGTGTTTGCTGCAAATCGATAGTCCCGGAGCGATGTGTTTGGCTTTCGATATAAGCTCGACTAGTCAAGCGATGGCTTTTGGGGATAACGCCGGTTCGATACATTTATTCGCCGGAACGCACGATCCGATTTTTAATTCGTACTCGAGAATGACGGAACACGCAGATCAAGTAACCCCGTTACCTAGTTTTACAATCGATGATTACGAGACGCCTTTATCCTCGGTTCCGTTACCGATCGTGCATACGGATATGCCTTTAGCTTCCGATTGGCCACCTCAGTTAATGAAGAAGTCTTATCGGTGAGATTGTTTGTTCCTTTTAAGGGTGATTTAATGGTTTTGTTTGTAATTTTTTTAGAAAATCATCTCCGATTGATCCTGATATTTTGAAAACGATGAAAATGCAGGGTCCAATTGGTTACGCACCTAATCCTAAATCAACTAGGAGAAATCAAGTGAGAACTTGCAATAAGTTACCTTTAGTTTGTTATTATTAAGATGTTTTCATCAAAATTTTCTTTTCCAATTCACTCGAATATGAGAAAAAATGTATTTATTTTATTTTTTGATATTGAAAGAGTTCCTTTTATTTGTTTATTTAATTAATATTGATTTTATTTGGAGTTTTTTTTGTTGAATTTGTTGTTAAAAAAGAAAATGTTTGAGTGAATAAAAGATTTAATACAAACTTCAAGTTGATTTTCAATTGAATGAATTGTCAACTTAATTTTTTGTCGCGTCTTGTGTAAAAATGACATTGTCAAAGCTCAGGAGCTTAGAAATCTTTACCCACAATCGATTAATCTGATGATTATTTTATAATTTATTAAATAAAAATTGTCTTTTTAAACAGGTGATGTATAACCTGGAGAAAAATGGCGCTAGATCCCAAGTTAGCAAGCAATACGCTCCGGAGAGTCGCAATCAAAAGCAACAATTGGAAGGAGATGGAGGTTCTTTTGTGGCGATACCGAAAAGGTATAGAAAATTGGATATGAAATATAATAAATTGGGTACTGAGGATTTTCCGTTTGAACAGTACAACAAAACGGGATTACCCGGATTAGAAGCGATGTTACCAAACGCTTATTGCAACGCAATGTTACAAGTAACTTATTAACGCAAGCTCCATATAACTTTTAAAACACAAATTTTTAGGTGTTATATTATACGGAACCATTACGAGCAGCCCTTTTATCACACCTTTGCGTGAAAGAATTCTGTTTATCATGCGAATTAGGATTCTTATTCCACATGCTCTCAACAGCCCAAGGGCAACCGTGCCAACCTGGAAACTTCTTGCGTGCTTTTCGCACCGTACCAGAAGCCTCCGCTTTAGGATTAATCCTAAGCGATCTCCACCCGGAAGCAAAATCAAAAATTGATATCGGAGCACTCATCCAGGTTATTATTTACATAGCCAATAAAAATTAATTAAATAATCGAATTAATTTAGAGCTGGAATCGATTCATACTACATCAAATGCACGTAGAATTATTAGAAACAAAAAAAAAGAAAGAAGAGGGCCGATTAATACGTAAACCCTTCGTGTATAAAGAAACCGATTTTCCCAGCATATTAGGAAGTTCTGATCGAAAAAGAATCCCTCAAGGTAATTTTTAATATGAACAAATTAAAATAATTAATTTTACGATTTAGCTCAAGACGTTCCCGTTGCAAAATTAGAGGAGGAGAAGCGAGAAGATGAAAGCGAAATTAGCCAGCTTTTTGGAACTAAACAATTACATATTAATTCGTGTTTAAAATGCGGATACGAGGTAAATTTATTATTAAGCAATTAAGTTATGCAACCAAAAATGCATTAAAGTAATTTGAGTTGCCTATATTAATTTTAGAATTATTTTTTTTTTTAATTTAGGTTCGAAAGGAATCTCGTTTATTAGCATGTAATTTAATGTACCCAACGAACGAACCGGATCGAGATGAATGGTCCTTTTGCGATATTTTAACCCGTTCTTTAAACCCGAGACAAACGACTCCAGCGTGGTGCGATAAATGTAGTAAATTCACCCCTACGTCTCAAGCTAGAATAATCCAAGTACAACTTAACTTTATTTTGTTTATATTTTATTAATAAAATTTGTTTTTAGTCACTTCCTAAATTATTAGCCATCAATACCGGATTACATAACGTCCAACACAAACTGTTTTGGCAAAGTCAAATGGATAAGATTGTTGCGAAAGCCGTTAATAATAACGAGTTAACCCCTAGGTCGTCGACGCCGAATTCGGTTTCTTCGACGAAGCCTTGTCGTTATGGTGATAATTGTTCGAGGCCAGGGTGTCGGTTTCGGCATAGTTTCGATAACGTTCAAGCTCCGGTTAATAATCCGTATTGTAGCAATAATTGGTTACCACATCATATTCGGATGAGTTTGAAAGATGATGATTTAATCATTGAAAAAGTTCTCAATGTAAAATTGAAATAATTCGTATTTTGTTTTAATTTAATTTAATTTTTTGATGTAGAAAAACGAAGGAGGTGATTCGAACGAAACCCAAAAAAACATGGAAGGTGAATTTATGGAGTACTCGTTATCCGCCGTTGTTTGTTACATAAATGAGCCTGCTTACGAGAAGCGAAATTTAGTTGCTTTAATAAAAGTTCCCTCGGCTTATTTATCAGAAAACTCCGATAAAGACACCGCTTGGTATTTATTTAACGATTTTAGTATATGTTCAGTGCCGGGGCAAGAAGCGGTTTGGTTCAGTTTAGATTGGAAAACTCCGTGCGTTTTGTACTACTCAACGAAAGAAGTTGCCGATTCAAAAACGGATATAACTCCAACGTTATCAAAGGTAAAAATGATTCTTTTAGTTTATTTTATTTATTTTTTTTAGGTAATTGTTGTTAAAATAAATCATTTTCGAAATAAATCGTTTTTTTGTGGTTGTGTTGAATTTAGCGTTTATTTAAGGACGTCTTCACGCAAGATGCTTGCATCGCAAGAAGCGGGGGAACATCCGGAATCACTTTCACCCCACTTTCAGAGAATGAAATGCCAAAACCCGGGGAATTAATCGCGATGGACGCCGAATTTGTCACTTTGAATCAAGAAGAAGCCGAATTGCGGAGCGATGGGAAAATGTCGACGATTAAGCCCTCTCAGATGTCCGTGGCTAGGATTACGTGTATTAGAGGGCAAGGTCCGTTGGAAGGAACTCCGTTTATTGATGATTACATATCAACACAAGAACAAGTTGTGGATTATTTAACGAAATTTTCTGGGATTGAACCCGGGGATTTAGACGCTAATTTTAGTAAGAAACATTTAACCACGTTGAAGTCTACGTATGTGAAGTTGAGGTTTTTGCAAGATAGCGGGGTGATTTTTGTGGGGCACGGATTAAAAAACGATTTTAGGTGAGTTAAGTGATTAATTTTGATTTTAATTAAATTATTTCTATTTTGATTTAGAGTTATTAATTTAGTTGTGCCACCTGAACAAGTCGTTGATACGGTTTTATTGTTCCATCTTCCACATCATCGAATGGTTTCTCTTCGATTTTTGGCCTGGCATTATTTAGGTAAAAATTATTTTTGAGGTTATCTCAAATAGATATGAAGTTGATTAATCAACAGGGTATTTTAGATAATAACCTAACAATTTTGAGTGACAGATTTCATAAAAAATTTTTTTTAATTTTGATTTTTAGGGGTGAAAATTCAATCTGAAACTCACGACTCGGTGGAGGATGCACGAGCTGCTCTCGAACTATACAGGAAGTACAAAATGCTTGAGCAAGACGGCAAAATCGGGTTTGCTCTTTCAGAACTTTACGAGCGAGGAAAGGTGCTCAATTGGAAAGTACCCGATGATTGAATTTTTATTGGTTTTTTATAAGAGGTGTCCGAAATAAATTCTCATCAACCCATCATCTTTTAAAGTAATTAGTTGGTAAATTATTGTTTTATTTGTGGTAGTTTAATTTTTCAATTAATAAATTTTACAGTAATTTTTTAATTCAATTTTTAGCCGTATACGTTGTTAATTGCGAAAATTGTATATTTTTCATGAAAATAAATAAATGTAGTTTTTTAAAATTAAATAAATATTTAAAGAATTAGCGCCATCTATTATTGAGTAGCAAAACTAAATCAAAATTTCCTTAAAAGCAATATACTTCTCACAAAAAATCAAAAAATAATATTAATATAGTTCATTAAACAAATAATTCACTTCGAGTTATTCACGTAATAACGATAAAATGTAGGTAATCGCGGGAAAATAGCCGAAGGGCACAAGAACTCCATTTTAAGTTCAAGCAAATCCCTAATTTTCCTTCTCCTCCGCCTGGGTGTTGAATTAACATATCGTTTCTCCTCAATTAATAACTCGTTCATTTGCGTGTATTGGTTCAAGATTGCGTACGGTGCTAATTCTTTCGGGCAACGCAACTCGACGGAAATGTATAAACCCAAATACCGCGTTTTTAACTTATCATCGACGGAATCAAAACTGTAACTTGCATCGGGCGAAACGAACTTGTTAATGTAAGCCCCTAAAAACAACTTAATCAAAATACTAAAATCAAACAATTTTATTTACCTTCGTTCATCACGCCGTAATAAAAAAACTTTTCCCCAACCTCGCCGTACCCGGTGTAAACCGAGTTAATGGGGCGTCGAATTTTCGGCTTGGCGTTTACCCTAAACGTCGTCTCCCTTTTAAATTGATTGTATTCCATCGACATTTCGCTGTGTCCAAGAACGATCCTTCGCAATCGCATAAACATCAATCGTTGCTGTTCTTTCCATGATTTCGGTTTTTCATCATTTATATCCAAAGCGACGAACCAAGAATTCGAAAAATAATACTTTACGTTTAAAGATAACGTATTTCCGATGGATCTTTGACTAATAACGGTTCTTTTAACGTCGGTCGCTGAATCTAGGATGTCTAAAGCTTTGCAGGGGATGCAAAAATCGTCGTCTTTTAGTTGCGATTCGGTCACACGGTCGAAATGAATCACAAATTCTTTTGATTCGGCACAAATATCTTTAACTATGTTTGGGAGGGTCTTAAAAAAAGGGGTTTAAAATTAATTTTGAAGTAAAAAGATTTTTTTATGATTACATAATCTTTTAAGATTAATGGGGCGTAGATTTTGTGTGGTTCTTTGATAAACTCGAATATAGCCGTGTTATACTTGTCTAAAATGCTTCCTGCGTACATACAAATGTTTGATGGTTGATTTTTGAACGAGATGTACCTCCAAATCGTGCTGGTGAGCAAAGTATACTAAAATTTAATTGTTTTATTTTTTAGTTTGTTATAAATACCCACATAGAACGTTAAAACTTCTAAAACACCGAGCATTTTGCATAAACACCGTATTTCCATGTCATCTTCCGTGTGCTGCATCGAAGCATCAATCATTCGTTTTATTTTGTACAAACGCAATTTTAATTGGGTGAAGCGACTATTTAATAAAAGCTCAGCAACGATTTTAAATCTTCGATTAATTAATCTAATTGATTTCGCTAAAAAATACGAAAAATAAATAAAAAAGTTAGGTTATGTCGAAAATTATTTTAACCTAATTCGTTATTCGTGAAATAAGATAAAATATTTTGAAGAACTTCCGTTGGCATGAACATAACGGGAGTTTTTCTTCGATAAATCCTGGTGTAAACGCATCTTTTCTCGGAAACGGGCGAATTTTTATCACCCCTCGATAATCGAGGTCTCTTCCTCAGGAAATAAACGGATTTCGAGTCCGATTTATCGATTTCTTCATCATCGTTCTTTAAAATTGACGAAGAAGTCTCCATGTCATTAAAATGAAAAAATAAATCGCTATAAAACTAAAAGAAGAAAAATAAATTAATTTGAGTGATAAAAAAATGTTAAATTTCTAAATACCTTATTTTATTAAAATATTAAATAAAAACCATTTATTATGGGGAACTATAAAATGTTTTTCTTAGATTTTGGGTTAAAAAATAAATAAAAAAATTGTCACCTTTGTAAATATGTCAAAGTATATTCTAACTAGATTTTAATAGAGAATGCATAGACCACTCTAAATAACACGAATTGTGTCAAAAATTTCAACATAACCTCAAATAAAATTATTTATTATCAAAAATAACTACATTCCGAATTTACGTAACGATCATATAAACCCCGAACCGATTTTATTAACCGATCTGCGTACTTAAAAGTTGTTCGATCAACAACGAAACCGGTTTCTACGCAATCATCACCCCCAAACTCGCACACCCTGTAATGATGTAAAATCGCAGCGTCTGAGGGGACGTTAAAGGTGTTATGACCAGGTAAAAATTCCCAAATAAAATGATTTCCGGTTTCGACAACCAATTCTGGTCGACAAATATACTTTGAACGCTGTTTGTGCGGATTTAATTTAATTTTTCTCCGAGTTTTCTTCAACGTTAACAAAGAAGAAGCGATTATATCTTCGTTATGAAGGCTAGTATCGTCTTTCCATTGCAAAAAGAAAAATCCATTTTGAAACGAATACGACCCAGTTGATTCCAAGTTAATTTTTTTACCAAAACACCTAAAATAAATTAAAACATTATAATTTGTAATCACCACCATCTTTATAGTTACTCTAAAAATTGCGGAATCGTATCGTGGCGCGTCGGAACGATAAACTCGTCCAAATCGATCATAATTACATAAGAAAATCGGTACATAGACCGATACAGGCAATCATTGAGGGCTGCAAAAATCCCCTCTGTTCTAATTTCCTTACGAGAGGGTATATTTAGGTCCCACGGGAGCAAAGTGACAACCCCCTCAGTTAAGTAATGTTGTAAAACACACGCAACTTGCGGTCCAATCGTGTGGTTATAAAAGGTGAAATGTCCTGCTCCGAGGATTCGATGCAATTCAATAAATTCCAAGATCGCAATCACTTTGTTATACTCGAAATGAAGGGGTTTAACACACACATTCATCGTAACCCCCGATTTTGCCTCTCGATGGGTATCATAACGATTATTCATAACCACTAAAAGGTTTGACGGTGAGTTCCAAATTCTTGATACAACCGAAACATCTGATGGGATTTCATGATCGCCACCTAAAGGGCACAAAAGGAAACACGCGCTATATTTTAAATTCCAATTTTCACGAATTACCTTAAAAAGAATGATTTAGTTATTAATTAGAGATATAAACTAATTATTCACCTTGAGTTTTGAGGCAACAGTTTTTGAAATAAAACCCTCCTGAGTCTTAAACCACAATCGGCACCACACCCCCATTGCTCCCTTCGTTTTTGTCGCTGCAATAATCCTAACCAATCTTTCTTTTTTGCGGTCATCGTAATACGCCGAATACACGAAGAACTTGTAACTACAAAAATTGAGGTTAATTAACCTTAAAACGTCAAAATAAAGTTTCGTTGCCAACTTAATTCTAAAAAATTATTTGTAACTATTTTCACACAAAAACTCAAAATTTAAACTAAATTAATATATAAATAATTAATAATATAAATTTAACACGATTTTGTGCAGCTAAAATTGTGATTACAATTTTAAAATATAGTTCCAGAAATAAATAATATTTACCTAGTTCCATTCACAGTTTGCCAACTACCTTCCGACGGAGTTAAATTAACCGGATATGGAGGTAATTCCTGTTCATTGTGATGTCCAGCGAGTAAAATAGGAAGTGTTTCATCCAATGGGGCACCAATTCTCTTTCGAAACGATTTATAATCATTCTAAAAAAATTTTAATAATTTTGACATTTAATCATCAAATGTAATGTCAAAAATATTTTAGGTTAGGATCTATTTTAGAGAATAAAATTTGTTAATAAAACGCATTTTTTAATCGTTTCTTGTTTTATATACATTTTGTTATAAACAAATCCCCATAGAAAAATGAATTAACTTAATTCTTTTGTAAAAAAAATAACAAAACGATGTTCTATTGTTACGGGAGGAGTTTAATCCTCATTAATAATACCAAAGAAAATTTGTGAAAGTGAAAGGTTGCGCCCCCCGTTCAGGGCCAAGTTTCCAACCCAAATACAACAACGTCGGGATGTAACCGATGTGAAACGTTATTCTTATCAGATCTAACACCGCTTGGAGCCTTTCCGTTTTATCTTTTGAAAGAATCGCCTCCATCTTTAGCTATATTCTTTTCAGCTATCAAAAAATTGAAATGAAATCAATAAAATTAATAAAACCTTTTTACCTACCTTTTTGGTGCTTGGTTTTTCTACAGAGAATAAATTTTGGAGAATCACAAAAATCTTCTGAAGTGACAGTTTATTTTGTATTTAGTTGTCATTAATGACAAGGTGTTTAATTGTTTTGTTTGCACACTCTAACGAGTTACTTTTATAAATTTAACTTTTGAAATTATTTAATTTTTTATTTTATTGTAATTAGTTAAAAAGAGATTTACCTGCAAATTTCTTTTGTCGATAAGAAAAATTTTGGTGAAAACGGCGAGTACTAAAACTGCCACGAAAATGATAACCAGAAAGAGCCTCACTTTTGATCTTCGCTTATTTCTAGAGAGCGAAGTCTTCTTTCTCTCGTCTAAAACTTCCATTGCATCATAGATCTAATAAAAATTAATAAAAAATTTAAAAATGTTGATATTTTATATCCAGCTGTATAAGAATGTCAATCCAATAATTATTGAGGTTATGTCTATGAGTAATATATTTTCTCATCTATTTTTTACATTCATATTTTTGTATTTATTTTAATTTCTAATTAATTAAAAAATTATTAGTTCATAAAAAGAATTTATAATTAAAAATTAAATCAATTTTATACAAAAGTAATTGTATACGAAATTTTTTATTAAATCGAAACTTTAAAACGGTCATAAACCGGGAAATTTAAATTTTTCGTGAAAAACTACTAAAATTAAGCTTTTATAGTTTGGTTGATTTGATTGTGTAAAGAAAATTACATTATAATTTACGTTCATACTTTATGTTAATGGAATTTCCTTACTTGAGTTACTGAAAATAAAATCGTCCAGATCTTCGAGGGGGATTCTATTTTTAGGGGACAATTACACTTCACTTAAATTCTTTTAAATTCTTGGTTAAAAAATAAATTAAAAAAAACGTCAACTTAAATATGTCAGAATGAATTCAAACCAATTCAAATTTAATTTTTTTTGTTTTATATGGCAATGTATAGTGCGCCCTAAATAAAACGACTTAACGTCAAAAATTTAAACATAACCTCAAATCAAATTTAATTAAGTATTAAAAAATAAAATAGATATTGAAAAATGAATCATTTTCTTTATTAAATCATTTGATTTTCACAGAATTTATTTATACAATTTATACATCCCATTACACCTCACCGTAACCTCACAACTAAAAATATTTTTGGATAATTTTATAAAATTGCCAACGATGTCACAAGATCGCCGTATTTTCATCAATTTTTCCTTATATTTAGATGCATTTGATTCTTTATGTACGATTTTATCTTATATCACAATAAAACTTATAAAATATTTATGATTAATTAATACCTAAAACTTATTGTAACCTCACTATTCATCGTAATGATTTAATTTTATTTAATACAAATGATTCCTTTTGATTCTTTTAATTAAAAAAAATAATTTGTGCTTCAATGTTAAATGTAGATAGATTAAGTTTTGTTCTTATTTAATAAAGTAATATTTACAAGAGAAAAGTGTGCCTCTACAAGTAAATATTTTTTCATCACATTTTTTAAATAAAAAAAATTAAATCATTATCACATTATTTATTATCTCCAGGAATAACTCCATTGTAATTCCTGTAATAAACAGGAATCTTTGTATCGGTCATATAAACCCCGAACCGATTTAATCAATCGATCGGTGTACTTAAAAGTTGTTCGATCAACAACTGAGGCGGTTTGTACGCAATCATCACCCCCAAATTCGCACACCCTGTAATGATGTAAAATCGCAGCGTCTGAGGGGACATTAAAGGTGTTATGACCAGGTAAAAATTCCCAAATAAAATGATTTCCGGTTTCGACGACAAACTCCGGTCGACAAATATATTTTGAACGTTGTTTGTGCGGATGCAATTTGTATTTTCTCCGAGTTTTCTTCAAAGTTAACAAAGAAGAAGCGATTATATCTTTGTTATAAAGCGTATTGTCGTCCTCCCATTGCAAATAAAAAAATCCATTTTGAAACGAGTAAGACCCAGTTAATTTCGAGTTAATTTTTTCACCCAACCATCTAAAATAACATTAAAAAACTAAAATTTGTAATCACCACCCTCTTTATACTTACTCTAAAAGGTGCGGAATCGTATCGTTGTGTCTTGGAATGATAAATTCGTCCAAATCGATCATAATCGCATGCGAAAATCTATACATAGACCGATACAGGCAATCATTGAGGGCTGCAAATAAGCCCTCCGTTCTAATATCCTTTTGTGAGGCCATATTTAGGTCCCACGGGAGCAAAGTGACAACCCCCTCAGCTACGTAACGTTCTAAAAGACACGCAACTTGCGGTCCAACGGTGTGGTTGTAAAAGGTGAAATGTCCGGCTCCGAGAATTCGATGCAACTCGATAAATTCCAGCAACGGAACCGCTTTGTTGTACTCGAAATGAAGGGGTTTAACGCACACATTCAACGTGATCCCTCCGTTTGTTGTTGTTCCCGTTCGATGGGTATCATTGCGATTGTTCATAACTGTTAAAAGGTTTGACGGTGAGTTCCAAATTCTCGATACAATCGAAACGGCTGATGGGATTTGGTGGTCTTTATCCAATGGGCACAATAGGAAACAAGCACTATACTTTAAATTCCAATTTTCACGGATTACCTTAAAAAGAATGAATTAATTATTAATTCGTGATGTTAACTGATTATTTACTTTAAGTTTTGAGGCGATTGTTTTTGAAATAAAACCCGTCGAATTCCCCTCTTGAGATTTATACCATAACCGGCACCAAACCCTCGTTGCTCCCCTAGTTTTTGTCGCCGCAATAATCCTAACCGATCTTTGATCTTTCCGCCCATCGAAATACGCCGAATACACGAAGAATTTGAATCTGTAAAAAAGTTACTTCGAAACGTCAAAAAAATGTTGTTGCCAACTTAAATGTAATGAAAGATCGCCCATGTTTATAAAAAATATTACTTTTAATTTCTTTTTAAATGATTAAGAATTATATCAATATCTAATAAGTGATTTTTTGATATTATCTTCTTTATTAATTTATAAATTAATTTAAAACAGAACGAAATATATTAAAACAAGTCAAAAATATTATTTGTGGCTAACTTCACGTAAAAAGTTAGTTCGTATTAAAATGATGAAATTAATAATTATTATGCATAAATTTAATGCGGTTTGTTACAACAGAGAGTAGTATCGATTTTCTTATTGCATGCAATCCGACTTCCGACTCTGTTAATATGGCAGTCAAAAACCGCTCAATGCAACACGTCATTTCTATGGAAACTCTAGACTATATTGATTTCCTAACGTAATAATTAATGATTTGATAATGATTAATAACAATTTAATATAAATTATTAAAAAATTATGTTAAATTTATTAATAAATAATTTTATTTTTTTAATTTGTCAATCTACATATTGTTTTTAATAATAGATGGCGTAATTTCTATTTAACATTTAAACGTCAAATTTTCTATTTTATATTTTAGTTAAAATCTCTTTAGAAACAATATGAGTTTGGGGTGCATGTTCAATAAGGATAGCGAGTTATAACCCAACTAAATCGATCGCATCGCATGCAATGTGAATTCGAGAATGATTCATCTCAGCAATTTCGAGAAGCGAACGTGATTTATCCCTAAAACAAAGCGAATATCTGGAATTTATGTGATTACAACTTTGAAACAGTGACGTTTTTGGTGATATCGATAACAAATCGTAACAAAAAGAATTGTTTACCTAGTTCCATTCACCGTTTGCCAGCTACCTTCCGACGGAGTTACATTTACCGGATATGGTGGCAGCTGTTGTTCATTGATTGCCTGTTGTTCTTGATTGTTCGGTGCTTGGAAGAAAGGAACAGGTCCATTGTGACGCCCGATAAGTAAACTTCCAACGGTTTCATCCAATGGACCACCCATTCCCATTCGAACTGATATGTAATCATCACTCTATAAAATTTTGACATTTAAACGTCAAATTAAACGTCAAATTTATTTTAGGTTAAGTTCATTTTGTTATAAACAAATGAAAATAAAAACAAATAATTATTAAGTTTTTAAGTGAATATAAATTTGTTATAAACAGTGAAGTAATAATTTACCTGCATAACGTCTTCATAATCGGGTCGTTCATGATTTTTTCGATGATAAGGTATCGATCCATGCCTGACCAAAACGCCGGCACCCCTACCCCTTTCGTCGATGAGAAAAATTTCGGTGAAAACGATGATTCCAAAGACGGCGAAAAAAATGACGACCAGAAAAAAGCTCATATTTGCCCGTTGCTTATTTCTGGTCGTCGAGAGCTTTTTTTTCTCGCCCAAAGCTCCCATAGCAGCTCGCAAACCTAACAAAAATTAACGTGGAATTTAGAAATAAAGGTTAATTAAGAAATTTAACGATTAAAATGCAAATTTATTCGTTCAAATTTAAAAAAAAGGGTTTTTTTATAACCAGCTGTATAACATTGTCAATCCAATAATAATTGAGGTTACATCTGTCATTAAAGAAGGTGACAGTTGAAAATAAAGCGTTAAAAATAAACGTTTAATTATAAAAACTTTATTATGACATCAAATTTTATTAAATAAATCAAAATTAATTTACAATACAAAAATTATTTTTAATTATTAATTTGTAATTAAATTTTTTTAGGGTTGGTATTGATTATAACCTCTTGACAACTCCGGTATCTTGTTGTTAATGTTAGTACATTGAGTTTTGTAATAGAAAATAAATACTAATAATTTACTGGCAGTGTGGATTATGAAAAAGGAATGAAAAGAACATTTAATACATTTAACCAAGTAATAATTTTTGTATTATAATTTCTAATTAATTAATAAAATTAGTAAGTTATAAAAAATTTCGATTATTAATAAAGATTTAAATAAATCTTTATAGAAAGTTAATTGATTTCAAGAAATTTTTTTATTATAATAACTTTTAAATGGGATAGCGCCATCTGTTGGATTTTACATTTAACATGATAATCAAAAAAAAAAAAGCGGGAAATTTAAATTTAAACTTTAAAAAATTAAGTTTATAAGACTTTTGTGCTATCCTTGGTTGACACGGATACAAGAAACCCTTTGCGTGTAAAGGTGAAACCTCGGTGTTTATCAACGCGAAGCGTTTTGAATATTTCAGCCGAGTTATTACATGCCAGTCCTTTGAAAGTGGCGTGCAGACGTCGTCGTTTGAATACCCCAACCCAGTACAAGTTGCAGATGTCGCCTTGAATACCATTTTAGTTAAAAATTTCGTTTTCTATTTAAAGCCACGACTTTAACGTTAATAGCAATATAGTTTCACACGAAAAAATGTCGTTTTTTTTTCAAATCAAATAATTCAATTTAAACTAAATTGATTGTGGAAACAGTGGGGAAAGAAAATTACATTGTAATTTAAGTTCAGAGTTGTTATATCGCTTGTTACATAACGAACTCATTTACCGAGAACTGGGCTCGGTACGAATTAATGGAATTGCCTTACTTGAAAGAGTTTTAAAAAAAAGCTGACCAGATGTCTGCGGGGAATTCTATTTTTGGACGATAATCACATCAAACACACGATACCGACCTTTTTTATTTTAACAAGGAGGGATCAGCACAAATTATTTAATTAATTATTTCTAGATAGAAAGAGTTAAACTTACCGTCATTAATCCCAATTCCAAAATAAATAAATCACATAATACATTTAAATAATTTCTTTTATAACCACCACTAAAGTATCAATTTTAATTAATCCATCTAAAACATGATTGACAGTTGTCATAATTGAATTGACAGTTGTCAAATAAGTTTAAACTTTTTATCCAACTTCACAACGGTAAATTTTTATGTAAATATTATTTTAAACACTTTATTTATTATTAAATCTATTTATATTTTATTTACATCGTATAAAATTATTGATCGATTACTGATTTTAAAGTAGAACTTTGAGCTTCCAAAGGAGATACTTAAAAGGTCACGAAGGGACACTCAAAATTAGCTTTTCTTTTGAAGCCTTCGATAAACTTACGCTATGTTTCATATTTATTTAATAATTTTGTTTAAATGTTTATTAAATATTAAATTTCTTTGAAGTAATTAATTCCAGATTAATTCTAATATCACCATAGCAACCGTTAATGTCACAAAAAAGACATAACCTCAAAATTTATCTTTTTTTAACACAAAATTGATTTATTACCTTAAAGAAATCATTTTCACGTTTAATTTAAAACGTTTAAATAATTATGTTTATTATTAAAACCAACAACATTTAAATTTTATTTTGTAAATATTGACGTTTAGCTGTCAATTTTGGCAGAATTAATGCATAGATATTATAAATTAAGACGTAAATGACGAATAAAATTTCGAAATGTAATGAGAGAAAGAGGGAGAGAGGGAGAGAGAGAGAGATAGGAAGTGAAAATATCGACTTTCTGTCATTCAAAAATGAGTGTGTAGAAAAAGTTTAAAAAAAAAGTTAAATACTAAATCTATTATTGTTGTTTAAATTTAATAATTAATTTTAAAATTTAATAATGATTCAAATATTTAACTGAAATAAAAACTTTAAATAATAATAACTTTTAAATAAGCTTTTTGCTTTTGTTAAATAAAATGTTAAATAATTTTGATTTAAATTATATTTGTTATTATTTTTGATTTATTGTTGTTATGTTATTAAATGGGCGTGGTGTAACCAAGATTTCATTAATAATTAATAACTTACGTTGTTTGTTATACAGGGGGTGGAAAATATCGTCTTCTTCTGGACATTATTAGAATTAGACAAAAGGGGGCCGACGAAACAACGAAAACCACCACAAACTACCCTCGCGTCGGTCTCGAACAGCTGAGAAATACTGAAAAGGTTCGAAGATCGGCGTCGCGACGCCCGAACGTGCTCAAACCAGATCAAGTTGGACACAAAACCGAATTTTACCGATTACAAAATATATAAGTTTGACCTCTTTAAGGAAATTTCGTTATTTGGAAAGAAGATAAGATAAGATTAGAAAAAAATAGGATTAGGCACAATAACTCCTTGTCCCCAATTTTCTATAAACTTAACCGACTCGAATCAACGAATTTTTTGACATACCTTTTAAATTTACGAAATTTATCCATTTTTGAAGCTAATATCATAAAAACATTTCCAAGTTAATCAAATTTCTTAAATTTAACAATAATTAATTTAAATATCTTCAAATTAAGTGACGTTTAATCCGATCTTGTTATCGGGGAATTTCGGAAAAACGATGAGAAAGAGACAGAGAAATCACTCATAGAAAACACCCCGAATCACTTGAAATCGATGGGGCTCTTGTATCCCGTTTGTCAAAGAGACCGCCTCCCTTTATTTACCCGTTTATCGCTCGCCCCTTAAAAGGGGCCACGAAAAAATCACCCTCTCCAAAATCGAATTATTTTTATTTTTAAATTTACATCATTTAATTAATTAATTAATAGCCTATATAATTTTTATTATTAAACTAATTTAACATTGAAATTAATTAATAATTATTTATAAATTTAAAATAATAACAGATTTCTACGTAATGATGTGTTATAAAATAAAATAGATGGCGATAATTATATTATAATTAAAATTTTCAAAATTAACCCTCAATGTTCTTTTAATAATAATTAAACAAAAAAGAACGTTAATTCATCATGTGAATTTTAATCAACATTGAATGTACACAATAGGTATTTTAAAATTGATTGTATCATTATAAGATTACAGATATCTTCTTAAATAAAATTCAAAATAGATGGCGCTAAAATAATTAAAATTATAAATTTTCCCTATTTTAATTTATTTAAATATAATTTAAAACTTATTTATATTAATTACAATTAAATCGTCTAATTTTTAAATAAAATTTTAAGATTAAGTCGGTAAAAAAGTCTTATTCACAACAAAAACAACCTAACCTACAAATTAACTCAGTATTTTCTAATAAATAATCAAAAATAATCAAATAAAACCCAATTAAAAGAAATTTACATTAATTAATCATGGAAAATAATCAAGAAATTCCGAGTAGCTCAAAAATTTCAATAAAATCGGAAGACTCTCTAAGAATTGAATCAACAAAAGCATCTCCGGAAATCACCAAAAATGATTCCGATTCGTACGATAGCGATGATTACGATTTCTCCCAAGACATAGATAGCCAAAATATAACTGAAAATTACGAAAATGAACTTGATAACGATTTATTAGTAGAGGAGGAAGCCCCAAAGGCCCCTCGACGACAATCTAAAGGACGATCTAAAATCCCTTTACATTTAAAGGGATTAATGGGTGAAGCAAACTTAAGATTTGCACGAGGGGATTATGAAACGGCTAAACACATGTGTTACGAATTAATCCGACAGGTCCCCTTGGCTCATGAGCCTTATTTAACGTTAGCAAATTTATGCGAAAATGAACCGCAAAGAAGCACTCAATATTTAACGATTGCGGCGCATTTAAATCCCAGTGATGCTCAACAATGGATTCGATTGGCTCAAATTCATATTAGTACGGGTAATTTGAGGAAAGCGGTTACTTGTTATACGAGAGCGATGTTGGGGAGCCCCAATTCTGCTAACATTGATTTACAATTAAAACGATTAGAGTTATTAGAGAAATTAAGTATGTTTTAACTTTTTAATTGATTTAGATTTAATTGTTTTGATTTTAGACGATACTAATTACACGAGGAAATGTAAAATAAAATTGATTCATTCGTACCCCCCAAATCAAGTGGACGAAATATTAGCTTTAGCCGAAAACGTGGCTACTTCGTATCACCAAGATGGGGATAACCAAAAAGCCGTTGATTTAGTTTCGGTTGTTTTTGAAAAGTGCCCAAAAGGGATTACGTTGGAAATGGTCAACATTTACCTCCAATTATTATTATTAACGAAAAATTACGTGAAATGTTTAGACATTTTCGTGCAATATTGCAACATTGAGATGGAAATTTTAATCGGTGAAAACAATAAAATTGCAATTGAAAGTTATTCGATACCAACAACGATCCACATCGATTTAAAAATAAAATTCATCATCTGTTTGATTCATTTAGAGTCGTATCAATTTGTTTCAAATTTAATTAACGAGTTATTAGTTGAGGAGGATGTTGATCGTATTGGCGATTTATATTTTGATGTCGCAGAGAATCTGATTACGATGAATCAACATGGAGAAGCTTTAAAATTATTAGTCCCGCTGGTAAAGAGCAAAAACTTCTCATTAGCTGCTATTTGGTTAAAATACGGCGAGTGCCAGGAAGTTTGTAAAATGCCCGATCAAGCTATCGATAGTTATTACACAGTTTTAAGATTAGTCCCACAACACCATGAAGTACGATTTCCTTTATCAGATCTTTTAATTGCTAAAAACAAATTATCGGATGCTTTGGATGTGTTAACGCAAGATTATAATTCGGGGGAAATCCACGTAAAATTATTAATTAAAAAAATAAACCTTTTAAAAGAAATTGGAGATTTTAAAGCTTACTTTAAATCGGTGAAAATTTTATTATCGCGACATTGCGTTGAAGTTAAGAACGCAACGGAGATTCAAAGCTTATTTTTGGAAAGTACATCAGAAAAATGGACGAGAATTAAAAGAATTCGGGCTTTGGGAGGCGATCAAAGTCAAATCCCCGAAATTAAAAGTGTTGAGGATATCCCAATTAACGACGAATACAAATTATTTAAGGACTGTTTAAAAGTTTGTTTAGATAAAAAAGAGTACGCTTTATTACAAAAATTATCGTATTTAGTGCTAAATTCAACGAAATTTAAAAACAACATAAAAGAACTTTTACAAATCGCTTTGTATTCGTGCATCTCGAACGATGATTATTTAAACGGTTACACAATAGCGAGATTGATTATGTTAAAAAATTTAAACAGTAACGTACATTTAAATTTATTAAATTTGATACTACAAAGATTGGAGGAGGCGAAATTCTCAAAGTTCGTTATGAGACAATCGAAAACTTTGCACAAAGATTACGGGAAAATCTTGGAAGCCAACAACGCTTTGTGTGCCGGCTCCTATAAAATAGCAATTATGATTTTAATGCCAATTTTTAAACAACATTTATCACCCTATATCACGTTTCTGATGGGGGTTAATTTTTTGCAATTGTCCCAGCAAAAGCGGAGATCAAAAACGAAAAATTTCACTCCGATTGTGTACTCGTTGTTTTCGCATTACGCAAACGAACGGAGTCAAGATGCTTTTCACGAGATTAATTATAATTTGGGGAGGATGTACCAAAAGTATGGAATTTTGCATTTAGCCGTTTATTATTATCGGTTAGTTTTGGAATTTCAACATCCGTTAATTGAGGAGCACCCCGATGTTTTATCGTTGAGGAGAGAAGCCGCTTTTAATCTATTTCTAATTTATAAGGATTGCAATAATTATGTTGGAGCAAGAAATTTGTTAATAAAATATTTGACGGTTTGAATTAATTTTTTTTAATCGGATTTGTAAGTATAAATTTATTTTTTATAGTTCATTATTGTTTGAATGATTAAAGACTTTAAAGTATATATTTATTTAAAAAAAAAATAAAAAAAATTAAGTCGTTAAAAAAATCTTGTCCACAACAAAAACAACCTAACCTCATTAACTCAGTATTTTCTTATAGAGCAAATAAAACCCAATTAAAACAAATTTAAAATTAATCTTTTAATTAATTAAGATATTATTTTTATTATTAAATTAATTTAACATTAAAATTAAATAATGTTTATATATTTTTAAATAATTACAGATTTCTTCTTAATGATGTGGCAGAAAATAAAATAGATGGCGATCATGATTAAAATTTTCAAAATAAACTTTTAATATACTTTTAATTTTACCCAACCCAAACTTTTGAACATTTGACCTAGAACTATAAACATTAAATAATTAAAGACTTTAAAAAATATATATTTATTTATAAAAAAAATATTCATTTTTGTATTATAAAAAAATAATAATAAATTATCTAAAAAAAATATCACTGAGCGAACTCGGATGCATAAATATTGTCGATTACGCCGTTTACTTGAATTTCTAATCCTATTTCTTTTATTAATTCATCTAAAATCGTGTCTGCAATACTAAAAAAGAATTAATATTAATACATAACCTCATTTTTAAATATAATTTAACTCACTCCCCCATCACGATCCACGGATGCTTCGTAGCACTCTTTTTGTACATATGATTCCCCTTTCGGGCTTTCCCATAATTTACTTTGTACTCCAAAATATCTAAAGCGTACTTCCTCGGTAACATTTTTAAACACTTCAACGAGCACTTCGGTAATCGACTGATTTTTATCTTGGAAATACGATCGGGGTACGGCTTCGGCATCACATCAATTTCTTTAGATTTATTTAAACATTCGTCGTCTTTAATTTTTTTAATTAGCTCGGGATTAAGAATATTCTCTTCGATTTCATTCAACGAATTTAACGACGGCTCTTCATCTTTAATACAAATTAATTTCGCGTTTTTAACCCCCGTTATTGTTACGGATTTTCTAAAAAGGAAATAAAATTAATTATAAAATTATTAAATATAGGTTATGTAATAAAAAAAAATTCCGTTTAAAAACATTTTGGGTGTTATCTTTCGTCGAGGATTATCTTTAAATATATTGAGATCATTTTTAATCTTAATTTTTTTTGATGCGTACAAAAATAGATTAAATAAAAATATTATTTTTTAGGTTAGATCTTTTTCTTTTTAACCAAAAAAATTAGTTGGTATGACACTTGACAATTTGAAACGTCAACTTGACGTCTTCATTTTTACGATAAAAATTCAACAAATTCTTTTTGTGCGAAGGCTTTATTAAAACAATTATGCAAAAATGATGATGTAATAAATTTCGCCTACGAAATACGAGCTAAGAATGGTAAAGCGAAAAATACCATTGACATTAATGTTGTGACGAAATTAATTTGGACTAAATTGGTAATCGATACTAACTCATTGTGTGTTTCAAAGTGTAGGTTTGTTCTAATTCTAACTCCAATTCTAATTCTAAGTGTCATTATTTAAGTAACACATTTTTCCAAAAATCGAAAATTGTAATAATTATTTTAATAATTAGATATAATTTAAGATAAAGGGATTACGATTATACCTTTGTTTTTTTTTCTCTCTCTTAAAATCGAGATTAAATATCCGTTTTCTATTACGTGACAAAAAATACTTTAGATTTCAAAGAAAACAATAATTAAATCAAGATAATTTTTAAGGTTATAATTGAAACGTCATTTAATTTCTTTAGGTTGGCAACAATTTACAAATTTTTCCTAAATTTTCCCTCAATAATATAATAAAATCAAAAATAATCAAATTGCATTAATTATCACCTTAAATTATTAAATTTACCAAAATAAAAATATAATTGCATTAAATATCACTTTGAATCATCAAATTAACCTCAAATTAATTTTTAATTTAAAATATCATTTTTGACGTTTAAAATAATTTAACCTAAAAATTTGAACTTTACCCTTGCGGCATTGCATCAAACCCTAAATTTAACTTAATTTAATCGAACAAACAACGCCGACCCAATTTCTCCCTTTAAAAAAAAGTTCCAAAACAGCCCTTAAACAATACTTATTAATAACTAAATAAACCAAGTCGTAATTAAATCCCTTTTTATATTTTTGTATAAAGAACTCCTAAAAAGTAATGATATATTTTATCAGATAATCACCCGATATCGTTTCCAGTCAATGTGTATATATATACGTTAAATTTCCTCATCACGTCAGTTCCCCTTCGATTTCGTGACAGTAAAGAACGTGTCTAAACACAACCGAAAGAGATAGAAAATGAGCAGCAACGAGGTGAGTGCAATGATTAAAAAAGAAAATAAGGTTTTAAATTTCCATTTTCAATGTCAAATTAAATGTATCAAATAACTCGGGTTATAAATAATGAATAATAATAAAGTTGATGCAAAAAAGACCAACCTTGGATTAAATCATGCTCTTTTATGGATTATTTTTGCGCCCAAACGATTAACAATATCACTTATCAAATGCTCCACTTCCTTTTCGTTGAATTAGGCGTGGTTCTTATTATCTCGGTTTTTATATGAAGTAATAAATTGTGTATTGAATAAATGGCGAAGCGTTACTTATATAGTAAAGTTGATAATATCGATGACATCGATATTCGTGTCCCACTTAACTTTTTGAAATCTATACATTACAGTTAAGTAATCTCTACTTACAATTAGCAAAGAGATAATGCATCCGATATCAAAAACATTCCTATTGTTTATTGTCCCAACATAAATGATTATTATTTTTTTTGTATTACAAAATAAACATGGAAAATACATTAATTTAAAAAAAAATTTAATTTCAAAAATAAATAAATTTTTGATTTTTAAATTTTTCGCTACATCTAGTGAGGAGTAGCCGAATTAACCGTTAATTTTTCTTTTTAAATTAGGTTATGATTTAAACGTCACTTTTTATTAAAAATAAATTAATTTTTAAATATATCCCACGTTAAACAATTTATTTTTTTGATTAATTAAGGAGTCGTATTATGCCAATTTGGACCTAATCCAAACAAATTTATTTCGTCGAGACGAGTTTTATTTAAAGTAAGATGCTATTTAAAAAGTTTGTGGTTCATCGGAAATTGATTTAAAAAAATACTTACTTTCTTTCCGGTTTGATATCTTTTTCAAAGTCTTCGTCATCATCTTTTTTGACATTTTCTTCTTTAACGTCTTCTTTTTGAGGCATTCCGCACATATCTTTGGCTTTTCGGATACTTTCTTGGTTTCTTTGGACAGCCTCTAACACTTTATCTAAAATACCTTCATCGAAATCATCGAATTTGATTTTTTTCTCCCTTTCTGGTTTTTCTAATACTATCTCTTCTTCTTCATTAATCGTTTCTTTGATATTTTCATTTTTAACATCTTCATTTTGAATTTTTTCTTTTGATATTTTCTTCTCTTGGAGGTCTTCCGTTTGGGTGAGATCTGGTTGGCTTTTAGGGACGACCTCCTGGACACCACCCACGCAATCCAGGAGAGCTTGCAGGATATTTTTGACCTGATTTTGACTCACATCCTGAAATAGATCGACACACTGGGATTAGATTGGGGGGACAGGTTTCAGTTAGTTTCAGTTCGATTTTTTTAAACAGCAGGCGCGAGGCAGGTTTCTCGCAATTTTTGGAAAACCGATTCAGTTTTAGTTAGTTTGTAACCGTCGATCTCAACGTTTGTGCCCCATTTTCCTTTGGTATTAATAATTCAATCAAAATGGTAAGATTTAAGTAAACTATCAATTAATTTATTAATTATAATTAATTTTTAAACAAATTCATCAAATTAGAACTGAAATATTTCATTTCGTTTTAAAAATAGCCCCTTTCGAGCCGTGTGCAATTTTTAGATTTCAAAACTTAAGTATGTTTAGCAACAAAGCATCATCGAAGAGAATATATTTGTATCAGCCTGGTGAAAAGAGATAGAGGGAGCGAATTTCGTAACATTCTAATTTAAAATAGAACATGTTTAAAACGAGTAAAACCTTAAATCTTCAGTTATAAATAAAAATAACCTAAAAATAAAAATAAAATGCCTCGAGATTTAGTCTCAAAATCGATAAAGAGATTTTGGGAGCATTTTTCGCGATTTATAAGGATCGTCGCTGTTTTATCGATAATCTACACCTGTGTGTACTACTATAAGCGTAAGTGTTTTAGGAAAATTTTGGATTTTAGCCAGGAAATACGTCATACAACTCGTGTATACTTAATTTTGGAGGAAAATCAAATAAATTTTCAATGTTGCTCTAATTTTGGGCTGTTTACCCGAATTTTTAAACAAAAATCTTTGCCAATTGTTACATAACCTAAAATATAATCAAAAATTTATTTTTTTAGGTTATCTGCTTCACCTGCAATAAAAGAATCGAAGGACAGGTAAACAAATCACCTTGGTTACGAACCTGGGTAACCAGGCAACTTAATCAAAACATAACCTAAAAAATTTTCTTTAGGTTTTGACAGCTTTAGATAAAACCTACCACCCCGAACATTTCGTTTGCGAGAAATGTAAAAAACCAATTTGCGACAATAAATTTCGAACGCACGATGGGCGAGCTTACTGTGAAGACGACTACAATCGGTTATTTGTGGCTCATTGCAGCGGATGTGGAGAAACGATCAATGGGGTAAAGAAAATCAATACACAAATCAAAATTATTTTAATCCAATGATTTTACAGAAATTCATTTCCGCTTTGGGAAGAGATTGGCATGAGGAACACTTTTTGTGTAACTGGTGCAAAACGAAATTGATCGGACAAACTTTCATGGAGCACTCCGGCCAGCCGATTTGCCAAAAGTGCTTCAAAGACAACGTCGCCAACAAGTGTAAGAAGTGTGGACAGGGCATTACAGAGCGTACAATAATCGCCCTCGATGCTAATTGGCACCCAGAGTGTTTCGTGTGCAAAGTAAGTTGGATAGAATATCAATCAAACGATTATTACATTTTAAATCAAATTAAGACAAATTTTAGTAAAAAAAATGTGGTGGAGGTTACTCAGTAAGTTAAAAAAGAAACGATATTCTATTCAAATACAAAATTAACCTAACAAGAATTGCGATTATCAAATCTAACAGCACGGTTTTAATAAAATCTAATTTTTTTAAAAACTAACCTCAAAAATTAAAAAAATTTGAATTAATGTATTCTTTTTCTAATTTTTTAGCAATGTAGGAACCCAATCACCGAGAAATCATTCCAAGTTGTCGATGGTCTCCCAAAGTGCGGGAAGTGTACCTAAAAAATTTTAACTGTCTTCGCATCGCTAACACTAAATAATAAACACAAAAGAATAATAGAAACACACCAAACCTACAAAAAAAAGAATTAAAATGAAAAAAAATACTAATAATTAAATTTGTAGGGAGCTTTCATTGTTGTTGTTAATGTTATTGTTGCCTAAAAGTGATTTTTTTTTAAGAAAAAAAATCTAAACAATGTAGTTAAAATTATTTTACCACCTAAAAGCTTCGATTTATTTCTATAATCCTTTTCATAAAAATAAATGGAAAGATAAAAACTAATTATGTGATTAATTCTTACCTTATTCTCTTCTTTAATCGTATTCACAACGTGATTAATTAGATTCGTTAGATTTAAATTCATCAAATTGTTATCTTCGGATGATCGACGAGAATTTGGTGGGTTTACAAGATCATCTTTCGAATTTTTTTTGGTTATTTCTGATGAACTCAAATGAGGTTCCGAGGAGTCTTTGTGCCACTGCACTAAAGTTGGTATGTTATCATCGTTTAATGTCGTCTTAGTCGATTTGATCTTTCCCGAAGAGGTTTTCTCCACAACTTTATTTGGTTTTATCGCTATCTTCGAAGGAGTCGGTTGTCTTTCAATAATTGGTGGTCTATGTTTAAAATTAGCCGTTCGATATTTCGAGGTAACGTTAAATCTAATAAAAGAAATTAATTAAAAATTAATTTTAATTAATTCAGTTTTGGTACTTTTTCCTCGCTAAACTAGCACAAGCTCGTCTCCATACTTCCTCATTAGCACCCGGAAGCGAATACATAGCTAAGCGATCCTTTGGATTCTTTTTCTTCTTCAAACTTTTATTTCCTGTCTTTGCATATGATGATTCCATTGGGGTAATATTCCGTACTGAGAGAGGTTGGGGGCAAAAAAATTTTTCATTGATTTTTTCTAATAACGAGCGACTTCTAACTTCAAAAACCTTAAACAAAACTAAATTATAATTTTTAAAAGGATTTAAAAAGGATCTTACATCGATAATTTCCTCCTTTTCGTTACTGTTCAAATCTTTAGGTGTGGACGTTCGGTGGATTTCGCATAACGATGAGGTTAATTTTAAAAGTTCCCGAACTTTTTCTGGTACCGCGTTCGTTATTGAGACTGGTAAGTGATTATAATAAGCTTGAAGCCCTTGGAGTAGCGTTTGATACGAAGTTACTAATTTTTGCCGAATCGATAACATTTTATTTGTATCATCACCGCTTAATTGCATTGTTATTTGGAGAATATCGTTCACCTAAAAAAAAAATAAATAATAATTAAGATTGATTTAAACACATTTTAATATAATTTGTTAGGTTAAGTTATTGACAGCTGTCATTATCAACAATTCAATAATACCAACCTACAATTATCATAAAACCGAACTAAAATTGTCAATACAAAAAATAATTTACCTGTCTATTTAATTGATAAAGATAATTTCTTGAAAATCTCGAAGCAAATTCCACAGATCTCTTTCTCCTCCTATCAAAATCATCGTCCCCATCAGGGGTAATAATCCCGGTGTCGATTAAAATTCGAATATCCTCCATGCATTTTAAAGTTTTATCCAAAACGTTGTTTAATTTAGCTTCTATGTTTATTTCGGTAATTTCCTTGCTTTCTTTAACCTTCTCCACCTTTTCCGACTTTTTCGCACAAATTTTTTTGACGTCGCCTTTCCCCTTTTCTCTTTCCCGATTAATTTTATGTCTTTGACCCAAATTATTTCCTTCGCCACCGCCTCCACCGCCCCAACGTGCATTCCCGGGAACTTTTCGCCAATATTCCGTATGAACAAGGTCGATTTCTTGCCTTACGGTGACAACGTCAACAGAAGAATCTGATTGACTTCTTCGGAGTTCTTCACCAGTGTTTTCATCGTGAGGTTTAAAGCGAGTCAGTTTTGTCGATTTCGGGGCGAATTCGTGGGGCGACAACACTTCGGAACTTGATGTCGAAATATGTTTCGGGTGTCGTTTAAAGTAGGTTTTAATCGGTGGTTGTTTCGCTTCGGGTTTGGATTTTTTGGAAAAGTTTTCCCAAACTGTGTTGTGTAGTTTACGATTCGCTTGGACACCTTTTAAAAGTTGATACAACTTTTCGGATTCCTTCAAAACGATTAATGTTTTTATCAAATTGACGTTTAAATTTTAACGTTTATTTTACGTTTTATTTTTAAATTAAATTAAAACCTTAATTACCTTATGCAAAAAGTTATCGACTTCGCGCATTTTTTTCTATATTTTTCCAGTTATATTCCACTAAAACAAAACTGCAATCTCTTTTTCAAACGTAATAACAGACAACATAATGTCACTTTGTTGAGAGCTTTTTCAGTCGTATCGGAGAGCTTCAAGGGTCGTTTCTAGGGCAACGCTCGTTTCTACGTCAAGGGCAGGTGGGTAACAGATGGAAAATACCGCTGGTAATGCAACGAAGGATGACGGCGAAAGAGAAGCGAAACTGCCCACAACAAACGAGGTTAAACACCATTAAACGCTTATTTTGTCAATAATACGAATTAAACGAAAGGATTTAATACCTGCAAGAGACGAACGTTTTGGAGGTTAAATAAATTCGACTCATTTTATTGGGAGTAAGGAGGAAAATGAGAAACTTAAAATACTCTAGAAGTTCCACTTTGGTGGCATCTCAAAGAAGAGTTGCTTTAAACAACGTGGTTTTACCACCTCTTCCCGTTGAAATCGCCGAGACTGGAGCTGAAATATTGCATAAAATCTTGGTGAGTTAAAAATAATTAAAAAAATCAAGTAAAATTACGAAAAAAAAACGTTTGACATGTTGTTGACATCGTTTCCTACTTTATCGAGTTTATCGTTTTGAGGTTATCTAATCAATTTAATAAGATATTTATTTAATTCAAATAAATTTTATCTTGATTATATTTTATATAAAAAAAATAGTCTTTATACACTTACTTAACTTACCAAAAATATAAATACGTTCTTAAGTTTAACGTTCTTGCCATGTTCTTGATTCTTTAACGATATGAATTAAAACATATTCGTACACTTCATTTAATTCGTTCTCTTCAGAAACAACGTTCTATTTCGTAATCTAAGCTTGTATATTCAACAATTTTTAAATATTTTGTGAATTATAGTCATTACGCCATCTATTATTCAATTTTGAACTTTTTTAAAATCATTTCGATTTATTAATTTTGTTTTATATTTTGTTTAATTTAATTTAATAATTTAAATTAATATTGAATTTCGAAAAACAATCAATTTTTTTAATAATAATAAATAAGTGCAATCTAAATTATTTAATGCATTGTTGTTAAATTGGTTGCCTACCCCCTTTCTTTTTAATTTTTAATTTTATCAACACTCAACAATCTATCAATTCTTTTTAATTTATTATTATTATGCATAATTAAAATGTTTTCGCTTTTTATTATTGAACGATTTTAAAACTCCCCCGCAGTGAAATCGGATTGACGTAAAGTTGCACCCCCGTTGAGGGGAAAAGCGATCAATACTTAGCCAGAACGAAAACGGTGACAGTTCTTCTTTTAGCTGCTATCGTGGTGGTTTTTTCGTTTAAAATCCATTACAAACGGCCCCAAAATAAATCCTATTTCCCTCTCTTGTTTTATTTCCATCTAAAAACTGTTATTACGTTTTTTTTGACTCACCACAGTGATTCAAAGCACATTCTAAAAACGAATCTATCTCATTCGCGAATACGGTTTCGTTGAAATATGGCATCGAAAATTATGGTGAAGTACCCAGTTGCTCCATTTGGGCAGGTTAATAACTTATAAAAAAGAATTAATTTGAAATTTTGTATACAATTTTTTTAAGGTGAATAAATCCAAACAACCAGGTACCGTAAACGCTGATATAGTATCGGTGGCGCGATCCCAAGATGCAGCTCCGAAACCTTCGGATTTGAAATCGCAAGATTCCTCTCGAGTTGCCCAATTAGAACAAAACATAAAATTCCTTCAAGAACAACACCAGTTGATGTTGAATGGGCTACATCACGAAGTTGATAGTTTACGGCATAGAAATCGAGGTAACTATTAAATTGGCCACTATTTACATTGTATCTAAATCTATTCGTAAACAAATTTGCTATTTTTGTTTGGGAAAATGGTTTATTTTTGGGCTTCCTCATTCAATTTTTACTTTTGCAATGAGTACTCGCTTCAACATTTAGATTTAAAATAATGCTTCGGAAATTAATTTGTGGTAAAAATAAACGAATTATGAACGAGTCAAATGAAAACGGTGAGATTTCATATTGCGTGTTAACCCATGAGTCACATTTAAATACAAAATTAATCAATATTCCTCCGTAATTTGAAACGATCAATTTTCTTTTGCTTGTAGAGTTACAATTCCAATTGGTTTTTGCGAAAACTTCTTTGCCTACAACTCCGACGTCTCCAGATGAAGAAGCTAAACAAAAGGTGCCTTAATTTTTAAATTATTTGTTAATTACATCTTAATTTGTGTTAATATTTTAGTCCGGAGATAGTCCAAAGCAATTAAATGTGACTCCGCTTCAAATTGAGATCTTGGAAAAGGAGCTTAGCGATCTAAAACTTCAGTTGCAAGAAGTTGAGAGTAAAAATTCTTATTTAACGGAGATCATCGAGGAGCAAAAAATGTTTGTATTAAATTCTTCTTTTTATTAATCTAATTTATTAATTAATTTAGGAAATTGGAAAAATTTGAATTGGAAAAAGAGCGCGATCGCGAGCGCGATCGCGAGCGCGTTTCTCAACCCGACCCGGAATTAGTAAGAAAACTAGATGATGCCGAAGCTTTAATAAGGCGCTTAAGAAGGGAAAATTCCGATTTGCGCCGAGAGGGTTCTTCGTCCCCATCAAGATATGCTTCGAGAGATTCAATCGGGTATCAATCCCGAGAGCACAATTCTCAACAAAAGAACACTGGCAGTCAAAATCGGGGTAACGGTAGACACCGTGGTCAATATAGAAATTGGTTTCCTCCGGTTCATTCGCAGAATTACTGGCAGACTGGCCGAAGTGTGGACAAGACTGGTGGTTCGTTAAACGAAGGCACCTCTTTACCCAACTTACAAGGTGGTAACTCCACCGGGAATAATCACCAAAGACAAAGAGGTAATAATAATCATTACCATAATGAAGGCAGGAAATATCGCGGCGGGCATAATCGAGGTAACAAGCAGACTTAAAAAGTCGGTAAATAAAATGATTTTCTAGTCGTTTAGTTTTCGAAGTACTTTTAAAAATAAAAAAAGTAATTTGTCGATGTCTACTTGTGGGGCATAGTACTTGATGTGATAACGCAAAAAACTATATTATTAATTATGTATTGTTCGAAATATGGGAAGTGGCCGAGAAAACTTTTCTCTCTCTTCTAGAAAGATCGTACTGATATACGTACCATACGAGTAATGAAAAAGCATTTAAAAAAGCATCTAGTACTTGTTAGTACATGTTTTTTCTTTATATAAATATATTATAAAGCGATGTGAAAGCACCATATACATATGCAGTGTTTCGAAGGAAGTATTATTGATATTATTATAATTATATATGGAGATATACTTTTTAGTAACCGCTCTCTATATGATATTTATATTATTTATTTGTTATATTTTGTAATATATTCTACACGTCTATTCGATTATATAAATGTATATTAATCTATTAATAAAGAACTTTATCTCCGAATTACTCCAAATAAAACACCTTTTATTAATGGAAATTAATGAATGATATATATCTCAAATTTAACCTAACTATTAATTTTAATATAAAGCTTGGCTGATTTTTAATAATTACGTTTTATTTTTAAGTTAAGTTCAATAAATTAAATAATGTTTAGCGCCATCTAGTATCCAAGCGTTACGTTACTTAATAATTTTCTATTTTACCCATTTTGAGATCAAATCTAATTGTAAACTCTAATTATTAAATTTGGTATTAAAGGTGAGAGATTAGAAGCTTTCATTTTTGATGTATTACTTGTAGCTTTAATAAATTTTAATTAATATTTATTTTATTGTGTACAAACTGCATAGAATTTGTTTGAACTCATCTTATATCTATCAATCTGTTGTTATCCAGTCTTATCAATATCTTATCAGTAATAAACAAAGTAAATAAGAACAATGTACCCGATAATTAATCTGAATTATTTCTTTTTAATTAGTTGCATTTAAACCTTGGTGCATTGTAGTTGATAAAACAGTTTTCTAAACCTCAAATGTCATCTATAATATCATCATTTTTAAGTTAATGAGAATTAATGAATGATGTATATCTCAAATTGAAGCTAACTATTAATTTTAATACAAACTTTAATACTCTGGGCGATTTTTTAATAATTGCCGTTTATTTTTCAAGTTAAAATCGAATAAATTAAATAATTTAGAGCGCCATCTAGAATCTAAGTGCAGCATTACTTAATAACTTTCTATTTTACTCATTTATGATCAGACCTAATTATAAACAATTATTAAATATCTTACTGGAGGTGAGTGACTTTAGCGAGATTACTTTGGTGAGTTTACTTTTATCTTTTGTAGAGTGATTTTAATGAATTTTAATTAATATTCATTTTAGCGAGTACAAACTGCATAGAATTTGTTCAAATTCCGTTATCTTATATCTTTAATCTTATCGATATCTTATCAGCAACAAACAAAGCAATTACAAACAAAGAATTCGAATATAATTAATCTAAATTATTTCTTTTTATTAGTTGCATTTAAACCTTGATGCATTCTGGTTGATAAAACAGTTCCCTAAATGTCAAATGTCATCTAGAAATACATCTGTGACTTGTCAGTTTTAAGCGTAAAAGATTTCATGGTTAAATTGTTAAACTTTAAGAATATAAGTGTATGGGCGCGTTTAAATTATTGAAAATCGTTCGCGGGTGGTGTAAGTGTGTTGCATTTCCGGTTTCGTTAATAATAAAAGAGAAACTGGAAACATAACCTTTCGTCACTTGCGACTGCGCGTTTTAACTGAACCGCCAACATGGAAAATATCAAATTCGCGTTGCATTCGCCCGTCGGCCGCTGCTTTGTGATTACGTCGGGATTAGTTGTTGATACCGCACGAAAATGCCACCGCAAAACGTAGAAAATTCCGATAAAAGTTACACGTTAAAAGAAATTAATAATAAAATGCCTTCGACGATACCATCGAACCGTTCCAGCGAACAACTGGTTAATTCAACCACCTCGGAGGAGCCTTCCGAAGAAAACGTGTACACCGATGTTACGTTAAGAGATATCAAATGTAGGGATTGGATTATTATGTTTATTTTGTGTTTCGTCAATCTTATTAATTATATGGATCGATTTACATTGGCAGGTTAGTACAATTTTTAATTTTTTTCCTCATACTAAGTTATATAACCATGTGCACTCTAAAATCGTACGAGATGAATGAAAGTTGCATTAAGTTTTTCAATTTTAAAGATAGACGGCTGTTTTTGGTGTTTAATGACAGATAAAGTGTCAAAAGTATTTGTTTAGCGATACTTATTGTGTAACTTTGGTTATCTTGAGTTTTATATCTTGTCAATAATATTCAATTTCATAAATTTTTTTATTTACTCATCTTTCTATAAATACTATTTTTACTACGATGGATGATCAATTCTAAATCCTTTTATGAATCACGATACAAATTAACATGCGTTTTATGCAAGTAAGGCAACCTTGCAAATCAAAATGAACTAAAAAAAAAAAAACAACAAAAAATTGATACGTCATTTTGACGTTTCTTTTTGTGATAATTGTCTAATTGTGATTTTTTTAAATTAATGAATCGTAATCAAAATGAAATAATTGGGTTAAAAGATATTAAATGTACCATATGGGTTCACGTGGTGATATTAATCTACATTAATTTGGTGAATTACATGGATCGCTTCGTTTTAGCAGGTAAGTTTTGAGAACTTTTTCAAATACAATTTTAAAGGTTCGTAAATAGTCTCGAGATTACCATCTCCCGGTTTAAAACACCACACAGTGAACCCCTTTATGATATTGTCCGGACCTGTTTAACAGGATTTTTGAATCTTAAATTCCCACCTTTGTGTCTTACTCGTTTGAGATGTTAAATATTTTTCTCTTAAATTCTATTAATTGTAGTTATTATCTTAAACGGGCTTAAACGGTGTTGTGGAAGTTTCCGTTTTAAAATGCAATAACTTATTTCACACTTCGATGCATTTTGAGTAATTTTGGGCAAGGTACCAAGAATTCGTTGCTTAATACATAACATTAAGTTACTTTTAAGTAACTTTTATCGTTATTAATCGACGTTGATGTTGATTTTTCGTTTATTCTTGGGGTTTTGACCTTAAAATGATAAATTCGTTTGTATCACCAAAACCGCAAGGAATACCCTTGTATTAGGTCGGAAATAGGTTGGTTTTGGTAGAGAATTCCGTGTTACGCAAGCAAAAGTGGAGTGATTTTTATTTTTGGATCGCTCACGAGACCGTAGCATTGAAATAAGCGGTATAGATGGTCGATAATGGGTTTAAAGTACTAAGGTGTAACTAAAACCCCACTAAATAACCTATAATTAAAAAAGAAAAATTTTTAGGTTATGTTGATGTCAATGTCGAATTTACCTTCTTAATTATTACCTAGTAATTATGAATCATTAAAAATCATAATAACGGTTTTAATCTCTTTTTATACCTTAAAAAAATCGTACAGAAAGGTAATTAAACTCCAATTTGAATCTTAAATTTAATTTTAAATAAAATTTGTTTAGGTTATGTTAATTTTAATTCTTGAGACATTTTTAAGCTAAAAAAAATGAGTTATTATTTTGATGGAAGTTAAATGAAATTTACTTGTTGAAATTAAATTCAAATTAATTATGATTAGTTTATGAAAAGAAATTGAGAAATTCATTGAAACAACTATAAATTCGTTGAAATTATTTTAAAACGTCAAATTTAGTTTCTAAATGATACCACCTTTTTTTTTTTATAATAATAACACAAAAAAGAATCATTTTTGCACTAAATATCAGTTTTATTTTGTTACTTAACTTGAGGTAATCATTAATTTAAAGACTTAAATTGTCCTTACTATTCAACGTTGATTTCTTTCGAATTGAACGTGCAAAACGTTTTGAATACGAAACGGAAATAGTTTGGTTTTTTTTTCGTACGAACTGTCGCACCTTTGCATAGTTTTACATTTTAGTTTCATTCACATTTTCACACAATGCAGAACGCAATGATGCATTTTTCAAATGTTTTAAAAGTAAGGTTAGGTTTGTCTTCCAAACGTCATATTTTTCTTTCAATTTTTGACGTTCTTGTGAATCATAAAATATTTTTGTTCGAAATATCGTGTTTTCGTGACGTAAAGGATTTTCTTCGCGTCATTATGACGAAAACCACCACGTCCTAGGTTTATGATACTCGAATTCATTCTAAAATCGCCTGATGTATAGCGTAACCAATAGCGGGAGACCGCGTGGCATCACATGACGTTTTCTCTCACCTGAGCCAGGTTAACAGCGCCCCCTCTTATCGCGTTCTAGGTATTATTGTGTTTGTGCTATATTTTTAAATTGTAATTGTTTACGAAACGCAACGTAACAGATAATATAATTGTGCGATGACACCAATAAATATTAATTTGGATTATTATTTTTTTATGTTGGTATACAATTTTATATCGGTAACGTTACTCCTGTCAAATTTGTATTTGACGTGTGGAATGACACATCACTTTGTTGTTAATTTTTTTTAAATAATTCTGGGAATAATTTAACAAAATGAGCGTATCTTATTGAGTTTTGGTTAAATTTCCATAATAATAAAACATCACGCCACTGATAAAGCGATTTATTAATTTTTTCCACGAAACAATGACACGTTTGATTTAGTATTAATTAAAAAAAAAGGATTAATTTTGTTTGTAGTATTGATTGTTCATCACTTTAAATTGCGATAAACACAATTATCTGCGACATTAAAACCTCCCAAGTGAAGCGATAAGAAGTGCTTAATTGAATCATTACAGCGAATCAAAGATCTAAATTGTTTGTTTTCAGTAAATAAACGCGTCTGGTCGAGACAAGTTGTTGTAATCGATTTATTTAGATTATTATAAAAGAAGTAAATATTTATAGAGACGATTCCGTTACGTTGCAAATGTAAACTTGGCAATGACCTGAAAGAGAAAAAGTCTTTCGAGCCGAGCAAAGGACACAATCATACGAGGTTTTTTATTAATATTTTCGGATGCATTATAAACAACGATTAACTTCAAGTTAATCGTTGTTTATAATGCATTTATTCGAAAATAATAATGTTAATTACGAAACGTCATTTTGACATTGATACTTTCAAATTTTTGATGTTTAAAAAATGTTTAAACATTTCGCTATTTGTTTATTTTAATTATTAAAATTAAATAAAAATTGGGCGATTAATCGGACGATTTCATTAATCGTTATTTATAATGTATTTATTATAACTGAATTCATGAGTTGAAATTATTTTAACACGTCAGATTTAGTTTTTAAATGATACCAACTTATTTTTTTTTCTTTATGAATTTAACATTATTAGTACAAAAACGTTATTTTGACATTTGCCATGACACTTTTTTCTTTACCGTGAATATCGGTAATTATATAAAATTGCTCAAATATCATTTATTGTTTTTCTAGGACGATTAAATCAATTAAAAGGTGAATTTTAATTTGAATAATTCTTGTTTGTGTCGTTATTAGAAATACCCAGGTGTGAGTTAACCAACAAATCCCATCTGTTGGATAAATCGTTGAAGCGCACACCTGGTATGCTCTCTGTTAATAGGACGAAGCACTTTCGTGTTTTTAATGTAATACGTGGAATTTATAGAATGATTTAAATTGGTTTTCATCATTTTCCAACCCCTCAACGTTAACAGGCAATTTCCTCGCCCGCTGTTAATAAATATTTCGTTCCCTTTCCATTTCCCATCGCCCCTAAGATAATATTATTGCAGACAGCTACCGCGAAATGCAATTTACACCCCACTAAGTAAGCAGATGGAGTTCCCACAGGCAACCCCATTTAAAAGGGTTCGATAAATACAAAAAATTTCGACGAAATATGCACGAAAAAAGGTCAGCAACATTAAAAGCCGTTTATATTTAACTCGATTAAGGCCCACTTTTACCACCTCCTGATAAATTTATCCGATAGATAAATCCAGTTCTTAGCCAATGAGAGCGCTTAAAACCGCCGTAACCATGGCAACTATCCTCTAGATAGTTTATCAGGAGGATGGTAAAAGTGTGCCTTAGTTAAATTGATGACAAAGAAAAGGATTACCGAGTCTTAAATTAAAGAATACTTTGTGGGTGGAAATAGTTAAGTATTACAACGGGGATAAATAAGGCTTCGTTTAAGACGTTTATTTCGAGGATTAATCGCTTCTAAAAATAATAAAAAGCCAAAATTAGTTTCTACAACATAAAACGTAATTTTGACATTTGACATGACGTTTATTTCGCAGTGTCACATTGACGTTTATTGTATTTTCATTTAAATTGTTTTATTGAACAAACTTTAAATCTGTTACATGATATGCGTGCCATGGCAAATACGCACGTGCTAAATGCGTAATTATCTTTGAAAGTTTCTAGTCAAACAAGTTAAACTACACGACTATTCAATTTATTTTAACAAAACAACTTGATTGTAAGAAAATAAATCAAAAAAGGACTCTCCCATGAACGAATCTTATTCATTTGATTCAACTCATTCATCTTATTCATTCTAACGAAAACTCAATGAATGTTTTATTTTCAACATCCGGGTTTCAATTAGAACATCTTTATTTATTTATTTTTACTTTTGGTTGTTTGGATGCGATGAATTAATGCAAATCCACCCAATTACTGTTAAAAGCGCCTTATATAGTGGGTTTTACTGGTTCTCCTACGCTAAAACGTTTCTAAACGTTATTTTAAAGATTACAATCAATTGATTTTGGTGCATTCTTCGTTGACCTGGAGAAAAGGTTCACTTGAATATTTATAGGAGGTCGAGAACCTACTTTTGTGTCTGCGCGCTCATCTCATCCATATTTAAATCGGAAAATTATCATCGAAATTGGTTCCTCTCCAAGCAAAAAGAGTAAATCTTTTTTTTTTGGTACAAAAATAGGGTTTGAAACTCACTAACGAAGCATTTGGAATTCCCTCTTTGTCGTAGTACCTAAAAATAATAACACAAATAAAGTTAATTAATTTTAACCTTGAAAAAAATTACCAGTCATTCCGATTGTTTCGAAAATACTTGATAAATTTGAAATTGAGTTAACAAGTATTTCACAAAGAATTCCTTTTCCATTAACGTTACAGTTTTAAATTGCAATTCATTTCCAACATCATAGGGGTTCCGATAAATACTTTATAATTAATGATCGTAATTGTTTGTTAATACCCGGACGTTTCAACAAAACCGTTCAATTCAGGACATTTTAATAAGCATTCTCTCTTTTAGAGTGGTCGAATTGTACGCATCCGGGTTTGAAGTGCTCTACATAATCCTTACAATAAAAAAATTGTCTCGCTAAATGCATTACTTGTTAACACCTCCCACGACAATCACAATTTTTCTTATTTCAATTAATCAAACTCAATATGGATAAAGATGTAACCTAAAACATAAAAGATTGTTCTAAATTGATTTATTACAAATTCTTACTCATGAAGAAATTATTATTAAAAATGTTCATCGATTTCTTAACCTATTTTTTTAGCTGTCATCTTGAATGACAACAAAAAAAAAATAATGTGTAGCTAACTATTTATTTTTAATTTGTTACTTAAATTCATTTTATTTTAAACAAATTGATTTAAAAAAAACTTATTTTTGTTATAAATAATTAAGTTAATAAAAGATTTTTATAAATAAATTAATTATTCATTAATTTTGTAACCAACTTTAGTTACGATTTCAAGTTACAATTAAAAATCGATAGATGGCGATTATAATGTCATTTTTTTATAAATTATTTATTAATAAATAAACAATAAAGGTAATTTATCACTTGTAAAACACAAGGTATTGCACAAATAGTGGAAGGGTCATTAAAATATATGACTCACAACGAACGAGTATTCTAAAAATAAACTGCAGACGATCTTTTTCTTTCCAACGTGAGTGTATGTCTGAAACGTTGTGTACACTCACCCCTTGTTGATGTTTACAAAACATTCTTTATTGAAGGATCCTTCTAAAACACTTCACCTTTTTTGTGTTTAAAAAGCCCCTTTAGTTTTACTTTCACCTTGAAATTTCAACCCAAAAATAATGTATTATTATATATTAAAATTGTTTTAGGTATCTTGGAAGATATTAAAGAATACTTTGAAATAAGAGATGATTACGCCGGGTTACTACAAACCAGTTTTATTCTTAGCTACATGTTTTTCGCACCGCTTTTTGGCTTTTTGGGCGATAGATATAGCCGGAAATGGATTATGGCATTCGGTGTGGCGATGTGGAGTATAACAACGCTTTTAGGATCGTTTATGACCGTAAGTTGCATTTAAATTTGAGTTTTATGGTTATTAAAACGACTGTTTTAGGATTTCGTGTGGTTTATTGTATTTAGAGCTTTAGTTGGAATCGGCGAAGCAAGTTATTCAACAATAGCACCGACGATAATAAGTGATCTCTTCGTTAAAGATGTTAGATCGAAAATGTTAGCCTTTTTCTATTTTGCTATACCCGTAGGAAGGTAAATTCACCTTTTTGTTTAAATTTAACAATTATTCTTATTATATTTATTATTTTTTAGTGGTTTGGGTTATATAATCGGTGCTCAAACGGCGCATCTAATGGGTTCTTGGCAATGGTCGTTACGGGTAACGCCAGCTCTAGGTTTATTAGCAGTATTATTAATAGTATTTGTGATAAAAGATCCGGTTAGGGGTCAAAGCGAGAATAGCGACATGGTGGTGACACCATGGAAAGAAGATTTACAAGAACTTTGTAAAAAGTAAGTTATAATTTAATCATTTAATCGATAACTTAATCATTAAATTATTTAGTAAAAGCTTTATGCTTTCAACTGCGGGTTTTACCTGCGTTGCTTTCGTCGCTGGTGCCTTAGCTTGGTGGGGACCAAATATTATTTACCTTGGGATTCGTTTACAACCAGGAATGATTGATGTTAAAGAATCAGAGTAAGTTTTTTTTTTATTATAACTCAATTGAATTTATGTTAAAAAATGGACCGATAAAGTACGTCAAAGTATTTTGATGTTATTAAATTATTTTTATAAAAAATAGCGTTGCTTTTACGTTCGGTGTGATATCGATGATTTCGGGCCTGATGGGGGTCCCTTGCGGAAGTTTCTTGGCCCAACGACTCCGCAGCAAATACGAGCGAGTTGATCCGTATGTGTGCGCATTCGGTTTGATGGTATCGGCACCATTAATTTATCTCGCCCTCATCGTTGTTTCCAAAAGCACCGTGGCCTGTTATATTCTCGTCTTCTTCGGCGAATTCTTCCTGAACATGAACTGGTCCATTGTAACCGATATTATGTTGGTAAGGAAGGGGTTAAGTTCAGGTTGATTTATTTTATAATCACCGGTTATTTGATTTAATTAATTAAATATTCGTTGTAAATGATGTAAATTTGGTGATTATAAAACGAAATCGACGATGGTTTAAATTTTGTTTCAGTTTGGCGTTTATATTCGGAGTGATAACGATGTTAGCTGGGATCGTGGGTCTCTCGTTGGGTTGTGTTTGCAGCAATGTGCTGATGGCGCGTTACGGTCGCTCTGATCCGCTGATTTGCGCGTTCGGATTGTTTCTTTCCGCGCCACTTATTGTGGCCGGTAGTTATGCAACCACTTGGAATTCACCCACAACTTACGTTCTAATCTTTTTGGGACAGGTTATGCTCAATTTAAACTGGGCAATCGTGTGTGATATTTTGCTGGTAAGAAATTAAAAAAAGTTTATTAAAAATTGACTCAAAAAGAGGAGATTTTATTTTCTTTCGAGTGTCTGCCGAGCTTTTTTTTGATTTATTAAATTAGTTAGTAATTTAGCATGCACTTTAGTTGTTTATTGCTTTATAGAATGAATGTGAGCTTTTCTTTGCTTTATTAAAAACCATTTCATCATTTTTATTTAAATTAATTCTGAGTCTAGTTTCAGTTTGATAAATCATTAACAAGCATTTCAATCGACTCATAAATCAATAAAATGCATGTTATTACCAACATTCTTAAAGAGTTAAGTGCTAATATTAATTCCTAATCATGTTATGACACTCAAATCAACGTCATCTTATTTTTATGTTTTATCCTTGAATAAATAAAATTTTGCACAACCTTTTGCCCAGCTCGCAAATTGAGATCAAAACTGAAACCTCAAAAGATTATTTTAAACGACAAACTGAAACATGGGTCAGCTAAAAACCAATAGATTAGAATTAGTTATTTCAATTTCATTAATAAGATATTTTTTTAGTATGTTGTTTTACCTACGAGGAGAGCAACAGCTGCAGGCTTCCAACTCCTCGTTTCTCATGCATTGGGCGATGCGGGGAGCCCATATCTTATAGGAGTTGTAAGTTATTTATTCCTTATTTCCAGAAATATGGCAACCAAAACGTAACCTAAAAATTACGAATAAATCAAAAAAATAATTATTTAATTAATAATTTTACCATTTCAGTTAATAAATTAATCATTTTTAGTTTGAAATAATTTGAGGTTAAGTCACTTTTAAAATGATTGACAACATTGTAATAATTAAATGACTATTTTAGCTTATTTAATTTTAATTTATAATTTATTGATTAAAACGCGTTTTATTAACATTTTTTAAAGAATAAAGTTTATAAAGCAAATTATAAAGAAATTAATTATTAAAAATTTCGATTTATTATTTAGTAAAATAATAATTTTAGGTTGGTATTTATTTATGTCGCTCTCAATTTGACATCTAATTTTTAAAATTTCTTTTAATTTAAGTCTTTTTAGATCTAAAACCAACTTAATGTTAAGTTGGAAAAAACGTGTTTATTAAAAGAATTAGTTAATTAATTAATAATTTTCCCATTTGATTTATTAAATAAGAAATATTTCTTTAATTGAGGTTATGTTTTAGTTATGTCACTTTGACATCTAATCTTTATTATTTTAATTTATTACCTTTTTAGATATCTGAGGCATTGAAAATAGCATTAAGCGGTTGGGGAAAATCAGCGATTCAACCATTCGATGAAGTGATTGAAACTACAACAGCTTTATCAGTTACAACACCAGAACCTCCGGATTACGACAAGATGTGGATACAATTTAGAGCATTGCAATATTCTATTTTTACGACGTGTTTCGTGGAAGTTTTGGGCGGATTTTTCTTCCTTGCGACCGCTATTTTCATTGTTAAGGATCGGAAAAAAATCGATGATACGATTAAAGGTAAAATGTTTGATATGTCAAAGTTAATTGTTAACCAATGATGAATAATTGATTTTTGTGCTTTTCTTTAACGTTTTAGTTAATTTTTATGTCTCCGATTGAGTGTAATAAAACTTTGTTCCGAAGCTTAAATTAACCATATCCGCTTAAAAATATATAAACTTTTTTTTAATCCTTTTAATTTAGATACTCTATCAAAAAAGCAAGTCGAAGAATTCCCACCGGAAGCTGTAGTCTCTCGGTACACCAGAAATGGATTTGAATAAGCTCTCCCGTAGTTTGTACGTTTTTTCTTTCTCAGACATTATTCACGAAGGTGTTGGACACAAACTCTATTTATATTAACACAACAAGAATGAACTATTTGTTTAGATTTGTCTGTTGTTTAAAAACGAAATTAACCTTTTAAATGTGGGTGGATTGTCTCGAATTAGTTATTAAATTACTTAATTCCCTTCTTTTTAACTTACTAATTTTGGTTTGTTTAATTTTAGGCACACGAACGGATCCGGAACGACGCAGTTTAATGCCTTGATGTGTCAACGAAAATTGAACTGGTTTATTTAAGAAAAATTATTGAGAAATCAAGTTGAGGAAGTCAATTAAATATATAAAAATTTTAAATTATATTAAATCTTAAAGTTTATTTGTATTCCGTGAATACAAGGAAATGAGATTAAGCTGAAATCGACATATCGGCACCGATTTCGAAGAAAACTGAGTTGAGCTTCCGGATGGTTTTGTTTGTTTGGTTTTTTAGAGTGTTAATTAAGGAGAGATGTCTTAAAAATAATCCCATTATTTATTCCTGGTCTTTTATTGTATTAATTTAAGACTGAAACCTGTACATAATTAATGAAATCGTATATTTGATGAGGAATCATTTTTGAAATCGTTTTATATCTATTTTTCTTTTTAAATAAAATAAAAGTTTAAAGATTAAAGAGGTTTTATTTATTGTTTTAAAAATATATTTATTAGTTGTTGAACTAGTTCTAACCAAAGAATGAAGTACACAAACATTTACTAAAAAAAAAACCTTTTATTATTGTTGCTAAATAATTAATAACTTTTTAATTAAATAAATTTATGGGTTATGTCACTTTTAAAATCCCCTAAAGTGACTACTTTTTAATAATTAAATTACTATTTCAAAGTATTTGAAATTTTTTTATTTATTAATAAAAATGTGTTTTAATAAATTAGTAATTTAAATAAAATGAATGTTTAAAGTATAAAGTTTTTATTTATTCATTTAAAGATATATTTTATATAATAGTCAAAAAAAGTAATAGTAGTAGTTCATTTTTACTCATTAAATCAAAAAATGAAACACAAACACTTACTACATAAGAAAAAAAGTTTTAAACAACACAAATCTAACAAATATCACAAAAAAAAACATAAACTGGGGTCACATCAATACCTAGTATTCTTATCATTAAATCAGTATACTCATCACATTTCTCACCCCACAATATAAATACTTATAAACAACAGTCATTTAATCAACTGAAGTTTCGATAACTTCTTTAGAAAGTTTGATTCGCTTTGATTGTTGCTCGTAATCCTCCAAATCAGATTCGGATTGTACACATGCCGTTTGGTAATTATTATACATCAAATTGTTAATTTTCCTTATTAACTTTTTGTCGTCTTGAAACCACGGGTGATCAACAACTTCGTCAATGCTAAATCGTTTCGTCGCGTCGCAAACCAACATATTTTTAATTAAATTCTTCCCGTTATCCGAAATTTCGCCCCACAATGAATCCGCCATTGCGAATTTCCCAGCTAAAATCATTTTTGCTAAAGCCTGGTTCTTGGCGGCGGACTTAGGTGCTCTAAACGGTAATTCTTGCGATAACATGTAATACAAAATAACCCCTAAACTCCAAACGTCAACTTTTTTCCCGTAAGCTGTTACGGAAGGATTAAATATTTCCGGCGCGCTAAAATAAGGAGTTCCACATTTCGTTTTCATAAACGATTGATCCAACATCATTTTACTTAATCCAAAGTCGGAAATTTTTATCATATTATCGTCTTTATCACTTTCTTTTTTAAGTAAAATATTTTCTGGCTTTAAATCTCGGTGGATTATATTAATACTGTGGAGGTGTTGAACGGCAACAACAATTTGGTAAAAAAGGTACTTAACTTGAGATTCTGACAATCGCTGTGGTGAAATTAGATAAGTTAATTCCCCACCTTCCATATAATCCATTATTATAAAGTATCCACTTGATGTTTCTTCGATTTCTTTCAGAGAAATAAGAAAGGGCTAAAACAAATTAAATTAGTACGTTTAAAATCGATAAATTTTAGATCTCACATGATTCAGCTGCTTTAAAATATTAATTTCTTTCTGGATGTTTTCTGGTCGATTCAATGTTTTGTTACGATTTGATGTATTTTTTAGAATACGTTTGCACGCGTACGGTTGACAAGTGTACTAAATTAAAATTTAAATTAAAATTATTTAAAAAGCTTTTATCAATTTGGTAAGAAATTATAGGAGATGTGGATTTCCTTGACTTTGAAGTTGTTATTTAATAACATATTAAAAACTTACTTTTTCAAACACTAAACGAACGACTCCACAAGCTCCTTGCCCCAAAACATGCGAAACTTCATATTTTTCTTTTAACCCTTCCGGTAAATAATCTTCATTTAAACTTAGCAACGAAATAAACTTGTAAACTAAAATTTAATTATTATAATAAGAATTTAAAAATGTAATTAATAAACTAACTTGTAAGTTTCCTACTATAAATTGCAATGCGGTCCCCGCTTTGTAATATGCATTGTCTGTCTTTGCCTATTAATCTTCCGTTTAAAAATGTCCCATTTCGACTTTTATCGTGGATACGGATTGTTCTATCGGAACACATTTCTATGTGGAAATGTTCTTTGCTTATACTCCCGAGAGAAACGGAGGGAGGAAATGTATTTTGAGATAAAACGACGTTGCAAGTATTCGGGTTACGGCCCAAAGTAAATGTTGGCTTCTCTAAATCTGTATTAAATTGTAACATTTGTGATTTATTAGTTTATTAATCTTACCGAAATTAGAAATTGTCCTAATCGTGGAAAGTAATCGCCCCCAATAATTCGGAGGCGACTGAAAAAGATTTGTTGTTGTTGGTGTTAACTCAGGGATTCCTGGGCTTAAAGTTTCGGGTAAAGGACAGGACATGATTAAACGATTTTTATTAAACTAATTAAACACTAACAGGTAAACAAGGAAATAGGAATAAGATACATTTCACGAGTAACGAACGAATAACCACAAAAACGTGCTCGTTTTAAAGCTATTGGTCGGCAGCTTCTTCGCCTTCCGAACTAATATCACGTGGTGTTGCAGCTGCGTATTAAAAATTCGTCTTTATTTCTTATCTCTTTTCTTCTCCAAACAAACCCACACAAAAGAATCGAAAAAAAATCCTTGTAAAACTTAGAGAGCAGGTAAAGAAAAATTTTATGGTTAAATACCGAAAAAAGGGACACAGGTAACAAAATTTATTTAAATTTTAAATCTAATTTATTTAGAAATTTCAAATAAATCTAATAAATACATTTACAAATACAAATTAAAAATTATAAATTTTGAAATGTCAAATTGACGTTTACTGTCACATTGAGGTTTAATATGACACTTAACGTCAATTAAAAATTAAATTAATAAACATATTTTTGTATGGAAAATTGGGAATTTACACAATATCCAATTTTAAAATAACGATAACGAACTGACCCTTTTCATTTTCTTATCGTATCTTATTGCATAAAACGGTGGGTTTATAAACAGCTGATTGGACAACACTGAACTTTTCAAACCTCATCAAATTCCCATTGGTTCAACACACGTGTTTACTTCTTTAAGTTAACCTTTTAAGATTATTGCACAAAATCTTTAAACACTTCATTTAAAACCAGTTAAAAACAACATTCCGCTCAATAATAACGTTTAATCGATTTCGTTCGCTTCAAATAAAGTTTATTAAGTAAGATTGGTTAGATTTTAATTTTAACTTAATAATTTTTTCTTAATTATTCTTTAAGGAGATGAGTTCAAACGTTTTAATTATCGGATCTGGAGGAAGAGAGCACGCAATTACCTGGAAATTATCTCAAAGTAATCACTTAAAAAACATTTTTGTTGCCCCCGGAAGTTTCGCAATTGGAAATGAACCCAAAGTTAAAATTATTAACATTGATATCAAGAATTTTGAGGTAAATTTCATAAAATTTAATACATAACCTTTAAATTATAAATAAACGTCACTTTGACAGCATATGTCATTTTTGACATTTAATTAATTTAATTTTAGTTAATTTCAAATTGGTGTGTTACAAACGATATAAATCTCGTGATAATCGGCCCGGAAGATCCTCTCGCAAATGGAATAGCCGATACCCTAACGTTAAAAGGAATTAAAGTTTTTGGTCCAAAAAAAGATGGTGCTCGAATCGAATCAGATAAAAATTGGGCGAAATCCTTTTTTGATCGTTACAATATTCCAACGGCTCGTTGGAAATCGTTCGAAAACGCGGATGAAGCTAAAAATTATATTAATACGAGTAGTTTTCCGGCTTTGGTTGTTAAAGCTTCAGGATTAGCCGCCGGAAAAGGTGTGATAGTTGCTTCCGATAAAAAAGAAGCTTGCGAAGCTGTTGATGAAATTTTAACGTCTCAAAAATTTGGAAAAGCCGGTCAAACTATCGTCGTTGAAGAATTACTCGAAGGTGAAGAAATTTCCGTTTTAGCTTTTTCCGATGGGAAATGTGTCAAAGCGATGCTCCCCGCTCAAGATCATAAACGAATTTTCGACGGGGATAAAGGCCCAAACACTGGGGGAATGGGTGCTTATTGCCCTTGCCCTTTATTAAGCGATGATGATTTAAAAATAGTCGAAGAAATAGTTTTGAAACGAACATTAATGGGATTTAAGCAAGAAAAAATCGATTATAAAGGTGTTTTATACGCCGGATTAATGTTAACTAGGGATGGGCCAAAAGTCCTCGAATATAACTGTCGATTTGGCGACCCCGAAACAGAAGTAATCTTACCATTATTAGATACTGATTTATTCGAAATCATGATGAGTTGTTGCAACGAAAGTTTAAGTACCCAAAAAATTAATTGGAAACAAAATTTAACTGCAGTCGGTGTTGTAATGGCTTCAAGAGGTTATCCCGAAACTTCAAGTAAAGGTCAAATAATAAAAAATGTTGATAAAGTCACATCGAAACCAGAAAATGTTGTTTTTCATTGCGGCACCACTTTAAACAATGGAAATTTAGTTACTAACGGAGGAAGAGTTTTAATTTGCGTCACATTAACCCCAAGCCTACAATTATCATCGATTAAAGCTTTAAAATGTTGTAAAATGATTCAATTCGATGGTGCGCAATATAGAAGTGATATCGCTCATAAAGGAATTGCTAGATCAATTCTTGAGCGTGGTAAAATGACTTATAAAGAAAGCGGGGTTGATATCACGGCTGGAAATGATTTAATTACCCATATAAAACCAAGTGCAAAATCCACCGATCGTGTTGGAGTTATGGGGGGATTAGGGGGATTCGGCGGATTGTTCGATTTGAAAGCTTCGGGTTATAACGATCCCATTTTAGTTTCTGGAACCGATGGAGTCGGAACAAAATTAAAAGCACGTTATTGTAATTTAATTAATTAATCAAAAATTAAATTAATATTTTTAGATTGCACAAGAAATCGGCATCCATAACACAATCGGAATTGATTTAGTTGCAATGTGTGTTAACGATATTCTCGCAAACGGAGCTGAACCATTATTTTTCTTGGATTATTTCGCCTGCGGCGTTTTAGACGTTAAAGTGGCTAAAGAAGTTATTTCTGGGATCGCCGATGGGTGTAAATTAGCTGGATGCTCGCTTTTAGGTACAATTTTAAAATTAATTTTAATACGTAACCTCGATAAGTCATTGTCAATTTGACAGACGTTATTGGCGCCATCTGTTATCAATAATCATAAGTTAATATTATTTAAAATTAATTGTTTTAAATTAATTTTTTAGGAGGTGAAACTGCCGAAATGCCCGATATGTACCCACCGGGTGAATATGATTTAGCAGGATTCGCTGTTGGGGCCGTTGAAAAGACAAATTTTTTGCCGAAAATGAACGAAATCCAACCGGGTGATTTAGTTATCGGATTACCATCAAGTGGAGTACACAGTAACGGTTTTAGCCTTGTTAGGAAAGTGATGAAAATAGCCAACGTTAATTACAAAGATATCGCCCCATTCAGTTCAAACAAAAAAAGTTTCGGTGAAGAGCTTTTAACCCCCACAAAAATCTATGTAAAAGGATTAATAAAAGCGGCATCTTCCGGAAAATTAAAGGCATTCGCTCACATAACAGGGGGTGGGCTCTTAGAAAACATTCCAAGGGTGCTCCCAAAACAACTGGGTGTTACGTTAGATGCTAAAAATTGGAAAATTCCCGAAGTTTTTACTTGGTTAGCAACATTAGGAGGAATAAACGAATTCGAATTGTTAAGAACTTTTAATTGCGGAATTGGTGGAGTTGTAATAATCGATAAAACACACAAAAACGAAATTTTAAACCTCTTATCGGAATACGATCCTACGATAATCGGTCAAATTCGAAATAAAGAGAACAAACCACAAGTTTTCGTCGAAAATTTTACTCAAACGATGGAAATAAACATGAGAAAATACATTCCACAAACAATAAATCAAATTGGGACTAAAAAGAAAGTTGGTGTTTTAATATCGGGAAGTGGGACCAATTTGCAAGCTTTAATTGACGCGACTTTCGATGATTCAATGCACGTGGGGGCTGAAATCGTTTTAGTTATATCAAATAAACCGGATGTTGAGGGATTAAAACGCGCTGAGAGAGCTAATATTCCAATAAAAGTGAGTTTAACATAACCTCAAAAAAAAAGAAAATTAACAAAATCATTTTAGGTCCTAAAACATGTTGATTACCCAACTAGGGAATTATTCGATGAAGCAATGCACAAAGAACTCGTTAAAAACGATGTTGAAATTGTCTGTTTAGCTGGATTTATGCGAATTTTAAGCGGATGGTTCACAAAGCAGTGGCGGGGAAAACTGATTAATGTTCACCCCGCTTTATTACCATCATTTAAAGGGATTCATGCCCAAAGACAAGCTTTAGAAGCGGGAGTTTGCGTCACGGGATGCTCAGTTCATTTCGTTGATGTACTTTTAAAATTTAAAATTTTTATTTGAATTAAATTATTTTTGTTTTAGGAAAATGTTGATACGGGTGCAATAATAACTCAAGAAGCCGTTCCGATACAAATAAATGATACTGAAGAAATATTAACGGAAAGAATTAAAAAAGCTGAACATAAAGCTTTTCCGAGAGCACTAAAACTTTTAGCTGCAGAAAAAGTGAGGTTAGGTAACGATAATAAAGTAATTTGGATTTAATTTTTATATTAAAATAAAGTTAGAAATAAAAATTTATTATTTTTATTATTATATAATTACTTTTACTGTTGAATAAGAGATATCACTCAAAATGTTTAATTTCATTATTTTAAATCGTTCATAACTTTCCTTAACATTTGGTTACATAACGCAGCGTATGGATTCAATTCAACCAACTAAAACAATTTTTTTAATTAAAAATGCAATTTAAATCGATTAATTTTTACTTGAGATTTCGCAAATTGACTTCCAAGTTTGCTGGCTTCATCAAAATCGTCCCTTGCCGAATCGTTTTGTTCCCTTTTCCTATACAATAACCCCCTTTGGCACAAAGACTGACAAAGCGTTCTTTTTTGGTTATTTCGAGCCAATTCAATCGCTTTCGTCAAATCAAGAAAAGCCTCTAAAAATGAATTAAGATTTAAAAAATAAAAATCGTTTTGATAATTACCGTTTTCCATGAATTTAAGTTGATAAATTTGGGCGCGATTGTTGTATAAGGAAGCTTTTTGTGGTGCAATATTTAAAGCTTCGTTAAGAATATTCAAAGCGTTCTCTAAATCGCCTTTTTCGGCGCGATTAATTGCCTCGATTTCTAATTCTTTCGCGTTAAGAATTTCTTCGGTTTCTTCTTCAACGTCTTGAATCGTAGAGTTTAATTCTTCATCGTACGCTTCGGTTAATGGTAAACTTGGGTTGAAAATGCAGTTTAAAACTGCTTTATCGTGGTGACTTAAATCAACCATTTTGAAGGATTAAAGTTTCTTAATCAGTTGGTGGAGGTTAAAAGAATGTGTTTTTATGCTTTCTTATATTCCTGTTATGTAAATTGTTGCTAGGTGTCTCTTTAAGTGGATATTTTGCATATTGAGTTGAAAAACAGGTTTTTTTAATGATAAAATTTTTATTGAGTTATCTCATTTATTTATAGCATTTCTTTTAAATACATTTATAAATGCGTTTTCTATACATTTCCTATTTCCCAAAAACCGTGTTCGATTCATATTTATATTAATAATAACTAATAACATTATTTTACATATTTTTTGTCGAAATATTAAGTTGGTAATATTTGACGTTTTAAAAATTTGACATGTCATTAATTTAAAAAGATCCTTTTTAAGGAATTTTGATAAATCGAACACGATTTGGACGAATTTCCAGTTAAATAACTTCCAACAAATTAAAAAAATATATGTATCGCTTTAAAGAATTACTCTTTCATAATAAAAGTCCGTAAAGACCCAAAAAAATGAGATTATAGAAGTAGGAGTAAAAACGAAAAGTTTCTTTTATATAAATCGTATAAATCCCTTCATTTCTAAACAACTAAACATTTTTCCTAAAGAAAAATAAGGTAAGTCTAAATATTCATTATCACCAACAACTATTCATTAATTAATTATATTTTATGGATAAAACGTTAACAAGTTATTTACACCGATCTCTGTTTATTGAGACTTCACTCCCATCTTTTTAAATAGAAATAACGGTAATTTTTTCTATAAATTAGTATATAAAAACATAATTTGATGTAAACGTCAAAAACATAACCCAAAATTCGTGTTTAATCTGTCAAAGTGATATGGGGTAAAATAAAAGTAACTAGATTTAAAGAAAATTTACCGATTTTTCTTTAAATTTGTGATAAAAATAATAAACTGCACCTATTAACATTATCTATGCTTTGTAAATTTTCCTAAATACCATCAACAAATAATAAACCACAAAAAAAATACAATGATTCGAATTATCTTTAATTATTATTTTGATGTTTTATGTGCGATACCAAAAGATTTCGTTTCCCTTCATCTTTTATGATTCATCCAAATCCTCTTGATCAACCATTTCAAAATCCTTACCTGTGCTCGATCGTTGACTCGATTCACTTTCGCTCTCAGAACCTCCCCCGGTTATAACCTCAACTTGACTCCCCCCATTATCAGGTTGACTAAAACAAAAATCATAAATTCCTTTTTAATTTAATCCAAAAAATAAATACTTTTCATCATCTCCATTTGATTTATTAACTTTTCGTTGTCTCAACAAATTCTCATCACTTTTAATGTCTTCTTCATTATCTTTCCGATCGATTTCATCTTCTCCATCAGATTCTTTATCTTTCTTCTTTTTTTTTGATTTTTTAATTTCATTTTTTCCTTTATATTCATACTTAAATCAAAAACGAATTTAATTAATTTGATTTATTTTTTTATTTTAATTTACTAACGTGATAAAGGGGCCAAAACGAAGCGAAGAATCCCACGTCTTCGGTTAAATTTGGAAGAATCCATATGTGATGTTTTCCAATAGTGAATATCCAAACGAGGCAAAAAATTATTAATCGTAGAACAACTAAGAGTATAATAAAAACCAAAAAACCCGCCGCGGCTATGCTTAAATAATAAACCCCCAATCGAACTGATGGAGGCCATAACGGGAACAAACAAATTCCGATTGCCCCCAAAACTAACAATGTACCACATATCCAATAATAAAAAGGAATTGGTTCATAAATCCAAACATAAGCGTCCAATCCATCAACGAATCTTTGATCGTTATGCATTTCTAAACGCACTTTACGTTTACGTTTTGATTTCTCCGTAATTTCCGCGTTTCCCTCAACCACACTACTTTCAGCATCCGTTCCTTTTTCGCCCTTTTCCTTTTTCTTCTCATCCCCACTCTCAACTTTTTTATCTTTCTTTTTAGACTTTAATTCTTGTTCCGAAACCGGCACTTTTCTAGCGCGATGATAAAATCTATGTTCCAACAATAATTGAAGAAAATTAACAACATCGTTCCTAGTTTCGAATAAAGCATCGGTTCCTTGCGCGAATTTCGACTCTAAAAGCCCATCGATAGCTCTGTATCCTAAAAAAATTGTTTATTCAAAAAATTTTTGAGGTTATGTTTTTCTAACCTGTAAAATATTCGACATTGTGATTTAAAAATTTCGTTTTCTTTATGGGAACGTTTTTTCGAAGCCATTTAGCGACTTTATATTCGTCTTTAGACGGTTTTGGGTCGTTTTCGTCTCCATGAGGTCCAAAATCCTAAAAATAATTTAATTAAAATAAGAATTAGTAATTGTTATTCATAGGTGGCGCTGTTCATCAAAACAAGTTAAATGTCAAAGTGATTTTTACCGAAATAAAACGAGGTTTATTTGGAATATCCCGTTAAATAAGGTAATGTATCTTAAATTTATCGTTAAAACACGATTTCGATTGTAATTAATCATTGTTTTATGCCGAAATAAAACGATTAGGTTGTTGACGTTTCTTGACATTGAATTACATCGGTAATTACGTCCATAACTAATTAAAATAGAAATAGTAACATTATAACATATTAGGTACAATTTTGACAAATATCTCTCTTTTAAGATATTTTTGTAAACGTCAGCTAAAATTCATCGTAACATATTTCATATGTCGGATCATTTCAACGTGATATAAACAAATTTATTTGTTGATACGCGGGTAAGTACATTTTTAGAGCCCTTTTCAAATAGATTTTAAGAATATATATTTTAGGTTTTTGTAATACTCACGTCTTTTCGTTTCTTGCCTTTACGCTTTTCCGCCATGTTGACAGTTGACAATTATGTGACGTCATGATGACCAACCTTATATTTTATTATTTTTATAGGTTTTTTAACTAAAAAAATCATTAAATTATAATTTATTTAATATTCATATCAATAATAAATTAATAACAAGAAATGTATTAAACGATTTATTATTAAACTAATTATGGGACGCCATCTATTGACTTAATTCTCAACACAACTGTCAAATATTAAGTTTTAAATGATTTCTTTTTTAGGTTAAATGGCTCTTTATGTTTTAAATAAAATTCCTACCATAAAAATGTGCAAACACCTTTGTTGTAAAGGATATTATTCAACAAAACCTTTATTAACGCAATTAGATTACAAAGTACGTTTTTTTTTTTAAATTTGGTTTACTTAAATTTGTGTAGAAATGTTATCAAGTTTTAGAAATACCCGAAGACAGCGACCAAGAGCATATTCGACAAGCCTATATAACGTTGGTGAAAAAGTACCACCCAGATAGAGGTGAAGGAAACGATGATAAATTCAAAGAAATCGATGTAGCGTTTAAGACTTTAATGGATAAAAAATCGAAAGAACGATGGGATGTTGAAATCGATGAGTCCCCCGATGCTCAAGAATACGATATTAAGCACACAGCGCCTCAACATAGACAATTTTTAAGTTACGAAGGTATCGGAACTGGCACCGTTTTTCAACGGGAGAAGCAATACTCGAAATTAAAAGCGATGCAAGCAGCCGTTAACGTTCTTTCGCATCGTATGCAAAAAGCGGCTGCGGAAGAAAAAGCTTTGATGCAAAAATCATCGTTGAAACACAAAATTAAAACTAAATATGGCTACGAGAGGTTGGTCGAAGATCTGATACAAGAAGCGATATCAAAAGGGCAATTTAGTAACTTATCTGGAAGTGGAAAACCGCTAAAAAACATTCACGATAAAAATCCTTACGTCGATTTTGTTACTCATAAAATAAACGAGATTTTAATCGAAAATGGATTCACCCCCGAGTGGATTACCTTGCAAAAAGAGATCCGACAAGATATGGGGGTCCTCAAAGATAGTTTATTGATGGAAAGGAAACAAATTGGCCCAATTCCTTTAAGCAACGACGATAAATACATTTGGAGTGATGTTGTCGAGAGGCATCGGATTTTGGTTGATGCGATTAATAAAAAAATTACCAAGTATAATTTAGTCGTACCTGTTTTAACCAAGCAAATGTTTTTAATTGACATTTTAAAGGAGTCGGAGAAAATTTTAGAAACCGGGTTGAATAACACTCAAGTTCCCCCAGAAAATCATCAAAATGACAGTTCTAACCTCCAAAATGATACTTCTTCGTTATTTGGGTTTATAGATAGCCTATTTAATAAGAAGTAAAAGAAATAAGTTAATAATAGTTAGAATTATTTATTTTATTGTTTAAAAAATTAAATCAAATTAAATTTAATTAAATTAAATTGACGTTTCAACAAAAATGACGATTAATTAAATTTTTAATTTAATTTATTAATTAATTAAATAAATTTATTTTTGTGAGGGGTGAATTCAAATGCTTTAATAAAAGATATTTATTTAAAATGATTTATTTAATTATTGTTATTGTAAATTTTTTTGTTTATATTTTAGGTTGGTATTAAAATGTCACATGACTTTAAATGTGAGTGGTGTTAACAACTTGACGACGTTAAAGTTTCCTAAAGGACGGTGTTAAAATTTAACGTAATGCAATCGTCGCGCAGAAAAAAATCTGTCAAAATCCCATAAAATGGCTTCCAAACAGCAGGAATTAGATATAATAGAGAGTTGGGAGCAAATTGAGGAAACCGAAGTATGTAAATAAAACCACATTAAATTTGGGCACCCCCTTGCTTTTATCGTTTCTTTACCTTTCCCCTAAGTTAAGAGTTGAATCGTTACTTACGTACAACACTTCCTCACTGTTACTCACCATGTGTCCTCGTTTTAAAGGTTAGAATTTAATTTGCGTTTGTTTTAAGGATATCGAAAGGAAATTAAACAAACTTATCCCGTCCAAGAGTTTGGCCGATACCAAAACGTAAGTAACAATCAGTTTTAGTTTGATTAATTAATTTTTTTAATTTAATAGTAACAAATTAAACGGTACAAGTATAGGGATCATCTTAACCGGAGATGATGCTTTACGATCGCAATATGTACCACCAGAACCCACAGTAAAGATATTAAAACGACCGACGAATAACCAAACCAATAACGATGCGAAAGTGTTTCAACCGAAGAAAACGTTAAAAGAACGAGAACAAGAATATGCGAAAGCACGACTTAGGATATTAGGAGAAGCCTCTTCTCATGAGAAAGACGATGAGAAGTAAGCGGTTTAATAAGAAATAATTTTAATTAATTAATTAATGTTTTAGAATCTGCATACAAAACAAATTGAAATCAAGTGAAAGTGAAAATGTTTTAAGACAACCTCGAGGTCCAGATGGTACGAAAGGTTTTACGATACGCAGATAGTATTCTGTGTATTGTATAGAAACGTTGATACGTTTAATAAATCTGCAACAATTTTCCTTTTTTTTTAAAGACGTCTTTAATGTTTATATTAATATATATACGTAAAAATGAACATTGAGACCGTTAAGAAAAGCCAGTCATTTTGTACATATATACATATTTAAATTTTCTTTAATTCGAGCTCTCTTAATATAAAACATAAGATTTTTCATTTTAATCAAATTTTTTTTGCATTTTTTTAAGCGTCGTTAAAACTATGTAATAGGGTACTTTTTTTTTAGTTTAAGATTGCGTTAATTACGATATTTTTATTGAACGTGATAACGATCATGGCTTGGCGAAGTTGCTTCATAAAAACGATGAATTATTTTTAAGGATCAAAATCAAAATGTTTATGAGGCAATATTTTACTATGATTGCTGTGTTTAAAATTATAATACGGTGTGAATGTGTTAATTTGTAAACTAAATATAAACTAAAACATTAAAATAATAATTTATTTTCATTGACTAGTATTTCACAGAGAGAATAAACAAATTTTATTTTAATACGGAAAACATTATTCTAATTGTATTCATCTAAATAAAATAGATGATATTTAAGTATTTAGGGAATGTGTGATATGTTTTTTTAAACAAAGAGCAAAAAAACTGGCCACTAGAATATCACAATTAAGGAATACAATTATAATAATTAATTATTGGAGCCAAATTGGAGAACTTTGGCTACGTTCGAGACTAGCTTCTCACATCAAAATACACTCGCATTGAAAATCTTTAATTCGAAATAATAGTAACCGTTTTTAATTATGATGTAGGTTCTTTCGTTGAAGAATCAATCGGTGGTGGTGGTGGTGACGATATCACTTTATCAATTGGATTCACTTTGTAATTGATTCCGTAAGGTCTTAAATGATATATTAAGTACTCCAACACGTACATTTGATTGGGGCTCACGTAATGAAACGAAACTGCGTTATCGGAGCAACAATCCATACCCTAAATCAAAAATATTTAATTTTTAGGTTATGTTTTAACTGTCAAATTTTAATTATAACTTACCTCAGTGGTTTCGTAATACACATACTTCCAATACCAAAACGATTTAGGGCTATGCCCCGGAATTAAGTGATGTTCGGGAACGAACGGGAAAAATCTTCCACGACCCAAAGAATCCCGAGTATCCCCAGCCTCAACCCCAACCCCTTCCAAACATTTCCCCATTTCAACATCTTCGGCTCCACTACTCGATGGGCTACACACCGTTTCATTACGTAATCCATACTACAAAAAATTTTTTAATTTGTTTTAGCTATAAAATATTTTTTTTTACTTCAACGAATCTTCTCAACGCTTCCTTGCTTAACACATAACCAGCCCCTCCGCTCATATAACCTTGTTTCACGTACGGTTTAAATCTGCACCCAAAATACAAAGGATCCCTTGATTTATAAGGATAAAGCATGTATCGTAGATTCTCCAAAACCACATAAGTATCATCGTCCGCCTTTAAGAACCACTCAGCCTCGTTAAAATGGAAGTTGTATATGTATTTAAAAGCAGCCTTTGTTTTAGCCCATAAATTATCTCTTCCTTCCTCTACGTCCAAACCAATCGCAGGTAAACCAGGTTCTAAAGATAAAATAACCTCAAAAAATTAAATGTCAATTTGAAGTCTCAATTTAAATTTCTAACCTGATTCTGAGCTCATGAATAAAATTTTGTTGCATCTTTTTCCCCAAGTATTTTTAACGTGGCGAGCTTTTTTTTCGTGATTATCCGGCCCGGTCATAACCCAACATAAAATTGGTACTTTTTTGGTTAAATCGCGCGCGACCGAGTCGTCTTCGTCTTTGTGGAACTCCTCCTCGGGGCTATGTTGTCCCGGATCGATTAATGGTCCTTCCGCCGCATGGATGTCTCTGTAAGAATGGGGATCGTCGGAAATCGAGTGCGGAATCCAATAGAAAGTGAACGTAAATCCGACCACGAATCCAATTATCAATGTGAAAATTAGTTGCTTGTTTACTGGAACGCTAAAAAAACAATTTAGCAGGGCTTGATTTAAATGAAATAAAACAAAATTTTTTGACATTGATAAAAATGAGCGTATTAAAAAAGTCTTTATTGAGATTTACAAGGTGTTATTCGAAAAGTTGCAAGATTGGCGGTGATAAAGGGAGTTCGGGGAATCCGAAAAAACTGCAACATTTGAAAAAGGTCCAAATGCTCTTTCAGAAAGATAACGGACTTCCGGTTTATTTAAAAGCAGGCACCAAGGATAAGATATTGTATAACATAACAGTTCTTGGACTTTTAGTTGGATTCGGAATGAGTATGGAAACTTTTATCAAATTAACGATGAAATAAATTTCTAAAAAAAATTTTAATTAAATCAAAGTGTTACCTTGTTTTGTTATGATTTCTTCGGACATTATGGCCATTAAAGTCGTTAAAATGAAATGTTTTTGCTTTATACATTTTAAGTTCGTAACTGGTGACTTGAAAACTTTGACACAAACTGCGGCGTGGTTAGTTATTTGAAAAATTATAAGTTAACCAAAAAAAAAACCAATTCAATATCTTGTTTACTTATATATATGTTTACTGATGTACTAAAGATAATAAATCAAAAAAATTTATTGATTTTTAAATTGACGTTTTAGAAATGTCAAATAAAATTTTAATACCAACTTAAAATTTAAATGAAATTATATTAAATTTAGCTGAATCAAAAATACATCTAAATAATTTTACAACGTAGTTAGATTAAGTTTTATGGTTTTCTTAGTTTTTAAAATAATATAAATAACTTATTTTGAATAGATTCAAGGTTTTGACGCATTTATTTCCCCTAGAAACATCACAAAGACTTTAAATAAACGTGCTCAGAATATCAACTAGCTTTTAAACTTGATTTTAAAAGTAAACAATAAAGAGGTTGCTAAAAATCGATTTAAAATTGTACTAAAAAATAAATAGTTATTTGTATTTTAAGAATATTTAATTTTTTAAAGTTTTTTGACAGATTTTTTATTATTACATTTTTGTAAAATTGTAATAATTTTAAAATGTTGCATAAAATTCCCCTTATCTTCTATTAAATGTGAATTTCTTAGAAAAAAAACTAACTACGTAAATAGACAAGTTATGGAATACTTTGTTGAGAGTAATAAGTACTTTGCATAAAGAATTTTTGAAATATGTCTTGTTAATACCAAAAAAAATGGATTAACTCAACTTGTGACCTAAATATTTAAGTTTTAACAAGCTTTGGGCATTTAATTGATTAAATTTATTTTAGTATATAATTAGGGTAAAAGGAATATTCTTACCGTTGATACCACATTATAACAATTTCTGTGTTAACGGGTAACAGCTTTCTTATCAACTAACACTTCAATACTTTAACCTTCTTGCTTTATACCTAACTCTACAACATGTTTTTATGTTCTTTTTATTCATAAAACCAATTGAATACTCAATAATTTGAAATAATCGATTAAAAATAAATTTAAAAATTGACATTTAAAATTGTAATTTACTTGTTTCAAAAAATAATGTAAAGGTAATAGAATATGATAACCTCAATTTAAACCTGAATAATACACTCCAATAATATACAACCAATCAGAGGAATGATCGTTTAAAATTCCGACCAATAACGTGATTTTTTAAGTGGATAAAAGCTACCTAGGTTTTTCAACTGAATAACTCACTGATATTTTTTAACTGATAAAAACGCGGGTAGCATATACAGGGGTGTCCGGAAATGACGTGTACAACGGAAGACCATAAGTACCTTGATCAAAAATATTTTGATTTAACTGAACTTATCTATATACAAAATTGCTTAGTTTAGTCGCTAGAGGGCTTTAAAAATTTATAATAATCATTCCGTCATTTCCGGACACCTGTATATACTTTTGTTAACCTGTCACATTTTTGACAAGTATAATTGTTAAATAGTTAATCTCCCTAAAATACACTCGAGCTTGATTTTAAATCAAGATAATTTTATTTTTAATTCACTCAAGGTTTGTTGCCCTTTGGAAAAAACTCTCAATCAAAATCAAAAGATAAAATCGCGATTTTATCATGCTTTTGATTTTGAGTTATTATCATGGCAACAAAGCGTTCGTTTAAAAATAAAATTATTCGATAGTTACGCTCTTATGTATTTACCCCCGAAAAAACTACAAGAAACAGCAAACCACCAACATAACCTCAATAATATAAACTTACCCTGCACAAGATCGAATATGCCCCATTTTAAGTTTGCGTCGGATGACGCCCCAAATTCCGCCCCTTACACTTCCGTTCAGTTCGTTTACGAATCATTTTGGTTCTTTGTGTTAAACATTTTTGGGAGATCGGATTTTTTTGTGTACTGAAGAGCAGAAATTCATTAGAAATTCTTCGGGGTGATGGGAAGTGAAGTTGCAACATCTTCGCCAGAGTTCAGGTGTGCATACGTCATACTTCTTTATTATTTGAAAGTGAAATGTTTTTCTTTTAATATTGAAAAAATTGAGTAATGTTTAAAATTAATAACGGTAATTACGTTCTTAAAGGTATTGTTAAAATGAGGTAAAACTAAAAATTAGAATTGGGTTATTTGGGTTGCCTATATTCACAAATCAAATTAATATATTTTATTATCAATTTATTGTTAATAATTTATTTCGACGCTTTTTTTTACAATTAAAATTAATAAATTATTTTTGATTTTTAATTTCATATCAAATGATTTATGATTATTGCAGGGATTAAACGATTTTATGGAGGTTACAGAATGTTCCATTATTTGACCCTTTTAAGACAATGTTTTTAGTGTTTACGATTATTAAAACCTAATTTTTTACTTTAACGATCGATTTAACCAACCAAGCCACTTATTTAATCTTGTTCAGCGTAAGACTTATCTGCATCCAAAATAGGTAGCATCAGTTGATTTATATAAGTAACGTAAACTCTCCAATACGACATAAGCAGCATGTCATTATTTATACTTACCCAATTCAAAGTTATAACTAAAATTTTGTTGCATCGTTTTTTACTATAATATTGGGTAAGGAATTTTAATGTTTATACATTTCAGTGAAACATTGTTAACAAGTATGACGACAATATATGATAACAATATATGAGTAATGTTTTTCAGTAAGCCAAGGTGGTATTAAATAAAATGTTTTGTTTTTAGTTGGATAATTATATGAAAATGTATAAAGAAAATAATTTAAATAATTTCATCCTTGAATCTATATTGATTTTTATTGTTTTCAGGTATTTTTCGAACCATTTTTCAATCATTTAAAATGGAACAAGAAGCTTTATTAAAAAGGGCCATGTTGGTTCTGTACCAACAAGATTTGAAGAAGATTTGTGATTTGTGACAAAAGAAAAACAGAATTTTAGATTCAATTATGGAATTTTTTATTAAAAACGAAGATAGTTGTAGATAGTTGTATAAAAATTATTTTCTAATAATTTATTAAAAATATTTATTTAAACAAAAAACAATAGCGCCATCTCTTAACATCATAAAAAAAAATTGACATTTAATTTATTTATGATTATACGAAAATGTACAAAGTAAAAAGTTTAAATGGTTTCATCACAAGGTAATTTTAAAATTTTTTTCTATTTCAATTCTAATTAATCGTTGTTAGATCCCTCGTAAATAAACCACAGTTTTTTTCTTTAACAATTGGATTCATGCTCGGATTTATATTCACTTTGTATTGGTTTCCGGTATATTTTGAACCGTTCTCACACGATTCATTTCAAGGACCACAAACCGATCCGGGCACGCACAGCCCCGAAGAGGAATTTCACAAAAACCAGGACGATTCTCTCGCACAAGATTTAAAGAGAAAAGTACGAATTTTATGTTGGGTTATGACCAAACCAACTAACCACGAGAAAAGAGCCCGTCACGTTAAAAATACGTGGGGGAAACGGTGTAATAAAATTTTATTTATGAGTTCTAAACCCGGTAAAAATTAAAAATTTAAATGTCAAAGTAACATTTAAAGTGTCAACCTAAAATATAACCTAAAAAATAACATAACCTAAAACGCTTTATTTTCTTAGATTCTGATTTACCTGCGATTGGTTTACCCGTACAAGAGGGAAGAAATAAATTATGGGGAAAAACGAAAGAAGCTTTTTATTACATTTATCAATTTCATTTCAACGAAGCCGACTGGTTTTTAAAAGCGGACGATGATACTTACGTTGTTTTAGAAAATTTGCGCTACATGCTTTATCCATATAAACCTACAGATCCTTTGTATTTCGGATGCAAATTTAAATATAACACTTACGTAAAACAGGGCTACATGAGTGGTGGAGCCGGTTATGTTTTAAGCAAAGAAGCATTACAAAGATTTGTTGTTATCGGCTTGCATAATAATACATTGTGTAATCCGTTTGATGGTGGTAGCGAAGATTTACAATTAGGAAAATGCATGGAAAACGTTGGAGTTAAAGCTGGGGATAGCCGCGATTCTTTGGGCCGTGGACGATTTTTTCCATTCATTCCTGAACATCATTTAATTCCGGGGCATTGTCCAAAATCATTTTGGTATTGGAAGTACGTTTATTACAATACGACCGAAGTAAATATGTTTTAATTTAAATTATAGAGTGAAATAAAAAGCAATTTTAGGGCATGAATTGTTGCTCAGATAACGCGGTATCGTTTCATTACGTGAAACCAAATCAAATGTATGTATTGGAATATTTGATTTATCATTTACGACCTTACGGAATCAATTATAATATGAATCTAACTAATATAAAGGAAGCCATTTAATAACTTTTTTAAAGTTTGTGATATATTTATATATTATTTAAAATAAAAAAATAATTTTAGGGTTATGTTTTTTTATGGATCCATAGAGTACAATTAGAATATCTGGAGGGTTATTAAATTAAAAAATTGTTTATAAAAAGCGTTATTTATTTATAATAGAATACAAATATGGAAAATTGAAATACAATATAAGTGTACAAGGTTGCTTTTACACGTTATATATATATAGTAGTAAAGTTGTAATAGGGGAATTATTTTAAATTAATAATTAATATATAACCCATAATTTTTTTTTAAATTATAAAATTGAATAAAATTTGATTGTCGCTAAAATAAATAAAATTAAATAATTTAAAGAACGTTATTTTTAATTAATTAACAGGAAGACAACTTAAAATTATTTTTATTACGCATATTAATTATTTAACACTAAATAGACAGAGTAAATAGGGAGGTATTTACAGAATTGTTGTTTTTCCTTACAGCGAGTAAAACATTTAAAATAAACGTTTAAGATTGAGTAATTATCGATTAATTTTGTCGGGAAAGTTTAAGATTTGAAATTGAAGTAAATTCGAACACTTATTAACTATTTAACATTACATCATTTTCAAAAAAAAATTTTTTATATATTTAAAATCGTTTTTTAATTCCGGACGAATTATAAAGACGAATTCAGAATTAGTTTCCTTTAATTTTAATTTAATTAATTTAATAATCCCGGTTTAAATTGAAGTTTACGTGTGTATAGACGTTAGCAAAAGTTTTTGTACAAAATGGTACAACGATATCGACAAGTATTTACAAAAATTACAAAATATTTAGTGTAATAAATACGTTGTTATGTTATATTATATTATAAAAGCTACCGGTTAACGATGAATTTTAATTTTAATACTTGGTGCGGTTCTTTTTTGGTTTCTCGATGAACATTTACTGGGTACACAATTTTAAAGAAATTTAATTCGAAATCGCTACATACAACATTCATTCTCGTCTTTTAATCAGTCTTAATATCACATTAATGAAATAAAATCTTTTTTTTTTTTTAATTATTTTTGATACCAGGTATTTGTTCCATCGAGAAGTTAGTCTCAAGTGCAAAGTTTAATTTTTCTAATCAAATTTTAACTTTTAGTTTATGTAACCGCTTTTTCGTAAGTGGGAGGTGGGGAATCCCGGCGGATAATCTGTAAAGATTCGTTAACATCTTGTGTTGGTAACATAATGGCGATGTGGTACGGCGGTGGAGGCATTTCAGCTGGATTAACTAAGACGGGAACGTCGTTTGGCACATGGACTTGCGATGATTCCTCGTGGATTTCGTTCTATAATTGAGTGATTAAGAAGAAATTTGCGTTTAAAAAGAAAATTACCTGTTCGTTAGAAACTTGCGCCGAATTTTGACCGTGTAAAGGACACGAAGTGACAGCTTCATACAAAGAAACCAACCCCCCAACTAACAAAATAAAAACGAGGAGGGCGCAAAAAGCCAACGCTTCCATCCCCATATTCGCGCCGTGAAAATAAAACTTGGCCAAAGCTATAAAAAACGTGATGATCGCAAAAAACGCCCAAACCCCGCACTTAATCTTTGCAGTTGATGAAGTTTCGCGGGGTAAAGCTGAGCTGCTGTGCGACAAAACATCGTTTGATCTATTTAGGGCATTTCCTTGGGTTAAATTTTCCTCTATAACGGGGCAAGGATGGATTTCCCCGTTTGATGGGACATCAATTTGCTCCCCTCTAGTTCTTTCAATGAACCTGGCGTGGTAATAACCAGGTCCCCGATTTTGGTTACGTCTCCCCGCATTCGCTACACTTTCAATTGACTGAAAACGATGCACTGGAGTTACCATTAGCTTCGGGTACACGCCGCTATACGACGCTCCTCTTCTAAATCCTGAAATTAATTCTTAATTAATTTGAGTCGTTTTCGCTGTTTATTTATTTACCTGCAATATATGGACGGATAATATGTCCCCCGTTAAACCGAACGCATCCTTGGCTCCTTTTATCAATCCAAAAATGCATGTGTAAAGCAAACAAAGAAGCGTCACCAAAGCGTTTACATTTTTTAATACAAATTCATTTCATGATTTTTATCCCTTCTCCCTTAATTCGCGCTTTAACACTGAACGACAAGAAAAATCCGATAAAACACGTCACTTTTTCCTGTTTGCTTGCAGTGTTCGACATGAAAGCAGTTTCACGACGTCGAATTGTATACATTCAGAAGCCCTCAACATTTATGCAATTCGTAAATGGGGAAAACGCATGAAAGGGGGTTCATGTTTGGGAAACGCTGAAAGACGCCGGCGCATCGGCGTCGATATCTATGTTTACGATTGGTAAGGCGATTTAAAGACGCCTTTTTATTATTTCGATGTATAAAGTGCACTATTAACTACAAATACAACGATTTTATGCCAAATTAGCATCTATCAAGTTAATTATTTGATATTACAAAAAATTTCATTACAATTGTATTATTAATGATGGGTCAATTACCTCGTCGAAAGAATTCGGCCAAACGTTAAATTAACCAAAAAATTAATTCTTCAATTTAAAATACAATTTTTCCCGCTAAAATGTAATGGAGAATCTAGTCATTCCTATTGGTTCTTTACGGTCATAATGTCATATGTAACTAATAGCAACCAACTAACTTTTGAATTGTCAATTATCCGCCAAAAAAACGTTTGTTTCGCACTATTTTTCTAAATTAAAATTAAATATTATTAATAAATTAATTAATGAATCAAAACTACGAATATGTAATAAATTTAACGAAGAAGATGGTAAATATCGATTTAATTATTGTTATTGATTTTTAGATGAAGCCGATAAGAAGTGGCTCGATTTGATGTTTATATGGCGAAATCTAAAATAACTGTAATACTGAGTAAAAATTGTTGTAATATTTGTCTTTATTTATAATATTAATAATATATAAATAAGTAATAAATACAATCTTTTTAAGTTTTTTCTTGTATAGTCTTTTCCTTTTTATAGTTATCTATGTAAGTTGGTAACACTGTTTGTAGGTTATAATTTATTTTATAGGATTAATTCATTAATAAGAATTGATTAGTGATTAATTGGAATTAATTGGTGTCAAAATGAAGTTTTAAAGTCAAAAGCAACCTTAATAAATTATAAATATATCTTTATAAATAAAATTTTATTTACAAAAGAAAAATACATAACTATAAATCAAAAAACGCTGTAGAACCACCTCTTCTTGTATCAAAAATCGCCTCTATTTCGTCATCTAACTTAGTGATAGCTGTAAGAGCAGCGAAACCATCCACAGCTGGCGTAACGGTATAATTATGTCCAATTTCCTCCAAACCATCAATGATGTTTTCATCGAATCCACTCTCAAATTCTATCGACATTGGGAATAACTGATGATGTAACCGTTTCATTAAAGTGGCTTCTTCCAGTGGAATATTGAACCATAAATTTCTTATTGCAACTAAAGCCGTTGATGTTGTTATTTTTGTACCACCAGCAGCTCCGATTACCATCCGAACATCACCGTTATCATCGATTATTACGGTTGGGCACATAGAAGATAAAGGACGTTTGCCTGGAACTATGTAATTAGCGGGGGATGGGGGAACTCCGAATGAATTTGTTATGTTTGGAGCTGAAAAATCATCCATTTCGTCATTTAAGATTATTCCGGTGCTTGGTGATCTAACTTCAGAACCAAAACTAACATAATAAGTAAATAATAATTAAAGTTATAAATAAAATTGTAATAATATCTTACTATAAATTAATAGTTCCTGTGACAGAAACAGCATCACCCTCGGGAGAAAGTACTGAGATATGAGCCGTACCATGATCTTCTATTAAAGCAGTGTTAGCACCATAATGTTTTGGATCTTGATATGTAACATTATCAAATATGAGTTGTCTGATATCTTTGGCGTATTCCTCTGAAGTAATGTTGGATAATAGCTGCGAAAATCTACAGAATGAGATGATGAAGGTTAAGAAATGATTGTTTATGTACTTACGTATTCGATATCAATGTAATTGGTATCACCAAGTTCAGTTCGCTTTCCGTAACCATATTTAAAGCTCTCTACGATTCTTTGAAGGTTCCTCACCGATTCCCCTTCGGAAAGTTCTAAGTAATCTTTTAATATGTTTACAATAAAAGCCATAATCACTCCGGAACCAGGTAAAGGTGCCGTATAAAGTTTCTGATTAAACGGAAGATCCACGATTATCGGTTCTTGCCACTCAGCCCTAAAATATCCCGATTAATTAAATTATTTTATTTAAAAATTATTAATATTTACGAATAATTAATCATATCTTCTTCCGTTATTATTCCGCCAACATCTTGAATATCTTTCACGAATTGTTTCGTTAAAGTTCCGTTATAAAGCGCGTCAGCACCTTCTTTAGCAATTATTTCGAGAGTTTCCGCTAGTTTTGGTCGCTTTAACATATGCCCAGCTGTGTAAGCTTCGTTCGTTTCAGGATCAATAAAAATCTCTCTCAACGATGGGTTATCCAAGAACTTTGCTTCTCTCGATTTAAAAACTCTCGCTAAATAATCTGTTACTAAATGTCCGTTTTTACATAAATCTATCGTCGGTTGGAGGACTTTTTCCCATTCTAAAAGCCCAAAACGTTGATGTGCCATCCATAAACCACGTAATTCGCCTGGAACTGCGATTGCTAATCCGCCTAGAAAGAAAATTGTTGATTCGTTTTAGGTTAAAGTTGGTTGGGGTAACCTTTTGATGCTAAAGATGAGTTTCCTTCGAACATATCTGTGTAAGCGTCTCTTGGAGCCATTTCTCGAGCGTTTAATGAGTAAACTTTTCCTGTTGATTTTTTGTAAATAGTCATAAGAAATCCGCCCCCTAATCCGGTACTTTGAGGCATTGCAATTCCTTCGCAAAGCATTGCTGCTATTGCTGCATCAACCGCGGTTCCCCCATTTTCCATAATTGCCCTATTAACAAATTAATCCATATAATCAAAGAGACTTTAAGAAAATAAGAAACAATGGGTTATTAAATTTATTATTAGACTTCCATATTTATTTCTATAATCTTCAAGGATGAAATTCAATTATTTTATGATCATCTAGTGTAAATAAACGAATGGTATTTTATCATTTTTTGCTAAATATAGTCAATCTATTGAAAAGATAAAAAATATATCTGATTTATCACAAGTATTATTATTATTATAGGATTATGAGGGCATACTTAACATTTTATACTAATTTTAGAGTTTTAAAGTTTGAAAATGAGGTTATATAGCTGTTAATTTAATGATAATTAAATTTAAACTGTCAAGATAATAAAAAATAAATTTAAAATAAAAAATAAGATAATTTTAAAATGGAAATAAAAAAAATAGATATTATTAAACAATATAAATAAAAGTAAAATAAGATATTATTTTTAAAAAACTAATTTTTAAACGTCAATTTTGACAGTTTATTTGACACGGTTTATGGGGGGATAACAAATTGTATTTTGTGGTTCAAATTAAGCAACAAAGACTTCTTTTATAGGGAGTGCGTCATTAATAATTCATGCGGGCGATTGTGATGAAAAGTTATTGCACACATTATATAAATATAAAATGTTATCATAAATAGTTATAAATTTTATTGTCAGGTAATGTTTGATTTCTATAAAGATAAAGTATAATAGATTTATGTTAGATTATTTAATTGAAATGATTATATTCAAGGTAAACTTAATGTGTTTTTTTTTTTTATTTTTAGCGTAATTCGTAGAATTAAAAGGAAAATGCGAAAAATTGTTGGAATGTCAGCTAAACATCAAGGATATCATTATTTTATTATAATACTCACTTTCCAATTTCTGCGCATTCATGCCCGTTTGTTACAACGGCTCCTCTATGAATAACTTTTTCTGTTCCCAAAAATATTCCTAAACAAACTCCCAAAACGACGATTCCAGCTAATAAAATAGCACAAAGTACGGAAACTTGAACTTTTCTAAAGCAAAAAAGAAAAATGAGCTAAATTAATGAAAAAGAAAGTTAAAACTTACGTTAACGTCCGTAACATCATCTTGAAAGCGAATGGTTTCTGGGATTATTAAGAAATTAAAGTCGATTTATTATTTCGTACACGTGCTTCTATTGGTACACAAGAAAGAGGTCAGATTGAGCGATACCACAACCATTCCGTTTGAAGGTTTGGTGCTCACTCGCTAAATTCGCGGTGTATTGCGCATTTTATTGTTAAACTACACCTGGATAATAAATGTTGTAAAAATGCGGTTTAAAAAATGATTAAAAATCAAATTTATGCCAACGAAAAGTTCATAAAACGCAAAAATTATTACAAGGACATCCTTGTTTATATTTTATTCACAATGTTGATGTTTTAATTTCATTATAGCCTACACAAATTTATCTTTATCAAATAGGAAAATACGTACTTTCGATTTCGCATCATTCGCGTGTTGTTTCGTCATTATTTTAGAGTTTGATAAGAATAATTGAAAATAATGTTGGTGAAATTTATTAAAAAAAAACGTTGATTAAATTAACGGAAATCTTAAAACTATAAAGCAATATTTGTTGAACAAACTGGATCTTATTGGTCTATTCCAGTCGAAAATTATGACCCGATAATTAAATATCTACAAAAATCCAGTTGACATAAACAAAACGGTCCCTATTTGGAAAATTTTAGCAAAATCTTTTTCGGGTAGATAACAATAAATTATAATTGATGATAATCAAAAAGAAACAGATAATCGTGAAACGCCAATTTTTGAAATACGCTTTAATATTTAAAAATAATTTTTAAAATAAACGTTTTTTTAAAGTTGTTAATAAATGAATAAATAAATTTAATTTAATTGTAACAAACATCAATCAATTCATTTTTAAATGACAAATTATTACACGTCAAATATGACGTTTAATTATCAAATATAAAAAACTTTCAATCAAAAATGCCGGTAATTAAATACGGTTTAATATTTAAAAATAATTTATAAAATAAACGTTTATTTAAAATTTAAAGTTATTAATAAATAAATAGTAGTATTATTTAATTCTGTCATTTTAAAAATTTGTATAAATAGTGGCGCCATCTACATTCAAAATTTTAGTTTCCTACTATTTACGAATTATTTACTTTATTAACATTAAAGTTATTTATTCTTAATAAATCAATAGGATCATAAATAAATTAAATAAAACATTTAAAATTAATAATTAAAATAATAAAAAACTAACTTCAATCAATTCAATTTGAAATGTCACAAATGTCAAATTATTAATTTTAATAAAAACTTCAAATCAAAAATGCTGGTAATTAACAAACTCATTAATAAAAATTAAAATAACATTATTTATAATTTCTCCAGACAAATAATAATAGTAATAACAACCAAGCATATAACCCAACTAATCCGGATGATCGAAATTTTCAAAAATGTGGTCGAGTTTTCACAGGAACCGTTGAACGCGTTATGAAATGGAATCGAATCTACTCCGATTTTTGTTATTACGAAGTTATAGGTAATAATATTAAAAGCATAAAGATAATTCAATAATCTTTTACTTAGCTTCAGTGATCGCATTTCAAGATGGTCCGAATAGATCACAACGAACAATGTTGTTAAGAGATCGACAAGGCCCTATTTTGCAAGTTATATATTATTCAAATGATCGCATCAATATCAACGATTTCTTTGTAGGAGAAACATTAAGGTGATTCTTAATCATTTCTTTTTAATAATAAATTACTTAAAAATATTTTTTTAAAGATGTTTAGGGCATATGACATCGGCTAATACTCTTCATGCTTTAAGTATACGAGTGGCTACTAACGAAGAATTAACCACCTTACAAAGGATGGTTTATATATCAGAACATGCTATGATGTCATGTTTGGAAAAAAAATAATTTACAAAGTTAATCGTTTATTAATAGTTATTTAAGTAATTAAAATTATATAAAAAATACAATAAATAATACAAATGAGTTTATTTATACATAATGATCCTTATTATTAAAAAAAATGATACAAAAAAGTAATGTAACCAGTGGTTTTTGTCGTATCAATAAATTTACCTTAATTATCTGTTGTAACTTCTTTAGTTTCTTCACCTTCCTCCAACATTTCCTATTATACAAAATATTAAATTCATTTCTTAGTATTATATCGTTTGTTACCTGTAACACTTCAACGAGCGATTTAGATTCATCCAACATCTCTTTACATATTCGATTCTCTTCCTTAAGATTTTCAATGTGATCTTTAAGGTGTTCAATTTCTTGCAAGCTTTCGTTGAGTGCTTCCCCACGTTTCTCGGCCAATTTTCTCCAATATATATCGGAAGGTTCTGCTCCTGTAAGATCCGCTTCCGTAACCGCTGTTTCTTCAGTTTGTACACTTTTATGTAATAATTTTCGCTTTTTCACTTCTTGATCTCTACAATAAAACAATTAAATTTAATCATTAAAAAACAACAAACACTTACACTGCCATTTTTGCATCTTTCACAGCTGATCTACCAGTTAAATTCTCTTTATCAGTAGCGGAATGTTGAAGAATTCGCAATCCTTTACGATTACTTTTATAATTTTCCTAGAATCAAACGAGTTTTGGTGATTTCTTGAAGGATTTTTTTGCCCGCTTTTTTTGGGGCAATATAACCTAAAAAATTGGAAGTACTCACGTGTTCTTGAACGGCTGCTTTAACAGGACCTTTTGTTACACCTTCCGTTTTCATTTTAGTTATTTTTGATTGGAAATAAATCGAACGTTGTATTTAAAATCGCGATCAAAACTAACCTAAACACTTTAGACATTAAACACAATTAAATAACCGTTAGTCGAATCGTTGATTTTTCAAGATGATAGATGTCGCCACTTAAAATTATTATTTTTTTTTAAATTTTTAATTTTATACTTTTACTTTTAAGATTTAATTTTACGTAATTATTAATTTATTAAGTATTACTAATTTGTAGTATGAAATTACATTAAATATTTATTATTATTAATGTAAATTAATATGTATTTTTGGCATTTAACTAAAGGTGTCGCGATATATTTTTTTATTTAAATCTTTTTATTAATAAATTAAACTAATTATTTATTTTGAAAGGTTTACTTCTAGAATTAATTTTCTTTATTGTATGAATATTAATTGTTATTTTATTTAATAAAATAATAAAAAATTTTTCCTCTAAGTTGACGACAGATGTCGCCTCTTAAAAATTATTAATTTATATTAATGATGTTAATTTTAATATTATTAATTGTAATATATTCTAATTTTATTTAATTATTAATTTAAAATTTGATTTAGGCCCTTTTGCGTTGCTACATTTTAGAGTATTTATAATAATTAACTTAATTTTGCGTTTATTATTTTCAACGAAAGATGTCGTTGATTTCGTTTTATTAATAAATTAAAATATTTAATTTAAAAGTGATTACTAATAGATTCAGTTTTCTATATTATTATGTTATATTATAAATTATTTATTAAATTAATTAAAAAATTAGAATAAAAAGTTAATTGTTAAATTACCCACAATACATTTCGGTTACAAACAATCACAACTCACAACAAATAATTTGACGTCAAATTAAGAATCGTCGCTTGTATTTCGATAAAAAAGCGTTTTATAATATAATTACGATGAATTACGATAATTCTGCTGGGTTTTCTAAGCTTATCGTTGATACGTAAGTTATTTATGGTACTTTTAATTTGTTTTAAATAAAAATTATTTTTTTAGGTTTGAAAATGTTGTTGGGTCCTCCTCCGAATTGAAACTTCCAGTGCCTATTTCCAGCATTCCAGCGCCTTATAATAGTGTTTTCTCACAATACACTTCATTTAATACCATCCAATCAAGCATTTTTCAAGATGCGTTATATTCGGGTATTTAGCCCGCGCATGCGCACATCTTTTCATTAAAAAATTTAATCATTTTAGATAATTCTTTGGCTGTATCGGCACCTACAGGTTCAGGAAAAACTGTTATATTCGAATTTGGAATCGTAAAATTCCTTTTAAATAATGATCTAGCTAATAATTATAAAATAATTTATAGTAAGTTACGATTTTGTGAAATTTATCGTTTTATATCGTTTTTATTCTTAGTTGCCCCTATGAAGGCGATATGCGAAGAAAGATTGGTTGATTGGCATAATAAATTTAGTAATTTTGGAATTAATTGTATTTCCGTAACTGGCGATTCTGAAAATGTTGATTTTCAAAGTTTAAGTAGACATAATTTGGTAATTACGACCCCCGAAAAATGGGATGGGATCACTAGAAGATGGCGAGACAACGATAATTTGATTAAATCTGTTAAACTGTTTTTAATCGATGAGATTCATTTGCTTAACGATGAAAAACGTGGGGCTACTTTGGAAGCTATTGTAAAAATAAATTAATTGAAAAGCATTTTAATTAATTACGAAATTTTTTTAGGTGACAAGAATGAAAACTCTTTATAATTTGGTTAGTAACGAACCAAAACCGTTGCGGTTTATAGGAGTTTCGGCTACAATCTCGAATATAATCGATATAGCCCAATGGTTTAATACCCCGCAATCCCCAGGAAAACATTTTCGATTTAAAGATGAGGTCCGGCCGGTCAAATTAAATAAAATCGTCATCGGTTATCCTTTCAATTCGGCAATGTCATCCCCATTTAAATTTGACATGATGCTCAGCTACAAATTGCATCATATCATTTTGCAATATTCCTGCGGAAAACCAACTTTAGTTTTTTGCTCGACCAGAAAAAGCGTCGAGATGACCTCAAAACAACTAATTCAAAATTTAACAATCACATTAAACGACGATCAAAAGAAAATACTTGTCGAGGTCGCAAAGAGCATTAATAACCCCAAAGTAACGGAAGTTTTAATTCACGGAGTTGGTTGCCACCACGCCGGGATGTTACCCGAACACCGCAGATTGATCGAGAATTTGTTCCGAGATTCTTATTTACCCGTTCTTATCACGACGAGTACTTTAGCGATGGGAGTTAATTTACCGGCTCATTTAGTGGTGGTCAAATCGACGAAATATTACACTAACAGCGAGTACAAAAGTTACGAAGAGAGTATGATTTACCAAATGATTGGAAGAGCTGGGAGACCACAGTTTGATAATTCCGGAACAGCAGTAATTATGACGACGAATATTGAAAAGGTTTCTTTTTTAAATTTTCTTTTTTTTTTTTTCTCGGTAACCATGGAAACACAAATCACATAATTATAAACGTCATATTTATTAGGTTAAGATTGGTTAAGATAAAAACGATTATTTTTAGGTTTTTTATTAGAAAAGAAAGCGAAGGATGTGTTTTTATTAAGCGGGCGTTATTTTATAATTTTAATCAAAAAGATCTTCCAGGTGATGAGCCGGAAAATGAAATTTTCGGCACAAATCCCGTTGCATCAGCTCGATAATCAACGGTCATCGTTCTTCCGTCCGGTAAAAGAACGTAATACGATCCCGTTTTGGTGTTTGCTTGATCGCCGCTTTCATTTTGGCCGAAAAACGTGTTTGTGGGTGGATTCTCAACTTTATATTGGAAATTATACTGCAAAAAAACGATTTTTGGCGATTTTGATAGTTTTGATTTTTTGTACTTACTGGTTCGGCTGGTTCATCTTGATATCTCCCAATTTGCGGCTTTGCCAAAGCAACGCCGATTATGAAGATGAAGATACAAAGGATTTTCATCATTTTGAGCTGAAACTTGAGAACGAATTAAGTTCTAATTACGGTTTCAATGCGATCGTAAATTACAAGATCGCGAGGTGTCGTTGTCAGTGGGGCTCGACGATCCGGAAAATAATGAATGGTACTTACGATGCGTGCAATTTTCTATCCGGTGATGTTATTTTGAACTCGAATTCTCTTCTCGATGGTTTAAAGATTTAAGGCGAATCTTATATACTTCTTCAAAACCAAACAAGAAAAGTGGGGATGATTTATAATGGAAATAAAGAAATTTTTGAAGTGGGGGTTTTTTGTAATAAAAATTTTTTTTGAAAACACCTCCAAATAAGATCGTCTTTAATAATTATTTATTTTAAGTTTTTTAACTTATTTATTTTATTTTTTTTGTAGTCTATGAGAAAATTTGTTGCGTCTTCCCACGGTTTACGCCTAATTGGCCGTTTTGCAAGGTCTCAGGGACGTTACTAACCTTGTTCAATGCATTTTGTAATCTAGGTGGGATTTTTTCCTATTTCGTAAATAAAAATGGATTATGGGAGAATCAGAGAATTAGTTAATGTGGATAAATCGACTTTAAAAAGAATTTAGTGGATATGATAATCATTTTGGGTTGATCCAACAACCGAATTCTTCGATATTCGCAAATTACGACACCTTAACTTTACTATGCAGTTATTTTGAGTGGGTTTCGGAGGGCGTGCACTCTTCTTACACATCAATACCCTTGACATTTTAATTTTTTAGATCTTAATCATCTTTAAAAGAATTAATTTATTTCAATTTTCAATTTAGAACAAATACGAAAACATGATCAGCGGAGAAGAACCAATTGAATCTTATCTCCGCAAGAATTTGGTTGAATTTATAAACGCGGAAGTTGTTCTTCAAACCATAACAGACACAACCGTAGCAATGCAATGGTTATCTTCGACGTTTTTGTATATCAGAGCAAGAAAGAACCCTAAACATTACGGATTACCACTTGGATTATCTTTGGGGGAGTTGGATAAAAGACTTTTAGGTAATTAATTAACCTTAAAAATTAGTACATCATTTTTAATAAATTTATTTTTAATTTTTAGAGATGTGCCAAATCGAAATAAACAAATTAAGTAGATTCGGGATGTTAACAATCGACTCAAACGCCACGTTTATATCCACGGAGAGTGGCCGTTTAATGGCGAAGTATTGTGTATGTTTAGAAACGATGAAACTTTTTACAGAGATGACCGGAAACGAACGGCTTGAACAAATTTTGGGGCTAATTTCGAAATGTTACGAGTTCCAAGAGATTCGCTTGAGATCTACGGATAAATCGGCTCTAAATGTTTTAAATAAATGCCGCAATAAACAGACGATTCGGTATCCTTTGAGTGGAAAAATAAAAACTTTGGATATGAAAATTAATTGTATCGTCCAAGCGGTTTTAGGCTGCTTAGAAATTAAAGAATCAGGTCTTTTATTGGATGCCCAAAGAATTATGAGAATCGGAGAGAGATTATTAACTTGTAATTATTTTCTTTTTATTATATAAAGTTAAATTTGTAGATTTATTAATTTATTAGGTGTTGCTGAATATTTAAAAAGTAAAAGAAATTGTTATCAAGGCTTATTAAGTACAATAATTTTATGCAAATGTTTTCGAACTCGAATTTGGGAAAATTCTTCGTATGTAAGTCGGCAATTAGATGGAATTGGTTCTACTTTATCTAACGCTTTAGTAACCGCGGGAAAAACGACTTTTGATAACATCTTAGCAGCTAATCCAAGGGATTTAGAAAGGGTTTAATTTATTTCTAATTTTTTACTACTTAATACAAAAAATATTTTTAGATACTTAATAAAAAACCCCCTCTTGGAAACACACTTCAAGACCAAGTCAAATTAATTCCAAAATACTCCCTAAAAACTTCAAAATTAGAGGATGGGGTTTCCGGAAATATCAGAATCGAAATCACCTTGGAGAATGCGTCGAACTTTGACGACCAAAAGATGACCGTGAAACCTACAGCTTTTATGCATTTAATTGTTGGGGACGAGGAGAATTTATTATTATACAAAAAATACAGGTAAAATTTTTTTTTTATTAAACTTCGTTTAACTCTGTTTTATAGCCACTTAATAATGACCCAAATTGTTACAATTTGCGAAAACGTGATCGTTTTTTTCGCTGGAAATGAAACCAACGTCTCAATTAATTGGATCAGTGAGGATTGGGGTAAGAATTTTTGTTAAAAATTAAAATAATTTATATTTATTAAGTCAAAGTGGCAGATTAATTAATTTTAACGGTTTTTATTTGGATTTTTTTAATGTTGACAGCTGGGTTTGATATCGTATCGCAATTAGCACTTTTCGAGGATAAAACTAAAAAAGTCGTTCCAAACGTGGTAAGAACTGTGATTTTAATTAAATAAATTAATTAATTTTAATTTTGTTTTAGAAAAAATCGAAGAAAAAGGCGATGCTTCTTCAACAATCGATGGATAAATATTTTTCGAACGTTAAACCGATTAAAAGAAAGGTTCTATTGTTTAATTTTTATTTTTTAAATAATTAATTTTGGTTATGTAGAGAAGTGGAGAAAATAATTTAAAACCTCGTAAAATTATAAATACAATTAAAGAAAACCAAGTCATTAAAACCAACAACCAAAACAATAACAACCAAGTCGATGATCCCGATATAATTTTATCCACCCAAAATCAAGTTAATTCTGATGATACAAAGAAATTGGGGCAAAAAATAATCTCGGATTCGATAGCTTCTTACATAAGAAGTGTTAACAAAAAGGTTTTATTGGAAAATGGAATAAAGGATGAATTAATGAAAAATGTTCAATCTAAAATTACTCCCGAAATGAACGATAAAACTGAAACGGTCTTAAAATCGATAGAAAATTATCAAGAACATAAAAAGACGCTAAATGTACAAAAACAAAGTGGAAAGTCTGAAAATCCCGTTAATAGATTAAAAAAGGAAATGATTGCAAATAGAAAGGAGTTTTTAAACTCAACTAAAACGTTAACGTTTGAAGCAGCTGCATTAAAAGTGAACCCAATTAATTTGGAGCAATTCTCGATGGAAAATAAAAAGAAATTATCCCCTGAAAGTAAAGAAATTGAATCCCAAAAAAGTATTACGTGGAAATCACCACTAATCGAATCAAAGATTCAAAAATATTCCCCGAATTTAGATAAACCCAAACCCAATTTAGATTTGATAAGGAGAAAATTTAATTTTCCTCCAAAAGATAAAGGGAAATTGACTTATTCGTTGGCTGATAAAAATTGGGACGATAATAATAAGAAAATAGAAGAATTCGTTTCGAAACCTTTCTTGGATTTATTATTTGGCGAAAAAAATTGCGATTTAGATTTAAATGGGTCAATTTCTTCAAATACATCGATTACAAGATCGATTAAAACGACTGTGGCTGAATCGATTTCTTCTTACAATCAAATGGGTGTTAGTTATATCGCTGATAGAATTAAATCTGCTATTCCTAAGATTAATAATGAAATTAATGTTAATAAAGAAACTGTAAATGAGGAAAATGTTAATAAAGAAAATGTTGAGGAGGAAATTATGAATCAAAGAAATATTAAGGAGGAAAAAAAATCTTCCGAAACAGATTTGTTTGAAAAATTAGAAATGGAAGATTTTTTTATAGAATCAGAACCAGATTTAGTCAACTTAGAAGCAAATCCCTTCGAAATTAATGAAGAATATATAAACAAATTTAATAATTTACCTCAAAAAGACGACGGTTTAACACTTAATAATTACGGTCTCCATCAAAATCACGATTTTGAATTTAATCTCGAAAATAACCACCAAGGAACCTTTTATAAAAACACTCATAATCACCACCCGAACGTTCTAACACCTTCACAACATTTAAACCTTTACGAACAAAGATCTTATAACCTACCAAATTGTGAAAGACAACATTTTCACCCACCACAAAACCAAAATGAACTTTACAATCATTATCGTCATCAAAATTTTCCAATTAATCAACACCACCACCATCCCCCATCATCCTATTATCAAAACGGTTACAATAATCATTGTAGGTCATATCCCACATCTTATTTAGAATTACAAAGGCATTATTTTGAAAATCAACTAAATCGTTATCAATCGAGATACACTCATTATAAGTCACCATATTTCCAAGATATCGCTTCGCTTTCTTATCCGTGTACGAACGAAGGGTGCCGAATTAGAAATGAAATGGTGCGAAAACCGAGAATAAGCCAATTCGAGAATTTCGAAGGTTTTAATCAACAAGGTGAGTTAGATTATTTGATGCCGGAACATGAACCAGTTCAACGAAGTACGGATTATTTTGACGAGAGGAGGAGAATTCACGAGCAAACTCGTTTAATGAAGCCATATTTTGATTCACAACAATTAAATAATCAATTTGAACGGATGAAACGAAAATACGATCGATTTGATGATTTCTAAATTATTTTGAAGTTAAGTATATCTTTCAAATCGTTAAAAAAAATGTATTGTTACTAATTTATTATTTCTAAATCAAATTGTTTAAAGTTATTAATAAAAAAGAATTGTTTTTAATTTATATTTAAATTTTAACCTCACATTTTGGCACATTTCTTTTCAATCCCGCTAGATGTCGCTATGTTTCCACACGTTTTCACCGTCGGTTAAATAATAATTAAATATTGTTTCGGCGTTATTACCCAATTTATCCAATTAAAACGATACTTTTAAAGCTCGCAAAATGAGCACGATCTTGGAAAAAATAGCAGCGATCGAGGCTGAGGTAAATTTAATCTTTCATTTTAACATAACCTAAAATAAATTTTTAGATGGCCCGAACTCAAAAAAATAAAGCGACCGCCGGACATTTGGGGTTATTAAAAGCACGCTTAGCGAAATTGCGTCGCGAATTGATCACCCCAAAGGGCGGTGGAGGTGGTACAGGGGAAGGATTTGATGTTGCAAAAACTGGGGATGCTCGAGTTGGTTTTGTGGGGTTCCCTTCTGTGGGGAAGTCCACGCTGCTTAGTAATTTAGCGGGGGTTTACTCTGAGGTTGCAGCGTATGAATTTACAACTTTAACAACTGTACCGGGTTGTATTAAGTATAAAGGGGCTAAAATACAGTTGTTAGATTTGCCTGGAATTATCGAGGGTGCTAAGGACGGTAAAGGTAGAGGTCGACAGGTTATAGCTGTTGCAAGAACTTGCAGTCTTATTTTTATGTGTTTGGATGTGCTTAAACCGATTGGTCACAAAAAATTGATTGAGCATGAATTGGAAGGGTTTGGATTACGGTTAAATAAGCAACCACCTAACATTCATTTTAGAAAGAAAGATAAAGGTGGCGTTAACTTAAATTCTATGGTACCTCAATCAGAACTTGACTCGGATACGGTAAAATCAATTTTATCCGAATATAAAATACACAACGCTGATATAACTCTGCGATATGATGCAACGAGTGATGATTTAATCGATGTTATTGAAGGAAATAGGATTTACGTTCCTTGCATTTACATCTTAAACAAAATCGATCAGATCAGTGTCGAAGAATTAGATATTATTTATAAAATACCTCATTGTGTACCGATTTCTGCTCATCACCGATGGAATTTCGACGATTTATTAGAGAAAATGTGGGATTATTTAAAATTGGTTCGAATGTAAGAAATTATACAGTTTTTTAAAATTGATTTGACATAAATTTGCGTTTAGTTACACGAAACCAAAGGGACAACTCCCCGATTATAACTCACCGATTGTTTTACACTCCGAAAAGACTACCGTTGAAGATTTTTGCAATAAATTACATCGAACAATCGCCAAAGAATTTAAATAGTAAGTTCGTACTTATTTTGAACAAAAATCGATTTGATTATTTTTTAGCGCGTTGGTTTGGGGATCCTCCGTGAAACATCAACCTCAAAAAGTCGGGATTGAACACGTTTTAGCAGACGAAGATGTTGTGCAAATCGTGAAAAAAGTTTAAAATTTTTTTTTTAGGTTAGGCTAATTTTTTTTTAGGTTAAGTTAATTTTTTTTGACGTTAATTTAATTTGTTTTAGGTTAGGTTTAAATGTGGTTTCTTTTTGAGTTGATATTAATTAATTTGGATAAGGAATAAACGTTTTTTAATTTTAGAGTCATTTTTATTTAAAATTTCAAGTTTTGCAAGGTTTAGCAAATTACGCAAACTTAGCTTTGACGTACGCATATTAAGGCCGGTAATATAGTTTTCGTTATTGAAATAACAGGATATAAATTGTTGCACTATCTATCAACAGAACTTGCAACTATTTTAATTTGTTTAGGTTATTTGAAAACATATTTTTTTTGAGTTAATATTAATTAATTTATTTAAATCACTTTTTAAGTTGTTCAGATATCCAATCAACAAATCTGCTTACTTTCGTGTAAACAGAGGGCGCACCTCTAGTTGCACAATTATTAATACCGAATGAAACAATTCCTATTAAAGTGTTATTTTGCACTAAAGGACCCCCAGAATCACCACTACACGCAGTTTTTGGATCTCCTTTAACTAATGTGCATAAATTAGTTTCTCTTATTGTTGTCGGAAGAGATAAATTTTCCCAAGATTTGACGCAATCTAAAAAATTATTTTGATTTTGAAAGATGTCAAATTAAATGTCACTTACAGAAGTTACTTTCCACTTACCTTCGTTGCTGATTATGGGCACATCGGCTTTCATTAACCACAGACTTGGTATCCGAAGGTACGGAAAGAACATCCCCCAGCCGGTTAATGTGGCATTAATTGAATAATTTGGTTCTGAATTTGCAACGGGAAGATTAATCTTGTTTATATTTTTATCATTAAATGTTATTTTCGATTTTAGTTTTAAAATTGCTATATCATTGTAAGCTACATTACTAAAAGTAAATAAAAATTAACGATAAATTAAAATCGTTCTTAAATCTTTATCTTACTCAACAGTGGTGTAGTTTGGGTGTTTGTAATATACATCAACAAATACAGTTTGTGCAAATACACTAATAATCGATGATGTGCCTATTCTTACTCTTGAATTCTTGAATATGCAATGCGCGGCGGTTAAAATGTGTTGTTCGCTGATTATGGACCCACCACAAGTGAATTTATAGAAAAAATCTTTAATTATTTCTCGTTCAATTGCTACTTGATACGGGTATTTCTTTATAGACGTGAATTCACCACCAACAATTCTTTTATCATGATTTCCGGTATGCTTTAAATGATGATTCTTTCCTATTATAATCAAATTAATAAATTTTTAATAAAAACAAATCAAATTTACCATTAACAACCAACAAAACACCAAAAAAGCTAACCCCAACTAAAATTTTAAAAGCACTCATAGCAAATTAATTTAGTTTTAAACAACAAACTCACTTTGTTGCTCTATTTTATTATAACATGCATAACGAACATGCGCAAATCCTTAAAAACAATACTCCTATAAAAAATAAATTCCTTTCGAATTCATTTTCGTTCTGAAAGTCATTCGTTTCAATTATTAACCATAAAGAAAACGTGTATTCGCATTTTCAACGAAATCGTCATCGCTAGTTGTCTTAAATAACCTCAACATTGTTATCATAGCTCGTTAATTCTTTATTGCCTCCGTTCTCGGTATCTTTTTAATAAAATTTTTAAAAAACTCAGTAATATTCAAGGTTTCTAAAAACGACATTGTTTTAACATGAGTACAAAATATAAAACCGTTTTGATTTAGTTAATTCGTATTTTACACTAATTGGATTTTAAATTTTATGTTAAACGATAACAAAGTTGGGTCCCGTTAAACGTTATTTTTATATTTATTACTTTTTTTTTCATATATAGAAGCTTAAACATGTTAGTACTTACTGTTTAAAATCATTACACTTAAACACCATGATAATTTTCGGGGTTATATTGAGTCTATTAATTATCGTAGATGGTGAATTGATCCATTAGGATTAACCAGTAATAATTTTTGGTTCATTTTCAGTCGAAACTACAAGTAATAAAAGAATTATCGGTGGAAAAACTACATCCATCAATCAATACAACCATCATGTAGCTATTAACGCAGATGGGACATACATCTGCGGCGGCTCCATAATAAGCGAAAGACACATTTTAACAGCGGCCCATTGTTATCGCTTATACACAACATATACAGTAAGATACGGCAGTTCTTTTCACGATGATTTTGGAACCCTCGTCTATGTTACTCATTTCTATTTACATCCGTATTATTATATGGTAACTGCAAGCAATGGAAATGAATAGTACGTAAATTTAGTTCCAATTCTATAAATAATTATTTCTATTTCAGCCCTAAAAATGATATTGCTATCTTCAAACTTAAAGATGTCATCAAATTTGGTAATCTCGCCAATAAAATTGATCTGCCAGAACCGAATTATGAACCAACCGTCGGTTTTAGCGCCACATTAACCGGTTGGGGTAACGAATATTTTGCACCAACTAATCAATTGAAAAGGGCCTATTTGCCAATAATGAGGAACGTCGGTAAATGTTCTATTAACTTTCTATCTTAATATTTTAAAATTTTTTAATCAGATTGTGCGAAGATGTGGATTCCAGTAAACGTTTATGACACTAATATTTGTGCGTCAGTTAATGCGGAAGATTCCGCGTGTATTGGAGACTCCGGTGGCGGTCTTGTATTAAATGGAAAAGTTATTGGAATTGCTTCATGGACCATAGAAAATTGTGCAACCGGAACCAGCTCTAAACCGAACGTTTTTGCAAGGGTTAGCAAATATTTTTGGTGGATTCAAGAACAACTTAAAAAATAAAACTGTTTGTCAATAATTTCCTTAGTTAATGTTGTTGTATTTTGGAGAAATAACACATTAAACAACCCTCTCAAATAACTAAATAAATTATATTACCATATAGTAAAGTCTCTATTAGATTACCTAAACTACTAAAGATTACCTATTAGATACCTAATTATTATTATTATTAGATAATCTAGGGACTTTACCATAAACGCAAACTAAACGCAAACGTTCCTAAAGCGCCGTCTATCCACAAGATTCGCAACAATTTAAATTTAATTTATTATAATCAAATAAAAGTAAAGAAATTCATTTTAATTTTATTTGATAAGGGTTTCAATTTGAGATTTATCATAAAACAAATGTTTTAGATAAAATACTTAAAACGATTTTAATTGATTATCAGTATTATCACGTTTATACATTAATCAACAAAATTCGCAACAATTCAAATATAATTTATTATAAATAAATAAAAAGTAATAAATCATTTTAATACCATTCGATACTTAAAACGCATTACAAAAAAAATATTTTTAAATTTTAATTCAATTTTTGCAAAAATAATGTAATGTAAACAATAACGTCAACGTCAAAGTTGTTTAAAAAAATGTACAACAAATTAATTCCGAAGCCGGTTTTCTTAAAAATTAAAGCCGGATCATTCGGGCAAAAAGATCTTTACGATTTCGATCATAAATGCGGATTACCGCCTCCCGATGATTTGGTGGAACGTTACATTTGCAGCGGAATTTTCGTTAAATGGAGAAGAAAATTAAAGAACCTTGTGATTTGTAGCGAAAGAAATGCCCGAACAAAGCTCTTTTTCAAGTCCAGCAATGCGATTTTCAACCAAAAATATAAACACTTGGAGTTCGATTTTAACATGATCCATCCGTTTAGTATCGGAAGGGCTTATTGGGAATTTTTCATGTTTTTCGTTTTTATTATAATGTTGAATTACATTCCTTTGCATATTTGTTTAACGCACAGTAGTGTTTACATATGCCCATATCGATTATTGATGGATATATTTTGCTATATAGATATGGGGATGAGTTTTTCCACTGGATATCAACATCCATTAACGAAGAAAGTTATTATGAAAAGAAAATTGATTACGAAGCATTATTTTGGTTCTTGGTTCATGATAGATTTATTAAGTTCGATAAATCCTGATATAATCATCTATATTATCCATGCTTACACTGGTAAATTAGTTTGGCAGATCAAAATATTATCAATGTTTAAAATATTTAGGATCAGCACCGTTTTATTATATCTAACAAGATTAAAAGAGGTTTATAATTAAGACATTTAAAGCTTTATTTATTGATTTACTTTAATTTTTTAGTGGTTCCAAATCAATTGGTTCATCTATCAAATGGTTAAACTTGCCATTATCATCCTAATAATGATTTTATGGCACGCCTCTGTTTTATTCTTAGCGGCGTATCATTTAAAGGAAGTTTGGATTGTGGAAGATTGTGTTTATCACAGCTTTAAAACGGTCATTTCAAGAACTATTGGTTGTATTTTAATAATTGGAGAAAAAGGCAATCCATCTACCTTAATGCTGATAATCATTTTAGAGGTTGCCTTCACTGTAATCGGATGGATCTATCGAATCATCATAACGAGTGCTTTAATTAATGAGATACTTAGTACATTTATTAATTATTGTTTTAATACAGCTCAAATTACTTTATTAGTATTAAAAGTGAATCCAATTGGTGCGAATCACGCCAAGTTAGTCCAAGAATTTGAGGAGTACGTAGTCACAAAGAAATTACCCAAACTTGTGAAAAAACGAGTTTTGAATTATTTGGAATTTAAGTTCCACGGAAAGTTTTATAGAGAAGTCGTTATTTGGAAGACTTTATCCAACAGTTTAAAACAAGAAATTAATTTATTTATTTGTAGAAAACTTTTAAATTCGTTGTTTATATTCCAGTAAAATTTTTGGTTAAAAATTTAAATATACTTTAATAATTATTTCGTTACAGCAATTTGCCCATGGAAATCGTCATGAAATTAAGTAACAACTTTAAACACGAAATCTATCTACACAACGATGTAATAATCCAAGCAAATACACCAGCAGAAGAGATTTTATTCATTGTCACTGGAATGGCAGCTATTTACAATGAATCACAAAAGGAAATCAATCATTTTTTAGCCGGCGATTGTTACGGCGATTTTAATCTCTTCGTAAACGCACCAATTGCCGAAGAAACGATCGTTGCAATCGATTGTTGCGAAATTTATTCCATAAAGTACAAAGATATCAAAAAAATTATGCTTCCGTATCCAGAGATTTGGGCGAAAATATGCAAGGTTGTTAGAACCGACATAATCGATCCGTTGCGGTTATTAGATTCGTCTGGTTCGCTTAAGAAACTTAGAGGAACTAGTGATATAACTTAATTTTTATTTAATAAAATTATACCAAATTAATGTGTCAATTTTTTTAATTTAGATTGGACAGGCAACCAATCCTACATCAATGTCAAAATGGTTGCCTAAATTAGAAATATTTTTTTAACAAATTTGTATATTAATATTTTTTTTTAATTACACAAAATGTTAATTAAAAAAGGATTGGTACATGATGAAGAATACACAAAGAGTAAAAATTTAATTAATCAATATTCGGTGAAATATATGATTGTGAAATAAAAAGATTTTCTTTATATCTTGATGGATAAGAATTAGTTAATTAGTTAATTAATGAATGAATTTAAATGAATCAATTCATTGAATTACTGTGTTATTCGACAAGGTTAAGAATTTCCACTCCTTACACACAATTATCACAATTGGAAAATTGCCGAAGATAAGTTACAAGATCCTGCCCTAACCTAATTCTAGTTAGATGGAAATATCGGTCCCGATTTGTTTGCCATTCGTCCTTAAAACTTTCCATTAAAGGTTAACACAATAATACCGGCCATTAGGGCAATAAAGTGCTTCTAATAAAGCACTACCGTTCAATTTCAAGCAATAAAACCGCAGCCGTATAAATAGGTCCGAAAGGGATTCTTTTGCAGTTACAACTTGATTTAACACCTAAAAACAACCAAAATCATCACTAAGAAGAAATTAACCCAAAAACGAAAAGCTATGCTGAAGGAGATAGCTTTAACATTATCCATCGGTTTGGTTTTTGCTTTTGGAAGCGCCGAACCTATCAGTAAAACCACTAGTGCTCACAGCGTTCACCCACCGACCATAACAACACCGCTCGGTGATGTTAAAGGCACTATTTTAACATCGAGATTGGGGAAAACTATCTATTCATTTAGAGGTTTAAGATATGCTAAAGCTCCAATTAACGAATTAAGATTTCAGGTAATTTCTATTCTATTTTATTTAATTTAACTTTTATATAATTTATTTTTAAGCCTCCAACACCAATTGAAAAATGGGACAGTATCTTTAACGCAACTCAAGATGGGGCTCCCTGTCCGCAATCAAATATAGAACAAACTTCCGAAGATTGCCTTTTCCTCAATATTTACACCACGAAACTCGTCAAAGGCAACGATAACCCTAAAAGACCCGTCATAGTTTTTCTTCATGATGGAAACTTCTACAGCTCGTCTAGTTCGAGCGCCGAAATGGGACCACAATATCTTTTAGATCAAGAAATCGTTCTCGTCGTACCAAATTATCGATTGGGAGCTTTGGGATTTCTTAGTACGAGTGAAAAAGAGTTCCCCGGAAATTACGGTTTGAAAGACCAGGTTCAAGTGTTGAAATGGGTCAAAGAAAATATTGCCGCGTTTGGAGGAAACCCCGAAAGTGTTACGATCGCGGGATATGGTGCTGGAGGGGTTTCAGTATCGGTACATTTAGTTTCACCCCTTTCGAAAGGATTATTTCACAAAGCGATCGTTATGAGCGGATCTGTTTATGGAAATTGGCCCCTTGTTAATAATCAAATGGAATTGGCTAAAAAACAAGCTAAATTGGTGAATTGTCCTGTTGATACTGTCAAAAATATGATGCAGTGTATTAAGACTAAATCAGCTGACGATTTGGTGAAATCAACACCGGGATTTAAGGAATTAGGAGATGATCCTTTGTACTATTGGTCACCTGTTATTGAAGCTGATTTTCTCCCGTCACATCCGATCGAATTAATTAATAAAGGGGAGTTTAATAAAGTTCCTGTTTTAGCTGGAGTTACAGCCGATGAATTCGGAGGGAGAGCTTATAGTACGTATTCACATTTAACTAAATACATTGTGTTAATTAATTATCGTACCCGACGTCATAATTGCAAGTATGCAACCAATATCACAGTATCGGTATTGCAATACGCGATTTGCGATATTGGTTGCATCGATATTAACACAGTGTATATTTATTTATTTAATTCGTTTTTAGCTTTAATAGCAAATGAAACGGCTTTAAATGAACTCGCTAAAGATTTTGAGAAAAATTCTCCGATTTCTTTTCATTACGAGAAAAACCCCGAGGTTGCTAAAACTTTAAAAACAGTTTATTTCGAGGATAAACCGATCGATAAATCCCAAATTCCCGGTTTTGCCCAATTATACACCGATTCCTTGGTGGGATTTAACATAAACAGAATGATGAAAGTTTTGGCAGAAAAGAACGACGATTTATTTTATTATCACTTTAATTTTAAAGGGAAATACAGTAACTGTTACTTACCAGATAGTAACAACACAGTTCCTTACGGGGCTTCTCATCAAGATGATCTCCTTTATTTATTTTCAAATTCCAATTTTGCTCAATTTAAAGAAGGAGAGGTTGAGTTATCGACCATTGAGAAAATGACCAAGTTGTGGGCTAATTTTGCTATTCATGGGTAAGTAAATAAGTTAATCGAATAGAATTACATAATTTATTGTTTTTTTAGAAACCCCATTCATGAACCATGTGAAAAATTAGATAACGTAAAATGGGAAAAATTCAGTACAAAAAATCAAAAATTCATGGATATAGGAAACAAATTGGCGATGAGTGAAAATTTGCATGAGAAAAGATACAAAGAGTGGGAAAAATTGTATCCTCTATCAAAGTATAGTAACGCTCAAGTGGGTTAAAACGTTGTTACACTTAGTAGATTAGTCACGTTTTTTTGTACTGTGTATTTAAAGATCGTAAAGAAATAAATTATTTTATCACAAACCTTATTTAATTTTATTTATTTTAAAAAAACAGGATTAAAATGCAAATTTAATTTTAAAATTGTAGGCAACCAATTTTACAACATTGCTTACAATAAAAATTAAATTATTAAAAAACACGGCAGATATTTATAAATTGATACGAAATATTAATCAAAAAATTAGTGTTTCTAAATTTGTAAGTATAGATGAATAAAAAGTAATTTTAATAAGTTGTTTAAATTTTTGCAAAATTCATAATAAATTCCAATGGTTAGCGCCATCCTGTGGCGCCATCTCAAGCTTTCAATCAGTATTGTGGATTTATCTGTCATTTTTTTTAAAAACACTCTCGCGCAGCTCGCTCATGTCTAATAATTAATGAATTTATTGATGGAAAATCGATTTAGTTTAATTCGATAATTCGAGAAGTTATTTTAAATTTTAATTCGTGATTTTAGGTTTCGATGTGAACTCAAGGATTCAGTTTTGTTCGGTTCTATTCGGATGGAATCGGGCTTTGTTGAATAATGCAAATTTAGTTGCAAATTTTTGAGGTTAGTATTTTTGGGTTAAAAATGTTTATTTTTTTAATTTTTTTATTTCTTATGTGTACATAGCCGTGGTACAAATCTCGTTGCATACAATATTACAATAAATTTTCAAAATTATTGGTCAGATGATAATAATAAATGTACAATAATAATAATTTAACAATATCATCTAATTAATAATTGGCTAATTACGTTTACTTTATCTTTAATATCCTTTAGGAAACATTTAGCGCTCATTTAATATTGATCCCACTATAATTTATTTTTTTTCTTTAATATTTATTACGGTAAACAGCGAAGTTTATTTATCTGTTATTCGATAAGTCTTTCATGCATCTACAATCTATTTAAAAAAAAAACCTCAAAAAAGTTGTGATATAAAGATAGAAATAAAAATGTAGGAGGAAAAGATTTTTTTTTAGGCCGTTGTATTTAATAATTTTTTAATTTAAAACGTTTCTTTTAAATCACTTAATTTATTTATGACTAAACTTTTGTTTAACGCTTCATTTAAAATTCTATAATTTAACTTATAACGTTTGTATATTATAAAGTTATCATCAGTCTTATTATTATTTTCTTTTTAAATAGGATTTACTAGCAACATTGAAGCGAAATTACTTCAATTTGGTTTATTTTAAACAACAGCCAAGAGTTTCAAAAGGAAAGGAAATACAGGAAGTACTCTAGTTACATATTTTAATTTTTTTTACAATTCCTTGGCGAAAATTAAGATTTAAATAAGTAAATAAATAAAAAGGAATGTATTTAACAGTTACAATATGTTAAACATTTTGTATTGCCTATTTTTTTTAATTATAAATGATTCATTTAAAAAAACAGCAACTGTGTTCTATAGGCACCATATTTAGAGAGAGAAGGCCGGTTACTTGAAGAGATATGATAGAGATATACAATTTATTAGTCTCTCAAAAGAGAAGTGAAATGATTTTTAATTTTTTTAAAATTAATTTTAATGTCATGAAGAGATCACAAGCGATTTTGAACGAACCTAAGCGTTCTTTTAAATTAAAAAACTTTTAAATTTTCTCGTTTAGCGTTCTAATGACAAAGGATTTTACAAATATCATACAATCTTAGTAATTGACATACTCAGTACACAGTCAGATATTAATATCTTAACTATTTCTTTTTTATTTTAGGTTAGGTCCTTATCAGCTAATTTTTTTGTGTTAACAAATTTTTTTTGAGTGTTAAAAGCAAAAATTGTTCATGATTCAAATTAATATCTTCACAACAACTCAAACTGATTACCCATATCGAGTATAACGCTGTTACACCCCAATTTTTGTTGTTGACTTGTCGGCGGTAAAGGGGGTGTTGGAATAGTCGGTAAATTTCCTAATTCCTCATCTTCGTCTTCGTTCTGAATCAATAATTGCTGCTGTTGCTTTCCGGATAACGCAATGTCTCCTACAATGACCGTAGTTGTCGATGAGTTGTGTTGTTGTCGGCACGCAGCGACAATGTGCATCGGAGACGTTCCCGTCATAACGAAATTGGTGATTCCCGCCAAACCGGAAAGATCCGCCGTGCCGTTTGCCGTCGCCGGAACTAAAAGCGACGTGTCTTTTTTGCCCTCCAGCACGTGGACGACTCCGCTGTCGAAAATGATGTCTTCCTCGACTGCGGAAACAACGTTGTTGTTCTCTGGGGATCCAACGTGTTGTTGTTGGTGCTGGGGGGCGTGACGTCAAAGGTTTGCGGTATCGCTTTCTGATGCTTCCACCAGTGGCCAATCGCTTTCCGGACTTGAATCTCCGTTTGATGAACTTGACGATTCGGTCTAAATTTAAACAAGAATCAAAAGTTATTATAATTAAAACAGTTTAATTAATATAGTTATTTTCTTTTTAGTTTAAAAGGTTACCCCGAAATTCTTGAAATAGAGACTACTCAGACTACTGATATCGATGTAATGTCTCGCCCGCAAGCAACCTCGGCTTATTTAATCTTGATATCCTTGAAATCTGGTTAGTTTTTGCATGCGATATAGTATCAATATAACTAGATTATCTTAGATTCCTGGGGATAATGTTTTGTCCGCGGAAATCGGTTGAATTAAATAATATTAATTTTATAATACTTACCACACTGACTGGAGTCAGAGATCTTAAAGGAGGTGTTGGTGGCCCCCTTTTTAGCTTTGGTCAGGCCACCGTTCCTCCAGTTTCTGGTTCGGGAGACCAACAATTATCGGACAACCAGCATCCGATGACGACAGTTACTAATCCGATTAGTAAAGCTAACATTATGTACACCTCCGCGTTTCCTAAAAGATGAATTTTGAAAAAAAAAATCAAATTTTTTTTCATCTTACCTAATTGTTTTCGTATACCATTTCCCATTTTGCTCCTCCACAAGCTATTAATTAACGTTGGGTCGGCTCGTCTCCATTCCCTCCAACCGGCCCAATTTCTGCGAACGACGCCAACTCCCCCACCGGAAGCCATCATCACACCTGGTGCTGGCGTGCTTAAGGTAGGATTCGATGGGCCGTGAGCGTTTCCTTGCGGTGACGGAAAACTTGTAACTTAATAATTGAGTTAATGAGTATGGATCAATAAATAGGTTAGCTTTGGGATTTTAGCATCGTTAATTTTGGAATTGGAAACCATGTTATGTAACTGACAATTAGTGAAGTTGCATTGATCGGTACCCCTTTGGGTTTCGACCTCCCTACACTTTGTAAACTCACGAACACGGTAACGTAAATGAATGCACGTAAATTGCATTATCTTAAGAGGAGTTGAAATGGGAAAACGAGTAATAAGAGAAAGAGATACAAGTTATGTTTTGGTGGTCGGGTCGTTTTGAAAGTTTTATGTTTCAATTGCTCGAAACACTACCGGAAAAGGGGTCAGTGAATTTTTTATTTTCCCCCGCCTGGAAAGAACTAACGAAGAACACTTATTCTTTCCTTGGATTGAAGTCAAAATGAACCTATATCTATCTTACCGATGATAATGATGAAGGTTAGTATTAAAAACAGCAAGAAAATCCAGCCCATCCCTTTGCGTCAGCAACTCGGTCGTTCCTGCGCAGGTATCATATCTCGGTGGAAGAAATATTTGAGTAGATCTTTGAGAAATCCCTCCGTGACTGATGAATTATTGAGAGACGCTGCCGTTGAAGTATCTAAAAAAACCACAAAAAGATTTAATGATTTAAAGTTTGTTTTAGAAAGAATTCAAGTGGAAAATAACCGAAAAGAAAATAGAACATTACCAGGCGTAGATGAAATGATTTTCACGGAGAGATAAGTGTAATTTAAAGGACGATTTGACCCTTTTTCTCCTGCAATTTTCTGTTTACGACTTGTTCCCCAAAATATCTCAATAAATTTTTCAAAATCGCTTTTACTACTTTTAAATATTGATTAATGCGATGTTTTTCGAACTCATTTTTATTGCCTGCTCAGGTAAACGTCCATAAATCGAACTAAAACTGAAATCTTTATGACACCGAAAACTCAATTTTAAATCAATATTATGTTTTTTTAGATTAAGTAATCTTAAGACGGATTTGATAGTTTCGTATCTCTTTGTTAAAGGTTACGTGCTACCGAGAAAATTAATGTACTGCGACTGACCGTTCGATCCAACGGAGCCAACAACTGCAAAGGGATTTAACACAATGCAGTAAGTTTTTAAATCATTCATTTTTACCCTAACACTAAATCATCTAAATGAAGTGTAAAGAGGTATCGCTTAATAATTTTTAATACAAAAAAAGATTCCTTTTATATTTCCATTCTTGAAGCTTTACGATCACCGTATACGGGTTTCCCCTTGAAGTTATGAGCAACAATAAAGTTGACCATCAAACGTCGAACGCGAAACCATAAAATTGCACACGTCCAATTTCGTTTCGTTCTTTCGGGAAAACTCTTTAACTTTAGGATGGGTGGCAAAGATTTCTCTAAGTTGAATGCGAGGACTATAAAATAATCGTTTATTAGCCAGTTGACACAACATTAATACAGTATCTGTTAAGATAATGAATTGCCTCAGTCGTAATTGCACTTTTCGTCCATAATTAAGCCGAGGTCGCTTGAGACCGTTACCACAATATAGTATATGAAAAGATATTGCACTGCCTCGTCTATAATTGCACACTTTTATGCACAGTTTTCGACTATAATTAAGCCGAGGTCGCTCGCGGCCGAGGCATTTCATTAGATACCACATTAATATTGTATCTAAAGAGATATTGCACTGCCTCGTCTATAATTGCACATTTTTCGGTTATAGTTAAGCCGAGGTCGCTTGCGGCCGAGGCATTTCATTTGATACTACATTAATATAGTATCTGAAGGGATATTGCACTGCCTCGTCTATAATTACACACTTTTATGCACAGTTTTCATTTATAATTAAGCCAAGGTCGCTTGCGGCTGAGGTATTTCATTTGATACCACATTAATATAGTATCTGAACAGATATTGCACCGCATCGTCTATAATTGCATACTTTTATGCATATTTTTCGTCTATAAATAAGTAGAGGTCGCTTGTGGCAAAGTTTTTTTTGTTTTTCCAATTATTATTATGGCGAAAAATTTATTTGGTAACCTAAAATGTAATTCTGTTTTTTATTTTGTTAATTAGTTTTGCAATTTATGTTAGAAAATAATGTGGTGATCACCTTGTTGGTTTATATAAGTAATTTTATTTCATTTCTTCTTCAAGAGACTAATAGTGTGAGTTATATATTTGAATACGTCTCATGAGTGTACCGAGGCAATATCTTAAACCACATACGAGTTTTCCCTTTAAGTTATAAGCAACAATAAAGTTGACCATCAAACGTCGAACGCAAAACCGTAAAATTGCACACGTCCAATTTCGTTTTGTTCTTGGGAAAAACTCTTTAACTTTAGGATTGGTGGCAAAGATTTCCCGAAGTTGAACGCGAGGACGATACAATAATCGCTTATTAGCCGTATAATAGTAAAAGTTGTTATCGTCGAAAACTTTACTCGAAAGTTAGTTTTCGGCGAGATTTATAGTTTTAGGAAGAAGAACCCCAGGTGAACGAAACGAGAATTTTAAAATTAATTTTTGAATGAATCATTTAAATCAAATTATTTTCATTGAATTTATCTGCACACACCAACACAACTCCCCACCACGCGGTTGATGCGAAACTGCATTATTTCAAAGCCGAAAATTAGAGGAACACAGACACGAATTATTGATAATAACGCGTTGCGTTCAATTTGCGAATTCTATGTAGACATAAAGGATTCAATCCAATTAGCGGCGTTAATACGTAATATTGTTCGCACGATTAAATAATTATTTTACACATCGATCGATGCACTCAACACATTCAAATCGATCTTCAATTAAAAACGAACAAGAAAAAAAAAACTCGAATGAGTATCGATCTGAATATAGCGCAACTCTTTGGAGCTTTTATCTTGTTCACGTTTGAAAAATTTTCAACAGAAAAAAATATTGATGATGTGCAATTAGTCAGTGTGGGTTTCAAACGTGGGATTTGAGCACATGGAATTGTTTCTGTGTGTGGAAATAAATCATACATTTTTTTTTTATTTTTGAGTAAATGGATATTTATTGGTTTATTAAAAATTCACTAAACCAAACCAAACCAGTTTTCTCATAATTACAAAAATATGAATTAAAATTTAAAATGGTTTCGACATACATTTATGCTTTATAGGGAGCCCAAAAACTCCCAACTCCTCCCGGAGGTTTTAATGAAAATGTGATAAACGGCACGTTGGTGTGCAATTACACTTCAGTTCGGTAAACGCTTTGCCGCGTACCGAATATACACAGATAGATAATGGTTAGTTAGGTGCATTCTAATTTTCTGCGTGTTCAACAAAACGCACCAGATAAAGCATGAGTTAAAACCCGATTGTGTGGAATGATCGTGTTTTTATTTCCCCATCCTAAGAATTCACTAATTAAACCCAAAAACGATTATCTTCATTAATCCAATTCGTTTCTCATTTCAAATGATCAATTTGAATAATTAAATCTAATTCCTTTTTCAATATCGCTTTATCACTATAATAATGTCTTTTCTTTAATATAATTGAATTAGTACACGTCTAGTTAGGGAAAAATTTATCTGTTCATGAAAAATGACTTTTCCTAAGGGAAAGGAGAGAGAAGAAAATAAAAAAATAAAATTTAAAGTGTCTCCTCTGAGTCGTTCTGTTCCCTTGTTCGTGTCGTATGTTAAAAAATTAGGTTTCAGATAGCGTCACGGTAAAGCGTCCTTCATAAAAATGAATAAAACAAACGGTGAAAAGCTGAAAATTTCAAGCGCGGTGAATCGCCTCGAATGTCCGACGAAAACCGTCCTCGGAGGGAATTTAAAATTTCGTCGCCCGATTTATATTTTAGAATGTGCGTGACTGGAAAGTTTCGAAAGGTACAACAACTATTTTTGTTTATTTACAAATTATGTTTCCAAAAATAATTTCAAAACAAGAATTTGCATTAGAATTAATATATTATATTGCTTCTTCAATATTGTCTCAACCTCATCTTAATCAAGCAAAAATATATAGTTTCCGTTCAAAATCAAGTAGAGATATCAGTTGATATATCGTATAGAATGTTGCACTGCCTCAGCCGCAAGCAACCTCGGATGAATACGGTAAAAATTAACGCTCTTCGTTCATAATCAAACCGAGGTCGCTTGCGACCGAGGTAGTACAATGTTTCATCATATAATACTATATTAATGTGGTATCAACTGGAACGCAAAAATTAAACTTCAAATGTTGTCACATAAAAATAAATAGAACAAACTGTGAAAAATTGAAAATTTTTAAAGGTACATCAACAATATTTGTTTATTTACCAATTGTAAACGTTTCCAAAAATAATTTCAAAGCTACAATCTGCTTTATTTAAAATTAATTGGTACATGAACTGCATTCAAATCTACATTTCTACGCGAACCATTATTTTACCGACTGTTTACAAACTCACGATTCCAAACCCCACTAACAACTTGTACTTTGAATACCTTATTAAAGCAGCTCGAGGGGAAACTCTCAAATTAATTAATTAATTAACTTCAAATATGAAATAAATATTTAAAAATTTCAACTTTTCCCAATAACAAGGTTTTTTTTCGATTTCAAAGTGTACCTTTAAACTCGGCGGTGGAGATTTTCCATCCCACTGGGATTTAGATATCTTTTGAACCTTGAGGGCTTCTTATCGATTTAGCTGAAATGGTCGTTTTGCGTTAGATAGGGTAGAACGGGATCGGTTATTTTTGCTCGACCGTTTATGCAAGTGGCTCCATCACGTAGATGATGCATTTTAAAGTGCGAGATCAACTTCTTTTAAGACTACGTGATATCATCTTTCGGCAACGCTTTATCATCGTATTCTTTAAATTAAAATTTAAAAAAAAAATAGAAGTACCTTTTTGATTAGCTTTTAGGTGAGGTAGAACCGCGAAAAAACGATTTCACGTAGAGTTTCAGTAAAAGTCGTAACCGCTTAAAAGTCGAAGAAAATAAAAAATAGAACTTTACTTAACTTTAAAACAAGTTGAGTTTTTTTTTCTTTTCATTGAAAATCGATGCTTTTAGATTAAATAAAATTAAATTAAATTTCGTTAAATTATAATTATTTTATTAAAAATCGTTTTAAATTGTTTAAGATTTTATTAAAATCATAAATTAGAACGAATTTTGCCTAATTAAGTCAAGGCACTTGTCTCCGAGGAGCTGCAATTAATACAATTATCATGTAGTATTCACTAGACATATTGCAGTCCCTCTTTTGATTAAGCCGAGGCCGCCTGCGACTGAGGCACTGGATTATTACCTCGGCCAAGCTAACAATAAGATATACACTCTTCGACCATAATTAAGCCGAGGTCGCTTGCTACCGAGGCATCGGTACTATATCAACACAAAAAGTAACCAATTCACAACGGTATTAATATTAGTAAAGCCGAGCTTGGAACTGAAAGGCATTTGAACGTGCCAATGGGATAAAAAAACAAAAAATCAAAACGCAAAAGTCTCGATGGCACGTGCAAAGCAGTCAACCCAACCTCCCGGCAGAGTCATATTTATTGTTAATTATCTTACAAAAACATGGGTCGTAATTACAAGAGCGACGCTATTGGAAATCGCAAACTAGCATACATTGAGTTGTAATCTAGACACATCTGATTAGATTTAAAACACGATTACCGTAATAACCTTTTTTGTAGTGATTATTTGGATTCCAAACAGCTATTAGCTGAAAGTCGTTTATAATTATTTATAGGAAGATAAATTTGATAGTAAGCAGATTTCTTAAATTTTATTAACAAATTATTAGAAATGAGGAATTTTTGCAACTTTGTGTAGAAGAAATACTATACATTATGGCAACAACAACCATGTAATCCGCAAAACGTGCAGCTATCTCACTCGTCACCAAACACGCGACCCATCATACTTTAACTCCTTCCTAGATAACTAGTATTATTTAAGACCGCAATCTCTACCATCGCCTATACAAACCCATAAATGAAATTGATTTATTAAAAATCTTCAATTTTAAAATGAGTACATTATTAATTCGGTTACTTTTTCTTTTAATTTTTTTCGTCTTTGAGGTAACAAAAAGACGACACGTTTCTGTAATGGGACAAGGAATATCCTAGAAATTGGAAAGGTACGGAAACGAACCAACCGGGAAAGGAACTAATTTTTGTGAGTAGAAGACGGGGGTTGAACCGGAATTCATACTCTATGCATTGTTCTTTGAAAATAAGCCACGGTTGGGTTGGGTTGATTCCTTTCTTTCTCTTTCTATTCCTCTGCCTTTTTTTGCTGCGCATATATTGATTCAGATGCGTTAATTTTTAATTTTTTAATTTTTCGATTGAACAATTATTTCATTTCTGTCATCCATCACGTGTTTACATTGAAATGGCACAAAATAAAAATACGTTGGATATATTTTGTATGAAAACGACGATACATCCCATGGTATAAGTGGGAACGTGCTCGCAATAAGAAATATGCACCCGCGGGAATGCACAACTGTCATTTTTACGTGAAATAGTAAGGTGATAGCCGTGAATAATACTACCCGTTATGTTTGGACATCTTTTGCGTTTTACATTTTTCTTTATCAAGATTTTATTTTAATAATTCATATGTTAATAGTCTAATATTCAAGTAAAAGTAAATAAGAGATAATGATGGTGTCAACACATCAAACTGTCAACGTGTTAATTAAATAGTAATTTTCGAGAAAGTGAATTAAATTAAATCTTCATTTGGCTTTCGTGTGAAGGCGCAAATTGACCCCCTTTTGGAACATGATGAGGAGACGAACGAAAAGGGGGGTTGGCGGCGCTAAAAGGGGTCAAGTAAGTGCAAACCTCGACGAGAAACTGTCACTGTCACGACGTGAACCGTGTTGTTGTCGTCGTCGCCGATTTTAGAGTTGCCTGGTAACCGACAGAGACCACCCCAGACGACTCGACGTGGCGTCACGATGTTTTACCGCCCCCCAAAGCTTATAGATAACACCTCATGGTGTACGAGATCTTCGGCTAAATTATGTTGGATGCGAAAGGGAAAAATTGAATGAAATAGAGGAAAACGTTTGAGATTGCAAAAATTTATAAATCGGTGGAGTTATATAAAAAAAAAAGATGGGACTAATTAAAAAGTTTAAAAAAATTTAAGGGTTGTTTGCAGGAGTTAAAAGGATTTTTTTTAATTAAAAAATTTTAATTTTATATCTTTTTTACCTTAATAATCGTTTTTTAAATTGGGAATTTGTAATAATAGATTAAAAAAAGTCATAAATATACTGGAATTGAACCCGGTACCTCTTGAAAGTGCACTGTCATTTCTTTGTAAAAACAAATTGTTTGTCACATTTGACATTACTAATAAGTTACAATATCTTCATATCTTTAAATTTTGCGATTGGCGATAAAATGTTGTAGGCATCACGGCAGCAAATCTCAGACTTGTTCGATAAAGAATCACTTTGCTGGCTTGGTACATAAATAACTATTATTTTAAGAGTTTTTTTTATATGGTTCATGGGGCAAGGTGAAGAGGGGCGTCTTTGTCCGAACGAATAGTTTAGGATGAGACGTTAATAGAAAACGTTTCGTTTTGAAAGGAAGTAGGTTAAAAGCCTGAAGCCGGGGGATTTTCTATGCGGCTACTAATATTACGCGAGCATTCAAAATTAAAATTACATTTCATTTAAAATTTATACAAAAATTTATCTAACACAAAAGTTGTAAAGGATGATGAAAGTACAGTGAAATTCCCCTAATTTGAACTTCCATAATTCGAATTTAGTCTGAAGATGCACGGTTAAACCCGAAATTTTCTTGTTCTAGGTATAGTGTTAGTTCTAGTTTCACACATACACTGTCGCTGGAACTAACAGTAAACCTAGAACTAGAATCATTCGGGTTTAGCCATCTTGAGAGTCGTACGGCTAAACCCAAATGTTTCTAGTTCTATGTACAATGTTAATTCTAGTTACAGTGCAAGTGTAAAACTAGAACTCACACTAGCCCTAGAACTAGAAGGTTTTGGGTTTAGCTTAGTTTTGGAGACTAATTTTTCGTTATTTTTTTTTGTTTTCAACGTTACCAATGTTTTAAGGGCGAAAAATCCTTTAAAATGAACTCAAACACGACTGATTTATCTCTAAAAATACATTTTTATTAAAATTAACCTAAAATGTCAAACGTGAACTGTCAAAATAGTTTTATTTTAACATTTTGTTTGTTTTTGGTGTTAATTTGGTCGTGTTTGGGTTTGTTTTAAAGGAAGTTTTTTTCCGCTCCCTTAGCTATTCGAATTAGGGAAATTTTACTGTAATTGAGAAATTATTGACAGTTGGAGTTAAACAGTTTGTTGCTAACTTTATGTTATATCAATGTAAAGACATCAAAGGTTTTGACATAACGTAATAAACATAACCTCAATTTTTTTTTTTAATAATTTTTTCTTTTGTGTCTGGTAAGATTTGGAAACTTTTAAAAACTTTGAAATTTAATATATCATTATATTCATTATAATTTATTTGATTGATTTGATTTATTTGATATTTTTTATAATAAATATAACGATGATTTTGTATTTATCGGATCAATATGAAATTTAAAACGACGATATTTACATTATTCATTTTAACGAAAAAATTTGACGTTTTCAATTATTCATGGGATGTCCCGCGGATTTGTACTGCAACTTCGTAATAACCGTTGGGTTAATTTTTTTTCAAAAACGATAATCTGAATCGTTCTGTAATTTTGTAGAAGATATCCCCGCGAGGTCTTTACCCTTTACCCTTAAACCCGGGGCCGCGAGAGTAAGGCGCAACTGGTGTTCTAAATACACTATCATCCTTTGCTTAGGAGTCGCAATATCAAAATGAAAACTTACCTTAATGGAAGATTATTAAAATTTTGTTTTTTCAATCGGCGAACAATAACTGTTTATTTCTTGGGCGATACGCGTTTGTGTGTCGGAAAGATTTAAACTCGGAGTTTTTTTTAATTTTTTCGTCAGATAGTGAAGGGCGCGTAGTTCCTTGACCTGCTGCGAGCACACGGCACCCGGCAAAACTGGCCCCCCTATTCGAGGCACGGAGCCAGTATCCTCTGCTGGCAGGATCCAGGATCGCGCATGGCGAACACCGGCAAAAGCATTTCGTATCCTGGACGCTGCCAGCGTCGGGATAATAGACGAGAGGAAGGTCCAGGGTTCACTAACCTAAACGCAAAATATTACAGTTTGATTCAAATTTGATAAAAAAATACTTTTTGATTTGAAAAAATCCTTTCACAATATATTCAAACCCAACATTTTAAAGTTGACAATCTACTATATTATTTCTTTATTTTTAATAGAATTGAATTGACAAAACGTGTTTTGCATCAATCTCTCAAATATTCTAGAACCCAAATTATCATGAACGATGTGTTCCAAGTTGGAACCTCGAAAACTAACCGACCCCTGAAAAAGCTTTTAAGTTGTCAATAGGTGCCAAGAGATCCAAAAAGCAAACAACACGTTTCTAAAACTGTACGATAAAATATTGATTTTCTCGTAATAATTTATTGGGTCAAAACCAAAAATAAACACTTGTTTTTCGTATAAACACAAAATTCGATAACCGCAATCAAAGAAAATTTCTACGCCGACAACAACCCAGTAAAAGTATCAAAGTTGTTCAAAGCAAGGTAATAAGTCCTCAAAGTAATCATCTCGAGAAAACGGTTGTGAGAAAAGTGTTTAATTGAGCAACATTTTTTAATTCTAACCTCACTAATTGGATCAAAAATCAAAAATGCTTTAATTTAACTCCAAGCATGACTAAGTTATCTTAATTGATTCGCTAGTTATTTTATTTTTCCTATAAATAACAAAGAGAGATAGAAAACAAAATGGCCGGCTGTCATTGTTGACATTTCAACGTAACTTTTTTATGTTTCCACCACCAAAACCAACATTCTTGGGTATCAATTCGAATAAATCCGACCTCCTTTATCTAAATTTAGCATTACAAATTATAGTTAATTACTAAGAAAATCAAGATGGCTACCAATATGAATTTTTTTTTCGGAAATATGCTTTGTTTGGTATCATTTCGAATAATTTGATGGTGATCTTTTCGAATTTCACACTTAATTTTAATAAACTAAAAATCTAAGTAGGTCGCTATGATTTCCTAAAACTAGAAACATTCGGGTTGGATTGGGTTTTGTTTCGATTGCGTTTTAAGTTGAAATTGGGACCAAATTGTCGGAGTTTTATACGGAATTTTTCATTTGGTATTCATAATATTTAAATATTACATAACGTTATTTATTTATTATTTATTACGGTTATTTTTGAATAATTTTTTTAATAACACTTTAAAAACAAAAACAATAAAAAACTAACTAAAATTAAAAATAGCTTTAAGTATTTTTTTCGCTCTAGATTCCCCAACTATCTCTTTCTCTTTTTGTAGTTTATACAGTTTCCAATTTTCGTAGTGTTCCGTTCTTTTCGGTCTCCATTTAACCGAAGAAAACGATTTCTTAATCATCTAAAAAATAATAAGATAATGAATTAACTCATTATTAAATGGAAGAAATGAAAAGAAAGAAACCTTTGAAAAACCTTCGTTTTTATTTTGGTAAAAGTAATATGTAGTCCACATTACAAATTGCAACATAGAAATGCCCAAAATGCCCCAACCACATCCTGAAGCTACTTCCGGATATTCTAAACCGCCGTACGTTAATTTTTGATTCGTTATAACGAAGTAGAAGAAAATAATGATTAAAAAACCCGGGGTTAAAATGCCCCAAGTTAATCTCCAGTACCAATGAACTTGTTTTGATACCATAAAATAAATGTCGTCGCAAATTGAGTTTAAACCTAAAAGACGAATTTTTATTGTTTATTTTTGATATAATACAAAGAGAGAAATGAAAATCTTACCGTAAATCCAAAAGACGCAGATCACTTCAAACACAACCAAAACGAAAATAATGAATGTTCCGCCATAAAAATCGACCAAGTTTAAAATAAATTGGCCACCCTGTATATAATTTTAATTATTACTTTATGCAGTAAAACCTCGATATAACAGACCATGTAACTAACTGAATTATTATGTGATTTTAACGTTTAACAATGTTGAAATTAGGTAAATTGACATAAAAAATTAATTTAATGACAGCCGAAAATGTTAGATGAACTTAAAAAGTTTTTTTTCCGAAAATTATTCGAAATAATAGCCAACAACGCATATTTTCAAAGAAAACTCATATTGATACAAAAATTAGTTTTGGTGGAAAAATGAAAAAGTTACGTTGAAATGTCAACAATGACAGGCGGCCATTTTGTTTTCTATCTCTCTTTGTCAATTAAGTTAAGATAACTTAGTCATGTTTGGAGTTAAATTAAAACATTTTTAATTTTTGATCCAATTAGTGAGGTTAGAATTAAAAAACTTATCCGTTATATCGAAGTTTTTACTTCTATCTAAATTAGGAAATAAAGTCTTACAGGTGTAACATAAACCAATCCTATTAAAAATCCAATTGTAGCTGTAAGTCCGGATACTTGCCACGATTTTAAGTTGGTTAACGATTCTGAAATGACGCTGTTAACCATAATTTGAAGCGCAACATTGGTACCAACGCCGAGGATAAAGAGCATTCCAAAAAATAGGATTGCAAATAACCACGGGACGACATCAAATTTCGCAATTGCGTCGGGATAAGAGATAAAAGCCAAACCGTTTCCCCCGGAATTTATTACCGAATCGACGTTAACGTTCATTTCATACGCCAAATTACCTAAAATACCGAAAATGGTCGTCCCCGCCATTAAAGACGTGAACGTGTCCAATGTCGTTATGATCATCGCGTCGCGGTTTATGTTATGATCAAAATTGTTATACGAGGAGTAAATTACTATCGTCCCGAAACCGACTCCCAAAGAAAAAAAGCATTGGGATACCGCCGCATACCAAACCTAAAAAAAGTTAAACAACAAAAAGTTATTTTAACCAAAAAGTCCTTTATAGGCGATAAATCAAGGAAGTTTATTCACCAAAAATGACACAACCTCCTTTTGAAATGCTGTACTGTTGTTGTCATTGTGCCAGAAAAGTTTTCCCGGTTATATTATAAATGATTTATTACGAAACTATCAATTTAATAACAATTTTTTTAAACTTACACTAGCATCTAATAATTTATCCCATTGCGGTCTAATAAAAAATAAAATTCCTTCTCCGGCTCCCGGTAGAGTGACAGCTCTTATCAATAAAGCGAGCATAATAACGTAGGGAAACAAAGCTAAAAAATAAGCGGCCTTTCCGGAACTCGAAACACCTTTACAGCTAACCATAAAAGTGATTATCCAAGAAACGAATAAACAAATTGTTAATCGCCAATCCGGGGTTCCCAAACCATCTGAAATATCATCCTTTTCTTTCAAAACTTCCATCCTAAAAAAATTTAATTTCAAACTCGATTTTTATTAACGTTCATTTTGGTAACCTAAAATAAAGTTCTGAAGAACTTATTGCAACAGAACCGTGAGTTGGAAGTGTAACGCTTTCGTTACTTTTAAAAGTAGCTGGGATGCAGGTCATATTTGCTAAATCCCATTCTGGGCGACACGTCGCCCAAGGCAAATCTCCCGTGAAAGAATTCACGAAGTAAAAAAGAATTATCGCCATCAAAGCGCAATAATAAGTTGAGACGCATATTGAACCTAAAAATTGCCCATATCCTATACCTAAAATAAAATAAAAAAAAAATTTAATGGAAAATGTATTGTATGTATTATGAATTGAGTGCACGCATAAAGTGGGAAAGTGCTCTTTCGGTAAGTAGAAAGACCGAACATTAATCCCTTCGAGTTTTCGCTTAATCGATTTTAACCACCCAAGTTTCGTTTTCACCTTGTTATCGAAGCTAGGTTTTGTATAAACATCAAACGTTAAAAAGGCTGTTAAATTAACCCAAATGGATGCAATATGCACTTAATTTTTAATTAATATGAACCAAAAAATATTTAATTAAAAATAAATTCTACTTTGTTATTATAGTTTCCGAGATATTACGATTTTTTATTATTATTGTTATAGATCATTAAAAAACATGAAAAACGAGTCCAAACTCGACATATCTATCGGTTATAACAACCAAGTTAGCTTTGTTTTTATAAAATCAATATGGCCGAAAACAAAACATTAACAAATTGCGCCATCTATGTTTTAAAAGTGATTTTTTGATAGATATATGGTGTTACAACAAATTTGCTTAAAATTTGTTGATCTTTATGAAAGTCTTATTTATGACGTCATCTAAGTCTTTTTGAAGCAAACTTAAAAAAAGCCCTCTTAATAGACATATAAAAGCCTTTAATTTGATACTCAACAACCCATGTTTCAAATATAAATTAATTTTTAAGAAATGAAAAATGACAGTTAACAATTAAGTTGCTTTGAGGTTGAATTGTATTTGTTTCTTAATCTACGTAAAAAGAGCTTCAATTTGATACCCAACAACCCATATTTTGCAACAAATGTAATTTTGAAGAAATGACAGTTGACAGTTAAGTTGGTGCGTTTTCGTATTCAATTGCAATTGTTTTTTTTAAATACGCAAATAAGGTTTCGATTTGATATCCAACATCTTTTATTCCAAAAATTATTTAATTTTGAATAAATGACAATTGACAGTTAATTTGACATCCATCAACCCATAACTTCAAATTAAAATAACTTTTGTAGTTTTTAATCGAAACCCATCGTGTTTAGTAGACACATTTTACAGGACGTTTCATTTTCTTTCGATTTTTCTTATAAAATATCAAAATAAAATTAATCATTTCGTACCTTTTAAAGCCGGAGCTAAATTTCCAAAAACTTTAACGACGGAAGTGCTTGAAAATTGACCCAAAGACATTTCCAAATAATACATTGGTCTCCCAACTACCAATAAAACGATTAAATAAGGTATAAGAAAAGCTCCGCCACCGTTTTCGTAAGCGGTAAACGGAAATCTCCAAACGTTTCCCAATCCAACCGACATCGCAATACAAGACATCAAAAACTCCCAGCTATTATCCCACACTTTTCTTTCCTTTTTAATCGGGGCATTTTCAATTTTCTAAAAATTAATTTAAAAAAAATTAGAATTGTTATAAAATCGGTTTGTTCGTTTTTGATTCTTCCTGGGCATATTCTCGTAGGCAACTTTCTGGCAACCGAAACGCGATAAATCTCGTCGAAATCCGTTTCTTGTTCGCATCGTTTTTTCGTTTCTTTTTTTCGCGTGCTCTCTCGAGCCCCGGAACGGTTTTGCACGCGAGATTTCTGATTTATCGGTCCAATTATGCAAAATAACCTATCCGAGTATAAACAAAAATTGTACGTTACATTTAAATTACGTATCTTTCTCTCAAATCTAAAACTATAAACGACCTTGTTTTAAAGTATCAAATTACTTTGCACATAATATCATATTAAAGAGAATAAACAAATTTTCTTTTGTTTAATTTAAAACTTACCGTTGTATTATTTTCAACATTTTCAAAAGATGGGTTATCGAAGGCGTAAGACTAAAAATAATAAATTCACTAAAATTAATTTATTTAATTAATTAACTAACTTTTTTTTTAAACATTTTTTTTGATAATGTTATTTAGTTTGAGTTTGTTGGGTAACTGACAGTTTTAAGTGTAAGCTTAAGGTATAATTTGCGTTGATCTCTCCCTACTACTTTAGAACAATTCGAATTGGAGGAGTTATTAAAAAAATCGGCTACCTAAGAAATGATAAAACATTATTATTACGATAAAACGTCGGATTTTATTTCTAATTTAAAGTTAAATTTAAATTTTTTAAATGTGAGGTGTTTTATTTTAATTAATCATGAGTGGATTATGATTAAAAGGAAATTATTTAATTTCGAAAGTTGCGAAAAAATGTGTGTTATAAACCCATAACGCTTTAACAATCGCGATTCTGGGTTAAATTATGTTGTAAAACGTTGTAAAAGCCGTCTAAAGGTAATCAAGTTTCGTTTTCCAGACTGCGACGGATTTTTTTTAGATTTTTATCTAAGTCCTAGCTGTAAAAAATGATTGTGGGTGATGATACGAATTTGAGAAAGAAAGAAATAAATATTTATGTTTCAAAGTGCAAACTAACTTCAATAAAATCTTTTCGATTATGAAACCTAAGATCAATTATTATTTCAATTCATCGTGAAAATGACGATAATTACAGAGTATTTTCTAGTAAACAAGTAATAACGTGTTATAACCGCATTGGTTATGTAACAAAAAAAAATTTTGCTCGTAGGATGAAACGATTAATTCAACTAAAACTTGCTCAAGTTCAATAAAAATATATCTATCGCTAAATAACAATTAAAACTAGAACTAACACTAGACCTAGAACTACAAAGTTTCAGGTTGAGCCTTGCGTTTAAAGACAAAAAAAAATTAACGAAAAATGAGTACTTCCGATTTTCAAAATTTAAAGTTTTTTCATAGAAATTCTTAATCTCCATCAAATGTTCTTTAATACAAACCCAAACACGACTAAATTATCACCAAAAACAACCAAAATGTTAAAATAAAATTATTTTGACTTTGACATTTTAGGTTAATTTTAATAAAAAATGTATTTTTAAAGATAAATACGTCGTGTTTGAGCTCATTTTAAAGGATTTTTCACTCTTAATGCATTTGTAACGATGAAAAATGAAAATTTTAAAAAATGATTTCGGCATTTTCGGCCGCCATTAAATTATTCTTTTTATATCAATTTACCTAATTTAGAAAATCACTAAAGATTAATTTTCATGACGTTTCCTTTTTAACACTAGACCTACAACTATACTCTGTTTTTAAACCAGGAGGAGTAAACGCGAAAGTCAGATTTACACTAGGAAAAATCACCAGAAAATATCACTAGATATTTTGGCGGTATTTAAATTAATAATTATTATTATTTATTTATTTACTTATTATTGTATTTATTTTCGTTTGTTATCGTCAACACTAAACATACAAATTAACATTGAAGTTATGAGTGTATTTATTTCAAAATATAATAAAGAAGGGTTTAAGAACACAAAATTTACAATAATGACACGAAACTGTCGAATTGTCAATAACCTAACCTTCAAATTCAAAATTGCCTGTGTGTGAACCTTCCTCGCATTCAACCAATCACGTGCAAGGTCAATCTGGTGACAAATTTAAAATACTCCTCCT